GATGTTAGCCTGCCAAGGGGTATCTTGCACGTTGTGTACCATGCAAACCAGTTTGAACTTCTCCTCTGGCGCACGCTTGTCCCACTCGTCGAGCAACGCAGAATGTATCTGGTTCAAGCTACAATGCGTAAGCCAGCGTTTTACTGAGCATACATGATACACGTACTCGATTTCGCACGTACCGAGAACGACTGTGTCGACGGTGGTGTTACTCTGAATATACGACAACAACTCCTCCGGATCCCGACGTACTCCATCGTAGAGGCCGTATTCACCAACGACGGCCTCGAATCCGTAGTAGAATGGGGCTGCGAAGAGTTCAATCTGTGCTTGTGGAACTTGCATCAAAACGCGCTTCAGCGTCCACGCCAGGGTCATGTAGACGTCAAAATGAAACCCGAAGAACGAAGCGACCAAGACGTGTTTCCGCTTAATTAGTGTTGTCGTAGTCTCTTGAGTGGAAACTTGGGCCTCTATAACTGCAATATCGTGGCGAGAGTCAGAAAGTCGGAGACAATACTCTCCATCTAGCGCTACACTAGATGGCGATGCAGGGATGAGCTGGTTCCATTCGATGTCTATCACGAAAGTTGTGCAGACAACTAAGAGCACTAGGAAGAACGGGCAAGCCCAGACGACAGAGCGACGCGTGGCAAGGACCATCTTTATCGAGGTGCGATCTGGGAGGACGGCCTAGCACCAGATAACGGCGAGCGGGGATGTACGTCCCTCTCGCAACTCAGGCCATATATGAGAGCAGATGCCGAGGAGGCATTGCATATCCGATCGTCTAGTCAAAGTTTTGATTCAATGGTGTCTTGGCTAGCGGCACGCCATGGGGCGAGCTCTGTCATTGCGATCGCGGACAGTGGCGTCCTCGGGACGCTAGACTGTTACGATAGCTGTGCGGTAAAGCGATAAGCCATTTCCCATGCTGGGCTCTTTTTGACAGTCCAGCGGTAGAGGAGGCGGTCAGTTGACGCCACCTACGGCGATGCATTCCCCGTGCATCCCCCAAGACTGCCGGTTTCATCACACCAGAGCTAGTCGACGCAGGATCCGAGCACGTTCGTCCCCGGCGAGCACGAAGGCTTGCCGCAGAGTCTCCGACCTTGTGGTGCGGCACATCAGTTCTGCGTAGCGCCGATGTACATTCGAGATGACACGACTTACATCGGGCTAGTCACAGTAAATGCTGGCAGACATCACGAAACTCTGACAAACGTGCGGTTAACTCGCTTGACCTTAGGCAGATGTCGGCTACTGGAATTTTAATAGATGTAAGAGACGATGAAGGCGGCGTTCGTTGGCGCGTATTAGTTACCGGGGAGGGATCGTCCAATATCTTCGTGCCGTGTACCCAGCACAAGTATGTGTGCATCCTCTCCTAACCTCTGGGAGCAACGACAGACATGTCTTAGTGCACTCATAAACAAGGCGCGCACATCAATCACGAACTTCACCGGCCTCACCTGGCTGCAGTTGACGGGAGAGTTGTGAGCATGGGCGCCTACGCGTTGCATGCCCAGATTGGCTCTTTGCTCGTGCTGCCACCATAGCCGACGGGTTGTCCTCCACCTGTCTCACTTCTCTTGGACCTTGACAAGCCTGGTCGTCTTGGAGTCGGAGATATTGTAGCTCAGTCCACGGGTCAGCTTACCGATGGCCGAGCATGGAGAGGGAAACATCAAAGTCGTCGTGCGATGTCGACCGCTCAATTCACGAGGTACGCACTTGTTCGACACCGAGGAACACGCTCTGAGCAACGCCTCTTCCCAGAAATTGCGCGCGGCGCGAAATGTCTCGTAAGAATGGAAGGAAACCAGACGATCCTGGACCCCCCGGAGTCAGGATCGGCTGGTGCGCAAGCTGCCTCTGGGCGCGCAACAGAGCGGAAGCTTATGAACTTCACCTTCGACAAGAGCTACTGGTCTGCGGGATCTCGGGATGACCCAGACTACTGTTCGCAGCAAACGCTTTATGACGACCTCGGAAAGGAGCTATTGGATCACGGTTTTGCTGGTTTTAATGCTTGTATCGTGGCTTGTATGTCGTATACCTATCTGCTCGCGTCTCGACGTACTCACCGCGCTTTTAGATGGACAGACTGGTGAGACACTACTTGCTGTCGCGAATTATGACTAAGTCTGAGTGTGACATAGGCTCTGGTAAATCATATAGGTGTGTCTGGAGAATATCCTTAAGCTTCGAATATTCGAGCTGATATAGCTGGCTGCAGTATGATGGGATGTGAGTGAAGGCTAGTCAGATGTCCCACGTCAAGTATGAAACGATTATTCGCATAGATGGCGCGGACAAAGGAATTATACCCCTGACATGTTCGGAACTCTTCGACCGCGTAGAGAAGAAGAAAGCTGCGGACCCTAACGTGAGCTTCACCGTAGAAGTTTCATATATCGAAGTGCGTCGTCTGCCTCCACACATGTCTGCTCGCCGAGATAACGTCCAGGAGCCAGATATATAACGAGAAAGTGCGCGACCTGCTCAATCCCAAGAATTCCGGCAACCTTAGGGTTCGGGAGCACCCCAGTCTGGGACCCTACGTTGAAGATCTATCCAAGCTTGTTGTGAGCAATTATGATGAAATGATGACGCTTATGGATGAGGGGAACAAGGCCAGGACGGTCGCCGCGACGAACATGAACGAGACGTATGTTGTCAGACTTACGCGAGTTAAACTATCCTCTGACTGATTCTACGCAGGTCTTCTCGATCGCATGCAGTGTTCACACTGCTCCTTACCATGAAGAAGCATGATACACAGACGAATTTGGATACGGAGAAGGTTTCGCGGATCAAGTGAGATATTCAAGTTTGCTGTCGAGTGCCATAGTAATATCCTTATCCTCTCAGCCTCGTCGACCTGGCTGGTTCGGAACGTGCAAATTCCACGGGCGCAACTGGTCAACGTCTCAAAGAAGGGGCGAACATCAATAAGTCGCTGACTACCTTGGGCAAAGTCATTGCGTCTCTTGCAGTCGCTAGCCAAGCGGAAGGCAAGAAGGGCAAGAAGAAGGCCGAAGAATTCGTACCCTATCGAGACTCTGTCCTGACTTGGCTGCTGAAGGACAGTCTGGGAGGTAACTCGAAGACCGCGATGATTGCCGCTATCTCGCCTGCAGATGTTCAGTATGAGGAAACCCTCAGTACTCTTCGGTATGCCGACCAGGCCAAGAAAATCAAGAACAAAGCCGTCATCAACGAGGATCCCAATGCGAAACTTGTTCGCGAACTTAAGGAGGAGTTGGAGATGCTCCGAGGTGTGCATCCCAAAACCACATCTATGTCCGTGATCCCGACTGATTCTCCTACCACGTCGTTCAGCCAGGGTTGCGGGCCCCACTTCTGAAGCAGTGTTTGACCCTAAGATCCCTGCTTCAGAGCAGAAGGTTACCTACCAAGCCAAAGATGGTACACTCAAGACAGTTACCAAGGCGGAGCTCCAGGAACAGCTCGAGACCAGCGAGAAGCTCATGCAGGGTCTGAACGAGACTTGGGAGGACAAGATGCAACGGACTCAGCAGGTGCAAAAGGAGCGCGAGAAGGCCCTGGAAGAGCTTGGTATCACTGTAGAGAGGGGCAACGTCGGAGTCCACACCCCCAAACGGGTATGGTTCAAGACATTCAACAGCTAGTCATCATTAAACTGATCGATCCTCTTCCAGATGCCTCATTTAGTGAACCTCGTATGTACCGTATTTTCACTCCAGCTACGAACTATAATCATTATGCCCACTTCATTGTACAGAACGAGGGTAGGCTTACGGCTTATGCTCTTGCATTCTATCGGCTGACTTACCACCAGACCCTCTCATGAGCGAGTGTCTCATCTATCAGCTCAAACTAGGCCGAACGATGGTACGCACAAGTGGTCAACCTGCTCGTCTGATTGTATGTTCATAGTGTATTTAACAGGTCGGACGCTTAGACGAGAAGCCAGCCACGATTCGTTTGAGTGGGGAGAGTATTCAGGAAGAACACTGTTACTTCGAAAATAACGACGGCAAAGTCACTCTTCACACCATTGGCGATGCAGTTACGGTAAGGTGAAGACAGTTGGGGTGCCAGAGGATCGCTAATATGTTCGATGGCAGTGCTTGAACGGCAGGCAGATCACCCCCGGGCAGGTGCGTTGGCCCAGTTTAATCAGCGACTTCTTTGCTTATGGCCCTCCAAGGGATATAAACTTCGTTCGGGCTTTCGGATCATCATGGGTACGAGGAGCGGTCTAATTGTCAAGGCACAAGCTCATTAGCAATTAGGCGAACATCACGTCTTCAGGTTCAACAATCCTGAAGAGGTTCGAAAACAGCGCGACCGGGCCATGGCAAGGTCAAACCTCAGCATCAGTATGTCTGCAAGCGAGTTACAGAACGAGGAGAATGGGACACCAGTCACTCGTCCAGACTCACCGACGAGTTCGGCAGAGGACTTAGGAGACGTCGACTGGAATTTCGCCAAGCGCGAGGCTGCTTTTGCGAGATTAGGTCTTGATCCTGCCTTGGATAACCTTCCGGACGAGGAGTTGAACAAACTGTTCGAGAAGATTACTCGCGTGAAAGCACTGCGTAGTGTTGGGCCGAGGCCAGAGAGTAGTCTGAGTCAGGCTGATGATGTCTGGAGCGAGTCCGGCCGACCGATCCCTAGTGACATACTCACTGACGATACCAGCGTGGACGCCATGACAAGCAGCAATGACAGCCCCGAGATAGCTGGATCGCTGAAGGAAGCGCAGAGTCAACTGGAGACACAGCGGATAGAGTTCGAGCAGCGCTTGTTGGCCATTTCGGAGTACTCAGAGGCGGACGACCTAAAAGCAGAGAAGGAGCAAATGGAGCAGCAACTGAAGCTTGTCCAGCTTCACATGAAGCGATTACTAGATGCCCGCGCTCATGGCGAGACTGACACCGAAGCGGCGCCTTTCGAGCCCCAGATTTACACGGCTCGGCAACTTCGCCTCATACGGAAAGTATTGGACAAATGGAGAGCACATCGCTCGTTCTCCATGGCTGAGGTCGTCTTATCCAATGCTGTTCATGTTAAGGAGGCCAACGTGATAAGGTGCGCCGGAGCAACCCTTACGAGATTCCCTGCTAACTTGAGGTACAGTCGGGAGCTGACAAAGGATGTTTCGTACAACTTCACCGTCGCTTCTGGAGGTTCATTAGCTGCACCAGCCTCCGCTATCGACACTATTGCGGGGCTCGACCAATTCGGAGACGTCGCCGATCCGGTGTTGGCCTCCGCAACGCAGCCGTCTGTAGCGGTCAAGGTCATCGACAAGCGCCACGGAGCCATCTATGTCTGGTCTCTAGATCGCTTGCAACAACGGCTACAGCGCATGCGAAACTTGACCAGCTTTATCGATAGGCCTGCATATTCCCAACATTTCTCCACCCACGAGCCTTTCTATGACTCGCCACCTCCTGAGTATTCTTTCGTGGGCAACGCACTTATTTCACTCGCGCCCTTGTCCCGTCGTCTGTCGTCTACTGCGATCGTCCCCATTTTCTGCCGCTATTCTTCCGAAGCCATCGGCTCTTGCAGGGTGGAGATCAAGATCGTGAACGTGGTGCTTTCCCCAAAACATGCCAACTCATCGAGCACATCCACCCGCGCTTCATCCCCAATACCCGGAACAGTTCCCCCGGGAAGCAAGCTCAGCTTCTTCCTTACCGTTGACACCGTCAAGGGACTGTCACATCACGATTTCTCCGCGGTTCATCTTCAAGTACGTCTATCTTCATTTCTTGGTTCCTCGGCCGCAGCAGAAGAAGTCTATCCCTCCGCCGCTGTTGACCTTGATACGGCATCGCTCTCGGACCTCAAGTTTCGCAGAAGCTTCTCCATAGTCGCATCGGCGAAGGTATTGACATATCTTCGTCATGGCTATGCTCCGATCGAGTTTTTCGCGCGTCTCAAGTCATCCTATGTTGAGCGAATGGAACGCTGGGACGAAATGCGGGAACAAAGGCTGCCATCCAGGAGTTCTACATCTACTCCAGATAGCGTTCGTCCGGCAACATTGCCTCCGATGCGCAGATGCGAAACCGAATTTGTTACCGAACAAGTCCACGACGTCGTCGTATGGCTACAAATATGCGAGCTTACTCCTGAAGGCACGTACGCACCAGTGCCTGTGGTATCGCAAGGCGCCGTCGATCCAGGCTGTTTCTCACTGCACCAAGGGCTTCAGCGTCGCATTGTCCTGCATCTGACATCGAACTCGGGTCGCCAGTTCCCTTGGACGGACGTCACTCGTGTCCGCGTTGGCAACATACGATTGTTAGATGATAAAGGGCGTATATACGAATCATCATCCAAGGTTTTGATTACGCTACCCCTCCCGCAAGACCAGGTGGTGGAGTTTAAACCTGACGGCACTGGCAGCCTTACCGTGCAGGCACTCTGGGACTCCAGCATGCACGATTCCATTCTGTTGAACAGGGTCACGGCTCCCAGTCAGCGCGTACTGCTCCAGCTGTCATGGTCGGTATCTGTCGAAACATGTGCCGACCCTGTACAGTTCAGCATGGACACTGCGGTCGCGATCCAGACACGCGGCGCCCGTCCGCCTTCCCGGCTATTCAATCTGCTCGGATCGACCAAGGTCCTTCCGAAGAGCAGCACCGTTTTCACAGTGCGGCTGACGCCCCCTTTGACCCGATCACCGAAGGATCTCTGGCGGCTCGACACAGCGGAGAAGTACGTCCGTGGCGAGGAGACGCTGGGGGCGTGGAAGCCACGGGGCATTTCCGTCGTCGAAGACTATACGCGGCTCGTGACCATGGAGCGACGCGCAGCGGACGTGCAGGCCGTTCGGGTCATCCTGGCGTCTCTGCCATCCCGCCCGGCGCAGGCTGACGCTGCGATTTGGGCGAATGAGGAGCTGCTGAAGAAGGCGGTGGAATTGTGGCAGAAGAAGTTCGGCCACCGCGGAGAGGTAAGCTCATCTCGGGTACTCGAAGTCTAGATGAAGTGCTGAATCTTGCTTCGCAGATTATACTCAGCCAAGAGCCTGTAGATCCGGAGGTGTCAAGCGTGGCTTCTGCAAGTCGGGCGCCAAGCGTACTGTCCACGGATTCGTTGAAGCTTAGCTCGCAAACAAAACTAATATCTCGCAAGTGAGTGGTCGAGCTTTCTGCCAATACTTCTCAAGCTGATACTGTAATTCAGTGATGCTCCAACAAAGAAGGGTCATCTCATGGTCATGACAGACGCCAATGAGAACACCTGGGAAAAGAGGTGGTTTGTCTTACGCAGGTATATATAATGTTCACTTTCACTGAGACCTTGTCGGCTGAATGCTTGTGCCAGACCATATCTGCACATGTACAAGCACTCCAACGAAGTCGAAGAAGTTGCGGTTGTGAATCTCAGCGGTGTTAACATTGAAAGCAACCCTGGGATGGAGGCCCTGCTCGGGGTAGGTCTTCCGATAGTCACTGGGGTTGTTCTGGCTAATTATTTTTTAACCCTAGAAACGATTTACCTTCACGCTCTTCACGTCCTCCAACTCCTACGCCCTAGCCGCACCGAGCCAGAAAGAGCTTGACTCATGGACTTCCAAGCTAGACCCCACACGGCTCGTTTCTTAACCATCTGTCCCTGTTTGGTCGCTTTCCTTCTCTGATACATACCCCACACCTATTGCGCATCCGGTCTCTACCCCATATTTCGAACCTTCCTTTCTGCTACTTCTCTTACACCTGTCGTTAAATCATTGTGTACCCCACTAGCTGTTAATCAGAATGTTGCCTACGCATAGACGTTACCCTGTGTACGAAATATCATGATCATGTTTTATGAACTGAGGTGTATGCTCTTTTGTGGAAGGTCTTCTATGGTTGCGGGTACGGGGTGCGTGAAGTGAATGAGAGGTGCATGATAGTGTACAAGGACTGTGCGGAACGAGGGAAGCAAACGAAATGTCCCGTGAAGCAGATAAGAGTAGATTATGTGTAGCCAAAACGACGATGCTACGAGTATGTTTATGGGTTGCAAGTAGTCTGCAGTCTATAGCAGATCAAAATCGTCCAGCTGTGCGACACGAGTCAGTGGGGACAAAGTTGCCATAATGATTTTTGAGTACCTCATCGTTGTATCGCATAATTGTTCTCTTGAGTTTCGACGTGTCGACCCATGTTACAAAGTCTTCCATGTGTCTGAGCACGATTGTCAGTGATGTGCATTGATGCCCCTCTGAAGGAAGCGTACCTTGTGACAAGGAATGCCGGGTCAGTAATGGTATCAGGTCCTGCGCGAACATGCCCCTGCTCAATGAACTTGACAGCCTATCCAGAGACCTCAGTATTGTCCTGAGTATTCTTGGCGTGTTAACGCACTGCGCTGACCGTCTCTGCCATTCTCAAGGTGACTAAAATCACTGCCAATCGCCTCCTGCAGAATGCAGAGACCGTGAGTTTGTTCTCGATATCGCTGAGTTTCGCGGTCGAGTTGAGGACACCCATATCGTAGAGCTTTGCCATTATCTGGCTCTCCATGCGCGAACGGAAGGGGTCTTGTGTTGGTAGAAGAGATACTCGATGCGCAAAGGATCGAAGCGAACCACAAAGTTTGTTGTACCTGTGCACAAGACGTTAGGGCGAACGGCAGGAGGACATAACGACGCGCACTTGTGATAATCTTCTCGGTCCTGAATATGATACCGCCTCATGACTTTTATCTCCCTCAGGTTCGCATCTTGTTTCCACTGTCCAAACGAGACGACTAAGTGTGTTTTTTTCGTTAACGAGCTCAAGTGCACGCACGTTCAGAAAGTCGACTTTTTTGAGCAGCTTTTGCTCGTGATGTTTGAACTGCCGAACCATGCTTAGTGCAGAGCTAAGCTTTGCGTGCGCTAACTGTTTTCGTGTAGAGGGTGGAGGTGGTATGCAATCTGCGAGGAGAAATCGTGATCAGAGCCGCCAGATCTCGGGCCCGACTCCCCCACGTGGCTTTGCTTCCGACGCTCAGCCTCTTTTTTTTTCCGCTTGTTTATAAAGGCCCGTAAAACTACTGTTACATGAGGGCCTGTGCTACGGTCGATAAGTATGTGCTCAGCTCACCTCGAGGGGTCGGTTGGGATCGAGCGATAATGCTGCTGTGCTTTTTGCCATCGAACGGCACAGCGCAGCCTTGATACCTAGTATGAAATATCGACGGCTGTTTATGCTCGCGACCGGTGGCCGGAACTTCGGTCCCACTAACATAGGGTAGGCCAAGGGGAGAGATGTGGCAACGTATGCACTTGCCGTGTGCCACGCCGACAAAATTCACGCTACGTTTAAACTTTATTGCACCCTCGCTGGTGAATAGGCGTGCACTGCGGACCAGCGAAGCAGCAGCTCACGTACTGTCAATTTGTATTCCGGCAGGCTACGCGTTCCAATGGCTGCCTATGCCGAGAGTACAGCTCAACCGTACACAGCCGCCGTGTGGCTATAAACTGATACCGATCTCGTTTGAGAACTTGAGGCTCGACACCGGAACACTGTGCAAGGCAGCCATTTCGGCGTACCGACCACCATCCCCCCCTCGGTACGTGCCCCTGCCGGCTAGGTGACGACTCTAGTATCGGTGTGAAAGACGCTTTATGGAGCAGAGATGTGGATACGCTCCACATCAGCTTGCCCCTCCGTTGCTGTGGCGCGCTCGTCTGGATTGTTCCTTAAGGGTTTAAATGCCTGCCTGCTGATAGTAGAGAACTGGCAGTCTACTGCTCGCAAGGCCTTCAATGTCCAGCTCTGCTCGGAGGGCAAGTAGTACAGACCTGGAAGACCGGCAGCTAGATGTAGATAGGTGAACCTGGAGCCGGACTCGGAACCCTGCCACTCCAAATTCTCCTCTACTTAGTCCGAGACGGCGGAACCGCCGCTCAAATATATGTTGGTGTTCAAGTAACACATCCCTCGACGCGTGGGCCTCAATGCAAAGCGAAAGCGTGAGCCTCCGCAAGAGGATTCATCAGGACGTGATGCATTGATGTTCGACGCTTCTCGCGTTTCGGGTGCTCATGTCGCGGTGCAAAACGATCGTTTATCGACCAATACACACGTCTTGGATCAGGGGTGTTGACGTTGACCCACAGCGCTGCCTTGAGGAGGGCATGATGTGTGTGATCTACAGCATGCATCGCATGCATCGCCACGGCGTCGGGCTGGATAGACTTGAAGATGGTGGAGAGTTATCGTAGCTCTGTGGTCAATAATGCCGGAGAATATTTACTGACCCGCGTCGAAGGGGCGGGGTGAGATAGAGCGATATCATATCTCGATTCTCCCGCGCTGCCGGGTTGCCAGTTCGTCGTCCTGCCATTATTCTATGGCAGTGTGTCGTGTTTTTGCTGTCTCGCGGCTGCGGGCAATGACGGGGAGAAATATGCATTGCAGAATTGACCACGCCAGAGAGACCGAGAGAGAAAAAAGAGGACGATAATACTCGGCTTACGTATTCGGATACCACGATCGGGGTCAAGTGCGCACGGATGCGTGTGAGTCCAGCAGCCACAACGCCGTCAACGAACAGCCGCCTCTCTTTCCGCGTCCCCCGCCTCGTCTCTTCCCTTCCCCCACCACCACGACCCTCCGCCTTCGCTGTCTCGCGCTGCGGGCTCCAGCTTTTTGCTCTCGTCGTCGCGGACTGTGGCGCTATTGACTCCGTGTCGTCCAGTTTTCGCTAGCGCCCCCGGTCCCGGTCGATAACCTCGCACCTCAGCAGTTTCACCGCCGTTGTGTTTCGTCTCCAGTTCGTGTCTTCTCCTGCATGCCACAGCGCGTACACTGTCTTACGAGCTCTCTTCAACGTCCTTAATTTGCCTCCATCCTTTTCTTTCCGGCTCTGCGCCTAGCTGTTCGCGATGATTCGACAACATATGCCTCCGCAAGGCGTCTTAAACATGAACGGCCCGCCTTTCATCGCACCTCAGTCTCAGCCTGGCCAGCCACCCCAGGCCCAGCAACCGCACCCGTCGATGCTGAACGCGAATCCGCCGCCTCCGATGGGTATGCTCACAGGCGCGCAACCGAACGCGAATGGGCCGAACCCTTACCAAGGCTTACATATGCAGGCGAATCGTGTTCAGGCACCACCGCATCGTAACCCGATGATGCACCCGATGCAGGGGATGAATCCCGGCATGGGCTCGAATCAATCGCTAGTAAACGGTTTGGGTCCCAGTCAGCTGCAGAATATCCCGTTCCCAAATTCCATTCCAGGCCCTATACGCCGCGCTCCTTCGCAGCCGAATATGATGAATCAAGGAGGGGTACCAGGTCTACATCCCGGGCAACCCGCGATGGCTGGGATGTCGATGGCTGGGATGTCTGGGATCACCAATATGAACCTCCAACAACAGCAGCGCATGCAACAGATAAGGCAGCAACAGCATCTCCAGCAACAGCCGCAGCAGCCTGGGCAAGGCCAGCCTCAGCTTCAAGCACCTGGCGGGCTGCCGTCCGACTATATGTTGGGCGGACGCCCCGGCGCCCAAGGTGGGGGTTTCCCGCCGGGTGCGCGGGCACAACTTATGCCTGGCATCCCACAACCGCCGAATCTGCCGCAATCTCAGCAAGGCGGTATGCAGGGTCCCTTCACCAATTCAATGTCGATGTCGCAGCAGCCGCAGCAGATGGGCACTTCACCGCATCCTGGTCATACGAACGTAGCGCCCAACATTGCGAATGGCCTACCTGGAAGCAATGGCATGCCTCCTAACGGTGTTCAAAATCGCCCCCGTATAACACCAGAGCCTACTTTCGTGGGCTTTCAAAATGGCCCAATGGGTGGTATGGGTCAGGGCGTACCTCGGATGCCCGCGACGAATGGCCAGTTCCCGTTTGGTCATGCATCTACTCCCCCGAATGGTATGGGCGACCTACAGCAGCCCATGTCTTCAGGACGTTTGGGAACCCCGCGGCCCGGGAATCAGCAGCCGCTCATGCCTACACCTGCGCAAGCCCTCGAGATATCTCAAAACGGTGGCGAAAACAACTTCAACGTCACGATGGGCATGCCCCCACCAGCGGGCCCGGCACGACCGCCGTCACAACAGCGGCCACACCCCGGATTCCAACTGCCACAACAACAGCCTCCTCAGCAGCAACCACATCCACGCCAGCAGACGCCTTTGGCAGCGCATACATCTCCACGGCAACCCCAGCAAGGGCAGCAGCTGCATGGTCAGCGGCCTCAGTCGCAACCTCAAGCACCTCAACGACAATCTCCCCAACAGTCGCAGCAACCGCATCAGCAACAACAGCAGAACCCTGTTCCGCAACCGCAGCCTCAGCCGGGGCCGTCGCGGACGCCGAGGATGGCCCAGCCCCCACTCCCGCCAAATATGGCCGTGTCCAATCGTGTGCCCCCGTTGGCTGCTCAGCATCAGCAGCCTCAACAGGCGCAGCAAGGTCCTCCGATGTCGTCAAAGCCTTCAACCCCTGCAGTCGGCCCCCAACAGCTTCCTGTTGCGCAGAACCCTCCGCAAGGGCCTTCCGTCCCTGTGATGGGTCAGATACCTACCACAGCTCCTCCTCGTCCACCGGCAACTGCTCAGCAAGGGCAAGCTCAAAGTCAGAGCCAGGAGTCAGGGCATAATCAGCAGGAGGGGCCGAAAATTGATTATACGTTGCCCCGTGGCTGCCCTCAGTTGTACGCATCCACTCTTTATCACGCTGAGAGTTATCTTCTCACTTGTCATACTAGCATCCGAGATGCCAGGTTCATCGGGCTGGGGATCGCTTTCATGGAACGTTTCAATGGGAACCTCACCACTAGATTGCATGATGTAGGTGTCCATATTTCAGGGGCACGGAAATCTAATTAAGATATCGTGTAGATGCATTCACCGTTCTTCTGGAAAGACCTTATTCACGCCTATTTCTCGTCTACGGCTATCTTCAAGTTCACGCTCTGGAAGGATGGCCAGAAGAAGGAAGCGAAGCCATTTGGTGCGTGCAATATGCGTGTATCTTCTCCCCCTGTGCTCATTTGTCTTGGCAGAGATCGGCGTTCCGATATTGCCACGCTTCTTCCTGGTAACAGTGCAGTCTGGTGTTACCGCGATTAATTTCAGTCTCTCTGGCGCGACAGAGTTACGGGTTGCGGATAACCCGATGGTTTGCAAGGTGGAAATTCCCCGCGCGGCCTGGACGTTCACATACGCCAATGGCTACACTGTCACACTCAAGGGCCCTTTGACCGCTCACATGCGCATTCACCCTGGTGCATTTGACTACACGCGGAGGCAGCAACTTGTTCAGCCAGGTTACGCACTGCAGTTTGAACACTTCCAGTTCGATGGAGAAATTATCGAGAAGTCACTGTCACTGAACATCCTCGCGCCGCCCCGTACGTCTGAGTCTCCGAGCTCAGGTACGGGCCAGCTCGAAAACGAGGACGAGCGGAGAGACGAGCCTCGGAATTACATAGAGCACATGTTCATACCCGTTGAGCCCGTAAACGCGTTTGGCATCCCGCAAGCTACCATGCGGTGCCTGGAGGTGAGTTCGTACAGATGGGCTCGCGAACGTTTATCTGATCTTTTGGTTATCGTAGCTCGCGGAAAGCGTCGCGCAGATGGCGGATTTGTTTCAGTACTCAAGAGAGAAGGGGTTGGGGCCTTTAGGTTGGCGTTGATGCGTTTTCGATAGACAGCGTGATTGACGGCGCCTTTCAGAATCGTTGACCCACTTTGCGCAGATGTTGCGAGAAAATGGTGCTGGACAAGGTCCACCATTGGTTGGCAACAATATGTTGAGCCATCATCTGCCTAACTACGCCATGGGCGGACCTGGTGACATGCATCCATCTGGTCTGCCAACATCGTCGTCATCCGCGCTATACCAGGTGCCAACTGCAAATGGTCAGCATCCTGCGCCGCAACAGTCTCAGCCGGGCAACGCGACAAACGCAGATGGTACCCCCAAACCAGGCAACGCTATCCCAAAGACGCCACAAGCATCGGGGTCGACGCCTGGGCCCTCCGCTGCAACACCGGCTGCTGCGCCGACACCTACTGCGGCCACATTGACTCCGGTCACCACACCTGCAACGCTCAAGCGGAAAGCGGGAGCTGAAGTGGCATCGCCGACCGTGAGCAGCCAAGACCCACCTTCAAAGCGAGCGGCGCGAAAGCGGACGCGGACACAAAATGGGCCATAGTGTTCGTTCTCTCCTTGGACTGTATTTGTTGCTGGCTCGCTTCCAGTTCCTCTTTATAATCTTTCCGTGCTTTTGGATCCGCATTCGTAACTCAATGATACTTTACTCAGCATAGCATAGATTGTATTGTACTCATACGCAAAGCGCTCTGTCGCTCCGATGCATAGGTTGGAAAGGCGTTCGCGATGTCTCAACAGCCATCTAGTATTTATCTCCTGTACACTGTACCTAGTAATTGATTCTGAGGATCGGTTCTGCAGCTCAGCAGTCTACTCTCGATTTCAATGCGCGAGTTGAAAAGACTGAAGACGGACCGCCGATGTGTTGAAGGCCCTAAACAATATACATGACATCTCGAGCAACGCAGATAGGGTACTCTGCCACAAAACGAATAAACATGCGTAGAAAATAATTGACAAAGAGTGTATGTCTAGTATTCAAGGCTCACGTTCGCCTGCGAGGCTGGCTCGTGGCTGAAATCACACCTGTCTCCATATCGACACCTGGACATGAGGTTGGTAGCGATTCACCCGATCAGCAAAAGAATGCCACTCACCTTCCCTGCTGAAAGAAAGTACAAGGTCTCTTCCGCCCTCGGAAGCCATCGCCCCTACCCCTACCTCGGCCGCGACCCCGTCCCCGGCCGCCGTGATCTCCCCAACCTTCTTCACGACCCCAAGGACGATCCTTCTCCTCATACCCACGGTCGTATTCCTGGAATGGGGGCGCATTCCAGTCCTGATCGCCATTGATACGCGGACCGGTGGGAGGAGACGGTCCAAGCGGATAGGGAGGCGTTACGCCCTGCAGGGCCTGCGCCTGTTGCACGAGCTGCTGCAGCGCTTCTGGTCTGATGTTGGCGAGCACGCTGGGGTCGAACGCAGGCGGAGGGTTTGCATCCGACATTATGACGTCTGGGAGGCCGCCTGCCGTTAGCTGACCGACAAGCTCCGCGACCGACGAAGCCATGGCGGCTGGTGGCGGGACGCCGCTCCAGAAAAGCGCTTCCATATCCTGGCCAACTAGCATCGGTTTCGCTTGCGTGTCGATCTGGTCATCGGGCAGCGCCGACGTCGGCTCACCCGCTGTCTCAGGTATCTGAGCCTCAGTTATGTAGAGTGCACCTAGTGCATTCTGTTCGCGCTCATCCTGAGCGACCTTCTCGATACTGTCCTTACCACGTTCGGGAACCTCGATTTCTGGCGGAATTTCTATAACTGGAGAGATTGACACGAGACGACGTCAACACAAGCTATTTCTTTTAGCCGTCATGGTTTATTTGCTTACTTAGTGGTTCGGACCAGTCGATTTGTTCTTCAAACAGGTGTGCTATTAGAGCAGCGCCCTCGCCTCTTTCAAGTTCGCGCACGCTGTGTGCGCCGTGCATACCCTGTGTGTCAACCGGCGCGTAACGCGCATACGTATGGTTAATGTACTATACATAGCAAGCACAAAGAGAAATGAGCTGACATCCGCGGGGTCGTCGTCGTACACAGCCCGTTCAATGACTTTGATTAGCTCCAGCTGCCCGTCAGGCGCCCACGTGACGGACTTCTTCTTGCTGAGTTTCTTCAGTTCTACCGAGGCTGTTGGACCGTTTATTGTGGTGAGCGGAGGTGGCGTCGCCGTTGCTGGCGACTCCTTGCGGGGTTTCAGCGACTTGACAATCTCCTCGAAAGGGTTGTATGAGGACGGCTGAGCGACATTCAGGTCCGGCTCCTTCTTGACTGTGAATGGGGCCTTCTTGAAGTCAGGGAGTTTTGGCTTGGGTTTTGCTGCAGAGAAGAACGAAATGTCTGTCTTTGCATCCTTGACTGCCGGTGCTTTTGCTAAGGGTTTTTTCGCCACAATGGTCGCAGTAGTCGCCTTTGATGTAGACGCAACAGTTGTGACGGTACCCTTCTTCGTCGCAGGCTGACCTTTCACCACTGATGGAGGCTCTTCAGCCTTGCGTTTCTTGCTCTTCGCATCCGTATCTGTATCGGTTGGTTTGATTAGCGAGAGGATGCCGCGGAACGGACTGACATGACTCACCCTCGCTCGCTTTCGTAGACGCCGGCGTCTGCAGCGGGCCAAGGGGGAGGAGAGCACGCCATTTAGAAGCGATGTTTGATGCCATGTCCCTAATCGCTGTGTACGTTGGAACGGAGACGTCGTAGTCAGATACATTATATTATGCCGCCTCGAGACCACGATAGATTGAGGTTCAAGCAAACTCTACTCTAGATCGAGACTCGGACAGCGTCCACAATACACTCGCGTAAAAGGGTGGGTCGAAAGCGATGGAAGTAGATTTCATTGGAGATTAGTCGAAAACTTCAGACTCACCAGAGTTGGAAGAACTGGATTTTGAGACACGCTTCACTTCCTTGCCTATCCCTGACTCTTTAAGACAGTCGATTGTCATCGGCAGGCGATCCAGGACCTGGGGAAGTCGAGGTCAGATAGACCATCCATGCGCTGTCCTATGTTGGGTTCCTTGCTCTTGCACTCACATGTAGCAAAGGCATCGTCGTCTGTGCTGCCTCACTCTTGTCTTCAGCGACACTATCTGTAAGCCATCTCTTAGTGATCAGCATTGCAAGACTGTTCTCTGCCCAAGCACGGAAGTAGTGATTGCCGGCATTGTCGCGGATCTTTGAGAGGATATCTAGGCGTGTCGGAACGTCGACCTTGAGGATACCATAGTCTTCTATATGACCAGTCAACCTTTGCACTGCGCCAGCCCCGCTGAAAGAATTCGACTGTAATAAAGGTTTCAAACCAGCCAAGAATTTTTCCTTCAGCTGCTCAGGCGTTGGTCCCGAGGGTTGAGGCGGCGGGGGCGGAGGCTGGGGCTGTTGCGGCTGCGCATAAAAACTAGCTGTCGATATGGGCGGAGATGAGCTTGCATTCGACAGTGGCGGTGAATGGAGGACATAAGGGGAAATAGAGGCCTGCGGAGAATGCTGAGTTTGCTGCAAGGATGGCTGTCGATGTATCTGCTGGAAATGCGAGGGGGTGGTATGGACAAAAGAAGGATTTATTGATAGCGCTGATGGTTGCGGCGAGTGCTGATAGGCAGTGTACTGAGGGCGCTGCTGGACATGGGAGGCATGGGATATGTAAGCGGTCTGATATTGAGGCGGGGGACTCGAGCTCGACCCGTTCATGTTTAACGTTAATGATGGACTACAAACCGGAAAAGTACACATCAATTGTGAGGCGAATATCGTGCATATAACGTACTCTATCATAACCTGCGAGGGTGGTGGTGGCGGTGATTGGGTAGGCGACTGCTGTGATGACTGATTCTGGCTCGAGGTAGTGCTGGTTGCTCCGTTTAATGAGGAGTAGTTTGACAGCGGTAACGTGGATGTCCCTGGCCACGAGGATGTCGTATAGGGGACGGCGCCATATCCCGGAGTACTTGCGAGGAAGTAGTTGCTTGGGTGCGAGAACGAGTAAAAGGACGCCGGTGATGACTGCTGCTGCAGGGTTGGTGATGACGAAGAGGCGATATGACCTTGTGGTTCATGTAAGGTCAACGCTGCGGGGCGCGATTACGGTGAATGAGCTGCTCACCCGAGAGGTCCATTGGAAAAACGCTCATGTCCATGCTCGGCTGTACTCCCGGCGACCCCGCCCCCGACGTGCCAACTGATGGATCCTTCCCCCAGTCATTATTCGCAGACGTACGACTATCGTGAACGTCGGAAGCATGGGACTGGGGCAACCAAGAGGTGCCAGCAGAATATTCCATGTGTATGTGGTATTCTTTTTGCACACGCGCACTCAGGCGGTTCGAGGACACTTCACGGGCTTATTTCTGCGTACAGACGAGATGACAGGAGCGCCAGTAATGAGTACAGCGTCGACGTCGGGCGATGCTGCAGATTGCTCGTTCGTTTGGATTCGTGTCCTCAACGTTGCACCCGAGGTTGCGTAGTTCGTCTTTGAGTGGGGGTCAGGTGAGACGTTGCGCTTGTCGTTGGTAATTGGCGCTCCGCTTCAAACTCCTATTATTGGCGCCTTCCAGCGCCTTCTGGGGTCCTGCGCTTTCCCACGCTTACAGAGCCGGACAAAGGTGGCATGACCTCTGTGCTCATCTCTGTGGGTACGAAAGATAAAATTGAGACAGTTAATGCAGCGTGTCAGACGAAGAGACAATAGGACGAAGCACGGGACAGTGTGAAACGCGTTCACAGAGAGTAAGCCTAAACGAGACTAGTAGGATAACAAAACCAAACAAATACTCGATCTCGTCCCCATCAAAAGCCTTGCAGACTTTTCTTACCTGCTCCTTACTTCCTTCTTACCCGCCTTCAACACGTCGCGTCGCGTCAGATAGTCAAAAGCAAACATGGCGCATCTTCCGGAGAGTCAAGCGCAGTTTGAGTACACAAAAATGCAGGTCTGTCACCAATATGCTATTCAACTCCTCTCACGTCCTGACATGTCCAACGACACTCTCCAGCTCATTGGCAGTCTTGGTGCCGTCGCCGAGACTATGCGCAATGCTGCGACCTTTGCAGAGCAGTTCGCCCAACTGCTCACCCCGCTGAGCTACCCTGGTGCACCGTTGATGTTCCCGAACGGTCAGATGCCCCAGATGTTACCCCCTCAGGCGGAGCCAACCGGGGGAAAGCGCAAGGCTCGCGGCGATGATGAGGGCGAGGGCAAGAGGAAAAGGAAGACCAAGCCCAAGGATCCGAATGCGCCAAAGCGTCCTCCGTCGTCTTACCTTCTCTTCCAAAATGAGGTCCGCCAGGAGCTAAAGGCCAAGCACCCTAACATCCCAAACAATGAGCTTCTGGCGAAGATTGCCAAGGCGTGGGGTGATATGCCGAAGGAGCAAAAAGACGTTTGTAAAGCCGTGTGGTCACTATACTCTCTTGACTCACGTGTGTTTCCAGAGGTATGAGTCGAGGCACGCAGTCTCGAAGAACCATTACCTCGAGCAAAAGAAAGAATACGAACGCACTCTTACTGGTGGTGATCAAGTGCCTGCTACCGAAGTGAGCCTTTATTCGATTGATCTGCAGATAGCAATTCATCTGAACAAGGTACGACAGGGCGTGAACCCAGCGGTCATTGCCCCTGCGGCTGCCCCTACACCGGCCGCCGCATCTTCTGATCAGGAAGACGAGGAGAACGAGGTTGGCGACGATGATGGAAAGGAGGTCTCTTCTTCCAGCAGTTCGGAGGAGGAGGTGGAGCGGAGGCCGCCTCCTAAGAAGTCCAAGCCAGAGAGCAAGGACGACTCTAAGGAGAAGAGGCGGAAAAGCAAGGCTTGAACATCGCGCCACGCAGGGGCAGGGTCCAGATTTGGATTGGGCTGAGGATGACGATTGGCAGGCGTCTTGGACTGCAGATTCCGAAGATTACTTGCACCTATATTTGTTCCCCTTCCCGTAGCTTATCTACCGTATTGCATAATCTTGTACCCCGAGCAGGGACGCACCTTGGATCACAATTGGCAGATTTATTTCTTGAGTCTTTCCTATGCTCGAATGCGCTGGCTTACTTGTGCCTGTGCCGTGCGACCGCGACTGCGCATGGCGCTGTATCCAAGTACGGTCGCCGAATGATTGTCCGTTGTCGACTCGGGGAGGCTGTACGTGCAACTGAAAGTTGTACACGAATGCTGAAGGTGGCATATTGCTGTGTCTCCCCGGCGGCCAGGGTCATCACGGGTCGGTGGCGCAGTGCTGGAATCTGAGTCGCGTTTTGAACTTTTGGTCCGAATGGAGAGAATACTGCAGCAGAACACCGCTTATGGATGTGGGTGAGCGAGATGACATCGCTGGCCGACCGGCCGTTGGTCCTATATAAGAACGTCGCCAGGCTACCGATTTCTCCTTCCTAACGCTCTCTCACTCTCACATCGATCTGCACAATGTCTTCGCCGTATGGAGGCCCTCCTCGCAACCCAGACACGCGTCCTCTGCCTCCGGGCTGGATGGAACAGTACGATGTGAAGTAAGTGCCTCGGTCTACCTCGAGTGCCCTCAGTCTAACGATCGCCTCGCATCGTCTAGTTACAACACATGGTAAATATGAGTCAATATGATTCTTTGCATTATGGATACTGACACGGGCGTAGGTTCTATGTGAATACCGGCGTTAGCCCTCCGCAATCATCTTGGGTACATCCGGCTGGGCCACCTGGATCCCCTCGTCCTCCGCAGGGCTTTGCACCACCATCTGGTCCCCCACCGCCAGATAACCGTGGCTGGAACAACAATTCCCCCTACCCTCCTCAAGGTGGTTACAACTCCGGTCCGCCACCGCAAAACCAGTGGGGACCCCCAGGCGGTAGCGGCTATGGTGGAGGGTACAGCAGTCCTCCACCACAGGGAGGCTATGGTGGAGGTGGCTATGGCCAGGAGGACCGCGGTCAGAAACCTTGTTGCCATTCAGCTGCGCGATGACAACTCATCGCGTGCTTTAGGCTGGTTCAACCGCCCGCAGCAGCAGCAACCGCAAGCCGCCTACCAACAGGCTCCTCCTCCCCCTAAGAAGCACGGCATGGGTATGGGCACCACGGTCTTAGCAGGTATGTGGATAATCGTTTGGCACAACCATAGATCGTGTCCTCATTTTCACGTCTCAGGCGGTGCCGGTCTGCTCGGCGGTGCCCTATTGGCTGATGCGTTTGAGAATCACGAAGACCACGTCGAGGAACAGGCTTATGATCAAGGTATGTGTGCCCTACGGGCCGGTTATCCAGCTGCCTGACACTCTGACATTCCGGTGCCATTCACAGGCTTTGATAACGGGCAGCAGGACGACGACTTCGGTGGCAATGACGGCGACAATGGCAATGACGGCGGCGATTGGTAAACGGCCTTATTATACTCCGCAGCGCTGCCTCGTGCGCTGACCGCCGCACCTATCGATCGCCTCACTTGTTTTCTCGCTCGCATATACTGGATGGACACGCCTCTTGTTCCACGATATGTTAGTTATTATTCAGCAAGTTGTACACGTACACAAAACAAGACGATGCAATAACGTGATGCCTGAGCAGGCTGACATTCACGACAAACATAATCGGGTGCCAATTGTGTTCATGCTGAAAGGAGTCTGGCAGCACATCATCGTCCTATGGTACCTGGCATGTGCTAAGGCAGCTCGTACTTACTAGTCGCGCCACGTGCGCGTGCGGCATGCTTCTTCTGCCAAGCGGATCTGCTGATCTCCTTCCTCATGCTCTAGATCCGCCTATCCTTTGTTGAAATGCGTCCACCCCTGCTCGCTCCGCGTCCTCTCGCTTCTGAACACAATATTCTGAATACTCCGTAGAGCCCCGCCAGCCCCGCCAATCCGTCGTCTCCAACGCCGACCACCATTCCCCTGCGAACGGATGTCCTGGTGCTCCCGCATAGCCCCACGGCTTGGACGTGTAAGGTTGCACGTACGGATTGAGAACCTCGGCCATGCCAGGGTTGACGGGACCGGTGAAGTGGACGACGGCGGGGTCTGCCTTCATGGCAGCCACATCCATGGCATCGCGGTCGACAGATACCGAATCAGCGTACGTGCCGAGGCCTTGGGCGTTCCATTTCAGGTCGAGCGGGTGCCACTCGTCGCGAAAGACGACGTTGAGGGCGTCCTGGTCCCTGTGCAGCGAGTCCTTGCGTTGACGACACGCGTCGAAGAGCTCTCGCAGCACCGCGCGGACCTTGGCCAAGTCCAGAAGTAGTACGCCGGCATTGAAGTACGGCCCCCGCTCCACATCCGCGTGTCCCATGGGGTGGCCCACGTCGGCCGTCGCACCGATGGGCTTCCCGCCGAGGTCAGTGTTCCAGAGCGCGCGCAGATCAGCGCGGACGAGCACGTCTGCATCGAGGTATAGCACCCGCTCGACGGGCAACACCGTCTGCGGGATCATCGCGATCTTCGCCCATGTTGGTCCCATACCTCCCAGAGGATCGTCCTCGGGAAGGGAGAGGAACACCATGGTGACGTCGAGGGGCGAGTCTGCCGCTGCGAGACGTCGCAAACGTGCCCGGTCGGAGGAAGACAGGCCCAAATCGACGATATAAAGCGTGATGCGGCCTGTCGTCTGGCTAAGGATGCTCTGAATCGCGACAGCCGCAGGCATAGCGAACGCCGAATCGATAGTGAGCACAATATGGAGGTCATGATAAATGGGTGTCTCTGGCGAGGTTGCGCCCTTGACCAGGAAGCCAATGCGCATCTCTGACTTCTTCTGAAGGATCATTTGATACTCTGTTGGACTGGAGATGACGTCGAATTGCGCAGCGTGGAGGGTCATGAAGGTGTCGATGCCGCGCTTGGGGTGGTGATCGCTGTCTTCAGGCTCCTTGTCCCAACGGTAGTCGTCGAAGATAATGACCGCGCCCTTCCTCGCGAGCCGCCACGCCATCTCAGCATCAAGGAAGGTATCGTCCGCTTCGTGAGACCCGTCGACGTAGATCCAGTCGAAACCCGGCTGAATAGCCGTCATCTCCTCCTGGAGAATTGTCATGAGCATCGGAGTACTGAATCCCTCCATGACGCGGAAGGGCTTTCCGGTCATGGAGAGATTGCGCACGACCTTCTCGTAGCGCTCGCGCCCTGCAGCAGTTTGCATGAGGTCGAAATGGTCGATGCAGGTGAGAGACCCGCCTCGAGCACAGAGCTCGGTCAGGAGGAAGACGGCTGAACGGCCTTCCCACGAACCAATCTCTAGGGCCCGAGGGGCAGTCGACTTCACTAGCGGGAAGAGAGATCGCCAACGATCTTCGTTGAACGAAAACCAGTCTTGCGTAGGCGTGAATACGTAGTTCGCGTCTGTGCAACCTGTGGCGGCGGACTCGGATGAGGCGAGGAGGAGCCCGTTAACCGTGTCTGCGGACTGTGGCGCAGCTAGTGAGCGGCCATATCGTTCCCAGGTATGACTACTAACCATGATTGTCGTTGAGTAGGGGGAGAGGCAGATGGTCGTGTCTCCGAAGGGCAGGGGAAACCGATATATGGCGTCGACGAAAATTTAAATGCTCTCCTATCTGACAGAGAGAACTCTTTCGCCAGTGCCGAGCGCGGAAACGTTGAGAGCGGAAGTATTGCACAGTCTCAGCCCTGGTTCAGCTTCCTCTATGGTTATCGCAGTCATCATGCCATACGATACTGGAGCACATATGACGAAGCGACTGTATTGTATGAGCTGCGCAACACAGACGTCCTTCTGCCAAGTCTCCTTCGCGGGACCGTCTTTTCGCTTCTGCGGCTACCGCCCGGCCAAAGTCGGTGTCCTAGGGTCATGTTGCCCACGTATGCTGACTGCGCACCCGCTGAGATGCTGATGGAAGTGGTACGAGTGGGCTGCGCAACGATGATAACGCCAATAGCTGCAAGTCAAGATGGAAATGGAGGGACGCGAGAATCGCGGACGACTCGGATAGGGGAGCGAGTTGGGGCGTCACCTCGCGATAAGGTGCGAAATAGCCGTCGTAAGCCAGTTGGGGAAGATGGAGCTCCCACGATAGTGCCATTTCGGGGAGGGTCTCGGTCGACGGAAAGCTTTATATCAAGCCTGGCCATGTATTCATCCGACGCGATCGAGAATTCACCCACTCATGCCTTCTTTCGAGCGAAAACGGATCCTAGTCACCGGCGGAAACGGTTTCATTGTACGTCGTAGTGGTCAAGCCTTCGTCGCTGTCCTTGGAACTTATCGCCAAGCGCATTGTTGACAGGGAAGCCACGTCGCCCGCGGCCTCATTAGTCTGGGGCACTTTGTCAAAGTGGCTGACCTTACTGGTCGGTCGCTCTTACAAACTAGTCCAGACGAGATCGAGGTTGCTGTGGGTGATCTTCGTGACCGCGGCTTCGCGTACCAAGTCGTTCGCGGCGCAGACTATGTGCTTCATTTTGCGGCTAACATGGGAGGCATGGGTACGATCCATAACGAAAACGAAATCACCATCTACCGCGACAATCATACCATGCTGTTGAACGTCTTGCAAGCGACTATAGACCTCGGCGTGGAGAAGTTCCTGTTCGCCTCCTCTGCATGCGTATATCCGGAATCCCTCCAGCGGGCGGGGCAGGATGTTTCGCTTGCGGAGAATAACGTCTGGGCAGACCCGCCACCGCGGCCGCAAGGTCTATACGGACTCGAGAAGCTCTGCTCCGAGCTTGTCATCCTGCGTGGCATTCCACCCTCGCTGAAGACGTACACTGTCCGCTTCCACAACATCTATGGCCCTTACGGCTCGTGGAAGGACGGCCGCGAGAAGGTGCCCGCGGCTCTCCTGCGCAAAGCTGTTGCGGCGAAGATCTCCGGCGATTGCGACATAGAGCTCTGGGGTGATGGCACACAGCGGAGAAGCTTTTGCTACATCGACGACGCGGTCGAAGGTGTACTAAAGCTCCTTAATTCTGAGTGCCACGACCCCATCAACATTGGCTCCGAAGAGGCGGTTACAATCCGTCGGTTAGCGGAAATGGCTGCTGAGGCCGTCGGCCTGCAAGAGCCCTCCATACGTTCGCTCGAGGGCATGCCGCTCGGGGTTGCATCCAGAAATTCCAACAACGCGTTCGTCCGAGACCAGATTAGGTGGGAACCCCAGATATGCCTGCAGGAAGGCTTGCGTCGGACTGGGCAGTGGATCGAGGAGGAGATACGTCGTTTGCTCCCAAATATCGAGGATTCCAAGTGCGCAAATAGCTTAGAAGTTCAGAACTTGAAGAAGAGCACTTTGCTCCATCTGCGACCACGCGGAGTCGTCTTCGCCCTTCTGCTCCCGGTCACCTCGCGCCGTGGTGTCGGTGCTCTCACCAAGGACTCATCTGCGCTGCCTTGCCTCGACTCCCTTCAAGATTTCGCGCGGACCCTGATCGAGACCACGGCCGACGATGTCTCGAGTGGCAAGTTCTCCTACCGCATCTACCTGGCTATTGATGAAGATGACAAGCCGTTGCTGGAGGGCGGCAACGCAGCCGAGCGTGCCCTCCGAAAGGCAGGCGTCACGGAGATCACAACTCTGTTGTGCAACTATCCCCGCGGCCGAGTCTGTAGCCTATGGAGGGACTGCGCGCGTCGGGCCTGGAAGGAGGACTGCGACTACTTTGTCTTGATGGGCGACGATGTCACCCTGCACACGCCGGGTTGGATGTCCAAGATCCACGCCACTTTCATCGAGATGGAGCAGGAGACCGGGACACCCCTCGGCCTCGGCTGTGTTGCATTCGAGGACGCGACCTTCCCCGGCATGCCGACGTTCCCTGTCGTCCATCGTATGCATATGGAAATATTCGACGGCAGGGTCGTCCCAGACGTGTTCGTCAACCAGGACGGAGACCCGTTCCTCTACCAGCTGTATCGACGCTTCGGATGCTCGAGGTCTGTGGGATGCGAGATTCGCAACGCTGTCGGAGGCGGTGACGATGCACGTTACGAGAAGGAACATGCCAAGGACTGGACCCTCGGCGCGCTCTCCGAGGCTACCGCCATCGTCGAGAAGTTCTTGCGCAATGCCTCCTCCACCGCCAAACCCCCGCGGAGGTTGACTGTCGACGTCATAATCCCATGTTACCGCGTAATGCTCCCATATCTCGACGTATTCCTGGCATTGCAGGCCTCTCCCACCTGTTCCGTCATGTTCATCATTATCGTGGATGATCCAAATTCGCCCAACATCCGCGAGCTAAAGGCCAAGTATGAGCATCGACTAGACGTGCGGATTAGGATCAACAAGAAGAATCTTGGAGCTTCCGCTTCCAGGAACCGGGGCCTCAGCGAGTCGGCGGCCGAGTGGGTGCTATTCCTCGACGACGACGTGACACCGGAGCAAGACATCTTGGTGCAGTTGGAGAAGTGCATCCGCGCCCATCCGAACGCTGCAGGCTTCGTTGGCAACGCGAAGTTCCCCCTCGCGAGGACGATCTTTACGACCGCCGTACATCTCGCTGGAGTGACTTATTTCTGGGACATCGCCTCGAAAATGTCTGACTCGGAGGACGTCCCGTGGGGTGTCACTGCGAACCTGGCGGCTCGTCGAGACGTGCTGGATGGAGTCGTGTACGACGTGACATTCCCCAAGACAGGTGGCGGGGAGGATATTGACTATTGTCGCAGTAAAAGGGAGTATTCCGTGAGCCATGGTGGGACTGGTTTCGTCGCTGCGCCTAACGTTACTGTCACCCACCCATACTGGAACAGTGGCGATAGATCATATTGGCGGTTTTACATGTGGGCGAAGGGTGACGGCGCCCTCGTCAAGTTGTACCCGCAGTTCGTGTACCTCGACGTCCCGAACAGCGCAGAACTGCTTCTGCTCTGCTTCGTCTTCTCCCTTGCCACGCTCGCCGCGCGGTCGTGGCTTCCCGTCCTTGGCTCCAGCTGGCTCACCGGCCTGCAAGCGACGGTCTCCGTGTTCACTGCGAACATTGTACACGACTGCTACCGCCATCTCTGGCGCGACGCAGAAAGGACCAAGACCATTCAGACGAACACCGTAGGGGTCCGCTGGGTGTTAGCTGTGCTGGAGAGCTCGCTGATCAGGATGTTCAGCGAGTACGGACGTGTGGTGGGGTTGCTCGGACGCGGAGATTGGGCCTTGTTGTTCCATCGCTTCGATTGGTTTGCCGGAGTCTGGGGTGACGGTCCCAAAGACGAGGAGAGGAGGAACAATGCCCAACGGCTTTCACTGTCTCTTGCTCTTTTTGCTCTGTTTGTTGCTATTCTTTAGTTGGTTCTTTCCGTTCGCGCGCGCGTACTAGCTATATTGTGTACAGTATCGGTGGCATATTCTCCGAGCAATCTCTCCTATCTTCTGCAGCTCAGCGATAAACAAAAGGCAGAAGTTGAGTCAGATTTCCTTTCGCGGAAGGGAGAACGGGTCAAAGGAGGCCCACGCGCCGGTGCCTGCCGAGCGGCAAGCAATAAATTAGGTTTGGCGCGTCTCGCGTTGACGGATGGACACCCTCCTCTCTCTTCGCGTCTTTTTCTCCCTCGCAACATAGGCCTCGTTCGCCTCTTTCCTGTCCCATCCTCAGAATGGCGCGAACAACACGCCAAAGTGCACGCTTCGCGGCCTCTATGTCCGCCTCTGCGACACCCACGACCGAAATGTCGCCTATCTTCAGCCCGAACCCTGCATTGTCTGAAACTCCTGAGACGTCCGACGGCGAGGTGCAAAAGCCCACAAAAGCAGTCACAAGATCCAGAAGGGGTGCTGCCGCCAGCAGCAAGAAGCGCACAGCACCGTCGGAGGATGAGGCAGATTCTGTAGAGAGCGCGGCAACCAAGCGTCCCACGAAGAAGAGGAACGTGGCGCGCCAAGTTTTCGTAGAGCTGCCTTCCCGGAGGCCAGCTAAGAACGCGGACAAGGTGAGCACCAATGTTGCGCCACGTCAGTGCTGGGGTCTGATGTCGTCTCTAGACGGCCAAGGGCAAGTCAGTGGCGCCGTCAGTGGTCGACGAAGAGGAATTCGCGTCTGACAATGACGAGCTCGAATATGTCGAACAGGATTCGATTGTCGAGTCTGATGCCAGTGGCTCTGAGTTCCAGGCTTCAGAAGATGAAGCGCATGCGGACGATGGTGACTCTGAGGACGAGCCTGCTACCGACAAGAAACTTCGAGCCTTTGCTGAGGCCCTCGAAGATGAGGGCATTGATGCCGACGAGATTCTCATAAACGTCGCTGTCCAAGAATCTCTCGAGTCAGCGCGCTTTAACAGTGCCGTGCGGCAAGAAGCCTCAAGCTCTGGCGCTGGTTCCTCGAGGGCAAAGAAGGGCAGCAGCGCAGCGGCCGCGTTGCGAGCTGCAGCTGCAGAACGTCGCATGGATAAGAAGGCCAGTGTCGGCGAGGACGTGGATGATGCGGACTTCGTCGAAGACCCAGCTGCCAGCGAAGAGGATGACTACGAAGTGCTGTCAGATGTGTCCGATGAGCTTCTCGTTGTCGAGGATAAAGGCAAAGGCAAGGCCAAGGCGAAGACCAAATCTGAGAAGAACAAGGAGCCCGCAAAGAAGATTATGACCCTGACTGATCTGCGCAAACAACGGCGTGCAGCCGCACGCGAAGCACGCGTGGAGCGAAAGCGTTGGAAAGGCCTCTCTCAGGTACGTCTTCCTCTCTGCGATGACGGCGTATTTCTCACTCGTTCTGAACTCAGGCTCAAAAGAATGCAATCATGCTAGAGACAAATCACCCTGAGCTCAAGGATGTTTGGGGTGACGTTGAACGCGCGATCCCCGTGAATACCCCGGTGAGGGCCTCACAGCCCCCAGGTCTAAAGGTCTCCCTGCTACCATTCCAGCAAGAGAGCTTGCACTGGTTCAAACAACAAGAACAGAGCATCTGGTCCGGTGGAATGTTGGCGGATGAGATGGGGTATGCATATTTTTTTGCCAAGTATGGCGTGTATACTCACCTATGGTGTAGGATGGGTAAGACCATCCAGATGATTGCTCTTCTAGTATCTGACAAAGGCGCCAAGCCGAACTTGGTTGTCGCGTACGTCTTTTCATTGTTCGTATGCAACAGTGTCGCTTATATCATAATCAGTCCGACCGTGGCAATCATGCAGTGGAGAAACGAGATCCAGGCGCACTCCGAGGGTATGGAAGTCCTCGTTTGGCACGGACCTACGCGCAATAACAATATCAAGACCCTGAAGAACTACGACGTAGTGCGTCTTCTCACGTACATTTGGGTTAAAATCCGTCCTTAATCATAATTGTCAGGTCCTTACCACATACGCCGTCCTCGAAAGCTGTTTCAGGAAACAGCAGAGCGGTTTCAAGCGCAAGAACGTGATTGTCAAAGAGAAGTCTACCATTCACCAGATCCAATGGAATCGAATCATCGTGGGTGGTCAGACTACGAGCGTTTGATTGTGTCCTCATGTTGTCTTCCCAGCTTGACGAAGCCCACAATATCAAAGAACGCTCAACGAATACCGCGAAGGCTTGCTTCGAGCTGAAGTCCAGGTACAAGTGGTGTCTTTCTGGCACACCATTGCAGAATCGTGTCGGAGAACTATACAGTCTTATTCGCTTCTTGGGCGGCGATCCGTTCTCGTACTATTTCTGTGAGTATCTCCAATTCTCCACTTCCAGATAGGGTGTTGATGTATGGTCATAGGCAAGAAGTGCGATTGTAAGTCATTGCATTGGAAGTTCAGTGACAAGAGGACTTGCGATGGTGAGTACTCGCCTTCTGGAGTGGCTCCGTGTTCGTTGTGCTGAAGATGATCTGTGCAGACTGCGGTCATAGTCCTATGCATCACGTAAGATCTCTCCTCTCTCTCCGGAAGTATGGCCTTCTCAACCAGCGTCCACCAGACTTGCTTTTGGAACAACGAGATCTTGACTCCCATTCAGAAGCACGGCATGATGGGACCTGGTCTGGTCGCTTTCAAGAAGCTGCGCATCCTTCTTGACCGTGTCATGCTACGTCGTACGAAGATTGAACGCGCAGATGACCTGGGCCTTCCGCCGCGTACTGTCATTGTCCGCCGCGACTACTTCAGTCCCGAGGAGAAAGACCTCTATCTCTCACTGTTCTCGGATGCCAAGCGGCAATTCAATACCTACGTCGACCATGGCACCGTCCTGAATAACTACTCCAATATATTCAGTTTGTGAGCTATTCTCCACCAGGCTCCATGATATCATCTAACACAACTAGGCTTATTCGCATGCGACAAATGGCGTGTCACCCGGATCTAGTGCTGCGCAGCAAGACCAACTCCGGCACTTTCTTGGCGGACGAGGCCGGCGAAGCGACCGTCTGCCGTCTGTGCAATGATATTGCCGAGGACGCTATTCAAGCGAAGTGCAGGCACATCTTCGATCGCGAATGTATCAAGCAGTACCTGAATACTGCTATAGAACAAACGGTACGATCTATCTTCGCGCATGTCAAGCTACCTCTTTGACGAGTCATAACACATATATAGCCGGCTTGCCCCGTCTGCCACGTTCCGTTGACGATCGATCTAGAAGCCACTACACTAGAGTTAGCAGAGAATATCAAGACTAGACAGGGTATCCTCGGCCGCCTGGACCTTGATAAGTGGCGGTCGTCGTCCAAAATTGAGGCCCTCATCGAGGAGCTCAGCAACCTCCGGCGGCAGGACGCGACCACGAAGAGCATCGTGTTTAGTCAGTTCGTCAATTTCCTCGACCTTATTGCATATAGGTTACAGAAAGCCGGCTTCACGGTGAGTTCCGCATGCTTTCCCACGTAAGACGGGAATTTATATGCTCTATAGATATGCCGACTCGAGGGTACGATGAGCCCTCAGGCTCGTGATGCTACCATTCAGCACTTCAGTACGTCTATGTTACAACTTCCTTTAGACTGTGTTAACCTTGTTTGCAGTGAACAATACGCATGTAACCGTCTTTTTGGTTAGCCTCAAGGCGGGAGGAGTCGCTTTAAACCTGACTGAGGCGTCTCGCGTCTACCTGATGGACAGTTGGTGGAATCCTGCTGTCGAATACCGTCAGTGCCTTCTTCACAGTCGTCTATGCCTATTGCTGACCCATATCGCAGAGGCCATGGACCGTATCCATCGTCTCGGCCAGCACCGCCCAGTCCAAGCAATCAAGCTAGTCATCGAGGATAGTATCGAGAGCCGTATCATTCAGCTGCAGGAGAAGAAGTCTGCCATGGTCGACGCGACACTGTCCGCAGACGACTCGGCCATGGGCAGGTTGACACCTCAGGATCTCGGCTTCTTGTTCAGAGTAGGTTCTTGCTCGAACTTGTCACGTAAACGAAATGTCTCACCATCGTCTGTCTGCTGCAGCTGTAATTCGGCCGAAGCACCCTTTCCGGTGGCTTCTTGCACATGCCGATTCTCGGTTCTCTATACACTCCGGGCTGCTTTGCCCCGACTCCGAGGCTCTCTCTCGATCCGCCGGCCACCGCTTGGAACCGTGCCGTATTGTACGATCTGCCTGGTAATAATTTCTTGGTTTTGCGCACAATATGCTAGATTCCACTGTATATTAAAAAGTCTCTTTGGTCAATATATGGGTGTTACTTTCTCTGCAGACGATATTCACTGATCGTTGGACGGTGTGATGAGCTTCGTGGCTGGCGCATTCGGCGGCCAGACGGTCCAGAGCGCCCAATAACCCTAACCCTGGAAGTGCCCCTTGCTCCAGCCTGCTCTCTCGGCCGCTTCTAGAGATTTGGGCTGTTAGTAGTGAGAATTCTATTTCTCTTTAAAAACTATAAACCAAATTGATACGAAAGCGATATAGGTACGTGAATGTATCTTGGCTCAATTGAGTATCAACATGCATTAGAACCCGACCATACCCTTTCTGTGTCGTATAAATCAAAGCGAGCGTTATATAAAGTACTCCTACTACATGCCGCTTTCCCCGGCGAAGCTGCAGCCCAGATAGCGCATGAGAAAAGCTCAAGGCGCGACCTAGGTGCGGCGCGCTTTCCAAATTTGGCAACGAGTACTGCAGCGCCGATGGCGCTGATAGTGCCCGACATTGCCACGGAAGGCCGCTCACTTGAAGAGTCTGTGATCTATTGAGCATGTCAGGCTCGCGAACGTGGCAAGCGAGAATCTCCGGGACTCTGATTACTCCTTAGCACGAGTTTGCCCTTGAATTTTGCCCTGGGGCGGTCTAGGGCAGGCCGAGGCATGTGAATTGTTGCGCATTCGGAACCACGTCGCAGCCGTTGGTGGATAGATTTATACGCAACACATCAGAAACACACCTGGTCGGTCTCCGTAGCCCCACGTACCAGAAGAACAAGGCATCCGTGCACAATGGTTCAGCTTAAAACCTTCACCGAGGAGGAAGTTGCCAAAGTACGCAGTGATGTTTTTGTGTGCATGTGATGTCGCAGCTGAAGTGCGATGGACCTTAGCACAACAAGGAGGGTGACCTCGTAAGTTTGGGAATACTCTCGTCCTTGCTGTATGACCGAGATTGTATCTCGCAGTGGGTTGTCATTGATTCCAAAGTTTATGACCTTTCACGATTCGCCGATTTGCACCCCGGAGGCTCAGGAGTCCTTTATGCTCCCTCCATAGGTACGCTTTTACAAATTTGCCGCACATCTACGACTTATGCCTGTGAATAGCTGGACAGGATGCCACCAAAGCGTTCTTCGGCTTGCATCGCCACGAGGTGCTGCTTCGCCCACAATATACCCGGCTGCAGATTGGCACTATCAAGGACCAAGAAGAAGTCATCAAACCGCTTGCTTCGGACGCTGTTTCTGAGGTTCCATACGCTGAGCCATCCTTCTTGTCCAAAGGCTATTACAGCCCCTACTACATTGAGAGTCATAGACGGTTCCAGAAGGCGGTCCGCAAGTTCATGACCGAGGTCGTCTATCCCGAGGCTGTCAAATGCGAGGAGAATGGCAAGCGGATATCGCAAGAGGTCGTTGATAAGCTGTGGTGCGTACAGGTCGCCGACTGCACGTGTAGCTAAGGTTAACCTTCTCTAACTCAGTGAAATGAACATCTTTGCCATGCGGCTGGGCAAGGGCAAGCACCTCAAAGGTCTGACTCTTATGGGAGGAATTGTAACCCCAGAAGAATTTGACCACTTCCATGAGGTATTTGTTCGTTATCTCCATTTCCGTCGTTCTCTGATACCCTTCTCAGTTGATCATCAACTTTGAGATCGGCCGCATGGGTACCCGTGGTTTTGTTGACGGTCTCCTCGCCGGAGGAGTCATTGGGCTCCCGCCTATAATCAACTTTGGAAACCCTGAGCTTCAAGCTAAGATTATCCCTGAGGTTCTTAGTGGCAAGAAATACATCTGCTTAGCAATCACAGGTAAGTGCCGCCAGCCGATAATACACCATTTGCTTTAACCATGTGCTTCAGAGGCGTTCGCAGGGAGTGACGTCGCAGGTCTTCAGACTACGGCTGTGCGCGACGGGGACTCGTGGGTGATCAATGGTACGAAGAAGTGGATTACGAATGGCATGTTTGCGGATTACTTCACGGTTGGTTGTAAGACGGATGTGAGCTACTCTCGCCGTACCGAAGAGAAATCGCTGACCCCCGCTCAGAAGGGCCTTACTGTCATCTTCGTGCCACGGGATGAGAACGTGGAGACCAAGACCATCAGGACCGCCTACTCATCGACAGCCGGTACTGCTTACGTTACTTTCAGCAACGTTCGAGTCCCACTGTCCTATACCCTTGGCCCCGTTAATAAGGGTCTCTCCGTGATCCTCAGCAATTTTAACCACGAACGATGGATGATGTGCGGCACAAGCTTAAGTGCCCAGCGGCGGATAGTTGAGGAGTGCTTGAAGTGGTCGAGTCAACGGGTAGTCTTTGGTAAGCCCCTCAACGCGCAAGCGGTTATTCGTGCGAAGCTCGCGAACATGATTGCACGCGTTGAGTCGGCCCAGAACTGGCTCGAGATGGTCACACACCAGATGAACAACGTACGTGCCAAACGCTATCGTAGCACGCCATTTCCACATATCCTGGACCCTGACCTTGTCGTCTAGATGTCGTACAACGAGCAGTCTGACAAGCTTGCAGGCCCAATTGGTCTCTTGAAGCAGTACGTGTAACCCTAATACCACGCTTCATCGATACGTTACTGACCATGAGGTGCCTCGCGTGCAGATTTATTACGCGGACTGGACGTGAGACTGCTGAAGACGCCACGCAGATATTCGGAGGACGTGGTGTAACGGCAGCCGGTATGGGCAAGCTGGTCGAGAACGTGAGTCCAATACCAACATTTTACTGATACGGAGTAAAACTAATCCCTGGGAACCTTCGTCAGTACCATCGCACTTCGCCATATGATGCGATTCTTGGTGGAGCAGAGGACGTCCTGGGAGATCTGGGGGTGCGGCAGGCAATGAAGAAGATGCCGAAGAACGCTCGTCTGTGATTGTGCAGCTCAGTGCCGCCACTACTATAGCCATAGACGTATACGCTTGGTAGAAACACTCGTCGTATTCCATGTAATAAAGGCTGCATGATCCTATGTGTATGGGGGACAATGTACTTCGATGGACGACAGTCACGACACTGAACACTACCAAATTAAGCGCTGTAATCGACCCATGCTGAGGATTCGGCTTGAATTCGGCCGATTTCTAGCTCCTTTTCGTGTACACATACCGGTACCATAGGATAGTAAGTGATGTCAACAGCCGGAAACGAGGCTTGTGTCGTGTATAGTTAAATGCACTCAGGGCCCTTTCCACGGGGAAATTTACAAACTCTCGCCTCATGGTCGCGAGCGAAGATGAAGGCTGTACCAACGTAGCTGATCGTGAGGCCCACATGAAATGGATGAGCAAAGCTCAAGAAATGGCAAGTCGCTCTCTGTCTCGCTACTCTCTCAGCTGATTTTTCTGCGATAGGCAGAGGGAGCTCTGGCTGCGGGCGAAGTCCCGGTAGGCTGCGTCTTTGTGCGCGGCGGCAGCGTAATCGCTGGCGCACGAAACCGGACCAATGAACTTCGAAACGTAAGATTCAGTCTTTTGAGCGCATATCTCAACGGATCGCTCATTGAGGCTCTGCAGGCGACGCGCCACGCAGAACTGGAGGTTATAGACGAGATTCTTGCGGACAAAACGCTTACGCCGGAGATAACTGAGTATCCGCTCTCGGAGACTACCCTGTATGTGACAGTGGAGCCTTGCATCATGTGTGCCTCCGCCCTCAGGCAACTAGGAATTAAAGAGGTCTATTACGGCTGTGGCAATGACCGCTTCGGCGGATGTGGGAGTGTGCTAGGCGTGAATGAAGCGTAGGTGACTCAACATGACCCAGTAGGATGGCATACTGATGAAAGCCATTTAGGGTCCCTCATCCAAAACTCCCAACATACAAGGCAGTGGGCGGATACGGCAGAGAAGACGCCATTATGGTTCTACGCAGGTTCTACATAACTGAAAACGTTAATGGTACGCTGGTCAAATCCGTGATGTCAAACCGACGTAATGCTCAATGTTGCTTCAGCTCCCGTGCCCAAGCCCAAAGCCAACAGGATAATGAAGACGAAGATATTACCGATGCCAATAAAGTAGCTTTAGGAATCAAGTGAAACAATTTCCTATGAGATGTGCGGCTGTAGGATGCGGTGTCTAACACAGATTAATTCAAAAGTCGTATAATGTACTAGGAATCTGAAACGCTGGCATATGCTGTCGTGTCCGTCAGCTGCCCACCTTCTCTGCCCGTAATCTGTCCCGACGAGCGGCCGCGGTCCGAAATAACCATGCAATATTTTCGTAGACGACGAAAGTCACACAGGTACCGGGAAGAACGCGGACCAGATTGGTGGCAAGTCCACGATAGAAGCCACGGACGCCCTCTCCCTTCCATGTCCGTTTTATTGTCGCTGGGATAGTAGGGTACAAATGTGTCGTAGCGTTATTCTGGCTTCGATATCAGGAAAAGCGGCAACCGAGAAGGACGGTATGACGCACTTGTATTCGAGACCTGACTACCTGGTATGGGTATGTAGCTCCGAGAGCGAATAGCTTGCTAGCACCAGACATGATCGTGTAAGATGTATTCGACTTCGTAGATCGATGTGAGCACTCAGACTGGAGGGATAATCGCGACGCTCACGAGTTTGTCGTCCTCTGCTCGAAATTCCTTGCCCTGTGTAGCAAAGCTTTTGCGTTTTTGAGCGAATCCCCAAGCCTTCATCTTCTCATATCCCATGAACTGGAGAGCACCATTGCTGACGCCGACCAACGCCAGGGTGGTTCCTCGGTACAGGCCCCTTGCGCCTTCATCTCGATAAATGGATTTAAAGCCATCTGAGACTAACGTTTAGCTGATCATCGATAGGAACAGGCAGGGAATGGAGACGTACGCCAAAGATTCCGGTATGCGGCTGGATCATCTGAACGCGTTGTGAACACGCGGACTTTTACCACCCATATGGGATTGGTCATTATGGCGGTAACGGCACCTAGAGTAAGTATTAGCGCCACAATGTGGAACGGAACATAAGGCAGCACGCGAACTTGCTTCAGCGGAACACAGAAGATATGACCCTGCTGACAACTGGTAGGATGGATCTCCGCCGGAGGCATGCTGTTTGAGCATGTTATAACTAGAGCGGACAGACGACAAGCAATTAGCATATAGAGCACGAGATGAGTAGCAATGTGCACTCACAACCAGAAGTACAGTCCCCAACTCGAGGCATTGCCGGCGATGTTGGGCCCTACGCCTCGGTAAAGTCCTCTCCATCCTTGCGTCTCCTTTATTCCCCTCAAGGCGAGCCAAATCTGACTACCTAGTCCACCCTTTGGCCGGTCAGTTGCGATCTGAAACTTGATCTTGAGGAGGTCGAGCGGATGCATGCAGAGGACGGCAACAACACCAGCCCCGATGCCTGCACAGGCGTGGTCCTGGACGTAAAGTAGCTCAAAAAGCGTGATGAGGAGTGAAATGTAGTACGTACTCACTATTGCAGGGTTAGAAAAAAAGCTCAGGGGTGGTTTCTTGTCCATGGTGGTAGCGGAAAACAATCCACTTGAAAGTTGGAGGCGTATACCGTCATCATGAGACATTTTATCTCTCTTTTGCCTAATATAGCGCCGTATGCGTCCGAGATAGGATTTGGCCGGCCCTCTGTAAATAGTACCACCATTCACCTGGAGACTTCGACGTGCAGCCAGGGACAAATCACCAGATATCTCGACCTACGATTTTGTTTGATCAGTCGACACGTGCAGGCTCAGCTGAGACTCGTCTTGGTAGACAAAACTCCGCTGTCGCACAAAGGCCCTCTGAGCCTGAAGCTGAAGGCCAGGTCTGACGGTATATAAGGGCATGCGTATCCTTGTGCCGCGTGCAATCTTCCACCCCCGTGGACCGCCGCACTGTTACTTCTTACCTCCGCTGTCCCGCCACATCTCGTCTCGAACCATGCGGACGCCCTGGACGCCGAACCGCTACCCAGCCACGTTCCGTTCCGAACACTATGACGAATACGAGAGCGAGAAGAAACACGGCAAAGAGCGTGTCCATGACCCATACAACTGGCTAGAGCACAACACGGAAGAGACCGAGAAGTGGACGGCCACCCAAGTCGCGTTCACCAGAGAGTACCTGGACCAGAATTCAGACAGGCAGAAACTCGAGGATGATATTAGGAGAAACACGGATTATGCCAAGGTAGATGTCACTTCAAACTCCCATAACTTATGTTCACTTTCTACTTTAAGTTCTCTGCCCCAAGCCTGAAAGACGATGACCGGTGGTACTGGTATTATAACAGCGGCTTACAGCCTCAGTCAGGTGAGCATCCGGTTAGGCTATTATTTTATGGGACCTCTTACCGCCCTTATTTCTAGTCATATACCGATCCCGAGACAGAGCACTTCCCAACATGAGCAAGGAAGAAGGTCCTGGCGGAGAGGTATTCTTCGACGTATGTTACATCTTCTTCTGGACAGCTCATCGTGTTGACTTCCACGCCTTCCTATACGTGCACATCTGTTTATATGGCCTCGTAGCCCAATCTCCTATCTAAAGACGGCACGGCTGCTCTAGCCGTCACAGCGTTCTCGCGCGACGGCAAATATTTCGCTTATGGCATCTCTCGCTCTGTGCGTACGACCGCGTGCGTTAGTTGCATGCTTCCTCTTACAAGTCGCGTTATAGGGAAGCGATTTCTATACCGTGTACATCCGTCCAACTTCCGCACCGCTCGCGTCCAACGGTGATGCGCAGGTTTCACACGATGACCATCGTCTCGGGGATGAAATCCGGTTCGTCAAGTTCTCCAGCATCTCCTGGTCACACGACTCCAGGGGATTCTTCTACCAGGTCTGTGTTTACCTACGATTTATAGGGTCTGTGTTCAACGCAACTCGCCTACGTAGCGCTATCCTGAGCGCAGGTCTCACGGTTCTGCAGAGGACGACAAGGCCGGTACGGAGACAGAAAGCGACAAATATGCCATGCTTTATTACCATCGAGTAGGCACTTCGCAATGTAAGTACCGTGAATTTACTTGTAAGCGGCTAAACTTACTAAGCATAGCTGAGGACATCCTCGTGTATAAGGACGATACGAATCCGGAATGGTTTTGGGGCGCAGAACTCTCCGAAGAAGATGGCCGCTATCTCATCATGTCCGTGTCTAGAGACACAGCAAGGGTTAGTGGCCAATTTCTGCTGAATCTATATCAAATCTTGACGCTGTCCCGCCTCAAAAGAAAAACCTCCTGTGGATTGCTGATTTAGAAAAGAACGAGATCGGTCAGAGCATACGATGGGACAAGCTGATCGATGAGTTCGACGCCTCTTACAACTAGTAAGTCGTTTCATTCTGCATTTAACAACGAATCTCACGTGCCAGCAGCATCGCAAACGACGGCACCAACTTCTATTTCCAAACGAACAAAGACGCGCCACAATATAAGCTAGTTAGAGTCGACATTTCTGCGCCTCCAGAGCAGCGCACCTTCAAGGACGTAATCCCTGAAGACCAGAACGCTCATCTGGAAGATGTCCTTGCTATCACACATGATAAGCTCGTAGTCGTTTACAAGCGCAATGTCAAGGATGAAATCTACATTTACGACATGGACGGTAGGCAGCTGGAGCGTGTGGCACCTGACTTCGTTGGTGCAGTCACCATCGGCGGCCGCCGTTCGCAGCAGTGGTTTTTTGCGACGCTCACCGGCTTCACGAATCCTGGCATTGTCGCGCAATACGACTTTACTCAGCAAGACCACAAAAGGAAGTGGAGCGTCTACCGTACCACGCTGCTGAAGGGTTTAAGAGCGGGAGACTTTGAAGCGCAGCAGGTGGCAATACAGTGTGATCTATGTGGTATTCGCGCTCATGAGTTTTCTTAGGTCTGGTACAGCAGCAAGGATGGCACGAGGGTTCCTATGTTCATTGTACGCCACAAGAGCACCAAATTTGACGGCACAGCACCTGCTATCCAATACGGTAAGCTTTGTTACACGGATATCTATTCCCAGACGGAAACTGAACTGTGAACCCAGGCTATGGCGGCTTCACCATCTCCATCAACCCATTCTTCAGCGCTTCTATGTTGACTTTCCTGCAGCGTTACGGCGCTATTCTCGCAGTGCCCAATATCCGGGGCGGTGGCGAGTTCGGAGAAGAGTGGCACCTGGCTGGCACGCGAGAGCGCAAAGTACGCACGTTTGAGCGACAGTATAGATCCTCTGATGTTTACTCGGCGCGCAGGTCAACTGCTTCGATGATTTCATTGCTGCCACGTGAGTTAACCTTTCAGCGCACCAGTTACGGCTCCCGTAATTACCAACCTTGTTTGCTAGGCAATACCTTGTAGACAACAAGTATGCCGCCCGGGGTAAGGTTGCCATCAACGGCGGCTCGAACGGTGGTAGGTGTCACGTAATTACCAATGTGAAGTCGAGTTTCAAGCGGCGAAACAGGTTTGTTAGTGGCTGCATGCGTCAATCGCGCGCCAGAAGGGCTACTCGGAGCTGCCGTTGCTGAAGTCGGTGTGCTCGACCTTTTGAAGGTATGTAGCCATCGTCACTAACTTCAAGCACCTCGAAGACTGACTCTCATGCGTTTGGCATAGTTCGCAGACTTCACCATTGGTGCGTACAAGCGCTACTTTGGTGGCTATGGCCCAATCACTAATATTGTTGTTCTGGCATTAGGTCGGGCGTGGACGTCAGACTACGGTGATCCGCATGATCCTCACGATTTTGACTTCATCTATCCAATTTCTCCAGTGCACAACGTGCCGAAGGACAAGGTTCTCCCTCCGACGATTCTCTTGACGGCCGACCGTGCGTCCCAGTAGTTTTTGCCGTCGTAAGCTTCTGACGCTTGAGTCCGCGCAACAGATGATGACCGGGTCGTGCCACTGCATTCTTTCAAACATGCTGCCACGCTCCAGCATACCTTACCGCATAACCCGCACCCTTTGCTCATCCGTATAGACAAGAAGGCGGGTCACGGGGCCGGGAAGTCCACAGACCAGAGGTTAGTGGTTACCTCGCTATCTCATCGAGAAAGCTGCTGACACTGCCCCCCGACAGAATAAAAGAGGCTGCGGACAAATGGGGATTCGTCGCACAGTCGATGGGGCTAGAGATTGTGGACGCAGGTTCGAGCGTTTCTCGCTTCTAGATTTTCCTCTCGGACATGAGGTCTCTTGCTCCGCTCATACGACAAGACAATAACTATCCTAATTGTGTAATTCTACGGTATCAGTTACGTAGTCACCCTACGGTAGAATACACCTCTATAACTAGGCCTTAGTGAGTATGAGGTGACCAAATATGCCATAACAGAACACGTCGATCATGCGGCCAGAGCGCTTGCTGTTTTGGACTCGGAGATGTTGTTGAGAGGTGTGTTTGCCATCCCGTCTTTTATTGCTTCGAAATTCAGCTGGCTATCTTCAGGCGTAATAAACGCGAGATGGGTTGCACGAACACAGTGGACGGTCGCTCTGTCCGTCAATGGAGCCTCCGTTAGTTTATATCGCGGTGTCCGTCATGTCTATGCACCCCGCCGTCCGTCCGGCCCAGCCCCGAATAAAATGGTCAAGGGCAATGGGTCAGCCAGGCCGTCAAATGCTGGAAGCAGGGCCAAGGGCCAAGCCTCGAAGCCAACTGAGTCACCACGGAAACCTCGCGACGAAGAGATCCCGTACCGCAAGGTGCGGTTGGTTGATCCCGACACCAGCTCGCTCAGTCCCTTAATCAGTCTCACTCAAGTACTCGAATTTGTACGGAATAGGCCTGTACCGCCGACTCCAGGTGGGGAAGAACAAGCAACAGATGCGAGCGGGAAGAAGGAGAAGTGGTGGAAAAGAAAATGGTGCGTCGAGCTCGTATCGGAGGCCCCGGACCCCATCGTGCGGGCTGTGAACCTTTCGGAGGAGTACCGTAGAGCGAAGGAGGTGCAGAAGAAGAAGAGAGCAGGTGTTATCAAGGAGAAGGAGGTCCAGATGACGTGGTCTGTCGCGCAGGGTGACTTAGAGCATAAGCTCAAAAAAGTCAAAGAAGCCTTGGAAGAAGGTGAACGGGTGGTCATTGGTTTCTCCCGGAAAAAAGGCCAGCCCTGGCCAAACCCCGATGAAATGCAGGCGAAATTGCGGGAGACGGCTGACCAACTGGCAGATATCGCGGAGGAGTGGAAACCAAGTGTCACATTACCGAACAGTACCGGTTTTATTTACATTCAGAGCAAAGAGTAGTCAATCATCCAAACACGCTCTTATTGCCTGAAATTATTCCGTACTAGTCCTGCCAATGTTACATCATTATGGAGAGGGTGATACACTTGTGTCCGGAGCAGATTGGTCGCGAGCATCTTGTCTACACAGTCTAGGAAGGGAGTGTCTGACCGGTAGACCTCTCGTTTTTGAGGTAGGCAAGGCATGCGGGCGAAACCTGTAGCGTGGACGTGGGTACGAGAAAGGTGAGCGGATGAGCGTGACGGGAGGTCGAAAGCTCGCCATCCCGGGGCTGTAGCGGCCGATGAAGAGGTGCCGGAAGGCAGGGGGTACGGGATAGCCCGCATTGATCATAGCCTCCGCAATGTCTTGCAGTAAAATGTCCCAGTGCTCCGCTTTCCTTCCATGCTGACCGTACACAGCGTGCGCCCAGCGCAGGAATCGTCGAAGCCTGGAGCGAGTGGTACGCATGCGGCGAGGAAGCATGCCCGGTAAAGGATGGAACAACTTCAATGCAGCGTTGAAAAACCGTGCATCTGGCTTGGGAAGGGTAGTGGTAATCTTCGCATTCGCCGCTCGCACCGTCTGTTCTATGTGAAGGAGAGATCGCGCAACGGCGCTGATCCCAGACAGCATGGCCCTGAGAAGGATTCGAGCCATGGTGCGAGCAGCTCTGAAGCGTTTCCAATTTCTGCTTTCGCCGCCCTCCCGGCGCTGCGTCTGGTAAACAAGACGAGCCCAACCACGAACGTGATTATTTGACCTTGGTACCCAGATCACTCTACCATCCTCGGTGACCTTGCGAATGGGCAGGCCTTTCCGACCTTCGTTGGCATAACATTGCATTATGGATGTGTAGGCTGAGACAGGCAGACACCAAGGTTCGGTGCCCGGAAGGAAGCCATCGATCCAACTCGCTCGCTCGGCAGTCTTCGCGAATAGCCATACTCGTTCCGCTAAGCCTGTCTTGCCCGTCTTCGTCAAGGCGTTCAGCACAACGGTGAAGAAGAGGGGCCCAAGCGCGACTCCGCGCTTCACACTCTCCTCGCGGGTGCTATCGAGGGTAATGTCACGCTCCTCCAGGGAGAGTTGGCCCCACGAAGGATGGTCCACAGTCGCTAGCTCGGGAAGTATGAGGAACAGCACGTTCGGTATGACATCTGGTTGACCCGTCGAAGTTAAATGGGTGATATAGCTGACGACCGTCACTTCATCCGCTTGCATAGAAGACCTAGAATCCAGCATCTTTTCCGGGAACGTGATGTTCTCTTCGCGTAACCTAATCATCGCATGGCCGAAGCTCGAGCGAGTGGCGGTGCGTTGCCTGCGATTGCCCCGAAATATGACACAGGGTTCGAGATTCACGAGAGCGCTCGTATCGTGCTGATTGAGTCGACGAAGAATCCTCAGTGCCGTGTCGCTGATGTCCTCCCGCCTGAGTACCGTACCAGATCGGAGAAGAACGTTAAGTGTGATAGGATCAGGTGCCAGATCTCGGTGGACGACCATATGTTCGAGCACATTGGAGGCCAGCGCAGGTGAAAGACGATGTCGGAGAGCATACTGCAGTAAGGAATTGCAAGCTCGGGTATCCAAAGGCGGCAACTTCATTCGTGTCGGATCCTTGAGAGATTTAATCATCCGCGACAGAACGCCATGGAAGTACCTATAGGCGTTGATCTGCACTGGTTTCCCATGCTGACGCTTCCAGACGCGATGTTCAGTTTTTGGAGTCTTGTAGAGTGTTCGTATTAGAGGTGAAAGCTTGCCGAAGTGGATGTCGCCTTCTTCTATGAGCATTGCGAGGATAGTCAAGGCCTGCAGCGGCTCTTGTAGGTGTTCGCCTCCGCCAACAGAGTCGGCTTCCTCTAGGAATATCACCTCTATCCGATCGGTGATCTGTTTCAGTAAACCAGCAGTCGGATATGGTGCATGCTCAAATGACGTCCAGGGGATGTTCCTATGCTTGGCCGTCCGTCGTAGAAGCGCATCGACATCTAGCCCATACCGAGCCCGTCTCCCATAGACAGTTGTATCTGAGGACTCTTCGGTCACAACCGCGTTGGCTCGGGAAGCGGCTTCGGCTTCAGCTAGCTTGCGGGCTGAATTGACTTGCCAATCTTTAACGAGGAGGGCAAACAGCAAGGCTGCTACAACAATCTCGCCGTGCAGGAGGCATGCGCGGACGAGCGTCTCGTACATACGCTCTGAGCGCTCTTGGCCGTACTTGCGGGCATGGATCAGGATGAGAGAGGCGATAGCGTTTCCAGGATGAGAAAAGGAGTCATTAGAAATGTCCAAAACGTGTCGAGAGTGCAAGCTTCGAGGCAATGTTGAGGCCCGCCGACGATCCCAGAAGGACTTGTCACTCTCGCATAGCGCCTTGACGGTGGCTTCCAGGGTGGACGGCTGCACACGATGTCCTTGCTTCATTAACGATTCAGCCAGTTGAGCAGCCTGGGAGGGCTGGCCACGGCGAAGCAGTGCGTGCAAGAAAGAATGGGATGCGAGACGAGGAGATACTGGCTGACCGAAGTCAATGGGTTTGAAAGGAACATGGACATCTAGCGGCGAGCGGGGTGTGGTCCGATAGACTTCCTCAATGTCGTGGACGCTCTCCTTCTCGCCAGGGGTGAGAGTCGAATAGAAAAGCGAGTTCAAGATGTATAGCGCGTCTTGAGGCGGAGAAACACGAACGGCTTGAGCGGCGGCGCGGGATATTTGCGCCGCGGTCATTGAGGAGAGGCCAGCGTCCGCTTCAAAGAGCTGGACAGTTGGGAAATTCCTTGATGATGAAGTAGCATCAGCAGAACGGTCATTGATGTCGTATACCGGTGAAGTCGCAGTATGTGCCCAGCGAATGATTTCACAAGTCCGCGGCGGACTCCTGCGAGGGCTTCCCGATGAACACTGTCGAAGAGGACGTCCACCTTAACACGCACCAAAGTGTTCGGGCTCTGCTCCATGCCAGCACAGATAATCTCTTTCTAGAACTATCCCGCAAAGCTGTCTTGGCCGTTGTCGACCAAATGCATTGCATGAGTCTTGCATTACTGGACAAATGAATTAAACTTTGAGGCAGAATTCCCGGCAGCGAGTGCGGGTACATACCAGATGGCTGAAGAAAAACGGGCCGACGCCACTCAGAGCGTCCTTTGCGGCCGTTTCTGTCCAGCACTGAGACTTGCACACGAGTGAAAGTCTGGACAACCGATGGGGAGGAGTCGCAGGAACTACGGCGATGTTTATGCACAGAGCGTCTGTAAAGCGCGGCGGTAGCCGTCATTTGGGCGTCTAATCAGCTCAAGTCGAACTCTTCCAGCGCAGGGCTTTACTCTTTCGCCAGAGAGGAGCCTCGTATAAAAGGCTCTGTTTTCAGCCATTCACGTGTGCAACAACTGTGCATAAGGCAAGGGTCTCGCCAAAATCTCCGGCCGTTACTGTGAACGAGAGCTGTTTTGACGTCAACCGTTCCTGGTCTTGAAAGCCGTCCGCAACGTACCACCATGAGTTACAATGGAGGTGGTTACAGGCGCAGAAATAGAGGTGAGGGTTGATGATTCTTATCCACTTGTTCAGTGTCTTAAGTACCTGAATTGCTAGATTTTGACCATGACCGACGGGAACCTGTGCACGAATCTCCCGAGCAAAACCTGAGAACTTCCATCATTAGGTTAGGCGAAGTGGTGCGTGCCGCCTATGTACTTGGAATAAGAGCTGACATCGCATACCAGGACCCTGATCAAGAGCTCCCACGTCTAGTTGAGCAGATTTGCGAGACCGTTCCTGTCAATATCTCTCATGTTTCTGAGTCTATTCGGATAGCGTACGTGTGCTCCCACTTTGAAGAGGAATCAACCACTAACTTCTCTTGCGTAGCGTGACTGAGCAGCCGTTCAAGATCCCGCATTACGCGACTTTGATACGCCTGCTGCACGACAGGCCTGTGCCCGGCGAAGAAAGCAGCACTACATCTCTAGGTCGGCAGGTCCTCGAAGACTTCTGGAAAGGATTCCAAGCCTACTTGGACAAATTATTGTGGAGGGATACTAGGCTCTGCGTAAGCATCAGTTCTTTCGCTATTCTCGCGCTCATCTATTCTGCTTCTAGGTCCATTTTTTCGCTCACTTGGCGGCAGCCAAAGTTGTATCACCCCAGTCAATATTCGACCTTCTCAAGTCATTCACAACGGTTCTGGACGAGTTTGGTGTCTCCCACGGTCGTGCGAAGCAGGCTGCTCTCTGTGCGGCAGAGGGCCTTATGATAGTGAGCTCTGCTACTGGTCCTTCGTCGTGGAATTCTCATTTCTGCTTAGTCCGGTGCAGAAATAAAAGCCAGCACAAGCGCAAATGTATCAGAGATCACCAGTTCTATCCAGTCGTATATAGAGTCAATAAGCGATAGCAAGGCTCTTGTCCAGCCTACAGTGAAGCTCTACTCCGCCAACGACCCAATAGAAACGGCAGATGAGGTCTATCTTTCAGCACTCCAAGCGAATTCATGAAGAGCTGACATATATCTTTGCTCTTCAAAGATGCTTGAGGCTGCGTTAGCGGCTCTGCAAATACTGAACTCCTCAGATTTCGCGCAAACCGCCGATATTGTGCTCCAGCCGTATACCACATTCCCCGTGTTTGAGGAATCCTCGTTCGAATTGCCATCGGTCCTTGTACCACCGGAAGTTATCGAGCTTGACACTTTGTCCACCGACACGGGCGAGGACGCTCAAACCAAGAAGGAAGAGTGGCCGGAGTATTACATGCGCCTGTTCGATAATGATGTGAGATTTGGCTTGCCTGCGTGCTGCTCAACTTGCCCATCATGATTCCCTTGCAGATCTCGCCAGACCCCACAACTCCGGTTGGGTATGCTATTCGTGCTGGACTTCTCGATTTGGTTGATATATTCGAGATCAATCGCAAGGAGTGCGCTCGACTTCTACTTGAGTTCCCAAAGTGGGTCCCTCATGGTACATTCAAGCCCCGACCTGGAGCGCCACCCCAAGACCCGGTTGTAGGCAAAGATTGGCAGCTGGAATCAACAGTTATTGAGGTCTGCATGGCTGCCGTCACATTATTGCTGCTATTGTTGACTTGCCAGAAATCAGACTATTCTAGGGACTCTATTTTTACTTCCGGATCCACAACACAAGGCCGTCTACTACATTGCTCTGATTACAGAGCTGTGCAAGCTGTCACCGAGTACTGTTGGTCCAGCGGTTGGCAAGTCAATTCGAAAATTATACGGATTGCTCTCGGACGGTTTGGACGTTGCCCTTGCTTGCAGGTTTATTGATTGGTTCGCCGTTCACATGAGCAACTTCGGCTTCCAATGGGTTTGGAAGGAATGGTTAGTCCGGTGGCGAGAATCAAATCCCTCTTTCGTTTATCTTACATCCCCTAGGATTTCCGATTTGGACCTGTCGATGCAGCACCCGAAGCGTGTCTTCATGCGCAACGCCATCGAATACGAAATCCGACTATCATACTACGATCGAATAATCAAAATACTGCCAGAGCCAATGCAGAATCCGGATAACAGGCTGGTGCCTTCGGAGGCCCCCGGTCCCGACTACGAGTATGACGATCCAGGTACGTCAAATGCGTTCAGAGAAGTGGACATCGAATTTACAGTTTCGCCGATCAGCCCGCCCACATTACGATGCTGCTCAGTCAATATTGAACTTACTTCGTGGCCGAGCGAAGGCCGAGGACGTTATGTCCCACCTCGAGTCCCTGAAGAACACGCTCGAGACCACCGATAGCGATACGAACGTCGACTCCGTCATTCGCTCAATTGCCGTGCAGTCGCTCCTGCATATTGGCTCACGGTCCTTCTCACATTTCCTGAACGCAATCGAGCGGTACCTGCCGCTGCTGCGGAATCTCGCGTCGGGCAGCATCTCGACGACTAGCACGTCGAGTCTTGAGGCGCGAATGGACATTCTCACTGCCGTCTCAGATTTCTGGAGCAGCAGCAAACATATGATCATTATCGTCTTCGACAAGCTTATGCAGTACCAAATCGTCGACCCCACCGACGTCGTCTCGTGGGCATTCACTCAGGGCGTCGAACGCATTGCCGCGTCGACACACTCCAGCATCGGCGCGTTACAGTGGGAAGTCATCAAAAGCGCCCTTGACAAAGCGAATGGACGAGTTGTCATTGCACGCAGGAAGGTCTCTGCTCTTCGCAAGGAGGCAGATGAAAAGGCAGCAATGGCCATTGTTAGCAACGGCGCTTCCATGGAAGTCGACGCTGAAGCCAAACCTGGTTTGTATACCCACAGACGTCTCCGAAATAGCTACTCACCTGTTGCGTTGTAGACGTGCCCGAGCCTGAGTCCCCGGCGCTGACAACCGCCTTGAAAGCGTTCGCGACGCTCACCCGCGAACAGAAGCTGGCTCTGTCCCGAACACTTGACGGCTTTGTCGACTGCCTCGCCTCTGCCACGAATCCCAACCTGACCGCCAAGTCCGTTATCTCAGCGAACGCGTGGCATAACCGCGCGAACTGGAGCGAGGCCGAGTGGGTGACTTGGTGCACCTGGGGCTGGTATCGCCACTTCTGTCGTCTGGTGAGTTTATTTCATATGACATAGAGCGCTAATAATTTATCACGGCACGCGCGATGGATAGTACTCGCCTTACCTGCGCAACTATGCAATGACGCTCGGCACGGTGTCCTTTGCCAAGGTCGGTAACGCCGGTGACACCGCCGTGGACACATTCCGTAAGACCTGGAACGTCGCCACCGGTCAAGACGTATGATTCTCTCATAATTACGCCTTTGTAAAGTGCATATTCGAGCTTCTATATACACCCCGGGCGTGGCTACACATCAGTTTCTTAGTCCTTATTATTAAGCCAGTGTAAACGATGTGCGGTGCTGAAATTACGGTAAACATGTGGCAGAAGATTTCCTTCCACATCCATACGCTGCTACTTTACTCCTGCTTCGCTTTCCCCTCTATCTGCTTCGGCGGCGTCCCACGCGAGGCAAGAGAGTAAAGTACCGTCCCAGCAAACACCATTGCCGCCCCGGCCCACATCATGCCTCTGTTCCCGGGCTGCTCCGCGCCACGCGAACTGAACATGAGCACACTGATGAGCAGCGAGACGGCCTTGCGGACGACGAGCACGAGCGTAACGGTCAGCGAGGACACGCGGGACGTGAGACGGTGCACACCCGACACGCACACAATCTGCGTGAGGGTGTTCAGCACGAGGGGGATGTACCCGCTCGGGAGCGAGATGGAAGTCAGGTGCGCGAGGGGCATGGAGGCGTTTGATGTGGCGTAGATATCTCCGCTCGAGGTCGACCTGAGCGGGAGCGGCGAGGGGACGACGAGCTGCATGGTCGGGCTGGCGTTCAGTACAGTGAACTGGAAGACGAGGTCGTCCCAGAGGAAGTAGAACATCGGCATTGAGAGGAGGTGGAGGTAGAACATGGATTCCTGCCATGCTGGGGGCTGCTCTGTGGATGCCTTGCCCTCAATGTCCTTGGCAGGCGGAGGGGCATTCCGGACATAGGTGGCGAAAGTCTTATCCTGCACCATGCCGAGGAATCCAGAGAGGATCAACGCAAGGGTGAGAATAGATATGCCAAAAATGTAGGTCTTAGTATGATCTGGAGAAGACAGACCGGAAAGCTGGCTTGTTCCAGGTGCTTTGGGCTTGGAAGCAGAGAGTGTCGTGAGGATTACACCCACCGTCACGAGCAACACACTCGCGACTTGCGCAGCAGAGTGCCTAATAACTATTGACATTAGCCCTAATGTTTGAGCAGCACCCCACTCGCCGTTTTCGCCTCAGCAACCATCCCATTATCATGTTAATGACCAAACCACCACTTCGGAATATGATGTGCACGGCCATAGGTACCCGGTATGCAAACGCGGCATTGTTTAGTAGGGAAACGGCACAGAAGAGCGCAACTTGAAGCAGGTAGGGGAGCAGTGGTATCCGGCGTGGCCGAAGCCTGGGGTATGGCGTGAAGATTATGAACTTGGGCAGCCCATGGATGGAGATGGCGAGAAATTGCGCGAAGGTGATAAGTGATCCAGACTTGGGATAGTGGGACGTCAGTTGTTCTAGTGTGAGTGCATTGCTTCCATCTCGCTCAGTTTTTGTTGGGCGCAGGAACTCTGCTGCACTCACCTACAACATCCTCCGAAGATTAGTGTGAGGGTAGTGGCCCAGTCCGATATGAGAGCGAGGGAGAGGTCGGAGAGCATAGTCGCACGAACTTGAAAGTAAAAGATGCTAGACTGTGAGCGATGGTCTGCGGTTCCAACGTTGCATGGTCCAAAGTGGTGTCGTGGCCATTCCAGGCCGACGCAGCAATGTCGGGCATGGATCTATCGCGTCTTCCTCGCGCTTGCAGTCACGGTCACCAGAAATCACAGTCACGTTCAGACGCGGTAGCAGGCTTGTCACGCGCATGGGTAGTAAGGAGGCGCGACGTGCGAATGAATATTGCCTCTACGATACATCAGCTGCAGCTAGGAATAGTTTGTGCAAGTGTACAAACGAAGGTAGGGGTAGTAATGTGAACTGTCTGGCGAACCCAATTTAATGTGTGAAGAGATCTAAGAGCGCTGTGACAGTATGGCGAATAGGACTGTAGAAGCGTTGAAAGAAAAGGAGTGGGAGTTGAACAAGTTGTACTATAAGGAAGACAAAACAAGAATAATGATTAAAAGATGGTCCATGTCCGATATCGAGAGAAGGAGATCATGAGGAAGGAGCGGACGTTCAATTCGTGCTTTCCATAACAGTTCGTGGCGGATCGTCACAACATCGCCTAGGCTTCTGCACCCTGAGATTGCTGCGCACGGAGCAGTGTCGACTTAGAAGACGTCAGTCGGCGCAGAGTGCCGAGGGCCTCTTGACCATCTGGCTGCTCCGAGGAATCCTTGTCCTTCTCTTGACCATGCTTCGCGCTTGAGCCAAACATACGGCTGAGAAACCCGCCAGAGTTGCTTTGGCTAAGATTCTGAGAGAGCGTGCGCTTGCTCGATATTCTTCCGCCAATAGCGCGGGTTAGCTCAACGTCGAGAGGGACGCGGTTGAGGGTATTCGACGGAGACATTGTCGCCTTCGAGCCACTCGAGTCCCCCTTGATAGTGCACGTCGAAGCGGTAGAGACCTTGCGTCCTTGACGAATAGCATGAGCAGGAACGGGGCCCAGAACAAATGGCTTGTCAGAACCATTGACGACAGCAGCGTCCTTAATGTCAGTCTCGTTCTCGCTGAGTGACGAGACAGACGTAGCGGGCGAAGAACATGTGCTGCTTGAGGTTGTAGAGCCAGATTCGGAGTCGCCACTAGCGCTAGAAGTCCCAAGAGTACTCGAAGAAGATGCGCGAGACAGAGGACGAGGACAGGTCGAGCTGTTGCCAGACGCAATAGTTAGATACGCCGAGGAGAGACGCTTGACGATGCTTCGCACACCAGAAGGGGCGGGAGGGGCGGGGGCTGGAGGCGCAGGCGAAGCAGGGCGTGCCGGATGCGTCACAACATCATGAGGGGGAGTGGGCGGCATCGATATATGCGCTTGGACGCGGGCTTTGACACGAGTGACAGCAGCAGCACGGGTCTCCTTCGCGGCCTCCGTACGCTTGTTCATGAACGGCGCAAAATGGTTGGTTGCCTCGGTCTCGTCGAAGCGGAGGTCGTAGTCCAAGAGGAACAAGAGCTGCTTCTCCATGAGATTGATCTCAGCGGGGTCGAAAAGCTTCGCGAAGCCAGCCCAGTGTTTATTCTTCGGCGACGAGTCGTTGAGGTACTTGGCCGCAACGATGAGGGTCGCGAGGAACACACGATGCCTTGTGCACGGCATACCTGGCAAACGCTGTCAGCGCTAGATGAGGTATGGCGAACTGTATGCATACCTTTCGCCATCTTGGGCAGCTTGTTTCTCAGGCGCTCAAGGTATATCAAAGTCGTCAACAGCGTCGGGACCTGGACATTCGATTCAGAGACGATGATGATGATGAAGTCCCGGAGCGACGGAAGCCATGGCGGTCTCGCCTGGAGCTGAGCCTTCTCTTGCTCGGTGAACGACGCTCGGTGAGGGGTATGAGGCGGCGTCGGAAGGTTGGCAGGAGGGGCTTCGTCCGCAAGGCTGATGACCCGCGTCGCCTGAAGTGCGATGTAGGATACCATCTCTCCTGTCACATGGGATCGCATTAGCTCGACGAGGGCTGGGTCGTGCTGAGAACGGGGGACAAGAGAGGCTGGATGACGACGATCTGCAGACATGTTGGGAAACGCAACACGAATCGATGTGGAATTTGTATGAGGGAGAGTGGGTGTTTTTAGTCGTGGGGTGCCCTTCGAGGGACTTGAGACGGGAAACGAGAGCTGTGGGGACTGAGGAGGCGGAGGATGGTGAGGGGGCTGAGAAAGTAGACCAGCGTCGAGCCGCCTTTATACGAACAGGAGCGATTCTTCACCGGCGCTGCCGATCGCGTGCCACGAAGCAAGAGCGAAAGAACAAATCAGGTATCAAGGTGTCCAGCGAGCCAGCAGAGCCGGTCTTCCAGGGCTCGAGATTAAGCGTGAGGAGAGCAAGAGAGTAGGACAGCAAGTTGTGGGCGAAATCTGGGAGAACGAGACTGTTGTGAACCGCAGCTATTTCTGTGGCGAGCAGCCTGTGAACGGCGACGGCATCCAGAGGCTGACATCCGCACACGATCCTTGATTCCTTTTCGGGCATGCTTCGGTAAACCCCTGTCCAAACTCGGCCTATAAGCACGCACACACCGCACGACGGTATCCTGAAATCGCATCAATCGTATCCTCCAGTAGTACATAGTCCAAACCAGTTCACAAAACTTTAATGTAGGATGCAGGGACAAGACCTCGCCTGCCTTCGTAAACTCCGGTCCACCTGAACAGATGCACGAGATTAGATATTGAACACACAAAGCGGAAAGAAACACAGACCAGTCGTCAGAAGTTCTCTCAATAATAAGCACTCGCTGGCCTTCTTGCAGAGGAAGATCGCCCGGATCCTACGCAAAGACCGTTCTATCATTGATACAAACAATGATCTGCAACTGCCAGAGCTCACGTCGCTAGAATATTCATATATGGCCTCGGCCCATTCACCCTCGGGCTCTGGCTCCTCCACGGCCGGTCTAGGCGGAGGCGGTGGCGGTGGCGATGCCTTTGCCTCGCTTTGAGAGGACGTGGACGGTACACGTCGTGGAGGCGCCCCCCAAGTGTTCTTGATCTGAGACAGAGCAGCCGGCACCGGCGGGGCGACGGGCGGCGGCGTCGCCTGCTTGTTTGCAGTGCCGTGGCGAACGGACAAGTACATATTCTTGCCCGAAGTCAAGTCGACATCGCCAAATTTCTGTCCAGCAAGGTGAGCGCCATTACACGAGGCTGTGACCGCGGCACACGCACCTTCTGCGAAAAAAGTGGAGATGCCGAGTGCCTGGGGGCAATCGACGGAGGTGACAGCGACGATGGCTCTTCATACTGCTGAGCCGGAGAAACTGCTGGCGAGATTTTACGAGGCGGTGGCCGAGGCGGAGGGGCACCCATCGCTGGGGGATTGCTCTTGAACATTGATGCCGCAGCCGCGACCCTACCTACAGAACCGAGCACTGACGCGGACGCAGGTTCCTACAGGCGGTATTACGTCTAGCAGTGGGACAGAACCGAGGGCATGCGTACCGGAGAGCTAGTGTTACTAGTACGTTTCCATGCGGGCTCCGGGGCCGCAAGTTCAGGAGATCGGTTCACATGGGTGGTGAACGCGTTGTGTATTGCAGACGTAGCAGCTCGTCCAGCAGCTCCCTGCAACGGGTTCATCGGAGCAGTCTGGCTGTCCCCAGCCGCGCCTTGGCCTGCTAGAGACCCAAAGACATCCGGGCGAGACGCAAAATATCTGCACAAGTCAAAATCACCGCGCATCAACAAGGAGACCTCAATTGATGTTATAGTAGAACGCACTCGTCAAGGAGAGTGAAGAACGCGTCCTTTTCCGATGAATCGAGACCTGCAAACACCATATTGTAGTCTACTGGCACGAAGGTGCTTGTGTGGTGGTAGTGAGACAAGGATGGGAGAGTCCATCGTAACCATGAGTCGACACGACACACTGGATGGATGATCATGTATGTGTTAGACGCCGGGCGCGATTCTCTGACGTCGACTTGCCGCTGTAGAAATGTACAATTTTGTATCAAGTTAACCAATGTGTCTACAGCATCATGTAAAGTGTGCACGATATAGCAAGGGTGAAAAAAAATGCGCCGAAGGAGTATAAACGATACCAGAGAACGTACTAAAGCACAGGTGGGAGGTAGTTGACTGATAGGAGAATAATAGCACAACATATTTACCATCGCATGAAGGGGAGGGAAGGAACATAAACGATACGATGAGAAAATTATGCTAAAAGCACGCCCTGGAGAGAAAGACTATTGTCCCCAGTCGAAAATATCGAAGTCGCTCAGGCCGGTTTGGTCACCCCCTGGCATGGGGCTATTTTGTGCCATACTCAGCGGTGCAGGTGTAGCAGATGTCTGGCGCGAATCGGAGAGCGAGACATCGCCTTGAGGGCCCGCAGACGGTGACCCAGTATTGAACGAGAATTGCCCGCCTGCGCTACTCGGACTCCATTGCTGTTGTCCACCGATAGACGGGCTGCCGCTTCCTGACATGCCACCGAAGCCTGCACTCCCATGCGGTAACATTGCTCCTGGCATACCTTGACCGGCCATTCCTTGGGACTGCGGCCATGCGGGATTCATGTTGCCGCCACCTAGCTGGTTCATACCGCCAGCCTGCGCCAAGTTTCGCTGGGCTATCATCGCGCGCTGGAAGTCGTCCATCTGACCGCCCCGTCCTTGCGATATCTGCGGCGTCATGGGCGAGGGCGCGTGGTCGGAAGGTGTACGCGCGCTACGAGCGATACCGGGTACACCTGGGTTGGAGCGAAGCGCTGTAGGGAAGTTGCCACCATCCACGGGCCCGCCGAGCATCGGTGAACCAATGTGTGGTGACGCCCCTGCCATCCGTTGCTGCTGAGCGGCATTAAACATCTGCTGATTCATCATCGCATTGTTCTGCGTGTTGTTGCCGCGCATTATCTGCTGTTGGTGCATTAGAAAGAGCTGCCTCTGTTGAGAGTTCATATTAGCCAAGTTCGCTTGCTGAGCTGGCGTTAAGTTGATGGTATTCGGAGTCCCGCTGCCGCCGCTCCCAGGGAACGGGAAGCCTCCTTGTTGTTGCATAGAGGCTTGTTGTCCAGAAGGAGACATCCGCGTTGGACTGCCGTTAGGAACGCCCATATTCCCTGGGCCTCCAACCCCCTGAGGAAATGCCGCCTGCGCGTTGGCTGCTCGCTGCTGTTGACTCTTGGCTTGCATCATAGCCTACCCAGCGTCCGATGAATCGCCGTACACGGATAATATGAGGCTGTGACGTACCTGGACCCTTTGCATCTGTTGTATTTGTTGCACAAGCGGGGCGGACTGGAATCCGGGAGCGTTTTGAATCATATACTGGACAAGCGGGTGTTGCGGGTTCTGCAGGATCTGGAAGCACTGTACAGCACCAGGACCCATCTGTTGTAGCGCAGCTAGCTGTTGAGGGGGCATCGATGACGTTCCTGCCATGTTCGACATGCCCATCCCGCCTTGGGATCCACCAGCTGACATCTGTCTACCCGCGTCGCTCAGGCCTTGCTGCATAGCAGCCTGACGCATCTGCATTTGCCTGGCGCGCGCAGCGGCAATTTGCGCTTCGTTCATGTGCGGCATCATGCCATGGGGTACAGACGGTGGTGGCATTGACGGACTGCTACTCGAGGATCCCATCATATTAGGTGCGCTAATAGGATGTGTTGGCGTCCCTGGCTGTCCAGCAGGCGAGCCCGCAGACTGGAGTTGAAGGGGAGATGAGGTATTTCGTGAATGTGTAGAAGCAACCGGCGTCGACGCCTTCGAATCACCGGTGTCACGTCTCTTATGCGCGCTGACCAGGTCGATCGTGTGGTCATCGGGGCGCTCTCTCTTGAGATTGCCATTTGAAAGGCCAGACGGTTGGAGTACTCCTGTGCCAGAGATAGATTGTCTCCGCATGATATCTTTAGAGAACATGGTCGGCAGCTCGGCGTAGATCTGTTGTATCCGCTCGACCGACGGTATGGCGAAGTCCAGGGGCGGCGGAGCTTGTAAGGGAGGTAATGGCATGGAATGTACGCTCTTCACCCCTTTGGTAAGTGTTTGTGAGGGCCAAAGCGAATTGCTGTTACTCACAAATTTACGGTGCTCGTCCGCAGCTGCAGCCATCCAAGTCAGATTGGATTGCAACCGGACAGAATATCTACGCAGTAGGAAGTGAGCAACAGTCCGCAGGTGAGTGAAACTCCGCGACATACTGTTGCGCCCTTGGATCGGCTAACGCTATGCCCCGCGCCTGGAATTCCATACACACCCTGTACAACCAGAACGGTCAGTTTCATCAATATTCTTCTAATAATACTTGATAACGCACTTCAAGAGTTCAGCATTCAGCTCAATCATGACATCAACCTTAGGATCTGTCTTTCGAGGCGGTGCGGTAGTCGGTATGCTCGCAGCAGGTTCTGGAGCTGGGAGATAGGCGTCAAATTCACTCGGTCAATGAGGTGCGGCATGCTCACTTGCAATGCTCTGTGCCCTGGATACAGACCCCTGTGCCAACCGGTGCTCAATCCCCATTTGCTCGTTGGCCGCCATGAAGTTCGCATGAGCTGCGTTAACTTGATTACCACCATTGTAAACATCCCCGGTCGAGCTCTTCCCAGTAGCAGCATTTCCAGAGTCGGCGCCCGGTTTCCTCTCCTCGCTGTCCTTTTTGTCGCCTGCGGCTGGTTCATCTCCCTCAGGTGCAGACGAGAGCTCACTGAGGGGGGTCGACGCCCGCGACGGCTTTTCCGCAGCGTCAGCAGAGGTCTCCGCCTTCGCCTTGTCTTCCACTTCTGACCCCTCCACCTTCTGCTGTTCTGATGTCTCACCGTCTGGTAAGTCGACTGATGAGAAGGCGGGTGATGTTGCGGATGGCGGAGGTGTTAATGACGACGTGCTCTCAATCGCAGGGGATGTTGCATCAGCAGGGCTACTTGGTGACTGGTCCGACACTTTGGGATCTTCGGCATTTCTTGGGACGTTTAACCCCGTGGAGACGGAGGGTTCGCTAAGTGTATCGGTGTTTGGTGCGGGTATGTCGGGCTTTATGGGATTTGTGGGAGCCTGTTCCACGAGCTGTTCCTGCTGTTCCTGGACAAAAGGCTTTTCGCCGTGGCCTGACCAAGAACGAAGGGAGTGCTGATCAGTTCGAGGTGGACTCGACAGAATCAGACCAGGCTTCGAATGAGGGGAGGACAGGGTGCTGTGATTCTGATCGAGATGTAGCATAATAGCAGCTCCCGTACAGCCGGAGATAGAGGCGTTGAGCGCAAGGGCCTCGACGAGAAAAGATGGCTTGCAGAGGCCAGGCGGACCAGGGACCCGGAGTCAAAACCGATGTAACGCCTTATCGGAGGGGAATGTGCACAGTGCGGGGTGCCCAGTCGATGGCAAGCGTACGGTGCGCCACGCGGATAGAATATTTGTGGCTTGGCTGAGCCACAGGTGCTGCTACTACGGCTCTGATTGCGGGTCTGGTGAGGAGAGTGAAGACTGCGGGCAAGCGTGTGATGGCATCTCCGAATATGGCCGACCCGCCGCCTCAGCGTTTCTCACTGTGCCCGCCGGCGCTCTCATTCTCGAGACTGGGCTCACCGTCAGCGACGACGACGGTATGCCGTTCATGGCGGAACTGGCGAGGGGACGGACAGGCACGCAGGATTGCGGATTGATCTGACAAGAGACACGCCAACCTCCCGGCGGCGGAGGGGAAGCTTCGAGGTACCTTCCGATTATATAGATCGTGGACAAATCGCCAGAACACTCGATTCAGAGTTTCGCAGCGTGGCGGGTATCACGACATCCCAGATTCCCGAGTCTGTCTCCTTGTGGAATCGGACTGGACAACAAGTGTCGCGGACGAGACCGCCGAGCGGTGTCATCCAGCAGTGCAACATCTGATTCGGCTAAGGGTCGTCGTGCATCTCTCGAGCCGAGTCAGCGGAATGGTCTGCCAGAGTTAGGTGAACACAGATTGGAGACGTAGTGACAAAGAGTATTGGGTAGTCATCATGTTGTCGCTGGAAATGATAATTACGCCCCCCGCGTCGCTAAGATCCAGGCACAATCTTGACGAGGCGGTAGTAGGACAGCTGCGCATGCTTGTCGAGGCAAGGACAAAAACGAGATGTATGGCGTCGCAAATGAGCTCGAGCGTGTTCTCAAGCGCTGGCTTTATGCCCATGTGCTCGCTCCGGAACTCAAGCAAGCGCAGACAGGCATGGAGATGCCACACTGGCTTTCGGGAGTCGCAGGCCAATGTACGATTCACTTTTTTGGCGGCTGTACTTTTGCCTCGCGACCCCGCCGCCTGCGGAACCACTCGATCAGCTCACGACAAGTGGGATGTTACGAGCAGTGAAACCAAGACACTGCGTCCGGATAGATTATATGCCTAGATGGGTGTGTCCAGAAGCAGAGACTACTGGATTTGGAGCGACCGCTAAACCAGCGCTGCAGCTTTCGACGTGGGCTAGTGAGAACATTTGGCTAGATCATACTGCCAAACAGTACCCAGACCAACCAACATACCTTGGTACGACCCGGGTCGCCGAAGCGGTACGCACCAGCTCTGAGCAGGTCACGAAGCTGGGGGACAGTCCATAAAGAATGGGCGGGCAAAAGCGACGAGTGGATGCAGATAAGGCTAATCGCTTCGAAGCAGGATAGCCCACAATGGCACTATTGCATGCATGAGATGTATGTGAAGCAACGAGGGGAGCAGTCGCAGTACGAGGGTAAAATTCCCACCGTCATGGCTGATAGCTACAACCCCAACGAGAAGACACCTCTGAATATTTCTCCGTTAGTAAATGTTGCACAGCAACTCAGATATAGTCCGTGCGCGGAGTGCTCATGCAAAGCGAAGCGGAACAAGAAGTGAAGGCATAGCAGCTGTTGCTATTCGACCTCCATTTTGGGAAGAGCAATGGTTACATCGGCATTTGCCGGGAAGGCCACGTGGTAGCCCGCTTGGGAGAAGCTGCCCGTCTGGAAATTCACGCCAACGTCTGACCAGCAAGATTGTAAGTATACTAGGCCCTTATGCTGCTACTTTGCTCCTGGAACCATTCTTCAATGGCGTTGGGCTGCCTTTTATCGAAAACGTGGTCAGATTCGATGGAAACTGGGCTGGATGGCCCGGACGGCTACCGGATGCATCCTCTTGCTTCACCTTAGACCCCCCTTGGACTACTCGCTGACGCTTTCCACGCAGAGAAACGATGGGTAGGGTAATTCGGGCACAGAGGCGCTCCCACACCATCGTACGTGGCAGTTCCGCTCGACTATGTCTTACCGGGCCAACCCCGTACTTTGCTGTCTTTAGTTCAAGGCGCACACCCACCATAACAAGGCGCCTGCGCAATTCCGTGCCCTTGACTTTGCGGAGCGCAATGGTTACGTTCGGGGAATTGTGAAGGAGATCATCCATGATGCTGGCCGGTGCGTTCATCAGCTTGCAGTTCAATGAATCCCGAGTAGCTAAACTCGCACCTCTGTGGGTTTTAGTGGTGCTCCCCTCGCTCGCGTCGTCTTCCGCGACCCCTACCGATACAAGCTCCGCAAGGAGACATTTATCGCCACCGAGGGTCTCCACACCGGTGCCTTTGTCTACTGCGGCAAGAAGGCGACTCTTGCCGTCGGTAACGTTCTCCCTGTTGCCCAGTGCCCTGAGGGTACTATTGTCTGCAACGTCGAGGAGAAGGTCGGTGATCGTGGTGCGCTTGCTCGGACATCAGGCAATTATGCCACCGTAATTGGCCACTCGCCTGACGAGAACAAGACCCGGATTCGTCTTCCTTCTGGCGCGAAGAAGACCGTCTCCGGTAGCTGCCGTGCTGTTATCGGCATTGTCGCCGGTGGCGGACGTATCGATAAGCCTCTGCTCAAGGCTGGTCGCGCGTATTACAAATACAAGGCCAAGCGCTACAAGTACAGACTCCTCGTAATCCAAGGGTGTGTCTACATACTAACTGTGTTTCTTAGCTGGCCTCGTACTCGTGGTGTTGCCATGAACCCCGTCGATCACCCACACGGTGGTGGTAACCACCAGCACATCGGAAAGGCCTCTACCATCTCCCGCCAAGCCGTCCCCGGTCAGAAAGTCGGTCTTATTGCTGCTCGGCGCGTACGTCAATTCTATCCTTATCCAGCCTTTGTCTACGAGCTGAACGTTCTCCCCCTTGTTTAGACTGGTCTGCTTCGTGGTACCGTCAAGGTCAAGGAGGTATGAGCGACCCCCTAGCATGTCCCCGTTTCTCCTTGTCCTATTCATGCCGCTTTCGAGCCCCTCGTACTTCCCATCATAAAAGCCTTGTATGCGAGTTGCATATGCCTCATAACACCATATCTGATTTACGGGGTGATGCATGAACTATGGCTTTGGAACACTCAAGGTAAAGTCTACCGAAGATTCAAGTCTTACATTCTCTCGCGATAATACAGTATAGTCGTGGTTAAGCTGTCCATTGATGTCTATTTAGCGGCTTCTTCCATCTGCACGCGCCAACGCTTTTGGATGTCGATGCTTTCGCGGAATATCTTGTACTTGGCCTCGAGGAACTTCTTTTCTCTAGGGCTCGCAGCAGGTGCGACAAGCGCGCCTGGAGGTGTCATGTCAACCTGACACAAATGAGCTCGCCGTACGGGTAAACGCTCCAGCAATAACGTACCATAATCTTCCACCGCGCCTCGCAGTCTGCCTTCTCGTCTTTGTTGCCGGGCTGGAGCTCAGCGGCGAAACGCCCTAGCATAGCCGCGCCGAGCACGACTGCGGCGCCGCTATTCTGTGGCAGGACAACGGGCATGCTGCACGTGTCGGCGAAGAGCTGCATGAGCGCAGTATTCTTCGCCTGTCCGCCAGACATGTAGATCGCGTTGATAGCGTGGCCTTTATCGTTCATTTCGTCCACAATGTGTCGCGTCTGCAGCGCGATAGCTTCCATAGTGATGTTGAACTTGCGGGCGAGGTCACTCAGGGAGTCGTCCTAGCGAATATGAATATCATGTCAGTGAGAAGTGCGCAAGACGATTTGGTAACATTGCACACCAAGGCGAGCCCGACGATCGAACCCCGCATCCGGGGGTCGGCAATGGGTGATCGGTTGCCTGCGCAGGTTAATCAGAAGATTCTACTTGAATGGTCTCCCGAGGAGTAGCTGCGTACCATGGAGATCGGGGTACATATGCATGTCCTTTGTGAGCTCAGTGAAGCTCTCGACCTGCGCCTCCTGGCGCAGTTTTTCAAGCTCATCGTGCAAGACTATGTAGATTGTTAGGAGAAGAACAGACAAATCTGACGCAATCGACTTACCGGTATGGATGTTAGTCTTGCGCTCCTCCGCAATCTCTTTCAGCTGGTTGTATGCCGGATGCGTCTTGATCATGAAGTCAATCAGCTGCGAAGGCGAGTTCAGTATGACGACAGCCCGCAATAACGGAGCAACTAACCTGACCAGTGGAGGACTGTCCTCCTTCGTTCATCCACCATCCAGGGAAGACTGGATCCTGACCTCACCTGAGCGAGGGCCTGAGTCAAACACCGATCAAAATGCGCACCTTGTAAGGACCCCACACGCCATTGACGAAAACGCCCTGAGGGCTCTAGAGCGAAGCTCAGACTGGAGCGACCTACGTCTGTACGAGAACTAGTCATACCTGGACGATGTGACAGGTACTAGTGCCCGCACAAGCTGCGAGGCGGTGTCTCGCCTCGTCAAGGCCAGGCATCTCGGACAGCTTGTTGCCCCCATTGTATCGCGCTGCCACAGTTCCCAGCCATCCTGCGTAGCTGTGCAGGGTCAGCCTGTGGCCCGTGTAACACACGTCACAAGGTGAACTCACGCATCGATGACCGCACTGCCCACGGGGGTGCCTTCGAGCAAACCAAGCTCTTCTGCTGCTTGCTTAGAAAGACCTTTGCCGACCGGCATACCCGCCGTCGCCACATGGCCGTTCGCACCGCCAAGCTGCTTGTATTCATTCTGCACGAACTCCTCGAGGTCAATCTTCTGGAAGAACTCGGGCTGCCAGCCAGAGTTTGGCACATATGAGCACTTGCATGTGACCGAGCAGGTAGATCTGAGGTTGTCGCCCGTGGCGCGGTACGTCAGGAAGTCGGGCAGGTCGAAGAACTGGCACCGAGCAAAGAGCTCTGGCTTCATGTTGTGCTTCAGCCATAAGGTCTTGGGAATCTCCATTTCCAGCTATCATATATCATCGCCGATATGAGGATTCCTACTGCTCGTTAGTCGACTGATACCGACTCACGCTCATTACACCGCCAACATAGTCGAGTACAACGTTTCCGGTACTATTGATCAGGTCGGCTTCCTCCTCTGCACGGTGGTCCGCCCACAGGATTATGTTGCGCTCGCCGACCTGTCCAACCTGGTCGCCTTTGGTAACACTAATAGGATTGCCTTCAAAGTCTGACACAGCCAGGGAGCACGTAGCATCGAAGCCGAGTCCCTTTACGTCAGACGGCGATACCTTGGCCTCCGCGAGGACGGCCTTGACGGTCTTGCCGATGGCATTCCAGATGTCCGCCGTGGACTGCTCGAAGATGCGGTGGTCCTTGGGATCGCGCCAGGTCTTGGTGTCCTGGGTGGACGATGCAGCGATCGTCCCGTCGTGCTTGACAAGGGCAGCGCGCGCCGAGCCTGTGCCTACGTCAATGCCAATGTAATACGCGTCGCTCAGCATGTTTGTCGTCGACGCCGACTCTTGCTGTCTTGAGGTTGGGGTGAGGGTGTGGAAAGAGAGTGAGAGTATTTCATTTGAAGTGCCCAGCTCGCTATCCTCCAAGCGTGTAGATCTCACCCTAGCGAGCACTCCACCTGACCATCGACCGGTCCGATGATCTCCATCGGATGGCGGGACTCTATATGAGGTAATTGTCGGCGCGCTGCTTGACGTCAGGTACCCTCGGAGCAGTCATGGTTCGGGATGTACTCGAGACTCTAGCAATATATTGTGCATGTGCTGCCAAGAGATTGTGATGCGATGAGAAATTAACATGCGAGAATGAGGGGAATAATGAGACTAGTGTAAGACTATGACTAGTGGATGACAACGAATTGCAAAGATAGCATGCGAGACCTGTGCATTATATGATACAGTGACAAATGAAAAGTGGAATACTGGGCGATGATCAACATGAGAGTTCGATGATGGAACAGGAATGCGGCAACGGAATCAAGGAGGAAAGGAACCTAGAACGCGTAGGGCATTTCCGGTGCTCTTGGAGCATCCAACCATGACCCGGCGCCGACCGCTACCCGCGGTGGATGATCTGGCCACTGATACATGACGCTCGGGAGAACATTGGGCAGGAAAGGTGGGGCGATTTCGGTGGCATGGGACTGATGTAGGGTAGACTGCGGGTCCAGATCTCCGTACAGTTCCGCGAGAAGAGAGGGCTGCGTCGGGGGAATTGCACCGAGTTCTTTCCCATCCGCGGGCACGTACACCTTCGGTTCTTGGTATGCCGCTGTGCTCGGCGGAAGCTTGGCCAGGGTGTCGTGGAAATCATTTGAGAGTACATAGGGCATTGCATAGGAGGTCGGAGGATTGGTCCGTAGGGTATCGGATGTCGCGTGAGCAGGCATGCTGTAGGGGTATGGTGGAGGCGTCTGTGGTTCTGGCGACTCGACTGGCGAGATCGAGCCGGAGGAGGTTGAGGAAGGCGAGGCCCCCAGGCTCGGGTGTATCGATGGTACAAGATTGGACGGGTATCGGGGGTGGCGAGATGACGAAGCAATGTGCGGACCCTGCCATGACGCAGGTATCTGCATGCTGTAAACCGCACTGCTGATGGTAAGTGCGTGCTGCCTGCACCGCGCAACGACCATTTTGTAATGGGACACAAGAGCCGCGACAGGGATCGACAAGTCGAAATGGAGTACTTGCAGAAGCTCCCGTTCTGCACGCACGATCTCTTTGGTGGTGAAGAGTGTCGAGCTTGCATGAGCCCACGCCTTTGTGCTAAACACTTCGTCATTGGTGTACTAGAGGGGCAACTCGGTCATGATCCACACTACGCAGGAGAAACATACTAGCCACATACCTTGTTTGCAAGCATCAAAGCCCCAATGAAAGCCCTCTCACAGGCGAGGAACCCGGTAGACACGCGCAGATTCGGCCGGGCCTTGCCCAAGTATGCGAGTGCAACCAATATAGTTGCCGTGCGACACCGAGACTTGGCTATCAGGGTCTCCACCCACCAGCGAAGTTGCTGTTTCGAGGTTAGGCTCTGATCGGCCCGCCAGGCGGGGTCAAGGGAGGCGGTTACGGTTTCCAGCAGACAATCGACGACGTAATCTGGGAAGGCGGGAACAGAGCGTGAGACGACCCATTCAGTGCGGGCTAATAGAGGCGAGAACTCACCGAAGAAGGGCGGAATAGGTGGCACCTCGAACGGACCGCGGTTGCTGGAAGCGTGTGCCGTATGTGCCCTGCGGTGGGCGTAAGGGTAGGTGGCAGCGGGCATGGAGGATGGGCCAGCGTAGCAGTGGTGGTGCATGTCTGCAGAATGGTATGGGTGAAAGCGGCGGCCGGTCATGGCTGGGGCAGCTACGGCCATTTATACCCCTGGGGGGGGGGGGGGAAGGTCTGATGCTAACGGTGACTGAGGCCGCACTGCCAAAGGGGGGCTGCTGGGCGCGCAGCACGGGCTGTGAGGGCCAAGGGGGACGGAGGGGGAGAAGGGGCAGGACGGACAGGGTGTGGGTATTTGAGGGATTGGGAGTATTTGACCGGGAGAACCTGGCATGATCGCGGTGTGGCGAAGTATCGGGGAGCCGGGAGGGTGGCGGGCAAAATAGCAGATTAGTAGGGTGCTAAGATGCGACAGACGTGGTATTCCGACGGGCCTAAGAATTTCGCAGCGGCTGTAACTTGGCGGGCGGCCAGAGGCCTTGTGCTCGCAGCAAATGGAAAGCGGTGGAGATGCAATTTCGGACTCGTCCCGGCTCAGCGCAGCGCCACCCGTCCCTGCCCCTTGCGCATGCGCAGCCGCGGCTGCCACTCCAAGCCCCAGCTGGCGGTTTATTGTGACAGCCGGTCTCCTGTCGCAACCCAACCCAACGCGCACCGCCTATTCTTGCCTGCGACTCCCAGCCCGACACACCGCGCCGCGGCCAGCCCATCATGCGTCGCCGATGCCCTGCACGCGCCCCGCAGAGGGTCTTGTTATCGCCGTGTGTTAGACCCCTTTACTCCGGTGGAAGCGGTTCCTGAGTACGAGTGCGGATCTGAGACCGCAATCCGCGGCTGTTCCAGCCGCTCGCACATCCCTCGATGCGTGTTCCCGCAGAGCTTCGCAGGCACCCGACTCATCTGCCCAGACAGCCGCTCCATCACATACATCTGTCTGCAACGCGGTATGGGTGCGCAGACCGAGAATTCCGGCTACAGCTACAGCTACGCCCCGCGCCGCCGCGGCACTAGCCTCTGCGTTGTCCGACGGACCCGGCTGTACATCCATCATGACCGAAACTCAACCGTAGCTGTCGGACCACGTTCATATCTTCCCCGCCTTCTTACGTTCACAGCGGTCTTTACAAAGCTCCCCGATCTGAGCGAATGTGTCTCTTACAGCGCATCGGACTCGAACGCTCAACAAGGTTTAGCGAGCATATCGGGGCATGTTTTATTGATGAAAGCCGGTGTACATATGCATGGAAAAGTAGAAGCGAGAGCAGAGACGAGTGCAAAAAAATGAGAGGCAAAGGATTTAGTCAGTGCCGCCGCCGCTCGACCGTGCTGCAACGCCGTCAGAAGTAGCCCCAGACTGAAAGAATGACAGCACGCACTGTAAACCAGCTGCGAGCTGTGGTGCACAATCCGCTTAATCTGGCCCTCCTTTTCCAAGTGTCTGATGGCAATCCGCGCCAACGAGCCGTTGATCTTGAGCCTCTCAATGAGAATACTCTGCGAGATGAAGCGGAAGGTCGGGATTTCCTTGATGATACGGTCGTACAAGGCCTTGTCGAGGGTGATGGCGTGCTGGGCCTTGTCCTTGACCTTGCCCTTGGACCACTTCTTCTTCTTCGCAGACTTCCCGCCGCCTGAGGATGTGGGGGCTGCCTTAGCTTTGGCCTACAGCGAGTGTGCAGTCGTTAGCGAATCTGTTTCATCTGGTACAGGCGTGGCCTATCCAGCGCAATCCTCCTCTTCGAGCCACAGAATCGAGTAACGGCATCATTCCCTGCACTCTCAGAGGGTCTGCCAGACAGTTAAAAGCGTGCTCACCATTGTTTTGCGGACCCAGTCGTCGTCGTGGTCGTCGCCTTGACCTCACTGCCTGACTATCTGCAGCAAATGCTGACTAAGCTGATTAGCGCTTATTGGATAGTCACACCCAGTCACGCCTGGGCGCGTCGGGCGCTCTCCGCCAACCTCCACGTCACGTTCAGCCCCGTTGCGGCGACCGCGATGCTCCCAGTGTCCTGGATATTGCTTGCTCTGCCTGTCTCTGCACTCGCCGCGGTGGACAAAGCATACGGAGTATCCCCTAGCCTGCTCGAAAAATACACCCCTAGCTCAAAGTCTACTTGGACCTGTCTGGACGGCTCGAAGGAGATTGCTTGGTCGGCTGTGAATGATGACTTCTGCGACTGCCTAGACGGCAGCGACGAACCTGGTTAGCTGAGGCGCGAGGATTGTCGTCTCGTTCTATAGCTCATCATAGCATGTACTAGGTACCGGAGCATGCCCCAATACCAGCTTCTACTGCACAAACGAAGGTCACATTGGTGCTTTCATTCCTAGTTCGAGAGTAAACGACGGCCTCTGTGGTGCGTGTCTTTAGTTTCTCAGTGTGTGGTCGCATGCTCAAGGCATTCAAGAGTCCGAATGCTGTGATGGCTCTGACGAGCGGCCTGGCGTGTGCAAGAGCACTTGTAAAGAGGTCGGCGAGGCATATAGAGCCAAACGGGATGCTGAGAGAAAGCTGAGAAAGACTGTTGGTCCATCGCTCTTTCAAGCTTGGCATTTGACGATTCTCAAGTGTGGATATTACAGGGCTCCAAGATTCGCGCATCATATATCGCATTCGCTGTAAAGGAGAAGAAGCGATTGGAAGATGTTGTTATTACTTCTGAGAAGGAGGTCGCAGCTCAGCAAAGAGAGGTAAATCGTCTGAAGGGTGAGTTGCGCACAAATACAGTGACTCCTGATACCCAATGCGCTGTGTTCGCAGATCTCGTCGAGCGAACGGAGTCGCTCTCTATGGCTGCACTGGAGCATAGGAAAGAGTCGCGTACGTGGTCACGTCCTTTACGACAAAGCGCACGAGGTCAACCAACTTGACGTCCTTGTAGCACTTTATCGGGCTCTATTGAAGCATCACCAAGTCTTAAAATCGTTGCAGAAGGAGCACGAGAAACATCTCGAGCGCGAGAAGGAACTTGGTGATATCCTGAGCAACCTCCGTACCGGGTACAATCCCAACTACCAAGATATGGCCGTCCTCGAGGCGGTTCGCGGATGGGAGTTTCTTGCTGGCCTTCCTCATATCAATGATGTTCACAAGGACGACCAACCCACCGAGGAGGAGTTGGGCAGCGACGAAGTAGAGGAAGAGGAGGAAGAGGAGGAGGATATCCTGACTGTAGAGGAACTGGAGGAAGAGTTACCAGCCTTGCTCGAATCCGACTATGAATCTCTGCTTATCGAGCATGACAAGCACGTTGGAACACCTTCTGATGAGTCTCTCCGTAAGCAGCTATGTTGCATTGGTATTTGCAGGGCTATTAACGTCCACGTTAGTGTTTAACGTTGGTTCATACGTCCCCGACGCGCTCCTACCGCAATTCGAAGCTGTTCGGGATGGTCTACTGACCTGGCTCAGGACCTTCGGTATCATCAAGGGTGGTTCTGACGGCGAACCCGCAGGTAGGGTGCATTCAATACGTGCTCGTCTCCTTTTCTCACATCACGTCTAGACACTAGTCGTGCGAAACAGGCGTTGAGCAGTGCGGAAAATGCTCTTCGGTCTGCTGAGCGAGAGAAGTCGAATGCCGAGCAGGACCTGTCTCGCCTCTTCGACCCCAAGTGGTTCGGTCGTGACGGCGAATGGAAGAAGCTACAGGGCACCTGCCTCGAGAAGAGCATCGGAGAGTGAGTCTATCGCGCCGTGACCCTAGTCCTTTCCCACCTGACACCCCGTGTCGTGCAGTTATACTTATGAGGTATGCCTCTTCGGTGAGGCGAAGCAGAAGCCCAACAGCGGCGGCACGTCATTCAGCCTCGGGTAAGCTCATTCGATTTCCCTCGTGCGGTTTCACCGCTCATTTACCCGCATATAGTCACTTTGACCGGTGGAACGACGCGGCGGGCCTCGAGCTTGGTTCGCCTGAGTACTATAGCAAGCAGTACTACGCCCGCGGAACGAAATGCTGGAATGGCCCCATGCGCAGCGTTCAGGTAAGTGCTCGTGTGCGTCGCGTGCCCGTCGCGGCAGCTGACAGGCCGCGCAGCTCGTTTGGACCTGCGGAACAGAGAACGCCATACTGTCCGTGCAGGAGCTTGAGAAATGCGAGTATCAGTTCACAGGCACGACACCGGCATTGTGCCTGCCTCTCGAGGATCTTGAGAAAAAGAAGGACGAGCTATAATGTATTTCATGCAAGATCTCATGGCTCACGTTGCATATTCCGTTTCAGCAGAGCACGCAATGAATTTAATATCTATAGATTCTCGGAACAATGCAGGCTTAAAGGCAACGGAGAAAATTGTACTAAATTATCGAGGTAGGTTACTTTACGCAGCAGCAAAAGAGATACGGCCCTGCCTCCACACCCATGGACAACAGTAAGAAAAAGAATATACGACTATTAATACACGCGTCCATAGCAATGCGTACATACAAGACCGACCGTATTGCGTACAGGTATCAGCGTCGGAATTGCTTCGTTGTGTGTTCTAGCAGATTGCGGTCTAAATTCACGATCCGTGGAGTGATTCGACAGTACCTGCTGCCTCAAGGGCTCATCATCCTATAGTCCCGGTCCCGCATCGACGTCTCGCTAGGCGTGTGCGCCTCTGCCACCGAGTCTACCTCGCTCCTATCGCCATCGTCCGTGTAGATCGAGTCCGCGTCGCTGGCTGAGTGCAGGCTCATCGTCTCTGAGGACGCAGACGAGTGTGTCGGCCGGATCGTCGGCTCATCGTCCGTGGACCCGTCAAAGTCTGTCTCCGCGCCTGCCTCGCTGGCTGTTTCGGACTCAGTTGTAGAGTACGCGCTCGAATACGAGCCAGACGACCGATTATACGGCACGCGCGGCCCAACTTGCGGCGTCTGGTGTCCGGCCTCGTGATGAGTCGGTTCTCTCCCAGAGGGCATCATGAAATTCGAGGGGCGGGCAGGAGACTGGTGAATTGGGGATTTGGGAGAAGGCAGTGGGGAAGCGGCAGGAGAAGCCTGGTAGCGGTTCGACCGCGAGAACTGGATTAATTGCTCTGCGTAGCTTTGCATTTCTTCCGCAGAGATCATCAACCGGAAGTCATTAAGGAGGAGGAACTGCAGCTCGAGTTGATTGAGCTCGGTTTGGGGTAGGCCGCCAACCTAGAACCGATGAGTCAGAGAGGCGCCACAGTGGGAGTTACGAGGAATATATACCTTGGCGTAGCGGGAGTTGGTATAGAACACATCGCTGAAGAACTTGCTCGCCACCGTGACCCCTGCAATGACCAGCCGATGTATATTGTATGAATCTATTACAAACGCCTTCCCACAGGCCTCCTTCGCCAGCTTCGACATCCGGTCAAAGTAGACGAGTAAAGACAGGAAGACTTCGTTACTTGCGGGACAGTATTTGAGGATGCGGAGGAGATACATCTCGAGTGTAATCGTCGGGACGTTCCGCGCATGAAATGTCAGCGACATATTGCTGGAAAGGGCGGTTCGCGACGCAGTAGCCAGCGTAATCCATATAGGAGACTGATGCACATCGGATGTTGGTGAACTTGTAGTGCTGACAGCATGTAGTTGGTAGGTAGAGGACAAGTCGCGTCCGTGCAAACTGTCGTTCGCCGTGGCGATTTGCGTGAGCAAGGATGCCAGCAAACGGAGGAGTTCGTGAGGATCGTAGGAGTGGATATCGACCGCCGGTTCCGAATTCGACGTTACGGCCGCTCTACTACCCTCTGCGGTCTCTGCTGCATAGTAACCGTCATCCGCGTGGTTTCCAGCTCCATTTTGCGGCGCATAGGAAGCAAAATGCTGTGAATTGGATGGTTGGTGATGTGATCCTGTTCGGCGCGGCGAAGAGGGGCCCTCCTCGGTGGAAGACCTTGGGTTGGGTGGTGCAGTCACGTTGAAGGTAGAGGACGAAGAAGAGCCGATTGAGGAGCTGTATGAGGATGTCCTCCGAGAAGCGGATCGCGAAGGGCGTGTGGACGAAGAAGCGGACGAGGGCTGTGAATACGAGACGGTTGAATGTTGCTGTACTGGCGGTGCCAATGCGAGCATAATGATCCAAGTACGCTACTCTTTACGACGATGAGCAGGTCTCTGGCGACGTTGAGCGATAAATTGGCAATGCTAGCGTTATGAGAGGATGGATCTCAGGAGTCGTGCTCGCAAAAAGGCAAGTCGCCCAAAACTTGAGGTCGACCGTCGCTTCCCCTGTCACACCACGCCTTGTCACACCCACGCACGTGCTGCCAGTGTGGGTCTTTGTGGGCGTCGCCGCGACTCCCGCTCTCTCCCGCTCCCTTGTGTTTCTCCAGGCCACTGCCGGCCAAGGAAAATTATTAGTTATGTGGCTTAGTCCGAGGCGTTTTTTTCTGACATCGCTCTGTCTCGTTTACCAATGCAGCACGCCCTCGCCGCCGGGAGTCTCTCACCTAGAGCTGTCTGACGCGCTGAGCAACGCGCGATGACATCTGCAGGTCAGCTTCGCAAACGATTCGATCCGAATCACCATGCTTATTCCCTGCCTAGCATGCTTGCATCATAAGCAGAGCCCGGGTCCAGGCAATCTCCAACTCCGCCTCGGAGAAAGATGATGCAAAGTGGAAAGCAGCCCTCGGTCTAATGAAGCGTCGTTGGATCGTCTACACCCCCGTGCCTTTCGGTGATCCACCAGCATCGGCCAGTGCAACCCACGTTGGAGGTTGTTAAACGTGCGCCTGCTGTGCAATGGCGGTGTTGTCCGACGGATCAGTCCTCACGCCAGACACGTAACTACGCGAGTCCTCATGGTGCTATGTGTAAGTGTTCTGCGCAGCTCACCAAGATACGTGTCTCACCAGTCCCCACACAGTCCCCCTGGAAAAAGTCATACTGACACACCATGGATTTCTCACAGAGCTGCTGCGACGTCAATTCATGGGCTCTTCCTCTTCCGTCAGTATCTTTAGCTTCCAACCAGCATTGTCGTCGTCAGGCTCGTCGTCAGCCCATGCGATGTCTTCGTCATCTGCCGCATTCCACTTCCAGTAGTCTCCACGCTTCTCGACCTCGACGGAATGGATGTCTACTTCCTCTTCCTCTTCTTTTTGCTTGCGCAGTGCTATCTCGCTTTCGTCCTCCTGATACAAAAGGTGGTCAATGTCGATCCAGGGGTAATGATAGAACGTTGCTGACAATGTCGAACTCGTCTTCACGTTCTTCATATTCGATGTTCTCATCTACTTCTTCGAAGCCGCCCGCAAAAGCACCCCAGCGTTCTGGCGTTGGGCAGTGCCAAATAAAAACGTTGCCCTGGTTTGTCGTCGACGCTATGGCAGGCTTATGCGGATGCCACTACATACACATGGTCAGCCAATGAGAGGCGCAGCATGTGGCACATGCTCACATGCAGATGGACGAGGGGCTCTCGCCCGCCATCAAGTGCTGTCACAAACTGACCATCGTTACCAACATCCCAGATATAGATTCTGTGTGTCGCATTGTCAGCCGCGCCTGATGAGCAACAGCAGTCAGCTGTGAGACTGAACATGATAAGGGATCTCAGATACCCCCTGCTAGCCATTCGCCATCTGGGCTGTAGCACATTCCGTGCCATGCAACCTTGTTAATCGGGTCGCTGAAACGATATGTCGGCTCGAGCTCCTGCTCGATGTATATGCCGTCGACAGAGGGTGGTGCATACAGTGGCAGTGTGAACTGGCGCAGCGTCCGATCTTGTGAGTTCGTCACCAGCCGGCTGTTTGGTCGTGAGTTTGCAGGAGATACCCTGAGACAAAGAGGCAGACAGACCGTCCATTCTTCGCGAACTCCAAACTTTTGAGGCTGCCTGCGCCGGTAATCTTGTGTCGTGCGATCATCTTTCGTGCGGGAATCAGGATTTGTGCGTGTTATTGCTCCCGTATGCTTACGGTTTTGGTTCTCGTGTTGAACACAAGGACCTGACCATTCGAAGTGCCGATGAATACATGCTTTCCGGAGGGATCGAAGCGTGCGACAGTCGATATTGACCTGCGCGGTCTATCAGAACAGAAGACCGAGCTGAGACTAAGCGACACGCACCGGTGCTTGTTCGAGTGAGACTGGTATTCTTCGTCGCTCTCTTCCTGGACTTCGCACAGTTCCACCCGCGAGCGATGTTGACTTCGCAGGTCGACGATGTATGCGTCTCCTGGGGTCAACAAGACCAAGAGGATTTGACTTGTACTTCAAAATAAGGTATATAATGGCGGGCAGACCTAACAGAGACATGCCTATTGCGGGGGTGAAACGAAGCCGACGCTACTGGAGCGTCAAAACGAATTATGTTCTTCCGTTTCGGCGGGTCAGTCTCGGACGACAGGTCCCATATGACCACGTTCCAGTCCTTGGAGGCTGTGAGCACATATGTTGAGTTTCTCGACCAGCTGTAGAGCATGTGTCAGTGAGAACGCTCCCACGCTACATGAACACGAAACACGCGACTCACTCAACGCAGGTCACGCTCTTCACATGGCCTTCGAGCCAGCGAACCGTGGATTTGGTATCCAAGTCCCAGATGCGCGCGGAGCCATCAGCTCTTCCAGCAGCCACGAACCTGCCGGAGGGGTCGAAGCGTGCGAGCGTGGCCTGCGAATGAAGAGAGGTTTGTACCTGTGTGGGGTACGTGATCGTGAAGGGGTCTTTGGGCTTTGTGTCAGATATAATATCCATCGCAGCGGCACGCAGCTCACCTCCGAGTTTTCCGTTCATTCTGCGTGCATAAAGTGGCAACCACGACAGAGTGGATAGCACTGAACCCTCGAACCGTGGCAAGCGCCTCTAAGCTGTTGAACATCATAGTCTCACGCCACAAAGTTGATGGAGAACTGCGGCGTCTTGTAAAAGTCAGGCGCTAGACGTGACGTCTCCTGCCTTGTGACCATGGCCTCTGCCCGCCCGGTCTTGACGCTCCAGAAGCTCGACATCCCTGGAGACTTTAACCACTATGAGAAGATAGACGACGCGGAGCTGATTGCGCGCCTCGAGACATGGAGACAAAAAGCCTGCACAGTCCTCGCGGATCTGCATGAGAGACTCCGGGAGAGAGACAACTTGACGTTTAGCGAGAAGGTAGAGGTTGTCTCAAAGGTTTCCCAATTCGATGGTGAAGGCGCATGGGCTCTGAGTACGTCGCGTGACTTGGCGCAAGGTGAGTCCTTGTGTGCCCTTCAGCCCCATGCGCCGCTCATAGTCAGATGCGAAGAGATTCTCGAGCCGTATACGGATGGCGACATGCAACTAATCGAGGCTGTCCTGACACAGCGTGTGAAGGCCGTGTTCAAGCTGAACACTCATCCTAAGGTGAGCGCGGCCACTGGTCGCTCACTAAGCCGCCCGGTGGGAGGGGAGGGTGGTGCCCAGGATTACTACGAAGGCCAGCTCTGGAAGCGCTATCCTGGACTCATCAACGTATTAGATTGGTGTGTCAAACATTTAAAGGTACCATTGCTCTTGTGCGTATTCCGCGTTGCTAATGTCATATAGCCTGCCGCACTCGAGAAACTTTGGCATCTCGTCGTCCCCCCAGTGATGACGCTCCTTGATGACTACGAGTTTAAATATAAACTACTCAGCCTTCCGATCGTTGATCACCTCCTAGATAGCGCACCGGGCGAGCTCCTGCGCCGAACTGGCATCAATGAGCTCCTCATCACTGTGCGTGTTCGTCAGCCGATGCATGCCAACACAACGATTCAGACCTCGGCGTTTGTAGAGTTTCAAAACCGCTCTTACGTTCCTCCGTGCTCCAGAGACCCCGCAACTTATCCGCAGCGTCATTTTCACGTGGCTCAAGCTCACAGAGCGGTCAACTTCACCCGCGACTGCCAACCGATTTGAACAGCTGTGGGCCTTACTCGGGGAAGGGATCATTGAGACGGTCTGGTTATACGGATTTAACGATGCAGATACCATCCAGGCTTCCGTTGAAGCCCTTCCCGATGTCGTACGAGCCCTCGGCATCGGTGCTGCACGCTATCTCAAGGTACGTCGAAACCCGTTGCATTCATCGGTCTTACTTATTTTTTTTGTTTCCCAGGCACTCATATCGCAGCTAGTCCTCGCCCTAATCCCTGCTCCTGAGAATTCTGCGCCAATCGCGTTTCAAATCTCGTCAGTCCGGGCCCTTGACGTACTTGTTGCAGAATGCGCCCCTCGCATGCACAAGTGGAAAGGGACCATTCTCGATGGAGTCTGCCGGTGCTGGGCGAGCCTCGTCGAGTCTGGAGCTGATAATACCGGTGATTCTCCCTCCTATTCAGCCTATGAGATCATAGCCTGAGCAAATCTCACAGATGTTCGAGAGCTGAAAATGGCTTTGCGAGAAACGTGCGGGACCCTTGCGGCGGCTTGTCCTTCCGTAGCTACGGTATGTCTGTCTGCTCACATGGATGAACAGAGTTTAGATGCTCTTCTGCAGGAAGAATTCCGACGTCTTCTTGAGATGGACGAGCAAATTTTCAAGGCCCTGGTCGCGCCTTCCAGCTCGGAGAGCCGATGATCCCTCCGCGCCACCGCTCAGGGTCTCATACTTTTGGAGCATAGCATGAAGTTCTAACGCACCGTATGATGAAGTTGTGCGTGCACCGACTATATGCGCCCGTCGCGCCGTTGGATTCACCGATGGACTTTTTCTCTTTCTTCACTGCTCGGGACAAATCGGGGTCGGGCCTGGCAGGGCGGCGCTTGATTATCGCGACTGGCAAATTGATCGGAATGAGTCTTTCTAATAGTCTTTCCATGATCCCGGATCAGCGCACCGATCACAATCCTGATCTTACACTGCCGCGCTGCGGCGGCGTGCTCTTTGTCTCTGAGCGCGAGCGATGCCTCGCAGTGCCTCACGCGTTCAGGATGCTTTTGGGACAAGCAGAGACATAAGGTTACCCTGACATCCCCACTACGAGGCGCACAAAACCGTCTCACACAGCCCATTCCATCTCCAGAATTGTGCGTCATGCGTGCAAGAGGCCTACTTTTACCCGCTGTTAGTAACGTCTATATGGATGTCTGGAGTCCGCTGTCGACCCAAATCTCCACAGCGGCACTGGAAGGGTCCCGACGCTGATTCTTCGGTGGAACAACGTCCGGGTTTCTCAGGCCTGCGATGGTCTTCTCCTGCGCTCTAATTCATGCCCGGGATCCTTGTGTCTCGTGCAGGGGAGGAGTGCGGGGAGATCATGTGCTTGCAGCTCGGTCGAGACCCGGGGCGCCGCGTAGCTATGAAGAGAGGCGAGGAGAGTTGGGAAAGTAGCTGTCTAACGAGTAGCAGGATGTTGTTATGGGTCGGTGATGCCCAGCACAAGAGACAGGGAATAACGGCATGCGAGGGGCCCTGGCAGCGTCTCTTCCATAAGCGTCGAGCTAGGCTCTTGTTGCAGACAGGAGACTCGGTGGTAGTAGTCGCAGGTTGCACTGCCAGCAGTGTGCCAGCGACTCCAGCAGACTGGCAAGCGTTGCGTAAACGAGTGGGAGCTTGTGGACAAAGACTGCGGCAGGCCCGAGCCAGGGGAAGGGCGCGTCGGGCAGAGCTGGGGAATGTCCCAGATTTGGGAAAGGTGCGGATGGAAGTCGGAGCGGGATCAAGACCCAGAAATCGAGCATCGGCTAAGCGAGTGCCGGCCCGGGCAGCGACTCCATCGAGGAACAGGCCCCCGCTCATATATATCACTCCTATAGTCTCGCTCATTTGTACGTAGCCGGCTCTGCCCTTGTCTTTCTTTCTCCAGCACCACACCTCTCCGCCATGTCTTTCTCCGTTGACGACCTCGTCAGCTCCATGTCCTCAAACCACATCGGCCAGGAGGCCACGGACCTCGCTGCCCTACAGGTGAGCTCGCCGGCTTTTGTCTTTCCTCCTCCGCGACCGCTTACGCGCGAGGCGCCACCCCCAGGCACAACTCGCACAGACCCTCTACCACTGCCAGACAAGCGAACACCGCCGCGCGACGCACGCCTGCACGCCTATGGCCTGCACACCAACCTCGTCTTCCCTCTGGGAGCGTCCCGAGCTCGATCGGAGGCGGAGTAACAGCGTTGTCAGTAAACGGGACATGGAGGAGCAGCGCGAAACTGTGGACGCCATGGACGAGGACGAGCTCATGGTGGAAGATATGCTCTTCCCGTCTGTCGCTTCCGCACTCGACGCCACGTACCCCGCATCCCATATGCCTCCACCTCCGTCACCAACTCTTTACCCCAGACACTCCCATTCGCGCAAATCCAGCGCCTCCGCCTCATCGTTCTCGTCTATGCACTACGACGTGCCGTCTGCGGGCAGCTCGTTGTTTGCAACGACAGACCCGTTTTACCTTGCGCAGATGGCTGCCCAACAGAACAGTCCCGCGCCGTCTTTCTTCTCCCAATTCGGCAAGCCTACGCAGCAGTCACCCTTCCTCAAAGGGCACCCGTTCGCTCACAGGCAAAACGTTTCAGAAGTTCACCCGTCGACAGCGTTCGTGCGGTAGACTGCTCTTGTCCTGGTTTTGCCGTACGGCCGCATCATCCGTCAGCATATCATCACCTGGAAGATGCATTTCATCCGAATCCATCATTCGACCACCGCTTTCCGTCTGTATTTGGCTGGAGAAGGAGAGTGCTCCCGAAAGTCTAATCCCCGTCGGCTTTCGCACAGAAAATAACACGCGACCCCGAGCCAGGGTCTCCCGCACTCGTCGGAGGGCATTGTCGCTCACTCGGTGCTGGAGCTTTTGGCTTTATCGGAATCACTCCTGCAACCGACATCCGCAGGTACTCTCAACTACATTACATAGACCAGTCCGATATGTCGCCATCCCTGCATTCCTCCCATCATTGAGCCTGTGCCAGACAGATCCCAACTGGACTTCCGTTCCCCATGTTCCGTCGCCTTCGCTTTGGCTTCCCACTCCCCACTAGCACGCATTCCCACGCATCAGTAGATACCAATTACCAATGTTTGAACTCTGTACAACGCCGTCATCATATTTATCCATGTAATCGCACGCGTTCCGTTACTTCAGTGGTGTCGTGTAATTTGTCCAAATTCTAAACCTTGCTTGCTGTTGCTGTCGTCGTTCCCCGTGATAGAAGAACGGCCTGCGGGATCTGCACTCGCTTGACGTAGTCTAACATGAATCATCGTCTCGCTCACCTACACGTTGCAAGGGCTAGTCTCCGTCCGGCGAAACACACGCTAAACTATCGAGGCTGCTCTGGACTCTGACGAGGGCACACCCCATGACGTTGCGACGGAGGCAGAGAGCCTCGTGTACACCAACAAGCTACTAATAGTAAGCTATACCATACCGCTTTTAGGCCGCCCTTTAGACGAGAATTTGCCTCATAAATCGACTTTTAGAGCTCGCGTGCTTCTTCGTGAAGCACTACCATTCGGTATCATCACCGTCCTTGCCGGTCTCAACAATCCAAAATATATCGAGAGCGGTAAGCGGCTAGCCTCACCCGCGATGAGCCCGGTGTGCCGCGAACACGGTGCAGTACGTGTCTATCTTCATATGACTCAGGGAAAAGTATGATCCATGCTCTGACAATGACTCGACCCGTGCTACTTATCTCCATTCAAGTTGTTGTGCCTTCCTCCACCCTGCTAGTGCACCACCACCCCTCTACAGGCACGTCAGGGGGGCGATCCTCGCTGCCCACAGCCGGCAAAGAGCATCTAGGGCACTCACACTACTGGACCTAGAACCGATGTCCTCAGGGCTCATCGAGCACTGGCGGTTAATAGCCGCGCTGCTCCTTTGCGGTGCGATCCTGGTCGTCCGGAGGCTGCGCGGCGGATCGCCGTCCCGGGGACGCACATTGAGCGGTGGGCTTACGGCGTCGGAGAAGCATACTGCTGGCCTGAAACCATTCCACACAGACGCGTCGGCGGCGCGGGAGCCTGGAGGTGCGTCGCTTCTTGGTCGCTTCCTCGAACCGGTCCTCCTTCACTGCCACCCCATACTCCCGTAATGGGTCGTCTGACCTTTTTAAATTTCTGCTAGAATGGACGCCGGTCGCGTTTGAGTACCCGGCCATCGCACCATGCCGTGAAGACGTGTCCGCTGTCAAGCCCGTACCGTATCGACCGTTCAAATGGGGAGAATACCAGTACGCACGTCCAATTTGCGCCCGCCTGTGTTTCCATCGAGAAGCTACTGACTACATGCGAAAATCCGCGTAGTGTCACGATGGGCATCCGGAGCATGCCATGGGATGAGTGGACGGAGGTACGTGGACGAGCCCGTGCACCACGTGAAACCTTGACACGCATATTTACGCTATCTTTCATTGACAGCTTGACAGAGAATTTGCTCACTTCCATCGCATCCGCGAGCATCGAATTCAAACCCGCGGCGACAAAGTCGTCCAAGTCCTACCTGAGAGACCTGGGCTCGTGAAGGGCGCTCACGATGCCGGTTTGTATTTCATGCTGGTTTCATCGATAAAGCTAAGGACTCGTGATGTAGCTGTCGAGTTGGTCCACGAACTGGCCGAGTATCTCTCGCGCCGCTACCCGGATGTCTATCGTGCCACGCGGGTAGACGCAGGCCACGATGGGAACGGATGGCATGGCCAGCCCTCGATCAAAGACATTACTATCATACCTTTGGGCAAGACTTATGGCCTGGAGAAAGGCGATCCTCTGACTATCGCATCTCTTCTGTGCGTCTCCTGGGTTCATCTCACTAACTCAAGATCTAACATTGGCTTAGCATCCAAGAGGACCTCGCGATAATGATCGAGGGAACGGATGGCAGGTATTATCTGCAGGGAGGTGCGATACTGATACCCGGTATGCCTTCGTACAATTATGGATGCGCATACTTCAATAGCTAACCTCCGTCAGGGTCATGGCGACTCCGTGACAAGATCGGTATGAGCTTAGATGACATCCATATCAGCGGAACAGTACCACAATGTGCGTATCCTCACATCTGGCCATCCGCCCACCCGCCCACCCGCCGTCTAACTGCTCGCAAATGCACAGTCGAGAGCAAGCTCCAGCTGAGCATGTCGCGCCACTTGAAACGCATGCCCGTCGACAAGCCCATCGTGCGAAACAACTACAGCTTCCAGGTCGTCGCGCCCCGAGACAAGGCCGACCCGCTCGACCCCGACGAGCTCGCGTGGTGCAAGACGATGAAGGGCGACGAAGACGTTGTCGAGGGCCAGCCGGGCTTCCTCCGCAACGAGGACTTCGGAGCCGACTATCCCGGACACTCTGCCGGACACTTCTCTGCTGCGCACTCGGACCTTGCCAACAGCAGCGAGCCGGTGGACCCTTCGCTCGTGCGCCTGCGCGTAGAACGGCAGACGCTGCGTCGTCTCCCGAAAACGGGTGCAATTGTGTTCACCATTCGTGTGTATCTCACGCCCCTCGAAGAGCTCGTGAAGGAGCCCGATGTTCCGGGGCGGCTGGCAAGCGCAATTAGAAGCTGGCCTGGAGACGTCGCAAAGTGAGTTCGTTCCACACTCTCGTAAATCGATGTCCTGATGTGCGCTGGGCAGGTACAAGGCTCGCTCCGTATTTGAAAACATCTTAGAATACCTCGATGCTCACCATCAAAGGCAACTCGATTCACACGTAGAGGGTGTCACCAGGCAGAGGTGTGAATGACATAGAAGCATTGAAGGTCTATTCGAATGTTATGCTTGGATGAGAACTAAGTAGAGTTACACGTTATGGCACGTCACCAAATTACAGTGCAGGCGTAGGTTATACGCGTCATGAGGGATGTCCTGAAAAGTCATAAGTAGCAGACGGAATCTAGGGGTGTCGGGTCGCGTGACAGTGATTAATATGCATACAACTTAGAAAAACAGCAACCAAAAACTCCGATGATAATGTTCATGATCGTAAAAATTACTTATGGTACAACTCTCACCACGCATGTACCGCCGTCCTTTAATGGCCCCACGGGCCCTTCGCCATCTCGCCTGAAGACTTCAGGTGACTTGTCAAAAGGCACCACACGTGGGCCATTGTCGTCGTGGCCGTCGCCAACCCACGGGCGAATGGAGCCACTCTCGACCATGTGCGCCACGGCGCCGAGCGAGTCTCGGACGTCTTCGCCTTCGAAGTCAACGTCTGCGGCGATGCTGACCCATACATAGCTCACGGTCCGCTTCTTCGCCTTGATTGTCGAAGTAGTATGTCGCCGCGATAGCCGACCGAGGCTGTCCTTGCTGGGGGACGATAGTGCGGCTGCTGATGGCGACCTCGTTGGACTGCTGCTCCTGCTCCTGCTTCCCGTGGACATCGTGCGCTTAAGCGACCGGAAGCCGGACCGTAGATGGTCCTGCGCAGAAGGTACAGGGCGTGAGGGGTTGTCGCCTACGAGCGTAGTGAACTGGGCGACTGTGAACGATCTCTTGTTAGAGGTCGAGCTGACCTTGGGCGAAGATGCCGAAGGTGAGGTGGATGGAGAAGGCATGGGTGACGAAGTCTGCAACGTGGCATCCTGCTCGGGATCTGCAAGCAGCACTTTCCGTCCAGCCTCCCAGATCTCAACACCGCCAACTGTGTCGAGAATTCCGTCAAAGGAGCGCCCATCCTCGGCCAGCCTTTCGAGAACCTCTAGGGGCTCGCCAACACATATAGCCTCCGCACCCCAAGCCCGCAACCGGGTTTGTAGCCTCTCGAACCGAGACTCCTTCGTCTGTCCCGCTGTGGAGGGGCCAGGCTCATCTGTGTCATCGTTATCCTCCTCATTTGAGTCGTCCCGAGCCGCCGAATCTGGAACTTGTATCCAGACTTTTACCCCTCTTCTCGCGAACATCTGAACTGCAAGCGCTCCAGGGCCATCATGACCATGCAGCACCAGAATGCGAACGTATTTGGCCCGATCTCCGCTATCTGGCTTCGGCGTAGCGGGCGAGATGACATCCGCGAAAGTGCGCACTGCACGATGGGCAGGAAGACCGCAGATGGGCAATAAGGCCAGCTCCTCGATGGACAAGTTTGCTGAGGCGATCAAGTCCTGATCAATTTGCGCAAATGGATGGCGGTTGAGCTGGCTAGGCAAGGACATCGAGCGAACGTGAGTACGACGGGAGGAAGGGAAGAGCGTCGTCGGTCGGGATAGTGGTTGTGGCGCCCTGTGCACTCTATGCCGCTCCATGACAATGAATTCGGCCAGTGCACCTGACTAAAGGCCAAATATTAGCTCTCTATAAGGAAAACTACATGTAGGAAGCAAACCTTCTTGACGTCGAGAAGACCAATTATCCACTCTCCTCTTCTACAAACGTCGCCCTTGACGTCCCATCCGACCTCAATCGCTTTGCCAATGATACTCCGACCGGGAATGAAGCCTGTTCCCTTTGCACCATTGACAGTCTTCTCTTGTACGAGGAAGGAATCCAAGCCATCCAGTCCAACTGCGAAGACTTGCACTAGCACGTGCGAAGACGGAACGAAGGACGGTGGCGGCAGATGAGAAAGAAACGTAACAGGAACAGGCAGGGTATCGAGAAGGTGAGCTGGTGTTTTGCCTTTGTCTTTCGATTTCCGGAAAAGCTGGAATGAGAAAGTTCTCCGCTTCTTCGATCCGGATGAATTAACATTCTGTGCAACGCCTCGTGTGACCTCCACAGTAGCCATACTAGTCTGCGCTATACCCATCTTCGCCAGGTCGATTTTGCCGTCCCCCATACCGTTCTTTGGATCGGCATGATACCCAGTCTGCGGGAGGGTAAGTCCTGAATAGCCCTGAGCGGGGGGAGAACTTGAATCGACCATAGGCGTCGGAATTGCATGCGTAGGTAAATTGTTAGAATAGGAGAAGGTCGAAGGTGAGATAGAACGCGAAAGCCTGCGAGTATTGGAGTACGACTTGCGGGTTTGGCCTTTGGAACGCGCGTATGCCTGGACGCGAGCATCAGGGCTCTCCGCACCCTCATCGCTAGAGGAACGTTCTTTGCCCGAACGGTGAGAAAGAGAGCGTGAAACTTGTAGTGTCGTCTCTGTTTCGCTCTCCCCTTGTTCTGAAACTTCCTCTTGTACCGGCGACGGAGCCTGACTGGGTTCTGCACTGCTGCCCCCCGGTGTGATATCATCGCTGTATTCGCTCTCATCCTCCTCCAGTAATGCAGACATACGACCTCGACTAGAGCGACTGCCACGCGACTTGCGCGAGGATCGCTTCCTGTGATCTGCCGAAGGGGCAGGAGGGGGATACGATTTTACTGGCTGGGGGCCTCTCAGGGGTGACATAGGTGGCGCGCGTGTTGCTGAAGGTGGCACAGTATAATCAGGAAGGGTGCTGTGTGGTTTCCGGCGTGGTGATTCTGCCTTGGCAGCAATCGCTGGTGCGAGCCATCGCACGTCCTTCGCCCAGTCTTCATCCGTGTATGTTTGGCGGTGAAGTTCGATCTGAGAACGCCTCCGAGTCTGCGCTAGGGGTCTAGGCTGACCGCGTCCCGCAGGCGGTGTCGGAGAGGGGGAGGTTTGCGAACGTGTGTGCGCTGAGCGGGCGATGGTGATAGCATGTACATCGTCCTGATGGTGGCTTCCATGGTCCGAGGTCTGCGGAGAGGCGAGGGCTGTTGAGTGTGCGGCGCGGGACGAGGTGGCCGACACCGTCCGCTCTACCGAAGAGGACGACGTACTCGACGAAAAGGAGGATTCCGAAGGCGTGCGGGATTCCGGCGAGAAATCCGCAGCGTCCGCAGCATGAGGCGTAAGCGCATCAAGCGAAGGTATCGATCTTAGAGAAGACGTAGACTTGGAATGGGCAGAGGGCAGAGGGAGGAGAGCATAGGTCAACGCCTTGGGGTCAATGAGCATACCTTGAGATGTTCTTGATGTTCGCGGAGAGCCATATAGAGACGAACGCGGCGTATAAAAGACGTCGTCTTCGCTGGAATCCTCGTCTGCTGAACTGGCCTCTGTATCCCCGCCCTCTGTGTACCCCGTGGCGGGACTGCGGGATTTGCGCTCTGAGAAGTAAGAAGGCTGATTGGTGAGGGAAGGGAGCGGCGACTGCTTGGGGGTAGTATTTGAAGAGAAGCTGCTGAAACTGCTAGGTGGCGTGTAGGGCGACGACGTAATAAAATTGGCATCAGAGTGATCGTCTGGATTGGAGTGAGATGACGCCGTCGACTGGGTCAACAGCGTACCCTGAGACTGAGACTTTGTACGCGGCGAGCCTATTTGCCGAGGGGAGGATGAAACCGCCTACGAAACGACAATGAGAAGTTACCGCGTGCGCTGAGCAGACTGAATACCTCAGCCACCTCACCTCTGTCTCTGCAGACAACCGACGAGATGACCGACGTGAAGACGACCGGTCCGAGTATGACCTTGCTTCGCTGTAGCGCGATGGAGACGAGCTCGACGAGAAATATCCAGACTCAGAGCCAGCAGCTGTGAGATAGGATTGCGGGCGAGACTCTGGAGCCGACGATGCCTCGGCTGCGGCACGCATGAGCTCGGACTTCGAGGAGTGGTAGTCTTTGTCCGAGGGGAAGTGGTACGTCTGCGAAGGCCGTCCTAGAATTGACTGGATAAGAGTAGGCTTCGTCATCTTCGCTCAGACCGACGATAAAAGCGTCGGAGACGTTGCAAACGATGGGCATGCCACGTTCTCGAGAACCAGATTCAATCAACACGCCTCCTGGCCGGCCGGCGTCTCCTCTCCCCGGACTTTGACGTCAAGCAGCAGCAGCACAGCACTTGCCAGCGCGAACTCCGGCGTGCGACTACCAGACAAGGTGGACAAGCGGCGGATACAAGCTGTTTAGCGAAGGAGATGGTGTCGGGGACGTTTGCGCAACGGGCGAGGACGGTGATAGGCAGAAAACGTATGATTCCAAAACGGAGCGTCTCCCCTCTGAAGCCTGCAGTCAGGTCGTCCCACAGTGCTCGCATTACTCGCGTTTGACTCATAGACCGGCTTCCTAACCTCGCAAGTTGTCTCGGAGCCCGCTTGTTGGTGATGCACGAGGATCGAGCCTGAACGTTTTGAACACGCAAGTCGTGGAGACGCTTGGCACGTTCGAGCTGAGCGAGAATGCAAGCGGTAGGCGTTCTGCAGATACCTCGTTGGTATCGCACTGTGGTGCGTGTTAGTAAAGTGACAAGTACGCTCGCAGATGAGAGGCTCCGTGATGCTGGTATTATTATATATAGAGCGCACTGCTCTGCCTTGAGACATCTCGGAGGAAGCGCGACTAGTCTACTCGTGTTCATCTCATTCACAGCATAGCTTAATTCCTCGGCATTAGCTTCGTCGCCGTTGTGCTCAGTAGCTCAGATTGTCACGCTAACTTAGTTGCAATAAAGTGATGAACCCACTTTAGCGCAACAATCGGCGGTAAGGGATTTTCAGACCCCTGAACTCGTACAGATCTACTGCACTACAGCTATGTCCGTACAAGTCGACCAGGACCTGCTCTGCTAGGTAAGTAGTCCCTCATTTGTTTGAAATTTATATGAATATGAATTCAATAGATTAACCTTTGGCTCAATTCGAGCCCCTCGCTTGTACACCGAACGCAAGCAGCGGTCTGATTATCGGGGCCAATATATGACTCTCAAATAAACGAGATCACAAGGATTGCAAAGCTCTTCCGCACGGCAGGCCTGATCGTTACCACAACAAAAGATGTCCATTGAGTTCGCCATTACTCCGTTCATGAGATTCGCCACGCTAATTGAGCCGACGGCAGTGTGAATAACCTTATTGATGGGCATCTCCCCATCAACGAGATGCAGGTTTCCCTCCAGTCTCTACCCGCACTTGCCCTTGGATTCAGCGACTTGGTGCAACTCGCGCTATACGCACCTGACGCGACTCGACCGGCCTTCAATTATCAGCCCTTTTCAGCATCGACCGACTGGCGCGGTTCACAATCTGGCCCGAATGAAGTCCACGCCAGGGATTTTCTCGACTTCGTCATATCTCGTCACTATCCCTTCAGATCGAACACTGAGCGCCCGATGATCTGTGTCTGTCGATTTTTCTTGCCGTGAGGTCTGCGTGGTTGGGAGAGGGCCCTCGCCGACCTCTGCCACTTTCTTTTGGCAAGCCTGGATACCGATTGGGGATCGAAGCTCAAGGTTATGGCTCTACTTGTCTTCCAGTTGGGCTTCCCGACTCCTGAGCACGTTGACGCAGGCTTGACTCGGCTATTCTGGAGAAGTGCCAGAGGATTGAGGGACAGCTGCTTCTCAGGCTTGTGAACAGCGACGCTGAGGCACTATCACTGTACTAATCTGTTGTCTAGTGGCAGAATTTTGCGTTCTTGATCGGTAACTCCTTTTTTTATTATCAACGTATGATCATCCTTCATACGGGTCTTGTGTTATCGCAGTATGGGTACCGTCCTGGTCCTACGCATGCCTACACGGACAAGAAATGTCATGACGCTCTACAGCATGTGATGTACACGGATACTGGCGTCGGTTCAACACATCGTGTCTAGAAGAACTTCTTAAAGTCATAGGCTTCCTCGCCATTGACGGCCCTGTTCTCCGTCCCTGATGCCTTTTTGGAGCTGGCAACCTTCTTCAGAGCCACAGCGGGACTTGGCTTCGCTGGGGGCCTTACCTGGGTGGCGACCTTGACCTTCTTCTCAGCCGCCATGGCGCCCTTTAACCCAGCGGCGGATCGCGCCTGCTTAGTGCTCTTGGGTTCAACAGCAAAGGCGACCTTTTTCGTCGGACGTGCAAGAGCTGAACTCTGAGCGGAGCGTTTCCGCTTGCCGACCGGCTGTTCAGGCTCCTCTTCTTCGTCCTCGTCCTCATCTTCGCCCTCCCCTTCTTCGTCATCATCATTCTCGTCCTCCTCGTCCTCCTCATCATCTTCTGTGTGCCCGTTGCCCAGTTCCTCCCCTTCATCATCCTCGTCGCTCTCTTCTTCTCCCGCCCACGGCGCCTCCAGGGTGATCTTCCGGGCTTCAGGTACATATGGCGCCAGCTTGACAACTCCCGTCGCTTTTCTGCGTTCCTTGCGAGTAGGTAGCGTCGAAAGAATCTTGACATCCGCAGCATACGCGTCAGCGAACGCCGAGTCGGCCGACCCCGATGCGGCTAGAGGCCCGGGAAGCGTGAAGTGAGGAAACCTGCTCGTGCTCCAATCACGGAGGAGGATCCTCGAAGCACCGATGACGTCCAAGACACCACCCTACGAGCTCAGAATCAGAAAAATCTTCCGCGCGAAGACCAAAGTTTATGCACCTTCTTAACAAGACCGTTCGCGCGTGCAAGAGTCGAAAGAAGTGCATTCGTGTCTTTCTCTGCAAAGGCAGGAAGGTTATAGAACAGCATCATGTCGTCCCTACTGGCACGACTGGCGATCTCATGAACTACGAAGTAGATTTTGTGAGCTGACGATTGTACACTAATATCAAATAACGCACCCACGGGCTCTGGGTCTTTAAGGCGGTCTATCCTGCCTTTGTTGCGAATGATAATATCTCGCGCACGGACGCGAGCAACCTCCTCCACCGACTGCGCAGCAGGAGCGACCCAGCTCAGGCCAGGAGTGTCAATGAGGCGGATTCTTTTGCTTCCAATTTCCAGGAACACCTCCTGCGGGAAGACAGTCGTCGTGGGGCCATCCTGGGAGCTGCTGAGCTTATACACAGGAAGAGCAGGTTTTCGAGCGAGTGAGTTGATGAACGAACTCTTGCCAGACTGCAGACGAGGACTGAGTATCGCTACAAACATTGAAGAGTGCTAAGACATACGTTTGTGAACCCGACGATAGCCACGACGAGCGGCTCGTCGGAAGGCTTCTCAGCAGCAAAGTTCTCCAGGGTAGTAGCAACGGAACTCCAGCCTAGAGCATCGTCAACGCGCTCTTTGCCCTTACCTTTCGCCGGTGAAGACCCAGAGGCGGGCATAAATGCCGATGCAGAGCGGAAGAGGACTGTTGGGTGCTGTGCACGGAGATATGTAGTCCACGACGAAACAGCTTCGCGAGGACATCCGTCTAAGAGTCGTGGCGACGGTTAGCGGTTGCCTATGCGCACAGCGCAGAACGCACCAATTTTGCCCATTACCAAAAGCATCCTTTTCCCACTCTCCTTCACGACCTCCTCCAGGTGGGTGCTATGGTATGCAAGCGGATCGCGAGCATCCAGAACCTCGACCACAACGTCGGCGGCATCCAAGACAGATTTCAGATCGGGAAATTCATGACTAAGGAGTGCAGGAGCTTTTTCATCCTCAGCATCCTCAGTAGAGGGAGCAGTCGTTATTTTGCTACTGCCGAAGGCGTGCTTGGCACTGTGAAGCGCAGCGATGCCGTCGAAGGCGACCTCAGATCCCTCATCATCTAAGGCCTCTTCCGTACTGGCAGCAGCAACGGCTTTAGCCTGCTTCTTGAGCTCTTTCCGCAGCTGCTTGGCTTCTTCAGCTTGGCGGCGCTGTTCAGCAACCTCAGCAAGAATCTGGTCCTTGTACGGGAAATTGTTCGGGATGCCCGGATCTTTCTTTTGCTCTTATACAGATGAGTCCGGGTGCTTATTCGAGACGTACTACGGGACGTACTAGACTTCCACTGGGGATTTTTCTTCGCCTCCTTCTGCCTCTTCTTCCGAGTCTCTCTGACTTTGCTCTTAATCCTCTCGCGGTGGTGAGTAGTGCCACGCTTGCTTGTCCCTAGAACGAAAGTCAACAGATGATCACCATCGCGAGCTTTCTCTGCGTACTTTTCCTGATACGAGGCATGATAGGTGTGCAGAACTAGAGATCGACCAACCAATGGGAGAGGGAGGAGGGGAAATTTAGGAAGCGCCCAAATACTGTATCACAGCTGCACGGATGAGACTGTGGAGCTCAGATTTTGGGATTCGGACTTTCGTGACCTGAGGCTTGATTTTTGTCTGAAATGCGTCCGACCGAAATCATGATTTTGTGCAACGCGAAATCCGCCCCGGTCCGAGATCTTCCCGCAACAATTCGGCGCCCAAAGAGCCTCAGAGCTCACTTCGTTCGCGTTCGATACATAAAAGTGCACATTGAATGGCGGAAGACTACAATAGAACATATGTATAGTATAGGCTGCAGGACATTCAGCCATGGCGGATGCTGGAGCAGCAGGCTGCGGGACGGAGAACGGTCCATCATCAAGCTCACTGATACCTTTGCCCGTACAGGACCGGTACGCTGCTAGTATTGTCGTCGTCCTCAAGGAGACCACTGCGTCTCCGAATCAGATTATGCTTCGGTACTGGAGCTATCTGAGGGTGCCGGGGGCGCAAGCAACATCTCTGCTTGCACGGGTAGTGATCACTCAGAAGAATGAAGTGGACTTGGCTGCCCCAGTCAGCCCGGTTTAGTTGTCGGGTGCCTGGTCGGGCGGATTGCTAGGTAGCTGCGGGTCGTGAATAGACCCTAGCGGGTTCATCTCTAGTTGGTCGGAAGCCGCAGCCTGATCAGCCTCGGGCAGTTCAGCGAGACCGGCCGGCATATGTGGGCGGAGTGGTTGACATGGGCATGATGCATCCGGCAAATTTAATAAGGAATTATGTGCCAAAGGTATTGCGTAGAGATAGAATTGTGATATGATTGGTGGGCCGATAACACTCGAGGGGCGATGAAGGAGGCAAGGGTGAATCTGCGCGGTTTGAGCATGGAGACACGTTCGATGCACTCAGGATACGGGCGGGCATAGGCACAGGTTCAAATTGACACGACTGCCGAGCTCGCGTACACATGTGCTTGCGTCGTGGTGAAGAGCTTTTGGCATGCCTAGTTCTCCACAGATGACATAGTCGATGCCATACTGGCGGCATTCCGTGCTGCGAGCACAAAGACTCATTTGCACAAGTCTTAGACGCGGAATTTCTGGCGAGCAGACTCACGATTCTTGGGTGTAGAGAATATTGCCAGATTCTCAGATGCGGAGTATCTTGAGACTTGTATGACATGGTCAGACAAAAACCAACACTCAACGATCAGATTCCCGAATGACCGAAATCGCGCCCGCGTGATGTTCAATATCTCCCAGATACTGTCACCAGTCTCATCCGTGCAGCTGTGTAGCCAGTTCGCCGCCCGAGTGCGAAATTTGGTTTACGTGGCTGATAGACATGTATCCGATCATGTGGTTTATTAATTGAGGTGAGCAGTACATCCGCAGGATCATACAATGGAGGCGGGGCGGTTGCAAGTGCGGAGCGGTGTCAACTCTCCAGCCGAAAAGTATACGTACCATGCTGTGCCCGCTGATGAGCTTGTCGACCATGCTGCGCCTCGCCTGTACCCACCTTCCCTAAATTTGAGAAGAAAACAGAAATCGTAGTCGTCTGGTTGTCATCCTGAGGACGAGGTTAGCATTACTTACCGCGAGGAAGAGCCTCAGCTCATCGTCGCACCCGAAAGGAAAATGTATTGTTTTCGAGGACAACGACACGCACCGGAAACACCTTGCAGATCATTCAAGTGGCGCCCGTGTACTTGGGTTTGAACAGATTCACAGAGGGTCGTAGCGAAGGAGATTACAGGAACATTGGAAGGCGTTATGACAGCAAACTTGATAACTTGGGTTTTGTGCTATTCGACGAGGATTGCAGACTGCGATCTTCCATAGAGGTAAAACATGATCAACTTGAGGCAACTAACTTGAGGTAACTGCGCATGCATTGCGATAACCGGGGCCGCGTAACTCTTCATCACTTGCGCCTTGGCCCTTCACACCTTTGACCACCGAAGCGGATCTTCCCTGAACAGGCCAGAGCTGTAGACAGTCGCAACCGCAAGCAAACGCGAAAGAAAAGGGTCAAGCAACAGTAAGACATCGTTCACCAACGAGGCTCCCCGTTAGAAGCGGCAGCTGTGGCAGGACCATCATAGTCACGACCGCCACGAGCAGGGCTGCTTCCACGAGGGGGGCTCCTAGAGTAGCTTCGACGCCTCCTATAGTCAGGAGAGTAGCGGCTGCGAGGCGGAGGGCTTCGGCGGTCACGCCAGTCCCGGTCTCTGCCGTAGTGGTCTCTATCCTTGTCGTCCTTATCGTGGCGGCGAGAGTATGGGTCGCGGTCGCGTTCACGATCACGACGATCACGGGGTTCATCGTAGCGGTCGTAACGATCTTCACGGCCGCTGTAAGAGTCGCGTCCGCGGCGACGGCGGTGTCCCATGTATTCTCCAGGGGTGGGAGCGTGGGGCCTGTCGGTAACGGAGTAGTCGACACGAATACGACGCCCGTTTAGTTCCTGCATACAGGTATCAGCACAGGCCAGGCTTGAGAGACAGTAGCATACACACCACTCCATTGAGCTCCTTGATGCACCTTGAAGCCTCTTCGACGGTAGACATTGTGATGAAGCCAAAGCCTCGAGAGCGATCGGACTATGCCACGGATTAGCATCACATGGTCCGAGGACACGCACACATGTAGTGGAACTCACACGCTGGTCATACACAATGACAACCTTCTCCACACGACCGAAGCGGCTGAATTCTTCGTCTAGGTCACGCTCGACGGTGCGAATGCTCAGGCCGAAGACTCCCAACACGCTGGAGGGATTAGGCGCCTGCTTCGCCACGTTAGCACTGGCTCGGAAAGGGGAAAAAGGTGAAAACACCAACAATTGGAGCCTGCGCAGGCCGCTTGGGGACTGGCGAGGCCCTGCGGAAGGAGTCCCTTGCTGGGGAGCGAGAGCGAGAGCGACCCCTCGGCGGCGGCACATCCCGGTCGCGATCAGCGGGGTGTGGGCCAGAGGAGGGCTGGTCGTTGTACGCCTCGGCATAGGGGTCAGCAGGTGGAGGTGCAGTTTCGCCGTACTGAGTGTCCATGATAGCGTTGGTGTTGAGTCCCGGTGGTTAGTGGTCAGGAGCGACGACGAGGAAAGGGGATGACTCACCATCATCGTCGCAAGGAGTGGTTCCAAACGTCCCCTTTGTTTGTACTTGTTTGTGCGGCGCTATCGGGCTAATTTTCAGTCACCGCGAGCAGAGCGCCAAACCTTATTTTCGGGTGCTGGCTAGTTCTTCAGCCACTTGCCCCCTGCGCCGTTTGGCTAGGTCCCTATTCAGCAAGTCCGACAAGAGCAAGATGGTGAGCTCGTCGTTATGCGCGCTCTGTGTATCTAAATGCTAAGTGTGGTTATGATTCTTCATTAGGGTATTGACCTCGCCAAGCACCACGTCAAGAAGGGTATCCGAACCGCTCCCAAGAGTGAGGATCCCTACTTGCTCTTGCTCGTCAAGGTACCTATCAAAATGCATTCTTCGGACGACTATGAGCTCATTCATATACGATAGTTGTATCGCTTCTTAGCGCGGCGTACCGATTCGGCGTTCAATAAGGTCTTACAAGTCTCCTGGCTCACCCATTTTGCGATACTAAGCGCATTCCACTAGACCATCCTCCACCGCCTGTTCCTCTCCAAGATTAATCGCCCCCCTATGTCTCTCTCCCGCATCCTCAAGGAGACTACAAGCGCCCCCAACCGTCATAGTCAGACTATTGTCATCGTCGGCACCGTTACCGATGATGTCCGTCTGCTCGAGATCCCGAAGCTGACCGTTGCCGCGCTCCGCTTCACCCAGTCTGCCAGGGAGCGTATCCTTAAGGCCGGTGGTGAGGCTTTGACTCTCGACCAACTCGCTCTTCGTGCGCCCACGGGCTCGAACACCATCTTGCTCCGCGGCAAGCGAAACACCCGGGAGGCCGTCAAGCACTTCGGCATGGGCCCCCACAAGCACAAGAAGCCCTTTACGACCTCCAAGGGCCGCAAGGTGTGTAATACGCTTCTTATAATATCCTGGAAGCTGACTTGTGCCTTCAGTTCGAGCGGGCACGTGGTCGCCGAAAGTCTCGTGGTTTCAAGGTCTAATCGTACCTCCAAAATGGACGCGCAGGCGGTTCGCTCGCCGTCGCAGCAATGCAGAATGGGCTTATGGTGGAATTCCATTCATGCGTTATGGGCGGCTGCGTTTCTTTACAGCTATTCTATGTGCGACATGCAATTCAACCTTGGACGTATGTCTTCGATCCAAACGCGCTCCACCGTTTTGTCGGTTTATTCCGGCTTGTATTATCAGTCTGTATTGCCATCCTAAGAAAACTCTCGTTATTCGTAAGTGTCCAGTGTACCCGCGTGAGCTGCTGGTCATTTTACAAGCCTTGCATCGTGTTATTCATCCTGGCCACTTTTCCACACGTTAAAGCTCTCGCCCCGGAGGCATACAATCGGTAGCACCCTGGTGTGGCCTTGCAGTAATGACCACTGACGTTTGATGTGACCCACAGTACCTCGCTTCTTCGACCACTCTGCGAAGGCCAATCTTCGTGTCTTGTATCGTTATCCGACCACGAACTTCTCGTGGCTTCGCTCTTTGCTGCTCCCACAACCACAGTAGAGGTTGATGTCCCGCCAACCCGTGCTGGCCTATATGTAAACGGCGACTGTGACTTATAGAGTCAAATAACCGGTAGCTCTCTGTATCCTCCGCTCGGTGAAAATAATGCACCGTTCTACGTTTCCAGTAGCGGCCCGCGTGGCCGAACGGTCGCCAGTGCCCCATTTGGCAGCTACAATTAATGTAGGACCACTCCTTGGGACAGCACCACTCCTTGGGACACTCCACTTTCTGCCCTTGCACAGCCTGTAGGACCTATCACTACCACTTTACTGTATATAATACATCTATATCTATATGCCATTAGAAACTCAGAGCCGTCCGGTGATTGTAGCGTGGGTGGGGGAGCAAAAAGCCTCAAAAATTGTCAAGCGCGCCGGTCTCAGTGATGCTGCGACCATCATCAGAGTCGCACAGTGAGCCTAAAATTCGCAAAAATATTCGTTAACACTCTGATTTATGCTCCATTCATGTAAAAATGCGCATAGTGCTCAGTTGTTAAGTGTCGAGCTGGAATACATCAGAGATGATTCTACTGAGCTTAGGCGTTACTGAGGCGTGACAAATTTGACTGCCGTGTGACCGCTGCATCCGCCAAGACTGCTGGTACAGGTCACAAATTATCACTTTTGTCACATCAGTCACGGTGTCCCAAGGAGTGGTAGCCACTGTCCTGGACCACCTTCGTCTTGTGTCCTTTGTCTTGACTTTAGCTTTCGTCTTTTCGCCTTGCAGCTTTGCACTGAGATATTTTATATGTTTTAATAATATAATACGATTTATTTGGTATTTATATGCGGGAGACATACGAAGGGGAAGCGAATATTGATCAGGTGTCCCAAGGAGTGGTCCTATACTGTAATAAATTAATAATAATAATTATTATTATTATTGTCTGTCTGGCGTCCGGGTGGCGTCTGTTCTGGCCCTTATCAATCTCAAGTTGTTCGCTCATGTCTCGTTGCTGCAAACATATTCTTGTTATGCAATGAAATCAATTATGTGCGACTGTCTGATGTGCTGTCTTTCAGATTCCATTTAACTGCAATCCGTTTGATGTTAGAAGCAACTGGAGCTTGTGAAATTATCGCTGGAGGAATATTGCTTGTTTGTGACTTTCCTTCTGTCCACGACGACTGAGCCGAAATTGGTGTATCAGGCATACCACGGCAGACGGCACGCGTGTCGTCTGCCTCTCAACGTCCGCATTCTACACGTGTTAGACAACCCTGCCTTTCGCGTCCAGAAGTCCCGTCCAGAACGCCAGGGATGTCGATTATGATCGAAAGTCTGCCGGTTATCAGCTGTGCGGTGGGACTCTATCTGAGATTTTCGTCACAACATTTAAGTTTATTCTGACAGACAACCTTGGCACTGCCAGCAGCGCGCGACTAAGTGTATTAACGGTGTCAATGCGGCGAGACCTCGCAACTCAGGATCTCCATATCGCAGCGACACCAGCTGCGTAAAACCTAGATGTGCAGCCACCGCACGCTTGGCTAACTACCATGATAATGCTTACTGTCTCTCAGTAGTAGGTTTCCTCGCCGCTTTGTGTTGTTCACCCGCTAACCCTTCGGCGGTGGTTTTACAGCGCTGACCAGCTTCCACCGGCATTCAGCTCGCGCTGTGCTGTGTGCCCTGCTTCTCGTGCCGTGCTCTTGGCGACGCCGTGCACCCGACTTCGAAGGGCAGCGTGAGGTACGTTCCTACCATAGAGGGATCAAATGGTTCCATTTGGTGTATGGCTTCCGATATCGATTGCACTCGGAACGGTATCCGAAAGGGCCATTTATCTCAAAACGGCATGGCAGTCTCAATCCGCCATTTATGCCGCCTCGTCCAAACTTAATTCTACCGCGATGAGCTACCTTCGGCTTCATGCCTTCATTATAGCTGTGTGTCATTCGGTGAGTACCATTGTTATCTCCGCGCCAAATTAATCGCGATATTCGTTACATGTTCTCATAAGCCATCAAACTAGTATTGCAGTATGGTCCATCCCGAGGGACTGAGGCAAACACTATTCCTCATTTTCGCCGACATGTTTGTCTCACCAGGTAACGCAGTCTCATTTGATACGAATGGTCCACTTACCGACCTTCTCGATGTCCCTTTAACGCCCACGCGCCCTGCCCACGCGTTAGTAGCGTCTTCGGACCCTTAGCCATCGTCCAATCGCAGTACAAGGTCCGGGCCTCCCTATGTCCCCTTATATCCCCCGCCCCGACAGCGCGCTTCTCGTCACGGATCGGCCCCGCACCCACCGATCGTGTTCGCAGAACCCATCGCGCTGCCGTAAGACTCGCCACCGCGCGATTAAAGACTGATTGGCACGACCACGATCGGTGGGCCCGTGCGTGGTTCTCGGCCGCGCACGGGCCCAATAAAGCACAAGAAGGGCCCCAGGAGAGGGCGAGCCGGATGGAAGGACGAGAGAGGGGGGCGTCAGCGTGCCTGGCGATGCTTATATTGGCGTGGGCACCCTGACGCTCCCTTTGATGCCCGACGACGTCGGCTTCTTGTGCTCGACGCGCCGGAGACCGAGCGTGCGGATCTCGCGGGGGCGGCGACGGCGGGCGGGAGGCGCGTCGGGCGGACCGTCAGACGGACAGGTGCGTCATCGGGAGCGAGGACAGCCTGTGCTGATGCGAGACCCAGCGGGAAGATGGACGTGACGACGCTTGACAGGTCCGAGGTCCTTTTTACGCGTCCTTGGCCCAGGCGGCGGCTTCTCGCGTCTTCAATCTTTTTTCCAGCACATGACTTGCTACATGCGAGATAGATGGGGCGCACGCGCGCGCAGCGACGCGGGTCCCGCGTACACTTTCCGCGTAGTCTCCGAGGGTCCGTGTAGCAGGGAAGGGCGATGCATCGAGGACGGGCATCGGAGATGTTCCATGCCCCAGAAAGTTCGGAGAGGGATGACCTGCTGCAGGTGTTCACGAGTTCACTTGCTGTTATAGCCTGCTCTGAATGGGCAGGGCGAAATCCTCATCCATCCATCGATTTTTTGTCATCTGACGCGTTCTTGGTCTAATGAGCAGGAGGTAGCGAACGGAACGCCGTGCATGCAAAGTGTGCGAGGGCGTCCCAGCAGAAATGGGGTGAGCAGTTTTCCTCCGTGCCATCCTCATTCGACTTGAACCACTCAAAATACGGTTAAGTCTCCGCCGCCTGCATATGCCTGGTGTATTCTCGCAAACCCTGGCGGGTGACTGTGCACCTAGAACACGGTATTACCAAGCCCTTACAAGAGAATACCATTTCCATTTCCTGCTTTGGGGGAGACGATCTCCGCAAATGGGCACGGTCACCAGCCTGGGGCGATCGCCAGGAGAGGCTGGGCCTCGTTAACGCTTTCGACCGGGCGCTTCCCCGGCCATTCTGAACACACCAGAGGATGTGTAACCTCCCCCGCTGAGATCCTCCGCAGATTTGGTCCCTCGGGATGTATACCGACGCGTTACCCACACCGTATTGACTCCGTGCAACGTTCCAGGGTCTGGCAGGTTACAGGTGCATTCGCGTACATACACAGCGTGAAGATAGTCGGAGCGCCCTCGAGGTTCAGTCGCAGCGCAGGCTGGCAGCCGCGTTCTCATGGATCTCTGGTACAGAGATGCCATTGCTCATGATCCTCCTCCTCCTTCGTCCTGCGATCCCCTTGTCTGCGTGGAGGCGATCCCGCCCGGCTCTTCACGTCTGCGCACGTCTTCTTCTGACGCGGAACGTACCGCGTCCGGCTCGTCTGCACGCCCAGCCCAGCAGCGCGGTTCGCCTTCTTGTTCTCTTTGGCGAGAGCTGCCCGGCACGGTCCGCTTATCGTCGCACCCCTGCTGTTTTGCGCCCAGGGAGACATCGATACACGCGTTCGCGCGTTGGAACATGAGAAAAACGCCGAGTCCAACCCGTACGCGTTGCCGCGCGCCCGCGCGGGCGGGTCGCGTAATGAGCACACACACGCCTGGCATCGCTCACGCCGTCTGTTTTTGCCCCAGCGGAAAGCCAGGGGGCGTGTGCTCCAATTGGCACATACGCGTTACCCCGCGTACCCGCGCCAGATTCTGCCGAACGGATCAGCTGTGCACGAACATACGTCAGGACAATGGAGAGGGAAGTTCCAGCTCTCGTCCCAAGTTCGCCGGGCATTCATACGTCCGATGCCTCGGGAGTGTCGACGATCCACCCTGCTGAGGGCGTGCTATCCTGAGTATCAGAGCAGAGACGCGGCAGGCTCGGGATAAGGGACGTTGCAGAGGGGGAGGATGGGAGGATAGGCATTCGAGGCCAGGAAGCGCCCCGAGAGCTTCGCGCCATCGGATTCTTCGGTTGGTGCCACAGCCGCGTGAGGTCGAGGCCTGGACTGTGCGTAGGTAGAAAGGGCTAGATGTGATCCGTTTAGGTTTGCCTGTTCGCCGGCGCAGTCGTCGTCATTACCGAGTGCATTGCAAGACTGAGGGGGAGGGAGGCCCTGTCGACGCACACGATGACGGGCGGGGTGTGCGTCGCGGCATCGCACATATGAGAGACGAGGTCTGAACGCTAAACGCTTCTGCAACTTAGCAGGGCCGCGGCCGTGCACGGAGCGAACTGATAGAAGTGTTCTGTATGCCAAAGCACGGCGCGTTTCTCCCAAGCGGCAGCCCCGTCGTGGCACGGCAACGCAGGATAAGGGGGGCGTATGACCAGAGGCCGTGCCTCGAGGCGCAGGCACCTGGTGCGCCGCATATGATGCTCTCTCATACGCTAACAGACACGGCGCTGCGAAGAAGCTTTCGTCCTCACCCGGATAGCACAACAGCTGCGGCAGTGCCCATGCAATTGTGAACCTGAATGTGAGTAGATGTGAACCTGCGGAGGGAGATGAATGAACTCTGATCGTGGCCTAGTCTGATGAAATTCTTGAGCCCGATTCAATGTGCGATCGTAATTTACAAACGGGGACACATGAGCTTGTGTGCAGTCTGTGCATGGCTTGCACACATGAGCAGTAGCAATGAGATGCTGGCCCCGACAAGCACGAACGACCGTAACAAAATAGAACCCGATGGACAGACAGCGCCTGAATTACCGGCTGAACTGGGCCCGTTTTATCTGTAAGGAGTGAAAAAGAGAGAAGGAAGAAAGTTCGGGCACTGGATTGCTGTGAAATATCGGAGTCGGAGAAAGGTAGAGAGGCTTATTCATGCTGATCCAGGTCAAACGGCAAAACCAGAGAGAGCAGGTTGCAATCAGCGATCTGCGTGCGAAGGGAGGCCCGGAGGGCAAAGGACGGAAGGGGATGAGGTGCCGAGGCGTCCGCTGTTGCGGTTTGGCAGACTCGTGTTGGAGCCAGGGTCTGGACGGGGAATGAAATTGGCGAGTGTATTGCAGCAGGTGGACGCTATCTGGAGAGTGAATAGGACCCGAGAGAAGTGTGAGAGAGTGATGCGGCGGGCAACGCGGGACTGGGCAATGTGGGAGGTAGACAGGCGGGATTTGGCGGCGGCGACGCCTGGGTCGCGGTGCTCGTCGGTGGCGGGGCCGCCGGGTCGACCTGAGAGGCAGCGCACGCCGAGGACGGTGTTCGGGACACGTCGCAAGGGGCCGGGGGCTTCTAATGAGACAGGGCCTAGAACGTGGGTAGAAAGAGGGGTGGATCAGCAGGAGCATGTTAGGAACGATTGGGCGATATGAGAGCGGCGAGTGTGTGGTCAGTGCACAAGTGGGGCCGTCGACAGAAGCACAGGAGGAGGAAGAGACGTTGGCAACGTTGGAGAGGCTACGGACGATCTCGATAGCGGCGGGGTATGGATGGGACGAAAAAGGAAAAGAGCGCGTGATCGTGGAGCTGCAGGGACACATGATAGAATAGGCGGCCAATGAGAAAATAGCGGAGAGCGAAAGGGATGACGTCCGATGCCGTCATAACTTGGGAGGGAGAAGCGGACGACTCCTGCTCTCCGTCGTCATCGTCGTCACCCGTCCCTGCTCTCTCTCTCGCCAGAGAAAGTGCACAAGATGACTGCCTCAGACTCGCCCTCCCCGACGTCAGTCTCTCCAGCTGAGGAAAATACCACCAAACACCCCGCTCCTCACCGCCCGCCCCCCCGCCCACAGCGCTCCACCTTCGACCTGGAGCCCAACCCCTTCGAGCAGTCCTTTGCACGCCCGACAAACGACTCCAGCGTCCGCACAGGCCAAAAGTCGCCCACCAGAGACAGCGCTGCCTCCTCCGCCAATGCCTCCGACCACGCCAACCAGCCTCTCACCTCCCGCCCCAGCTCGGGCTCCAACGACAGATCATCTCGCTCCTCGCCGTCCAACGACCCCCGCAAAACTGTCCTCCCGCCCATAGACGCCATCTCATCGCCCTCCGATCCGTCCTATTCATGGGCTTTCTCCTCGGCCTCCCTTGCCAACTCTCTCCGCTCGGGGCCACTCAGCCCCGCCATGCTCACTGCGCCCCAGCAGCAGTCAGAGCAGCCTCTCGCTGCCTTCGACCCCGCCGCCTTCCGCACCGGTCTCACTCCTCGCACCGGCCTCACTCCAGGCACTGGCCTCACTCCTCTCATCGGCGGACCCGTGTCATTCCCTCCTCCGTCGCCCAACACCGCGGCGTTTTTAGCCATGATGAATAACAATGGCCCGCCTAGCTTGAGTGGGGTTGCGGGTACGATTACTCCAAACACTCTCTCCGCTATTACAGGTGTCCTCTCCAACTCTCACTCCTCACACACACACGCATCTTCACCTCTCAGCATGAGCACCGTCACTTCGGGCTACGCCCGCGATAACAACCCCGCGTCGACACAGCCGGGTTATCTGCAGTCGGCGTCGGCAGCAGCTAGTTCGGCCGCCAACGGCCTCTTCCTACTCTCGCAGGCCCACCAGGAGCTGACTAAGCGCGAGGAAGCACAACGCGCGAATTCCGCGGCAGCGGCTGCTGCTAGTCCTGTTAACCCGCCGCCAATCAACACCCAGGTGAACGGTAACAGCACCAATGGCACCAACAGGCGAGGCACCAAGCGCAAAGCGACCGCATCGTCATCGTACGAGCCGCCCTCACCGATCAGCGCATCGACACCGGTGCAGTCCTCACTGCCCGCTTCTAAGCGGACACGGAGCCAGACCATGGCAGCCGGACGGAGGGCGTCGACAGTCAGCTTCGGCGAGGAGGAGGAAGAGGAAGAGGACGAGCAGCTATCACCGACGCCTCCATCGGCGACGATCAATGGCAAGAAGGGTGCGGCCAATGGCCAGAAGAAGCCAGAGACGGAGGAAGAAAAGCGGAGGAACTTCTTGGAACGGAATCGACAAGGTAAGGTCAAACATTTCGATATTTGCATTGCCTACTGACCTCAGTTGCGCGTGTAGCCGCTCTCAAGTGTCGGCAACGCAAAAAGGCATGGCTATCTCAACTTCAGGCCAGAGTCGAGTTCCTACAGAACGAGAACGAGAGCCTGTCGCAGGCGCTTATGTCCGCGCGGGAGGAGATCACACGTCTCTCAGCTCTCGTCGGGACGGGTGCGGCTGGTGGTGTTGGCACCGTCACCGTTGTGCCAAACGTGCCTGGAGTGAACGTCAACGGTGTGCCTGTCAATGGCGCGAACGGCGTGTCTCTCTCTTCAACGGCTCATAGCCAAGGACATGGGCAAGCCTCTTCGCAAGCCTCACATGGATCGCACGGCTCGGCGCATCCGGCCTCGCACCAATCGCACAACGGTCATCGGCCGAGCCAGAGCCCGACAGGCCCAGGCGCACCTGGGAGCATCGCGCCCATCTCAGTGAACGTTAGCCTTCCCGGCGCGGGCAAGAGTCTTTCTGCGTCGGCCCCGCAGGCAGGCATGGTTGGCGCAGGTGGTGGGCGGGGGTACGGTTATTGATGGGAGAGCTGCCAGGAGAGCCGCCTCGATGGACTCATACACGACATCTCGGCGCATCCCGTTCGTTTCTTGTTTCTGCTAGCGGTCCTGCCGGCGCATGTCGTTCGCAGGGGAACATGAGTTGCCGTCGAAGAGTGCGCCTTCTAGGACTCTGTATGTCATGTCTTTCTGCACGTCAACTGCTTTTTTTTAACTGCACTCAGCACATCCGCATTGCCACCTATCCTATGTTATTCGTAAAGACCGTAAAGCTTTTCTGCACGAGACTGACACTTTCTGTCTTGGCTCACCCCCTTCGTCCACTGCTCCGCACCCTTATCGAAAGCCATGCTCGCTCCGCCTCTGCGTTACGTATGATACGGCTTGCTTACCTGTTCCCCTCCCATCTCGTTCCGACGCATCTCCTGCCATGTCCAGTGTCCGCTCCTATCGCTTCGTACTCATGTGTATAGTACCCGTTGCATGCCTGCACTAACATTCAACGCGACGCATTCTAGAGTGCGCTCTTCGTGCATGAGCTAGTGGAGCATTTAGGCGTGCGATCGCGTCGGTAGTTAATTCCACAGTTGAAACATACATCTTGTCTCCGGAAGTACTCTATTACAATACAAACTGTCATCTACGCGCTCCGGCAACCAACTTCCCGCGTTCCTATCGCGCGCTGTGTCGTATACGCTCTAGCGGTAACACACACACAGCTATCCTGTCCCGAACACGACGGAGGCAGTGGGACTGTCATTTTCGAGGCAGCTAAGGGGGGTTAGGCAGGCCCTGTGGCGCTCGCGCGCGCACACGTCCGCAGGGCTCCGCGGGAACAAAGAGGCCAGCCCTGAGATGGCCCGATAGAACACACAGTATACAGATCGCACATCGGTGGGGAGGGTCCAGACGGGAAGCGTTGCGGCAGGACGGGCAGCACCCCCCGTGCGCGTGGGCCACGACAAGGTTCGCGAGGGCGAGCAAGGTTCGTGGGAGGCGAGGGCTGGGCCCCGCAGGCAGGCAGGCAGGCCTGGGCTCGACTGCAGCAGAGTGGCAGCGGAGGGCCCGGGCCTGAGAGGGCCCATGGCATGCGCAAGGGATGGGCGGGCGTGTCCTCGGGCGCGCGAGGGAAGTGCGGAGATTGGCTTGCGGTGCGTGGGCATATCGCAGGGGGGCGTGTGCATGCAAGGTTGCCGGAGGATTAGAGACTGATTGGACCCTTGGGGACGTGGTGGGAAGCTTTTGCAAGTGTGGGGTGTGGGGGACTCAGCGCGGAGAAGGTGATATCGTGCACTTGGGACGCGCCGTTCGATAGCTATCATGGCGGAGGCGCAGTCCGAGGGTGCCATCGTGCTCTCGGATGAAAAGGTAGCGAAGGCAGTCGCCGGTCTGTTGCGGCCGAGGCTGAAGTTCACCTTGTGAGAAAGATTAGCGCGACCTGTGGTAATGTGGTCAATAGGGCTGCGTGATAGGCATCTTCTCCGCTCGGCGAAAAGCAGACCTTAGAATACTGCAGGTCTGCGCGTGTCACGGGGATAGCAGAATGGTGTTATCGGACAGGGCAGAACAAGAACGTTGACAGGTACAGTTTCGAGTGAATACCGCGTCAGGACGCGTCCGCTGCTTGTGGTGGAAGTCGTCGGCGTGCATCTTACGATGCAACCTTCGAGAACTTCATACCAGGATAAGCAAAAGCGCTACGGCCTGGCTTGCAGTTTGCTAAGGGTGTATCCTGCGCGAATCAGGGTGCGAGTATTGGAAGTGACGGTCGTAAGATATGACCTCTAGAGGAACTTGAGGCATTCTGGCCTCATGCTCATGAACCTGGTATAACGTGAAGTATCTAGAGAAGCATGAAAGAAGCCCGCTAGTGCCACGGATATGTGTGCAGAAGCCAAATTGCGAACGCAGCCTGGCGCGTGTGCCTGGAACGTGTGTACGGTCATTAGATTGAACGTCGAGCAACTGAGGCCGCCGCTGGCACAATGCTTAGGAGAAACATCGAGAGATTATGTTGCGTACATGCAAGAACACGCATTGAAAATTGGAGTCTGATCCGCAAGTCTTTCATGTGGTTCAACACCTCCACAAATCCGAGTCAGTACTTAGCAATCCGGTGTGGAGCTCAGGCCTCAGGCCCACCAGAAGCATTGAAATTATACCGCGTACAAGCAAGGCTACGCATCGAAGTCTGATCCGCAAGCTTCGACAATAAAGTAGATTTGTCATGTGGCCAGGAAACCTTCATAATCTCGAGTCAGCATTTACCAGTTCGGTGTTGTGTTCAGGCCTTGCTTTGCAAGTAGTACGGGGCCTGCGCGAACGCCGGAGTATAGGCGCAAGGGTGCGGAAAATCCCCACTCCGCTCGCCATCCGCGAAGTCGCCTCGTGACGAGGCTAGTGATGCGCTCGCGTAGCTCAATGAGGAAAACCGCATGCGATCACCTTCGCGAATGTATTGTCAGATCTGGCCGTATGATAGGCTACTGGAAAAGACGTCCACGGCTATAGACCGCCCGTGAGCTGTTTGAGACTGAGTACTTTAGCCTCAAAGCAGACGGAATTATCCGAATTGATCACCATGAGGTTAAGTCACCTACTTGCTCCCGCTCGCGGAGGGTGAAGAGCAGATGTGTAAATCAATGAGTCCCGGCGTATATTGCGGCATATAACGTACACAATACATACAGGCAATGTATCTGTGTGTCTGCGCTAAAAATCATCAACGGTCTTGCATGAGCCAACGTAAACGTTCGTGGCAAAGAAACCATAACGCCACACCACACGACTGCTCGCCAGGCCTTCTGCCGATAATTCAGTTGTAACACTTCTCGAGGTCGCCATCGCCGCTCGAGCGCGCGTAGTGCTGACTGTCGACGAAATTTCCTAACGTGCATAGACTGTGCTTCTTCTGCCAGTGCGCGGACTGCCGATCAACATCGTGGCTGCAGAATTCGAGCGGCTGGAGATCGTCGTTAACGAAGATACGGACAAAGGTGCCGCTTTTGGTCCCGTGCTTCCGCGATTTGACATCTTCTGCAGCCCCGGCCAGAAGTCTCGGGCTCCAATGCGGGTTGACTTGCCTTCCCTCGAACCCACCCACCTCTTCCGGAGGGGTCAGGCACTGCAGTCGCTCGACGACCATCCGGGCACTGAAGGGAACCATGCGACTGGCAAGCCATTCTCGATCCATGTCCTTGGGCATCTTTTTGGGATCGAGTGGCGTCGAGACGTTGAATAAACCGAGCACACTGTAAACCGCGATCATCAAGTTTTCGTGTGTAAAGTCGGCATAGAGAGCGCGATCAAGTGGGAACGGTAAGGAGTAGTTGTGCTGTGTATGGTCGGCCACTTTTGACTGCGTCAGACGGGCGAGGAGCTCATTGACGTAGCCGACACCCCGTACAGGGCCCAATGGGTTGCCGTAGCTGATGGAGGTGTGTTAGGAGAGACTGCAGAATCAAATGGACTGTGCGGCCTACCCCGTCTTATAGTACTTCTCGACATTGCCCCAATATTCCCATTCCTTCCAATTCTTCGGAGTGAACAGGTCGCAGAAGGGGCTTTTAGCAGCTTTGCGCCGCATTCCGCGCATCTCTTGGCTCCCGTCGGAAATTGTCTCGAACACACAGACGCCAATAAGCCGATGAACATCTTCGTCCTCGAGCTCGACACCCTCCGCCATCTTTTTGAGCCTATGGATGACCGAGGGTGCGAATTGACGAAGCCACTGGTCCGTGTACTTCTCTTCAGAAGGAGCGTTGGGACAGTCGTCGTTCAGGGTATTATTCACGTTCTCGGAAATAATTTGTATCGGAAGCGGGGCGTCTGGCGGAAGGTGAGGAGATCCGAGGAAATGCGGTGGCAGAAAACCTGCAAGATGTAGCTATAGATAAAGCTTTATCCCAAAGACTGACAGAGCGTACCCCGGCTCCAATTTCCCGCGGAGTCAACGACGCGCTGTATGCCAGATGCGCGGATAAATGGTAGGGTAGTTGCCAATAGGTATGAATAACGCTCGTAAGCCTGCTGCCCAGCTTCAAAAGACCTGCCAGTAGCAAGCAGTTAGTCATATGGTACCGCCGGTAGGGGATCGTTACGTACTGCTGAGCCCCGAAAGCGATCAAATCCTCCTCCCCAAGCGTGTATTCATACTCCTTCAAAAACTTCAAGTCATCATGCAACTTCTTTGCAGACTGCAGGCGTTCTATGGCCACTTCGTAGTCGTCATCTTTGTTAGGGTAGCGGGCCCCGTGGCGTTGGAGCTAGTAAGAAAAAAGAAATGTCAGCATGAGTGCGGTGCGTGAAGGGAACTAAGACACGTACAATGTTGACTTGATCAATAACACAACTTGCTGGGGGTGAGACGTACTTTCCCGCAGGGAAATAGGGTGAGTATTGTCCCCATCGCCTCTGTATCTTCTCAGGCACGCCCAGCTTAGGGACGCCTGACTTCACTCCCTTGACTCGGTTGGTACCAGTGGAGGGGAGTAGGAATCGAAGACTTTCGGGGATGTCAAACTCTGTTGAGCAGCTGGACCTCGAGAAAATGAATAGTAGTAGAGTGATGATGCCTGCGGCAACCACCAAGCTACGCTTTGTTCTGCTCCTCGTTGGTCCGGGAGGCGATCCCGGGACAGCGGGGTCCACAACGGGGAGCGTAGGCAACTTTTCCTTCTCCAAGGGTCGCATGGGGATTAGCTGGACGAGTACAAGTGTGGGACAAGCGAGGAGAGGTGGTCACACGACCACCTTGTTATACGCCCCGCCGCGAGTGATGTCATCTGTAACTTATCGTCATCGACGGTGCGCCAGCGATCCTACCGTGTAGAGGCCCATTCTGCTCCACTAGACTAGTAGCTTGGCAGGTAAAAGATGTGCTGCTAAGCGTGAAAGTGCAGGTAAAATAACGATGTGAGCGTTGGGGGGCAGATGAAGCTGTACCACGAGGTCCAATTTGGCAAGTGAGGGCGCCGTGGCGCCGGCGCTTCCGGCAAACAATAAGCGTCCAAATTATCGTGCTGCGAGACCAACGCATGTAGTGTAGCACTGTTAAGACATCTGACCCATTTATTTGGCTACTTGCCGATACAGAACTCCCTGAAAATGGTATCCAAGATGTCTTCAACATCAATGCGTCCGGTTATAGCTCCAATTGCTTGAGCAGCATATCGAAGCTCCTCCGCAGCCAAGACAATGTCTTCTGGCGAGCCTGTGCTCTCTTCCTCAAACACTCCTTGTAAGCGGATTTTCAATATGCAAGCCTAGGCCACGCACAAATCCATGAACTGACCTTTCGCGCCCTGCCCTAGGAAGGCATCTAGGAATTGAAGCGCTGCTGTCAGATGCTCGCGATGACGGGCATTGATGACGAGCGGCGCATCATCGCGTTGGAGTTCAAGGTGAGTAGCATAGGTTTCGTGTAACTTCATGCCCAGTTCGTTCATGAATGTTTCAATGCCCATGCCTGTCCGAAGGCTCACTGCCCAAGCACCGGCAACGCCATGCTTTTGATCAGCGAGAAATGTGGCCTGGGGTGGTGAAGAGACTTCTGAATCAATCTTGTTGACCAGCAAGAAAGGCTTGATTCGACGCATGATAGTGATGAGCTCCTCAGATGCGGGATGAGCTTTGTCAAGCTCGGCCACGTCGAGTACGCAGAGCTTCACGTCCGCCTTCTCGACCCTAAATTCGGCAGATAAAGGTGAGCCACGACCGTTGCAGGCGAGACGCGAAAAAAAAACTCACGCTTCGATCGCTCGCTCGATCCCAATCTTCTCGACGACATCGTCGGTCGAACGGATACCCGCGGTATCGGAAACAATGACAGGTAGCCCACCCAGGTCAAGCGTGACCTCGAGTACATCCCGAGTAGTTCCGGGGATGTTGGTCACGATCGCTGCTTCTCGCTTCGCTGGACATGAACTGTGAGAAATCGACGTATGCCAATGAAACACAACTCGCTCACCGAGAAAGTTCAGTAAGGTGCTCTTTCCGGCATTCGGGGGTCCAAAAATCGCCAGACGGAGGCCAGAACGAACAATTTCGCTCCTTCGGTAGTCCGCGAGAAGAAGTTGCACGTCCGTACGGGCCCGGCGAGCAAGTGCTTTGGCTGGAAGCTGATTTTAGAACCAGTACCACGTGTAGATTGCGACAAAAGTGAAGAACCTTCTTGGTAAACATCGTCCTCGACCTCCTCTTCACCGAAATCAATAACGGCTTCTACCAGGCTCAAGGAACGGAGGATTGTACCACGGAGAGACTCGAACCGGTGTTTCAGCACTCCCTGCGCTAGTCGTGCTTAGTATGCAGCGGCACACAAGAGTTGGGATACGAACTTACTCCGACAGCCTGCAGCGCGGCTTGCCTCTGGCTACTGGTATCCGCGTTAATGAGATCATGCAGACCCTCGACTTCTGTCAAGTCTAGGCGGCCTGACTCGAAAGTACGTCGTGTGAACTCTCCGGGCTCTGCAAGACGCAGCGAAGCGAACGTCGAAAGCGCGGAGAGGACGGAGTTCAGGATGGCTCGCCCCGAGTGGACATGGAACTCTACTGTGTCCTCGCCTGTGAATGATCTGGGACCTGTACGAGTTATTAGATCGATTTGTATCATGTGGGAGGATACATGCGTTGACACACCTCTAAAGTACACTGCTAGACCACTATCTAGGACTTCCTTCGACTGAGGATGGACAACTTGACATCGGTACATCCTCCATGGTTTGGGAACAAATGACTGTCCAGTCTTTTTTTCCGCTTTTGCTGTAGTATTCCTCTTCGAACTCTTCGATACCATGGACTGCCACACGTTCAGGGCGTCCGGGCCCGACACCCTAATGACTGCGACTCCGGCCTTCCCTGGCGGCGTGGATAACGCGTATATTGTGTTGCGCTGCGCATCAGACTGCACAAGTCCCGAGGAAGGACTTTCCGAAGGAAGTAGATGCGCCAATGACCAAGCTGGTGACAGTCCGGCATTGACAGAGTTGTTGCGGGCCTGCCATGGCGATTCGGGGCTCCTACGAGGAGCTGGCGCGTAGAATGATGCATGATGTGCAGAAGACCTGAGTAGTCCAGGTTTTGGCGTATGTTTTGTTGAGATTTTACTCGCCCATCTGGAAAGCATGCGTCGCGAGTTCTAGAGCCAAGGACGCCACCGAAGGGATCAGAGATGCGCAATTGAGCGTCTCTTGGACTTCAGTAGCTTTCTCCTTCCCTTCATCCTCCTCATCCAAGCTCTTTGCCCCTTCTCCTTCTCGACGCGCAAGTCGCCCACAGCATACGCACCGTAGTATATCCAAACACACGTAAAACAACATGGGGCAATCACGTCAGTCCTCCGTAACGAGACCTCTGTGCTCCAGGCGATGCTAAGCTCATCTACCATGTAGCGTCTCAATTTATGGAGGATATGCAGAAGAAGTCCAACTGTACGTTTCCCTGCGCAAGGAGTATACTTTAACGTGCTGATCATTCTCTGTAGTCAATGCAAGCGAGCTGGAGCGGTTGAAGAAGCGCTTCATGAAGCTTGACAGGTGCACCTTGTCAATGCTATTGTGACGCACAGATTGCTGAGATCGCATGCGACGCTTCCGCAGTGACGGTTCCGGGTCGATAGACCGTGAAGAGTTCTTGCAGATACCCGCCATCGCAAACAACCCACTGGCATCGCGACTAATCGCGATCTTCGATGAAGAGTACGTCTCTGCATGACTGGTGCAGTTCCCAGTTTTGACCATCGTTACGCAGTGGTGGAGGCACTGTCGATTTCCAAGAGTTCGTTGGCGGATTGAGCGCGTTCAGTAGTAGAGGAGGACGGGAAGAGAAACTACGATGTTAGCATTTCGTTTGAATGTTCTACTCGACTCAGCTTACGCCCGAGAGCAGTTGCATTCAAGGTATATGATATGGACCGCGACGGCTTTATTTCGAACGGCGAACTGTTCCTGGTGCTGAAGATGATGGTGGGGAACAACCTCAAGGATGGGCAGTTGCAGCAGATTGTCGACAAGACTATCATGGAAGCGGACAAGGACGGAGATGGCAAACTGAGCTTCGAGGAATTCGTACAAATGGTCTCGAACACCGTGCGTTCTTCATTCTCATTCCCAACGACTCAGGTCGTTCTGACAATGACTCGCACAGGACATTGTCAAGCAGATGACGCTGGAAGACCTCTTCTAGGCCGGTAACAGTCCCTCTCGCCCATCACCCTCTCGACCTACATACCCTAGTCCGCGCAGCTCTTTCCGGGAATTTTGTTTCGCTATGATGTCATCTCTTTTAGTCACGACGGTCCCTCATCCATCCACAAGCACTTCGTATCCTATTCAAGTCTCATCACGCACCCACCATATCTTGCTACTCATGACTGTGTCAGTATAGTACTGGTTCTGTACCAGCTCCCTCTCTTGCATCGCACGCGAACTCAGATCGGTGTCGTTCACGTTGAGGTATAATCCTCAGAGAGTCGTCGGTTGTTTCACCATTGACTTTCTTTGCTATCGTCACGCCTCACGATGCAACGAAGATTTGCTGTAGAGCGAGTTCTATCCATTCCATTCCTTGCATCTATGGAACGAGACGACAATATTAGTGGCATAACACTCATATCAGGCAACGCTCTGACGAAATTACACGTGAGGACTGTCCGTGCCATACAACAACAAACGAATAGTATGAAAGATAAACAAGGCGTAAAATAATACAGTGTGCAAGCTTTTGCTTGGGTCTGCTGAGTGCTATCAAAGACCTTGCTTGATAGCCTGGAGGGCGCAGAGTGCAGCTGTGAAGCCGTCTTTAATCCCGGGCCTCAAGGAGAGAAAAGTGGCAGTCATACCTCCAACACCACTACCGTCTTTCGCCATACCGATGTCAACGCGACTTTCAACCTCCTCGCCAACCAAGGAGCGCAGTGAACTACGCATGCGAGCGTTGAAGTTGGGGTAGTGTTCTATGAGACTGGATGATAGTGAGTTATCAAATTTCGCGAATGGCATACGAGAAACTTACCTGCCATCGACACCTATGATAACAGACTCTTCCTCGGGTCTGACGCCTCCACCGAGCATCGCGCGGCCAGTTTGTACGAGAATTGCGGCGACGGCGCACGCGCTGAGCTTGGCCGCGCGGTTGGCAACGAGAGAAGTTGCCCAGCGGAAGACAGCGGCGTCGCGGAGGGAGACATTTTCTTCGAGAAGTTCGAGGCGCTGGATGAGGATCGAGCGTATGCGCTCAAGTCGTGACCTATCCTCAGGGGAGCACGAGTCGACGTCCAGGAAGTGCGCTGCAGCTGATGAGGAATTGGTGCCATTTGGTTTGGCTGATGCGGTAAGCTTGCTTAGTGGCTGCTGGGGCGTAGCGTAGTCTGCCTGCTCTTTGGCAACTGGGTCTTTGCCACCCTCGACACCCTTCACTTTCACGTCCGGCTGCCTGCCTTTCTCCCATGCAGCTTCTACCTCGCTTAGCACGGCGGTATCGAGGCCATAGTGCGTGTTGAGCAACCTGCTCGATCGGCCGTTGAAGAGTAGCGCTCTCGGAGCGGCATCAATCAGGGCCAGACAGACATTCCGCGTGATCTCTCCGAGGTACATGCCAGAGATGAACTTCTCAAAGGCCTGCAACCTCGGGTTGATAGATTCACGATCAAGTTTGTTGTCAAAGGGCGTAGAAGGCAGGACAGAACGCTATATGATGTCAAGAAAGTTGGGATCAATGAGATTATATGAAAGGAGGGAGGTACTAACGTTATTGTTGAAACCACCCCACTCGCAGTTCACGACCATATGTCCGCCATTCTTCCGTGCGGGCGAGTCCCCTAGTTTCGTGATGTTCTCTATCTTCTCGACGTACGCGCCGTTTGTACCTGTGCCGAAGATCGCGCCTACAGGGCAAGTAACGACGCGTTATAAGGAAAAATGTCGCTTCGCTACAAAAGGACGCACCCAGAATACATCCGCCTGCGGTATATGCACGAGATAGGAGAGCGCCGACAGTCTACATAATTTAGTATGAAACGGCCTGACCGGGCACAGGCGTACAGGGACTCACGTCATTGACAAGCGCAACGCAGCGCACATGTAAGTGTTTCCGGTTGAACGCGTCTTGGAGTAGTTTGACAACGTCATTACCGACGGCGTTCTTGGCGGAGAAACCCTTCGTCCATGTCAAAACTTTGCCCTCGTTTAAGGCTGTTTGCTCGACAGGGAAACTGAAGGTCAATCCTAGGGGAAGTGCGGGATCTACTTCAGGGTCAATCTCATCGATCGCTGACGAGCCCGCGAATGGATTGGATGAAGCAGTGGTGGGCGAAACGGTGGGGGTTGTGAGGAAGGCGTCGACTGAATCGGCCAAGTAATCTGATCGCAAGAAATTTCATGGCTTGTCAAGTTGGTTTATCTGTTGACGATATCATGGCTAACATACCGAAAAGGGCTGAAGCCTCTCCAGTCTTGAGCGCCTCAGAAACGCGATATTTCTGTTGCCTGAGAGTGAATTCATGGTTGCCGAGAAGTTTGACCTCGCAAACACGGCTAGAGAGGGAATGTAAGCATTTACATGGAGTCTGGAGGGAGGAAGAGATATAACGCACAGGTTTGTTCCTCCAAGGTCGAGCGCGAGGAAAGTACTGTAAGGAGCAGAATGTTAGCAGGAAAGCGCGTAATGTGGGTAATGTGGGCAAAGATACGGGACGCGGCGGGTCGCTGCAAGGGCCGCACACGGCAAAGCGGCCTAAGACCGTCTGCGCCCACTGTGCACACGACCGGGATGCCACAGCTGTCCTTGCACCCCGAGTCGTCCCGCATATGTCCCCTCAGCGGGTGTATTCAAGCGCCCTCCTAAAACGCGTCTCCACCCGCGTTAAGCAAGGGGAGGCACTCACCCAGTTTCTGTACCGTTTGGCACACCTGTAACAAACGTGGGGCTGCAACGAGGTCAGCGAAAGCATCGTGGCATTAATAAATCAGCGTACATCATGGCCATTGAGTGATTATATTCTCCGAGACCGAGACGGAAGTCATCGAGGAACTGTTGGGTGATAGTGTGCAAGGCTCCATCGTCGAGGTGGAACTGCTGCTCAATGTCTTCAAAGATGGGCACACCTGAGTCCTTGCTCGACCCAGAAATTGCGTATAGCGGGGCCATCGAGAGGGGATACGAGGGTCAGAGCGACGCAGAACTTTGTATGGGAGCGGAAAGTTAGGATGCCTTCGCCCAGAAAGTGCACTAACTATATTATGACATAGTGATCACGTGACCCGTGCCTTGCGCGCTCCGCCGGTCGCAATCGCCGTCTAGGGCCGGGGTCCCGACATAGGCCAGACACCTCCGCCCTGACTTCGACGCACACAGACAACACCCAGAGCAGACGGTCACGGACGCAGAGGCAGGTTCATGCGCAAGTACACCCTCCAGCTCAAGTTGGTCGGGAATAACGGAGACTACATGCACAGGGGACAGGATCGGGACCGGCGAGCGTGAGTGCTTTGAGAAGATGGCCTCCTAACAGCGAAGGTCGTACCCAGGGCAGCGCACATCCCGTTATCGTGCCCATCCTGTGCGACTGAAAACGCCAAGGTATCGCCCATTGGGCGAGTGCGGCATTCGACAACGCTTCGAGTTCAAGGAGTCCTGGTTGGCATCAGTTCATGGCGAAGCACCATTTAGGACGCTTGCCAAACCAATCGTAATTCGTGAAGAGATTCGTGCGGGTACTAGAACCTCAGAAGAGTTGGCGCACTTCAACAGTGCGTATCGTCAGCCAGTTCTGCCGACACAAAATTCGGGGACATATGAAACTAATTTATCTAAGTTCGAACGCGGTTTTTCTGTGCTTGTAGACCTGATCCAGTGGTAGATGACTATAAGTACTGAAATACTGGAGAGTGTGGGGATAATGAAGAATGATAATTTACTCACGTTGCTCTCGTTGGAGGGGTGTGCATTGTACCTGGCGCGCGATAATACCAGGTTTGTCTAACGGAGCGTACGCGGGCTACGAGCCCGTCACTGTCGCGCATCCCAGAGGCACTGGCAGAGCTTGCCGCTGGCGTGAGGCGCGAGTAAGTCGGCCATTTCCGGCAACCGTTTTCGGCAGTGACTTGCACGACTTCAACTCTCCTTCATCTGTCTCCCGTGCATTGTGCGTTGTACACCTCGCTAGAATACTGTCAAGGCGTTTTTGCTCACTGTAAAATACCTAGATTTTAGATGGCTTCTAAAGCAGCCACCAAGGCGGTTGTGAGTGTCATATTTCTCCCTTGCAGGGCATCTCCTCAATAATCCCTCACGACACCAGGATTTCGCCCGTCTCTACTCTTCCTTGGGCCTCGGCAAGGGTACGAACCACTTCGCATCTCGTGACGCGCAGAGCCAGAGAAATTGAAGACTGAATGCTACAGAGACCGTCGCCTCCCTCCAGGCCTTCCGCAAGCGCCACGCCGAGGCGCAGAGGGCACACGCGCAGCTGAACTCCCAGCCGACCACCGTCGACCTCTCGCACTACCGCTCGCTCCTCAAAAATAAAGCTGTCGTTGATGAAGCCGAGAAGGTCCTGAAGGACTTCAAGCCGGTCACCTACGACGTTAACGCACACGTCAAGGCTATCGAGACCTTTGAGACCAAGGCTGTCAGTGCTCTCTTCGGAACCCCAACAAGTAGTTTCTCTAACTGAGTATTTTTTGGTGCGACAAACAGGTTGCTAAGGCTCAAGAGACCGTTGACCGCATCGATGTCGAGTTGAAGGATCTCCAAGCGACTCTTGCCAATATTGAGGAGGCCCGACCCTTCGAGGACCTCACTGTACGTGCAAACTTGTCTCGACCTTCTTCCAGCCATTCATGTACCTCGTGCAGACCGACGACGTCATCGACGCGCACCCGTACATCGCGCAGACCCTCGAGAACCGTCTCAAGAAGGGCATGTGGACCGTGCCCGGTACGTGTCCTCCCTTTCTGTTTAACACTGGTAGTTCGCTAACAAGTTCGCAGGATACAAGGAGAAGTTCGGCGACCTCTCTCTCATGTAGACAGCAACTACGACCACCTTGTATCCACAAGTATAATACACTTGCTTGCGTTCTGGGCGACATCCACTTGCTTGGCCGAGATTACCACAAATTGCTAAGCAGCACAGATATTTTCACTTGTTATCACTGTCCAATGCCCCAACACCACTGCTTGAATGAGCATGTAGAGGATGCTCATTATGCAATCCCGTTATAACCCGGACAGTCAACAAATGCACCAATCGCGGCCCATGCTATCATGAACCAAGGATAAACCCACAAGTATTCAAAGATCCTACCCAAAAAACAACAAGGGGAAGAACGAACGTAAATAATACAGTAGTAATGTACCCGCTACTTGTTCACCAGGTTTCGCATCCGCGGTTCTGGACCCTGCATGACATCGAGGAACTGCGCCCACTCGCCTAGCCCGAACCCGACGGACGCACCCCACATCGAGCCCTCATCCGCAGGCGGGTGCATGAAGAAGCTCTGCTCGTGCACGGCGGCGGCGCTTGTGGGCGTGGACGGGTGCGGCTGCATACCGTAGTGTGCACTCGGATAGGGCGGGGCGACGGGCGACGGCTGCTGGTACTGAAGCTCCGGCTGCTGGTGGTGGTGGGGGTGGTGATGGTGATGGGGGTGCACGACGCCGCCTTCAGGGATGGAGTTGGGTGGCGGGCTCTGGGCGGCGTAGCCCTGTTGTGGTTGCTGTTGTTGCTGCATACCGGCGGCCGTGCCCGGCGAGGTCCAGCGTACAGACGACGTCGGTATCTGCGTCTTCTGCGGCCCAAACGAGTGCGCCACCGTCGGCGAGTCGGACGTGCCGGGCGGAGGCATGCTGAGCGAGGGCGACGAGCCCGCAGAGGAGTCGCCCCGGGCACCCGGGTTGTCTTGGTACGGGAACGCGAGCGTTTTGACGAGGTTGAGCACCTGTGACTTCTTGCGCTTCTGCTCGATTGGTGGCTCGGCCGCGAACTCGTCCGAGTACAGCGGCGCGAGTGCCTGCAGGATCGTCAGTGCCTTGTCTGCGACAGGCATCCACTGGCTCTGCTCGAGGCAAGCGATCGCCTTCCTGATGTTGTCTCGGAAAAGGTTCGCCGCGGGCTGTTCAGGGCGCGAGATGAGCTGGAAGGAGAAGAACATCGCCGCACTGAAGACGTGGAAGGGACCCCAGTTCATATGACCCGGGACCGCCAGCGCAGTATTGGAGAGGAAGTCGGGACGAGTTTGACCGACAAGCGTGATGAGCTGACTGGCAGCGCTCACAGCGATGCTGAGGGAGGATGCGATGTTGGCATAGGGTCGATGAAGGGTGAAGCGGATGTGGTGATAGGCCGTGCGTATGATGACGCTTTGAACACCAAGCCGACGAACGGAGGTGATCGGACTGCCTAATGACCGTGCTACTCTGTAGTCATCCAAGTTGAGTTCTGGCGGTATTTCATCGTACCATTTCATCAGTTTCCGGTCGTTCTCCTGTACGGACGAATAAGACACTGGCTGGAACGACACGGCATCGTTCATGATATCGCTGAGAATATAAGCCAGCTTAAAGAGCGCTAGGTTTGGTAAATATAGGCGACTTGACTGGTCGAGGGCAGGGTCGCAATAAGATGGTAATCGGGTGTTGAAGTGGTTGGATGCAATTGCTATAGGCCTTCCAAACATAAAGGCCTGCCATCTACAAGGCAATGTAACCAAAGATGTTCTATCCTGATTACAAGCACGTACCTCTCGAGCAGGATGATGTGCCACCACGCCCACCGCCGTCGTTCGGCCTCTTCTTGATTGAAACGTGTGTCGCCGGGGTCCTTATGCAGACCCATTGCGGTGCCGATGTTTACGAGTTCACCCTTGATCGCCCAGGTCTCCTCGGGGTCTTCCTTGCGGAACGTCAGGTAGTGGGAGCGCACTAGCAGCAGCTCCAACAAATCGAGGTTGTACCCCTTCCCTAGCCCGTCCCTCCGCAAGTCACGGAAATGCCGCTGGAGGGCTTCGCGCATGACTCCGTAATACCGCGCCTCGAGCTCCTCACTCGTGCCAGGCAGGCTCGTGAGAAGCGCGTGACCGCTTGGCAGGTACCGAACAGCAAGGAGAATGAGGATGCAGACAGTCGCAAGGGTGACTCGGTTGCCCCCGCTTCCTGACTTGAACCGGGCCCAGTTGCGCGTGAAGGCCGTCTGGTTCACGTGCCGGTATATCCAGTTGCAGTACTCAAAGTAGTAGTCGACAAGGCCGTCGACGGTATGTATTGGTGGGAGCAACGAGATAAGGTCTTCGTCGTAACTCTGATACGGTGCCGAGTTCTCCTGCATGGCTCGCAATGATGATGATAGATTGTCATGGGATGACCCCGAGCCTTCAGCCCGTTCATCGTCGCGAGACTCCTGTAAACGATGAGCGACATAGGAGATATGTGCAAAGCTCAACTCACTGTAATTATGTGAGAGAAGGCGCTTGTAGAGCCCGCAAAGAACCCTCCAGAGTCAGATGCACCAAGCATGCCCGGGGCGTTCCCAGGCTTGCCAGAATCGGGGGAATCCACCCGGTCAATGTCGGGAGGAGTCTTGGCATATCCGGTGCGTGCTGGATGCGGTGCTGGTGCCAGAGGAGGAACGGCCCTCGCTACTGGTATGGCGGGAGGAGAGATAGGAGGTGGGGGCGGTGGGCGAGAACCATATTGGACGATGTGGGACTCGAGCAGGTTCAGTGAGTGTCGGATACGAGTGAGCTCTGCAGCTGGATCTATCCGAGCCTGGCTGGAGAGGGCGACGTCGTCAGTGACCGACAGTGGACGTTACAGCGGAAATGAAGAATTGGGAGCTTCGGCGAAGCTCAGAAGGAGACTAATCACCGCGGACATCATCATGGCAATCTGGCTTGTCTCATGTTGCGTCTCATGTTGGGGTACGTACACAGGCCGAATCGCCAGAGGGCAATGGCAATGTCCGGCCAGCTTCCCGGGTGCGGGATGAGACGTTCAAAGGGGCAATAGACTTACTGTAGGTCGTCGCGCCCCGCGAGGTCATCTTGATTCTGGTAACACGACGCTGTGGTGCCTGTTGATGTAAGTTCGCCAGTGCCATGAATCTGATGCAGGGCAGCAACGAACCTCTTAAGACGCAGGACGAACACGGTCGATTCCTGTAGAATGCACGTTATTCGAGATGTCCTCGGCCATATGCACCCAGGATGAAAGACATACCGGTCACATTTGAGTTTGCTATTCCTGCAGGGCTCACAGTTGATAGCCTTGCGTGCACGCTTCGGGGCTGATGGCCTGCCTTCTCCATTGTGCAGCTCGGAGGACGAAGGGCCTGGGGAGAGGGGACGAGCGAGCTTCGCGCGCGCGTTGCTGACTGAGGCGACCGAAGAGGAGCGATCGCCGTTGACTGGCGAAGGAGGGGACATCTGGTCGTGCATAGCAGGCTGCTCCGAGGAGGAAAGACTTGAGGGCGAACGCCGATTGGGGAGACTCGAGCTGGATAAGGGGTAATTCCAATTAAGGAGGGCAGGCTCCGAGGCCTTCCACGGGCTGACTTGCAGACTCGCCAGGGATGTCGCAGAACAGCGCGCGGCGGCCAGGGGACAGCGCAGACGCACGCTTGCTCGAGGAGAGTGACGGCTCTGAGCAGGTCTTGCGGGCTGGGGGAGGACGTTTGGGAATCATTTCCCGTTGGGCCTGCGTGCCAAACTTTGACTTTCCAGAGGCGCCTCGCACACGCCATATCCGGAAGCAGCAACAGGCCGACAGCAACTCGTCGATCCCTCAGCTGATCGCAGACACTACCTCCGACGCGACTGCTCCGCCTGCTTCACAGCTTCTTCATGGCTTCACCCAACAACGAATCAATGCATCTCATCGTCTGCTTTCTCAACCAGCATCATGCATGACGACCTCGCTTCTCGGTCACCGCGCTTCGAATACCGCCATCACTACTGTCGCATGCCTGAAATTAATTTGAAACGTCTCCTAACTAGAGGCCGATACAGACCGATCTTTGGCGCCAGCAATTCGGGAGATTAACCACTGCATGCTTGCATAGCTCATGTTAGCATGAATCAGATATTCGGCGTTACAGCAAAGTCCTCCGCCACGAGCACCCCCTAAGTCCGAAAAGTCTGGACCCGGCTGACGGAGCATGCGCCACCCACACCGTCAGTCGTGGCGGAGGCGCTGCTCGCCGACGGAGAGCACCTGGAGCCTTTGCCATGGAGGTATGGCACGCTCGCTGATTTGCTCGAGCCCCCCGTGAAGCGCACCGACACGCATCGTGGCCAGCAACTGTGAAAGGAGGCAACCGAAGGCTCTCAGTATCTCTGCAAGCACTCCATTGCGAATTAGCAAACTCACGTTGTGCGCAGCGTTTGAGTGATCGTACACTCCACCGAAAAACGCCGTTGTCCCGTCCCGTCCGATGTGCGCCTCAAGGAGCTTTCGGCCTCCCGGGTGGTCATCGAGGAACGGGCCGACCTCATGAATGAAACCAGCAACAAGCACGAGTGCCCTCTCCCTCGACTCCTGTTGGTCTGGGGGCCGAGGAAAGAAAAACAGGCACAGCTCAGACAGCTTCCAACTCCATACATCACGACACAGACTCACAAGTCTCCCAGTCTATAATCGGTAGTTTGGCTGATTCCATTGGCGATGTCAAGGCGTCCTGCTCGCGCTTGAGCCCCTTTAGCTTCATCGTCAGCTCGCACTTTTTGAGTTCCATTTCTGGGAAGACGCGCAAGTGGCTTGCCAGCCCCAGCCTTGCGCAACCTGCGATGAACCACTTCGTCGGGTCCCATTGGTACCATTTCGCGGCATTGCGGTAGTCCATGGGGAACTGATGGTGGAAGTTGTGGTAGCCCTCGCCGAGTGTCACTATCGCGGTGAAGAAGTGGTCCCGCGGGCTCAGCTTGTCGTCGAAGGTCGTCGAACCAAGCCAGTGCGCTAGGGAGTTGACGCTGAAGACAGACTATCAGGCATTAGACCCAAGCTGTCCAGCGATCTGAAGAACAACTGACATGGTGTACTAGGGTCAGTCGCAGAAAGCCGGCGAAGTAGAAGCCGCCCCACCAGTCGTCCCAGAACAGCCCGGGGACCACGGTCGGGATCACGAGACCAAACGCCAGGGCGAGCGGGAAGAAAAGCTTGTGCTGCCAAACTACCACACAACTTTGCTTTAGGTCGCTCGTGTCTGCGGGGCCAGGCCGGATGCGCGGCTTCGTGAGCATCCAGCCGAGGTGCGACCACCACAGGCCATGGTGGGCACCGTACGGGTCGAGGTCGGTGTCTGTGTAGCGATGGTGCGCGCGGTGGTGGCGGGCCCACCAAAGGATTGAGCCTTGCACCGCGCCGGCTCCCGCGAGCGCGTAGAAAAGTTGCAGCAACGTGCAAGCGTTGTAGGCTCTGTGTGACCAAAGCCTGTGGTACCCTATAGTAGGTTTGAACATCAAGCTTTTGGATGTTTCTCAATAAACAGTTCTGTCCTACCTGCTGTGATCCCTGTCCCAAGAGTTGAATGTTAGCATGTTTCACGACGAAAGCACTGTGTCCTACCTATCATGTTGAAGAGATAATATAGCACACATAGTGCGGCTGTCCGCGTGACAAAGGGGGTCGTGTACAAACCATAGAGCGAGACGAGCGGCGTTGTGATGACGACGAAGACGTTGAACCAGATGACTTCGCTCGCCCAGTTCGCGGGCGACAGCGGAGGGCGGACGGGTGTCGAGGCGAGCTGGCGCTGGATGAAGGTATGATGGGATCGGCGATCAGACGGCTTGATCGCGATCCAACAGCCGCCAAAGCTGATCGTCATGCGCAGATGGGAGGCTGCAGAGAGCGCGGGCGAGCGGAACAAGCCTGGGGGACGAGGTTTATATGTCTGCACGCGGGGCTTGTAGTGAGAGTGCAAACAACGGCGGAGTTGCTGCAGCCGGCCGTGGTCTCTCGAGGACAACCTCTGTCCCACCCTAGGCCTTTTGTTCACAGTCTTGCACATCTGCTCGATTCGAGCGGCGGATCTACGGCCATGAACGCGCTGCAGACTCAGAATCCCCCGCCACTACTCGCCTTGGTCAGAACTCTACCAGAACGAGTCCAGAAAGCACTTTCCTTGTCATTTTCGCCGGTTTCTCGCAGATCATACGACACAACCTACAGCACCAGTGGTGAGACCTGTCCTCTAGAGCACAGGTCGTAGGGTTAGTGTGCACACATGATGCTGCCGAAGCCCAGTCGGTGACGCGCCGAAGTTGTCGAGAAGTCGTCGGGCGAACCTCGTTGTCTCCGGATGTCGTATACACTTATCTTTGGCATAGGAATGCGCATGTGCAGTGCCATATGCAGCGTGCAATCCTGGCGAAAACCGTGAGCTGTTCCACATAGAGTGTTTGAAAGGTTCCGCTTACCACGTTCTCCCGCGAAGGTCATCAAACCCTCCAATTTGGGGGTCGAGCTAGTCCCGTCTTCTGTCCCCGTATGAGATTGGTAGATCTAGCTCTTCTTTACAAAGACATCGGTGAACCCTCAAACGTAATTGAAGCTTATGTCCCCCGGGACTTCACGGCGGAGACAGCAAGGTGGGGTGAGGCGGGTGCCATGCTAGGGCGAAGGCCGGCGACTAGGTTTAGGTGCAACTTCGGCACGTCTTCTCCGCCTTCTCATCCTCGCACCTATAGGATCAAGCTTATCCGTCTATCACTGGGGAAATCCGTTGTATTGGCACGGCTCCGTCATATCCAAAACGTACATTTTCCGCAGTTGCTCTCACCATCGGTTACCATCGCCACTCGACGTCTCCCATGGACCGTCCACGGAGGCCCTTATATGGCTTGTACAGCTCGCCGGTCAGCTTCAGCTGGTCAACCTTCAACGCCGAGAACATGTGCTGCAGTACTTCGAACTTCACACGGAACGCATGTGAAGGTCGAGGCACCTTCGTCCTGCGCTCTAGCATCAGCTTCCGGACTTCTCTAGGCGGTCTCGAAGCCACTCACGCTGAGATAAAGTGCCCACGCAAGGTGAAGCTCGATGATGGGGCGATATTCTTCATCTCCCACCGTAGTGTCTATGCATGCATGTCAAGCTCCGCCTGTCCGCCTTATCATTATTGAAGGAACATGCCTTTGTGCTTGGTTCAAATGTCCATGACGATGCGTTGGATGCTGTGCAGCTTGCACCCGACGCGCCGTCGCCGAGGAACCAGTCCACCGTCATTTTCTCCACAACTCGGGTTGCGAGGCGGGAAGACACCGTCAGGTCGAATATCCCTGTGTATGCCGTGAGTAAACTCTCACGTTTGACGCAACGTGCCTGATAGAGTAACCTTTGTTCTCGTCAAACGTGACGGATGCTTTAATCACGAACGGCACAGCGACCTGGTGCGTGCCGGACGGCTGGTATCGGTAGCTCATCAATGTGAACTGTCCGTCCGGAGGCACAAAGGACAGTTGCCTATCACGGGTCCATCTCTGCAGCCTACAAAACGCGGGAGCCGGTGAGTATCTGTTCGTGATGATGAGCAAATGCTTTCGACGTGAGAAACGCACCGGACACAGGGATGAAAAGAACAATCGGTCATCGTCTGAGAGTTCGCTAAGGAAAGTAGGAGATCCGGCGTCCCTGTGCAAGCTCAATCATACGATTGCGCCGTGAAATTAACTGCCTACCTGACAACTTGCAATTCGACTGGACGGACCCCCAGACTTGGCTCATGGCAGCCACACCGCCTCTTAACAGAAAATACGACAGTAAGTATTTTTCCTTTTACAAAAACGGTCAAGTAAGAACTAACCGGAAGCGAACTCACTTGTTCACTATCGCCCGGAGCTCTTCTACGATGTCGAAGAATATCTCGTTGTTGTTGTACCTCACACCCATCTTCCTCCAGGGTATCGGCGAAGCAAAGGGATGAGAGTTCGACGACTGGCTGGCAAGACCAGTGACACCGGCAACGCTGAGGACCTTCTGCAGGAGAGACGGGGGCAGCACAATGTCACGAAGAGCATTGGAGTATGTGGTAGACGGATGGCCACTGGCATCGAGGGTCTCTTCCAACAGCTGTGCCACGTAGGTGAGACACAAATGAGGGTCAAAAGCCGCGGGTAACGCACCTGATACACGACGTCGAAGTTATCTTTCAATGTCTCCGCGGATATTTGTCCGAAATATTCACGCAATATGTCCACGAAAGCCTGCAGGAACGCAAACACGTATAGGGGATCAACTGCAGATAGGTGTGAGACAAAATAGCGGCAGGTAGGAGCGCAACACGCACTGTCGCCGCTCACAGGGCATAAGAGCCGCAGGTCATCGTGCTTGACATGGCAGCACGCGCTAGGCGTGTCTAGCTCCAGACTAGACACGTAGAGCACGGGATCGACATCCGTCGGTCTGGAGGCCTTGGCTAGAGCAGTGTTGAGTGCTTCAATGTGCAATAAGGGGAATGCTGGACTGCTGGAGCGGAAGCCAGACTGGATTATGGCACGCCTATCCGGAGGACCTGACGTCAGTCTAAATGGACGGGCGCGTACGACGTAAGCCTACCCGGTCGAGTCTAGGATTATAAGACCGTCAATTGCCATAGTATTTGGATAGGATGTATGCGCACAACAGTGCGGATAGGTGTAGTGCCGGAGCGAAGAATGAGTGGGAAGCAGGTCGAGTCGGCACGGCGGAAGCGCCAGCGCCTGAGATGGCGTGCACATACGGCGGAGCTCTCTCAAACGATCCCTTCGCACGCAATTCATGTCCAACTGGAACGGCAGTCGTTAATTTATGCAATACATAGAATAAATAACAAGAAACAAAACAGTGTCCATGAAGCTGTACGAGGAAAAGTAACAGCTGTTCAACGTTCAATATGAGGCATACAACACAACGTTGCAAAGCAGGCAACATGCGGGGTGTGCATATCAGCAACGGGACCTCGCAGAGCATATAATGGCTTGCTCGACATCCAGTGAGGGCTGGGATATACTACAAGGGGGTGCGTCGCGTCGACAGCCGTACATACAATGGCAAAAGTGAGAAGCAACGTGTCTGAGCATCAAGCCCAGCACGGCGGAACGACCATATATGACAAGATGAAAAGTTCGTGATAAGGGACGTCATGAATGGGCAAATGTATAGAGAAAGTAAAAATGAAGAGAACATTGCGAGATAATAGACACAGCAAATACAGGAAAGGAAGCAGGTCCATTGGGACTAGATATTCAGCACACCGTACTGATAGTCACCAGAGACGAAAAGCCGGCTGTGCCTTTGGCGTTGCGAATGTTCTTGTTGTAAACGGAGTCGTAGCTTCGCCAACTGGTTCTCTCTCGAGACAAAGTTGACGCCTCTCGACCGGGTAGAAGGTTCAACAGAGGTAGGCGGCGATCTTGGCGACGAGTTTGAAGCGTTCGTGATATCGGAACCGCTGGAGCTTGAAGGGACAATACATGCGGCGACAACGGAGGAGGCACCAAAGTTCAGGCGAGAGGAAGACCAAGGAAGAGACGGCATAGGTATAAAGCTAGTCAATGTCTGGAGCGCAGCAAGGGTGGGCGACATCGCGGGTGACGTGGAGACTTCGTGTACGGCAAGAGATGGTGAAGACGACGCGGAGACTTCGGCCTCCTTCCCATCCCTCAGCGGCGAAGAGGCCTCTTGGGAGTTGACGTCTTCAGCGGTACCATGCCTACGGAGCAATGTCATTAATCTAAGCTTGTCATGAACAAGACCGAGGAAGCTCGTACATACTCGAGCGAGACTTGCTCTGGCTCTTAGTGGGCGTAGAGTATAGAGCATTCGACGGCGCACTGTAAGCCGGGCTGCGACGTGGCTGAGGGATAAAGGATGCGGGCTGGACCTTCCGGGTCGCTGTCTGAGGAAGGGGAGGAGACTTCTTGGCAGGTGTTGAAGACGATCCAGTAGACTTCGAGGGCCGGACCAAGCTTACTTTGGGCGGAATACGGGACGTAGACGTAGGAGTCGAAGGGGTGAAGGCCTTCGTCGCAGGACGCGGGATGGCCGAAGGGGAGCCTTTCATACATGGAACACCGGGCTCGTCCTTCACTGGCGATACCGGAGACACAATGGCGCGTACGGGAACATCATCAGGGCCTTCGAAGTCTGGGGGAGGGTTGAAAGTGAAAATAATACCCCCTTCAACTATCTGGCCAACTATCTCGCTATCGCCGTCACCTCGCACGCTGGCGTCGTCTTCCTCCACCTCATCCTCTTCAAGAACGACATCAAGAGCGGCGCGTATGGAAGATTCGTGGATCTCGACACCGATCATAGAAGGGATCAAGAAGGGGGGGACATCATCGTCCACAGTCGCGAGAGCCCGGGAAAACAGGTCCTTGCTGCTCTCGAGAGACCTGAGCTTGGAGTGGAGAGGGGGCGAATTGTCAACGTCCTCCAGACACTCGAAGAAACGGTCAATCTCCTCGGCTGGGCGAACAGTATTTGCCACCTCCTCTACGTGCTGTGGGAAGGTCCAGGTCTTCGAGAGAGAATGATGGCGTCCGTGGATCTGTGTCGGCGGAGATGCGGGTGCAGGCGAAGAAGATGCAGACCGGCTGGATATTAAAGAGGGGATGTCCTCAACGGATGATTCAACAAGATGAGAAATCTCGCGAGGACATTCGTCCGATCCAAAAGAAGAGTTAGACAGCGACGCCTGGAAAGAGTAGTTGTCGTCTTCGTCCTCATCTTCGTAACCTGCAAGCACATTCTCTACATCGCTGGACTCCGATCGGTTAAGCTCGTGGCTCTCGTCCTCTGCCTCTTCTTCAACTGACTTCAGGGAAAAGTTGGGCCGCTCCGTAGGATCCGACAGTGACTCCACATCCGTAAATGAACCTGAGGAGCCAATTGACCTGAAACCCAGACCGCCACGTTTCGCGTATACCATCGTCCTGGAGACGGGAGGAGTGCGATACTTGCTGTCAGTAGCTTGCGGAGTTGGTGTGGTCAAGAGGCTATCGAGTTCCCTCTCGGCCTCTTCCCTTCGCTTGCGTTCCTCTACAAGGGCGGTCGCCAGCTTGCAACACTCAGCTTGAATGTCCCCGTATCGCGCTACCTGATCCCGAAGGCGTTGGCATTCGTCCAAAGCCTTAGCCAAATCCAGTTGAACCCGTGTGTACTTTGCCCAGCCTTCTTGACCCCAAGACTCTTTCTCGGCAACAACCTTCTCTAAAGACTTCTTCTCGATCTCTACCATGCCGACGCGCTCCCGAGCAACCCAGGCTTCGCGGCGTTCGACCTCGACACGTTTCATCAGCATAGACACTTGACGTTCGGTGTCAGACAGCCTGGTACGCCAACCCTCGACGTCCTTCTTCAACTCGTCCCGCTCTGCTTTAAGATCTGCAACGAGCAACAACATCTCGTCATTCGGGGCATCGCTCGGCGCGGAAGCCTCCGAAGCGTAGGATTGGGAGCGGGAGTGAGGACGAGCCGATAGTGCGCGCTCGAGGTCGGAGATGCGCTGCACCAACGCAGAGTGCGCCTGGTATAAAAAATGATGCTCACTGGAAGAGAGAGATCGCGAGCTCCTGGACGCTTGGCTGCCGCTGCTGCTCTCGCTGCTGAGAGAATATCGTTGATCGCTGGTAGGCGTCAATTCAGGCGTTGGAAGGCCAGGAATGGAGTAAGACACTGAGTCTGTCGAGGAAACGTAGGAAATGCTACTGCGTCTCGAGACCCGAGAGCGAGCACTTTCAGCCGTAGCGCCTAAAGACTGACGCCGAGAAGGTACAAACGAAGATGGAGTGGAGGAAGACATGATCATAGACTGTCGCTTCTTTGCAGCTGGGTTTTCACAGTCTACGGAGGGCGGCATGCTGTCGTTACTAAGGGATGGGGACAGCGTTAATGTTCGCAAGCCTGGACGCGGACGGACAGCCGGGGACGGCTCAGGTGTCGGGAGTTCGCCGAGCGGAGTATGGATCAAAGCCAGAGACAGAGGGCGAAGATTCAAGGCTGTCGGCCTGGGACGTGCCGGGAGAAACGTTGGCTCGGGAGCCGTCTCCGGCACTGGAGACAGCGTCATTTGTACATCGTCAATGAAAGCCAAAGCCTTAGAGTCTTCAGCTTCTTCGTCCTCTTCCATAAGCGTACCAAGCTGTTCTTTGGACGACACTGACGCCCTGAATTTGCCAAACGAATCGCGCTTGGTGCTTGCGAGAGAGCCCAGACCACCTCCGTAGCCTGCACCGATGCCAGGCGGATAAGAAGGCTTTGATGCTGCCATCGACATCTGTCAGACTGTCCAAACCCACATCACGACAATAATAACGTACGGAAGTCGAACCCACGCTCGAGCACCGGTGTCCCGAGCTCGGGAATTTCCACCTTCGAGAAGGCGCCGACATCAGTCTTGCCTTCGAGGGCCAAAAGAGCCCTGCGGCGGATTGAGTCTTTATCACCAAGGTTAATATTCTCCTCTGCAGAGGAACTGGAGGCATTCAGCATCGAAACTCCCATGATTTCAGCGGACTCGCGTCGCGTGGATACGGAGGAACGGCGGCGATGGTGGGAATTGCGCTTTGGTTTCTCGGTTGAAGGAAGCGAAGGGGGAGATGGTGGCGGACTGTTCAACGACGGAAGAGGGGGCGTTGCCAGAGATAACAAAATGCTTTGAGGAGAAATAGAGGCGTTACGAGAGTGAGAGCGTGAGTGAGACAGTCTGCGATTGTGATGACTGCTGGTGGACGGAGTAGGCCCGCCTAGTCTGAAAGACTCAAGCTGGTATCCAAATAACCGTAAGAATATCTTATTAGTCTCGGATCACAATAGTGAACTGACCTTCTTCCTGTCTGCTGTGCTGTCCTCGAGCGTGTGAGTGGCACTTGCGGTGAAGTCCATGATCGGCATGAGTGAGAGTAGTATAAAAGAGCGACTGAAGTTCAAAGAACGTGTTGAAATAAATGAAGGAATGGACCGGACCGTTAGATAAAAACCACGGATGTGGACGACTCGATAGACGTCGAGGACAAGGATGAAGGCAGCAAGCAAGAGAAAACGGACCACATCAGCAGGACAACTATCAACTCGGCTCTTGCCGACTGCCCCTGCCGCCCGTCTTAATTATGTACAGGCGCCGAGGTGTGTTACCCCGGACTGTTCGATAGTTAAGGCGACAAGAACGGTAACGAGGAACTATACTTCAAACAATATGGTAGCGTAGTCTAGGCAAACGTACTGATACTCATTGTCTGTTATGCGCGTCGCGACTGCTGAATAGACTATGGCTCGCGCATTCCAAGCTTCGGCTCATACTGCTGCTATGGTTTCCTCTGCAGGCTGGTCTCCAAGTGCGTATCGCCCTATGTTTATTTTCGTGCCATCTTTCGCCGCTAGACCGTCTCGGCAGCTACATGAACTCCCCATTCCCCACCTCTCCTACCCACCACCAAGCGTTTCTGGTGTGTCCAACGGTATTTGCACATCCCCTTTCTCCTCCGCAAGAGCGCCTCATATCTCCGGCTTCCCGTGTAATTATCCTTGCGTCCGTCCCTGCTTGCTATAGAGACCTATAGTGCAGACGAAATGATCCTTGGACTGTAGATACCCTACTCACCGCGGTGCTTTGTATCCAAGTAATGTACGTTTGATACGTTACCGACACATGTACATGCCAGGGGCCGCGCCAGACAGGCCTATCGATTGAGAGGCCAGCGCCAGTACGTGAGTGGGCGTGCGTTGCTGGCTAAGACATGACAGCTGGCAACCCAGCGACCGGTGATCGATTACCCTCCACCCCAGCCGGTTGTGTCGCACAAGTTGGTCCCCAAAAAGCACGGGCACGGGCACACCAAACTGGCGCTGAGGGCGAAGACCTGTAGTATGCCTGAGAGAAGCGACGCGAAGTTGGGCGTACCAGGTCGCAGTGCGGGTAACGCAAGTCGCCTGAGCTAGCGTGCGATGCGCTGCGGGCGTCAGGGTCCCCATTAAAGACTGCATGCTCGCGACGCGGGTTTGACGGTCACGGCAGGACATGTTCGCTATGAGGGAGCAGATGCTGGAAGGACGATAAGGCTGGATGTACCATCACCGTTATGCTCACCCAGAACGTCGAGTTGCGCAGGTTTGGTGCTGCGCCGACGATAGTGACCACAGGTTGCTACGTCCGGGATATCGAGGACGAGCTCGACGCCGAATTCGGCGGCACGGCCGCCCGGCGAGAACTCGAGAAGGGGCTGCTGTCGAAGGTGAATAAGCGTATGTCGATATTGATGTTGTTTTAGGTCCTTAACTTTGTCCGTCTGCCGCCCTTGTCGATCCTAATCGCCCGTAGATTGATCGCAGCAATGCCGAGCACGCTGCACGTCTCAAGATAGGCCCCATCGGCTGACATTCAAGAGCGTTTGGTCTCTTAGTGCGGCTCGATTGCGAGGCTTCGAGGAAGACCTGGGCTTGAAAGGACAACGTTCAAACGCTACGCGACCGCAAGCGGTGTGGATCGACGAGTGGAGTAGGTTCGGGTGTTTGTCCCACTTTAAAAGGTGTTCTCTATTCGCAAATCGCCTTGAAGAAGGCTGGTCTGTTGACCTCCGCATGAATTGAGATGCGACGCCGGTAGGCATGATGCTGCTATCCCTCCTGAGCGAGATATTTGGTAGCCCATAAAAATTGCCTTGTTTAGAGGGTGCGGCCAACATGTATCATAGTGGAGATATCGTCTTACTTGCGCCGGCACTGTAAATCCTTTTAGCTCTCCGGCCGGTTCGGGGGGACTTGCTTGTCCGAGTCGCTCAGAGCCTCAGAGCCCATGTAGAGGATCATAATTGGAGTGGTGGAGGCATGTAGAAGAGGATGTAGGCCTGGGAAGGCCTAGAAGTACATGCCCATTGAAGCGTGGACTCAGGGCTGCCGGGACGAGAACACGCCAACCGCCGCAGCATACCTGGGACCACTTGCCAGTGCATAATTATCGCTAAGGATAGCCGTCAGTAGAAAATGACGACAGCATTGGATGCGACGGCAGATACCTTTACTCAGAAATTCTGCCTTAGATCGTGTAGCGAATAACGTCGCCCTGGGCAGAGGGGTGCAAATAGTTAGTACGGAGACCACAGGCAGCAAGTTACACGCGCGCCTGGAGACGTCATGTATCACGCACAATGATTCTGCTCGCGCTGAGGAAGGGAGTTGCATTTGCCCAACGCGACTCTGCTTTGTTTACTTTCTTCAAGCTGGGGCGGGGCGCGGGCGGCCCACCAGTACCAGCAGAAACCACGCGGAAGGACCAAAAGGATCGAGGACGTACCTGACAGATTGGCGGCGGTGCTTGCGCCGACCGGCAGATCCGACAAAATGTCTATGTTAAGGAGATGGTAAAGGTTGTTGTGGTTGTAGAGCTTGACACCGATATCTGACGACAAATAGCGCCACAAAGCCGGTTGCCATAAGGCGATAGTGGCGTCCGGCACTCCGGTTAGCATTCCGGCTGACGCTCTAAGGAGGTAAATGCAAACATGGATTACTTTTGTACTCAACCACAAGAAACATATTACACTAATTGGCATTTTCAATCTCTAATATCAACAGAAAGCTTTGCTCTCGCCTTCTCGAGAGCTAGGCAAACATCGAAGGCTTGGATGGGAGTCTTGATATCACAATGCTCTAACAAGAACCTCTCCTTCTCGCGCCAGGGAAATCCCAGCAAAAGCTTCAGATGATCTTCACAGTTGATTCCTGCAGACCAGAGCTGTTCAAAATGCCTAGCAAGAACAGGATCAAGGTCATCAAGGTAAGAGCGAAACGCCGACATGGACGCGATGATTGAAGAGCCAGCGACACTAGAATCTTGGTTAGAGGAGCCGCTCACTGAGGGTAGCTGAGATGTTGATGCTTGAATTGACTGAGAGGAGACCTTGAGCTTCTGTGGCTGAAATGTCAGATAAAATTCATGTCGACATGAGTCGGGAGGTACATACAGATGCCATATTCTTCCTGGGCTTAACTGGTACTAAATGAGGCGCAGTGTTGACATCTTCATCATCACGGTGGGGTTCCTCGCCGTCCGTAGATTCATCTATCTCGATAACTTCTGATGAACCGCGGCCAGGCTGATTCCGGCGCTGTTGCAAACGACGGAGACGCTTTTTTGCGTAGTATACGGCTGGCCAAGAAGCCTCATACAAAGTCAACAGCTTGTCTGCTTTGGCTGCCTGAAAGCGCATTGCATTGTCAATTTGTTAGGATGAGAGGACAGATTATCTGCATGTGCACATGCCTCCAGAGTGTATAGTGCCACCATGGCCTCATCCTGCTCGTGCCACATCTTCGTCACATCAAGATGCTCGTTGACAAATTTGCGAAGGGTACGCTACGCATGGATAGCCGTTCCCCACGACGAGTCAGATTCCGCGAACAAATGATAAATATCATCTTACGAGGGCCTTGTTGTAGCGTGGCTTGTTATGAGACAAACCCATTGCATACTGCTGGCCCATCTGCCGCAGCGTTGATCTCGTCGGTGGCGGGAAAAGTGGCATGGTATCTAGTGCGGGGGGCATGGGCGACTTGTGATATACCAGATGGGGCTCCACGGAGCCTTTTGTCTTGTAGTCCACGTAGTATGCTCGTTTTGTGTTATTCTAGCGCGACCGGAAAATCTTTGCAAATGCGGTCACCACAGCACAGGCTATTCCAAAAAAAATAGACGAAGGATGCTCGCCGAGCTCCGACCAGCCGTCAGAAATGGGGTACCGGCTTAGTTGGGGGTCGCCGAGTCACAAGCAGGGAACCAACTTCCCCGCGTGACCTGGTAATCTAAATAGCTCCCCTCGCATGATCACACCAAATGAAGACAACGCACTCGCTATGCGAGATATCCTGCGGCAGCATCAGCAAAAAAATCGATCGTAGATCAAGAAAGGGTTGCTAGACAAGCGCTTAACAGTCTGGTGGACGCTGGCAATGCAAGGACAGGCGAAACCAGGCTGGTATTGCATTACAATCTCAACCCAGACCGGTATGTCGATACAATTCTGTTCTCATTATGATATAGCTAGACATAACATGACCTGCTCACTCAGATCAGCTCAGACCTCGGTGATGACGTGACATCACACGCGCCGCCGTGGCCTTCGTCAGCCTTCGCCTCTATGTCGACTCTTCCGAGACAATTCAAAGGTTCGTTTGACCTACCCTAAACTAATTTTGATGTATATCCTTTTATATATTAATCCATATAGAGGGCACTCGTCGCTCCGTGCCTCTTACTTTCCCACCACCATGCCACGGGTCTCATCGAACGGACACCACCCCCTTCCTGCCTCTGTACCACCACCGCCACCGCTACCACCACACTACACACGCAGTGCCTATGAACCGCTCAACGCCGTTCTGAGACCTGATCGCGGGCGCCTGCATATGTACGGCCTCGGTGTATGCGCTCACCGATAACCTGCGGCCAATCGGGGTGCGTCTCTCCTTCCTTTCGCGCCATGCACATTCGTTTCAGCATTCTCATTGACAGTATGTCCAGCTGACCGCATATATGGTAGCCATGATGTCGGCTCCCAGCCCTCAGCGCGGGTCTCACAAGAACTCGAGACAGCAACCCAATCATGTGAGGTTTGTATATGCTTGCCTGTATGCTTCTCTGGCTCATGGCTTTGTCATCTCGCTCGCGCAGGTTCATATAAGGTACGTGGTCTGCATATATGCGCTCGTTTATTCATTTTCTCATGCACAGATCCCTATTAGACATATTTTCTCATCTTACAAGCTGTTCCCTTGAATGTACTGCGCTCCTACATGACACCTGATGCGCGTCGTGAGTGTACAGCTCATTTGTTGTGTTGCGCCCTCACGAAGCTTTGTAATCAACATTTAGTTGTGCACGCGCAGAGCATAAGGGCAAGGAACAGTTTGCGACGTGTATGCCCTCACGTACACACTTTCTCTGTCGAATGGATCTGACGAGCAGGACGAGCAGGACGAGCAGGACGTGCCTGCAGGCTCCGCACCTTGTCTCGTATAGCGCACCTAACGGCATGCACACCGCGTTCACGGTATGCATCGCAGTCTGTAGGCTCCCACGTGATGAATGCTCACATGTGCGTCCAGTCCAGGACTCGATCCCCGCGCAACATGCACCACTGCGAGGGCTGCTCGTCGTCGAACGCTTACAGTGCGAGTGACACATGCGGCGGCGACATGCGGCGACGACATGCGGCCGCTTCGACTGTTCGACGTCACCGATGTGTTCATAACACCTACCTGCGCCCATGTATTTACTGTAGCTTTGCGAATATATTATTCTTTGTCTTCAATTATGATGTGCAAGGTGGCTCCCAATATATTGAAATATTCAACGATTTATTGCGAGCGGACCCAGACTGGCGCTCGCTGGTAATGCCTTGCCAGCGCATACCAACCTCACCAGCATGCTATGCATGCTAAAGGATCCCAGACTGATATGTTTGATAAATCAAAACGGTGCTATATCTACGTTGAAATATTTGTTCCCAGAATGATTACCATTGTAAGTGAGGTTAGCTTTACCAGGGCTGCCCAGGCTATATAAGCCGCCGATTTTTTCGCTGATGAGGCCTGGCCGCACGAGGGGGGCCGGGTTTGAGTAACGAGTTGAGCCTGCTTGCCTAGTAGCAGTGCGAGAGGCGCGGGGAGAGAACTCTGTACTCTGCGCATCGGTGCACACTGTCATGCTCGTCTGCGCCCTTCTTTGGACCCCAGGTAATGGCGGGAAGTGTCCGCAAGCTGACGCCAGCGCGCGATCAACAAGCTGAGACACAGGTGCTCAAGCCCGCTACAATATTTCCCGCTTAGCTGAGCTTGAATTTAAATGTACACAGAGGAGGCCCCCAGTGATATATCAGCGACAATTATACGAAGCGTGCCATCCCCAGCTTCACTCTCAAGGCCTACCACCGGCCTTGAGCACCTCGAAATACTTTCGAACACCAGAAACATCTCCAGCAAAGGAGCCAATAACACCATCAGGCCGGACGACGACATACGTGAAGGCCGCTCCGACAGCGTCCAGATCATAGACTCGTCTGACCTCTGCATCCTTGTCGACAAGAAGCTGCACCTTGCCAGCCGTCACGTCCTCCGAGAGCTGCCGACTGAGAGATGAGGAATGGTCTGTGCCTTTCGGCAGAATGGCCACCACACGGACCGCCTCGGCATCCAACAGGTCGTGGATGTCCTCGAGCTCCTTCAGGAGCCGACCGAGGGCGTTCACACCAGGCACGAACACCATGACAATGTGCCGATGCATGTCAAATAGCTTGTGCAACGTAGTGCTTTCCGGAGTAGCTGCGAGGTGAACAGATGTGACGAGAGCGTTGGGCGCGCGGTCGCCGGCACGAAGCCTAGCTGTCTCCTGGCCATAGGGATCCTTTGCACCACTTGCTGACGCGTCCGCGCGGGTTTCGAGGACGATTGGACTCCATCGACAGTTTACGCCCAGTTGCAGGAGCACCTTCGGACGGTGCATTACATCTTGGTTCGTCGCTTGCTTCTCTTCCGCTGCAGCCTCGCCCCCTAAAGCTCCGTCGAGCGCAGATTTAGCAGGCTTGCCGAAGGCCAGGTAGTGTATGTTGGATGAGAGGTTTAGCATCTCGGCTATGACTGGGACACGTTCCTCGTTGTAAGTGTTCAAGAGTTCCATGGAAGCACGACCGTGGTAGACCAGGGCAAGCTTCCACGACAAGTTCATCTGCCCGAGCCCGTCATAGGTGAATAAGTATCAATCATATGAGAGGACAGCAACATACCGCATCTTGAATGCCAGAATTCATTCCTTGGCCGCCGAATAGACTGTGACAGTGCGCAGCATCTGTAAACATGATATATGAACTAGCGAGAGGAACTATAAGACATCTACACGTACCGCCGACGAGGAAAACTCTCTCTTTATTGAACTTCTCACACATTCTGATGTTAGCCCTTGAGGCGAAAACGTATCGATCAGCAAGTGATGATTATCAGACGGATCGGACATACCTCCACTCCGTCACCCATTCAACGTCGTGGATGAGGATATCATCGCGGTGGGATATGCTCTGGAATAGCTTTCTAATACCCTCGAGGTCGGTCGGTAGACTAGCAGGGAGTTCATGACCGAGTGCCTGCATCTGGAAGAGCGAGCCCGTCTTCATCGGCCTGAGGCCGATGCTAACAAGACACCAATCAAATTAACATTCGCCACAACAGTGTCACGTCCCAATGAAAGACTTACGCAGCCTGCGTCATCTTGCCCCACATGTGCCAGTGCTGTGATAAACGCCTTCGTCACTTGCCATCTCGCACAATCGATAGATGATACTGACCTCCTTGTCGAGGCCAGTGACATTAACGTTGCCGGAAAGGACACGATCCTCCTCTCTCGTCTGACCAACGAACGGTATCTCAAGTATCCGACGAATACGCCCTTTGGCACCATCAGCGCCTACTAAAAATGAGCACAAAAATGTCTCCTCATTCCCGGTCGAAGTGTCCAGTATGCGGGCCATGACTTTTTCATCACTCTGCTCAAAGCCAATAAGCTCTTTACCTGTCTCGACGCTAGCGCCGAGGTTTCCCAGATGCTTCCGCAACAGGGCTTCAAACTCGGCCTGACTGACAATTCTCGCCTCCGGCTAATTGAGGGCCAATGAGAGAAACATCGCAGAGCATGGCTGAAATACTTACAAAAGCATAATACTGCGCCGTCCCTGCGCCTTCTGCCCAAGGAGCCGATTTGGCCGTATGGCCATCGGCTTCGTAGGACGAGAAGTCAAGCGGGGCAGTTGAGCTATCTATGACATCCTGCGCGACATCGATCAACGATAAGACTTCCAAGGTCCGGGGCTGGTAACGGAGTCTCATTAGCCATGAGTTTGTGTAAATGACAAGCGAGCTTACCGTGACACCACTTCCTCGGATGCCACCATGGAATGTCTCCCTCTTTTCGATGATGCGCACGGGCACACCGTTCTTGAGGAGAGATATAGCGGAGATGAGGCCAGTAGGCCCAGCTCCTACCTGTATCATGGGGGAAACATTAGCGTGCGGCAGGCTGGAGAATGTAGCCTCCAGATAACGACGTACAACGAGGACAGGCAGTCGGACGGACATTATTGTGGTTGTGAAGTAAGGCTGCGGTCTGAGAAGAGTGCAAGGATAGAGGTGTCGCGTCGCATCACTCCGCCCCAGTTGATAGAGCTATCTATAGAGTCTCAGCCTTGGTTTCAGCTTCGCAGTCGGCAAAGATGTCTCACGTTTCATGAGCCAGCTCGTCCGTCAAACATGAACCGCGAGACATGTCCAAATTCTCGGTATTATGAGCGTTAACGTAACGTCTAGAAGCGGGAGTACCTGTGCTACGCGACTTGCGTGTGGGCACTCGCAGTGAGTCCATGACACGAGAGAAATTTGGAGCTTTTTTGTCGCAAAAAATATGCAAAAAAAGCTGGAAAAAATAAGTAAGAAAAGGCCGTATTTTTTTGCTCGGTATCCGGCGGTCCGGCAGCTCGGCAACCCGGCAGTCGAGCCGATTATCCGCCGGGTGCCGCCGTCCCCCGGGCGCTTTGACAAGCAGCCTGGCGGACAGTCGGCTCGGCTGCCGGGTTGCCGAGTTGCCGGGCTGCCAGATACCAAGAAAAAATACGACATTTTCTTACTTATTTTTACAAGCTGTTTTTGCATTTTTTTGCAACATAAAAGTTCTAAATTTCTCTGGTGTGAGTGAAATTACCAGTTACGAATGACGACTCGATAGACATCAAGGACAAGGATGCAGGACAACCGGTGATTCGGCTCCTGCGGACTTCCCGCTATGTATAGGCGACCGAGGCACCCCGCGATAGTTAAGGCGACAGAAAGGGCGACGAAGAGGTGTCCTTTAAGCAATAGTGTTATCGTAGCCCAAGCAAGAATAGAGCCCGCTTATATCATCTAGATTGTACAATAGAGATACGTCGCATAGAAAAGGTCCAGCCAACAGAATACCACGTGAAGCGTACCAACCCTCAACGCCTACCGCCGGCTTTGAGCACTTTGAAGTACTTCCGGACACCAGAAACATCTCCAGCAAAGGAGCCAATAACACCATCAGGCCGGACGACGACATACGTGAAGGCCATTCCGACAGCGTTTAGATCATAGACTCGTCTGACCTCTGCATCCTTGTCGACAAGAAGCTGCACCTTGCCAGCCGTCACGTCCTCCGAGAGCTGCCGACTGAGAGATGAGGAATGGTCTGCAAATTGTGGCAGAATGGCCACCACACGGGCCGCCTCGGCATCCAACAGGTCGTGGATGTCCTCGAGCTCCTTCAGGAGCCGACCGAGGGCGTTCACACCAGGCACGAACACCATGACAATGTGCCGATGCATGTCAAATAGCTTGTGCAACGTAGTGCTTTCCGGAGTAGCTGCGAGGTGAACAGATGTGACGAGAGCGTTGGGCGCGCGGTCGCCGGCACGAAGCCTAGCTGTCTCCTGGCCATAGGGATCCTTTGCACCACTTGCTGACGCGTCCGCGCGGGTTTCGAGGACGATTGGACTCCATCAACAGTTTTCGCCCAGTTGCATGGAGCACCTTCGGACGGTGCATTACATCTTGGTTCGTCGCTTGCTTCTCTTCCGCTGCAGCCTCGCCCCCTAAAGCTCCGTCGAGCGCAGATTTAGCAGGCTTGCCGAAGGCCAAGTAGTGTATGTTGGACGAGAGGTTTAGCATCTCGGCTATGACTGGGACACGTTCCTCGTTGTAAGTGTTCAAGAGTTCCATGGAAGCACGACCGTGGTAGACCAGGGCAAGCTTCCACGACAAGTTCATCTGCCCGAGCCCGTCATAGGTGAATAAGTATCAATCATATGAGAGGACAGCAACATACCGCATCTTGAATGCCAGAATTCATTCCTTGGCCACCAAACGGGCTGTGACAATGCGCAGCGTCTGTAAAGATGAAGGTATGTTCTAAATTCACGAATTAGTGCTGTAAAACCTCTGCACGCACCACCGACGAGGGAAACTTTCCCCTTGTTGAACACCTCACACATTCTGATGTTAGCCCTTGAGGCGAAAACGCATCGGTCAGCGAGTGATGATTATCAGACGGATCGGACATACCTCCACTCCGTCACCCATTCAACGTCGTGGATGAGAATGTCATCACGGTGAGATACACTCTGAAATAGCTTTCTAATGCCTTCGAGGTCGGTTGGTAGTCTATCAGGAAGTTCATGACCGAGTGCCTGCATCTGGAAGAGCGAGCCCGTCTTCATCGGCTTCAGACCAATGCTAACAAGACACTAATCAGATCAACCTTCGCCGCGATCCCACGAAAAACTTACGCAGCCTGCGCTATCTTGCCCCACATGTGCCAGTGCTGTGATGAGGGCCTTAGTTACTTTTGCTTATCTTGCACGAGCAATAGATGATACTGACCTCCTTGTCGAGGCCGGTGACATCGACGGTACCGAAAAGGATACGATCCTCCTCTCTCGTCTGACCAACGAACGGTATCTCAAGTATCCGACGAATTTGGCCCTTGGCACCATCAGCGCCTACTAAGAAGGAGCACAAAAATGTCTCATCGTTCCCGGTCGAAGCGTCCAGTATGCGGGCCGTGACTTTGTCATCACTCTGCTCGAGGCCACTAAGCTCTTTACCTGTCTCGACGCTGGCGCCGAGGCTTCCCAGATGCTTCCGCAACAGGGCTTCAAACTCGGCTTGACTGACGACTCTCGCTTCCGACTAATTGAGCAAGGGCAGTCAGAGAAACACGGTAGAACATGGCTGACATGCTTACGAAGGCATAATACTGCGCCGTCCCTGCGCCTTCTGCCCAAGGGGCCGATTTGGCTGTACGACCGTCCGCTTCGTAGGACGAGAAGTCAAGCGGGGCAGTTGAGCTATCTATGACGTCCTTCGCGACACCGATAAACGATAAAGCCTCCAAGGTCTGAGGCTAATATTGGAGTCTCATCAGCCATAAGTTTGTGTAAACGGCAGACGAGCTTACCGTGATATTAGTTCCTCGGATACCACCATGGAACGTCTCCCTCTTTTCGATGATGCGCACGGGCACACCGTTCTTGAGGAGAGATATGGCAGAGATGAGACCAGTAGGCCCAGCTCCTACCTGTACATGGAGGAAACGTGAGTAAGCAGCAGGCCGGGGAATGTAGTCTCCGGAGGTCGACGTACAACGAGGACGGGCAGTTGGGTCGACATTGTTAACGTTGTGGATGTAAGACAGGATGGAGGTATTACGCCATTTTGTCTCAATTATAGGATCTCAGCCTCCTTTCAGCGTAAGATATCTCGCGTTTCACGTCCGCGGCCGACGTAGCATTTACTGGAGCGTAGATTCATTACAGTGGCGTCCCCGAAGAAGGTCCTAAGATATAAGGTAATCTTGCGGGACCGTTCGCCAGCTCGCGCGCGTCCTGGAAACAGTCGCGTCAGCAGGCCATCGGCAAAAGGAGACTAAGATTACTTAGCATTATAGCGTCGATATTTATTGTTAATTTACGTTATAGGTTATCTCAAATAACGGTAATTATCGCATGATTGATTGCCCCAGTTCGCCGATCTGCGCTTCACCACTATAGCAATGTGTTGTGCGTGCACTCGATACCCACGGAACGCCCTTGACTCCTGACTCCGCCGTAATGAAGGGAGTCCTTACACGTCCGTCAATGGTCCCGACGGTGTTAGTGGAAGATTGTCGCGGCGGCTCCCCGCCGGACCCCCAGACTACAAGGCACGGCTTTTGACAGGGATCATATCATCGGTCGACTTGAAATCTTCCGCACTCAAGTCCCTTGGTCCCGTCCACCACCTCTACGTCTTCTTCCTTCACTCGTCCCCGAGCAATCAGCAGAATGTCTGCACCAGTCGTGACCAAGATTGTCCCTGAGCAATCAGCTTTTCTGTTATGCGATCTGCAGACAAGATTCAGTACGTCCCAGGCCGTGTGTTAGCGCTCTGCAATTGTACTGACGCGACATTCCCTGTCTGAAGAGCCCGCGATATATCAGTTTGACAAGATCGTAATGACCGTAAGCAAGATGGTCCAGATTGCGAAGGTGAGATCAAGAGACATCTCCCGTGCCGGTCGATGGTAGACTAATGGAATGTGTCTATGCTCCGCAGGTTGTTGGCGTCCCCATGATCGTTTCAACTCAAAATGCTAGAGGTTCGTCTCATCGGTCGCGAACCTTCCTGGAACTGGTGCTCATATCCGTAGCTCTGGGCGACACTGTGCCCGAAATTGACCTTCAGGGCATGGGACCTCTACATCTCGGCACATTTGACAAGTCCACGTTTTCCATGGCGACGCCCGATGTCATGTCGACGTTGCAACAACATAACATCAAGTCTGTCATACTCATGGGCATAGAGGTGCGTTTACCGTCACCTGTACGGGTCTACCAGGTACTCAGCCATGTCGTTTAGCTACATATATGCATACTCATGTCATGTTTGGACCTTCTCGCCCTCGGGTATGAAGTGCATGTCCTCGCAGATGGCGTCTCCAGCTCGAACAAGGAGGAGATATCTATTGCATTTGACAGACTCAGGCAAGCGGGCGCGATCATTGGCACAAGTGAGAGTGTTGCTTTCCAGCTGCAAGGTGTGTATCACGCCCTCCATTCCTCTCCCACTTACGCTCAACTGCGATCTTGTAGTCGACTCCGCCAAGCCAAACTTTAAGATATTTGCGAAGACCATCAAAGAAGAGAAGGAGAATACTCGAGAGGTTCTGCAGACACTGCTGCCCGTTAAGGCAGGCTTATAGACCTGGGTTTTACTGTCTTCCGAGTAGAGATCTGGAAGAATTGGCCCGCGTGACTCGGTATTATACTACTTCACCTGACCCACCATGTTGTAGGTTTCGTCGTCGATGCGGTCTTCATTTTCTGATCGTAAGCGCGGGAGCTATGTTAGCGTCCATCTGTTTGGCAAAAGCTTGGGATCCTAACAAAGCCACGTGGCGTGCCCAAGCCGGCCGGATGTGCGTCCTGCTTGCAGTCTCTGAACGTCACCCACGACTAAGAACTACGTCCTCTGACCGCCTGACTAGCCTGCGCCCGGAGCGAGCACCAGGGCCTCTTGTACTTCTCTAGATCTCCCTCTTAAGTCTGCAAGTATTCCTGTCTTAACTCTCAACTATGCTCGGCAAGCTCGTGCACCTGGGCTTCGATGCTCTACTTATCAGCGCATTTCTCGCTGGTATCAAGCGGTCAACTGGACTCACGTACGGAGCCTTTCTCGCCATTTTGAGCCGTGGCTTACCCTCTCGCAGTCCAAAGCTGTCAACAGTTCCGAACAAGGATGTTCGCCGTATGTAGTCCTTACTATCTAATGCACGCCGCCTACTAATCATGCCCTCACATACAGAACTTCTTAACACATACTTGGAGTTCGGTGCGCTATGAGGATGCGACCAAGAGGGAATTTCTGACAACGTTCTCATATTCCCAGGAGAATATGTCTTCGACTTCGCTGTTGTAGTATTTGGGGTACGTGTTGTTGTCGTTCTATGCTTATTCTGCCATAACCGTCTCTCTACAGAGATCAGAGTCATTCGAGAGGAAACATTGAGTGCAAGTATGCGATGAATATTGAGCTATGTCTCCACAATCATCAGCTATCAATAATTTTATACGGCTCTCTGCCTTTGGTATCGGTGCAATATCCTCGAGTGATCCTTTCCACTACAGTCTTCCCTTACTTCCCAATGCTCATGCAATCTGTACAACGTTCGCTCGCGCCATCTGTTCGTAACTATCAGGGTGTAGGGTTCCACCATGTCACGGCAGGCTCATTCTAACCATTTTAAGCACAAGCTGAGGTTTAGGAAGAGACATCCAAATAGCCCGATGTCTATCCCAAGAAGTTGTATACGAAGAAATGGAGCACGACGGAGCCAAGAGCGAAGTCGGCGAATGCACTATGCGAGAACGTTAGCTTACAGGCGACGCTACAACGTCACGTTCCTTACCGCTCTGGCGATACGTCCTTGAACTCATTTCTATTGGCGGGGTTGACTTGAGAGCGCAATGAAGCGGTCAAGACGAACTGGCCGACGCAACTGCCGAAACTGCGTGCAGCACGTTCAGTAGATGCGGCTTACGCGATCCAGTGGTAGACGTACCCAGCCAAGAACGCATTGAACGGGAAGTTGGTCACCAGGACGCAGTATACAAACTGTAGTACGCCAGCGATCATGAGGAATACGAGGAATGCGTCAATGAGCTTCAGGCGAGGAGAGGTGGTCTCGTTGTAAGCCTTCAGGAGGGACTGTACGGCGTTCCCTGCAGCTGCTGGCGACGTTTCATGCAGAGCAGAGGGCGTAGAAGTTGTAGGCTGCTTCGCTGCTGCTGTAGACTTTGGTGCCATGACTGCAGTACTCAAGCGGAAATTCGGGTGTATGAAGCGGTTGACGTGTAAGAGCTGCGCTTCCGCGAGCAAGGCGCGCGACCGTGTTGGTCCTGAAGCGCCCGAATTTTATAGTGTTGGCAAGCGTCCGGCTTCTTCCCCAGACTACTTCCTGCCGCAACTCGACGTGCCATACAGCGACCGCCGAGGATGCACAGGATAATGTCCCAGCTTGCCTCGGGCTCTGCGCGCCATGTCCGGCGGTCTTCGCCCGCGGTTTGGCGAGCACTTAGTTCGCGAAGCCTCCACAACCGTGTTCCGCCGCCGTACAAGGTCGAAGATGGTATGGGAGACTTTTTGCCGCCAGCAGCTCTCACGATGATTGCGGAGGACTACCAGCAAGGTCTCTTAGATAGGCTCAATGAGGGAATTAAGGGTGCGTGCAGTGGTTCCCGTCCTGTGTGGCACCGAATGAACATTCCAAAATATGCAGACACTCCTCAACGGACTAAAAGTGTGACTCAGACCGTGATTGAGGCTGCTCAAGATCCAAGCAAGGTTCTCATGTTCAATTACGCAAGCGAGGCGTTGAACAACTCGTTCTTCCTACGATGTCTTGTGAGCATCGTTTGTAGTGGCTGCAGTGATAGCCGTTCTAATGGTGTTAATCCCGTGCCAGAAACCGCCACAACACGGTCTACCTAACCACGAAGATGACATCACCCCGTACTTCGGTGCAGCATTCCGCCAAGACTATGGAAGCCTTACGCAGCTCAAGTCCACATTCAGCGCGACCGCCATGGGCATTTTTGGTTCCGGCTGGGTATGGCTTGTTTGCGACCAAACGGGCCAGCTCGCCGTCGTTCCGACTTTCGGAGCAGGCACCCTGTTGGTCCGCTCTCAAGAACGCCTCCAAGCGCGACTCAAAATTTCGGATGCCGTTATAGGCGAGGCCCCAATCGTAGGGCGGCCCCGTACCATCCCGGGCGTGAAACCTTCTGGACAACCCGCACCTTCGTCACCTGCGTCAGGTGTATCATCGCAGCAGCCGCCAGTGCATCCGCCAACTCAGACACGCCAGTTGTCGTCGTCAGCACTCAGTGCTTTCGACCTCCCGGGCTTCAAGGCTGCAGGTCTCAACGACAAGGGAGGTAGGGGGCCGCTTGGCGATGTACTCTTCCCGCTCCTCTGTATATCTGTGCACGAACACGCGTGGGTCAGCGCGGGATACGGTGTTTGGGGCAAAGAGGAGTACATGAAGCGATTCTGGAGCGTTGTCAACTGGAAGCAGGTCAGCGAGCACTACGAGACATATGTGCCGAACACACTGGCGTCACTTGAGGGATTTTAGAGGTCTCGAGAGCGGGAATCAAGAGCATCGCCCCGCGGCGGGACGACTAGAGGAGTTGCAGCATATCATTGCTCGGTCATTCCATTCGCTACTAGCTTACCTACCAACGTACATCCTAAAAAGTAGTATTTTAATGCTTAACGTTTGTCGGTGTTAGGTTAGGGTTAGACTGTATATACCGAGCGGAAAGTTCTGGAATGACCGAGGTTTACTTAGCGGTCCCGACTACGATAAAATACGCGCGCCTGAAACCCATATACTCAGGATCTATACCATCGAACCTCCCTGCTCATCCTCATGTCTGCCGAAGAACTCAAGAACCAGGGGAACAAGGCGTTCCAAGCCAAAGACTACGACACTGCGATCGACCTCTTTTCGAAAGCCATTGAGCTCGACCAGAACAACCACGTGCTCTGGTCAAACCGTAGCGCAGCCAAGGCTGGCAAGAAACAGTATGACATTGCTCTAGAAGATGCTGAACAGGCAAGTTGTCCATGGCGTATCGCACAGAGAGTGGCTGACTTCCCTCCGCCTTTGCGTAGTGCGTCAAAATCAATCCTGCATGGTCGAAGGGCTATGCGCGCAAAGGTGCCGCTTTGCACGGTCTGCGAAGATATGATGACGCCGTCGCGGCATATGAGGAGGGTCTCAAACTAGAAGATAGCCCTGCGTTGAGGAAGGGCCTACAGGAGGTCAAGGACGCGAAAGGCGAGTCTCGCTGATCTGTCTCGCTCTCGATATTGTCTCACCACTTGTGCAGCTGCCGATGAACGAGGAGACGGCGGCGAGGCGTTCGGTCTGGGCAAGCTTTTCAACGATCCCAACTTACTCGCCAAGCTCGCAGGTAACTCTCGTACTCAGAAGCACCTGGCCGATCCCACCTTCGTGCAGAGGCTCCAAGCGATCCAGCAAAATCCCAAGCTGGCCGAGCAGAGCCTGTCGCAAGACCCTCGCATGATCGATGTCCTGGGTGTGCTCATGGGTGTTGACATGCGGGGCTTCACTCGGGAGGAGGGCTCGGACGAGCTCCCTCCTGGTGTCCAGAAGATGGAAGAGGATACCAAGCCGGCTTCGCCACCACCCCAAGCATCATCATCGACATCTCAGCCTAAGGAGGCTCCTCCTGCAGAGGAGGACGTTGATATGGATGATGGAGACGCGAGGGCCAAGAAGGAGGCGGAGCTGGAGAAACAGATTGGTGCCACTGCCTACAAGGCTCGTGATTTCTCCAAGGCGGCGGAGCACTTCCAAAAGGCTTGGGATGTTTACCCGAAGGACGTGACGTTCTTGACCAATCTTGGAGGTACGTAACATTGGCTCCTTCCGGGAGCAACCCGATTGACATATCTGTAGCTGTGTATTTCGAGCAAGGCGACTATGCCAAGAGTATTGAGACTTGCGAGAAGGCTATCGAAGAAGGTCGCTCGGTAAGCTCTCCACTTTCTCCACAATCCGAAGGCCGTGTTACCCATCTCATTCCGCTGTAGCTTCGTGCCGACTACAAACTCATTGCGAAGGCTCTTGGTCGGATCGGAACAGCCTACTCCAAGAAGGGCGACCTTGAGACCGCAATAAAGTACTTCCAGAAGTCACTCACGGAGCACCGCACTGCCGATATCCTCACTAAGCTGCGTGAAGCGGAGAAAGCGCAGGCTGAGGCCGCGCGACTTGCATACCTTGATCCCGAGAAGGCAAACCAGGCTCGTGAGGAAGGCAACACTTTTTTCAAGAACGGCGACTTTGCCGGTGCGGTGAAGGCATATACCGAGGCAATCAAGCGCGACCCGCAGGACCCGCGTGGCTACAACAACCGCGCGAACGCGTACACTAAGCTAGTTGCTTTGCCCGAGGCCCTGAAGGATGCGGAGGAGGCGATCAAGGTCGACCCCAAGTTCATCAAGGCGTACATCCGCAAGGGTCACGTCCTCTTCGCGATGCGCGACTACACCAAGGCCCTTGAGATAGTGCAGGAGGCCACAGACCTTGACGAGGAGAAGAAGCATACGAAGGAAATCAACGAGCTCTCGTTCAAGTGCCAGCAGGCTCTGTTCAGCCAGCGGGAGGACGAGACTGAGGAACAGACACTCGAACGAGCCATGCGAGACCCGGAGGTCGCGGTAAGCATTTATAATTCATACTTCCCGACGCAATATCTGACGGGTCTACAACGCAGAAAATTATGGGCGATCCTGTCATGCAGTCCATCCTCCAACAAGCCCAGCAAAACCCCGCTGCGCTCCAAGATCACATGAAGAACCCTGCCGTGCGTGCCAACATCATGAAGCTGGTCAACGCCGGCATCATCAAGACAAGATAAAATTGCGATGTCGCAAAGGAATTAGTGGGTCGCTGCAGGCATTGCCGTCGGATTGCTTTGTATTGTTAATATTGTACCACCTGCATTGCTATATCATGTTTGATCTCTTAGGCCTTGTGAACACTTGTGTCATGGAGAAGCCCAAGACCATCCCTGGAAGGTTGAGAGCTGGTCAACCGCCAACGCCTCTACCGCCCTACGCTTCTTGGCCACGTCGCCGGTCTCTGAATTTAGCTCTCGCCACACCTTCATCGTCTCGTGCACCTCCCGTGGATTGCTCAAACCGACCACGGTAGGCAGCTCTAGCTCTTTCGCTTTGCGGTACGCGAATAACAAGGCGATGTTTGGTAGACCGCGTTCCCAGCCGTTCGCCACGGAGATCGAATGCGCCTTGCTGGTAGCCTCGCGCAGGCCGGGAGGTGCGGGATGCCAGGATGGAGGTGTCGGGGTGAGAAGTCCCATGTTAAGGGGTGACGCAGTGAGGAGCTGCTTGACCTTCGCTCGCTCGCGTAGTTCAGCGACGTACAGAGCAAATGTATCGTTCTGCAGGTTGAGATGGCTGTAGCTGAGGAGCACATCTAAGGGTTCGCCCGTTATGTGAAGAACCAGAATAGCGAGGCGGAGGAGGACGGGAAGTGGATAGCCTAGATACATACACCTCAGCAATAGAACACTCTTGATCTGTGACAGCTAGCTTGCCTGTGATGCCGATGTTGTTGATAAGCCCTTCTTGTTTCATTTTCCTCAATTCGACGACTGCGTCTAGGACCTTCTGGTCGCCTTCGCCGAGGATTCTACCCTCATCTCCCGGTGCCAGACCGTACGTCGCTGCTTCATTGGTCAAGGCGACAGAATGAGTCCCGGCAGATGGAGGGTTTGAGCAGACGAATTCGACGTCGTGCAGATAGACTGTATCAAGGTATGTGGTGTGCAGCCTCGCCAAACTGCGCTGAACACTTTTACGTATGGTCTGCGGGCTGTAGTCAAATTGATCTGATGTGAGTCCATATCGGCCGCACTTCGTCATCTAAGACAGCGGTCAAATAATACAATCTTGGCATGCTGCGAAATCGTACCAGCTGATACGACTGACGGGGGAACTCAATCTCCAGGGCTTTCAGAGTAGCTCCCAAGATTATCTCGGAAGGTCCGTAGTATGCAGACGTATCGAAAGCCCTAATGCCATACCTGGATCGTCGTCAGAATAAGCTGACTGGGGCATTATGCGGTGGAGTGGGAGATCACCTCAGTGCCAGCCGGACGGTGCGTAACGGGGCGGCACTCAAAATGTAATCAGTCGAGTTGTACACCGTATGGAACGTTGCTGCGCCGAATACAATTTCAGGCAACTTGAGTGTGTCGGCGTCGCTCTGCAGAACCTGTCAAGAAGGCAAGCACTAGACTAGGAAGACTTTCCTGACGAAGCTAATGCCAGGTAAAGGCACGTCATCCTCGTTATCCGGCACATCGTCAAGAGAAGGGACCTTGAAGACGGGCTGAGGCGAGTCCAAGGGTGCAACCATGTCGACTGGATCGCGATAATGGGAAACAAGAAAGACTGATAATCGTCCCTGGCGACGTCGTGACGACGGCAAGACGCCGGCCCGCCAAAGTCACAGTCACGAGGTGACCCGTTCAGAATGCGACGGGCTCTCCCCGAGAAAATGTTTCCATAGTGTATTGTAGGAGATACAGGAGACGGACAGAATCAGGGCGGAAAGCGCATTCGCGTTTACTTTAGAGCTTGCGACGTTCCCATCTGTGAAACGCGAAGTCAGAGCAACAGTGGGAAGGGTTGCATAGCCGGTCACATACGATTTGTCGAGCTGGTGGTTAACATTCAAAATCTTGGTGCTTTCATTGGGCTTAATGTCGTTCCAAGGGGTGGGATTCTCCTTGGTCCAGACGACTAGCGGGGTCACGCTCAGAGGTAATTCTGGAGAAACATGGTCAGAGCACGCACCACTGGATCCGCGGGCGAGGCGCGAGAGATACCAGGTACCGCCAACAACGACTATGCCGACGATGGCGTAGCTGACACCTGTTCTGAGTTTCATTTTTCCCGAATTCCAAAGCAAGGAGACTTACAGAGGCGTTGCCTGCAACAAACGAGTTAAATCCAGACACCTTGCAAGATACACACATAGATACAGACCTCGACGGCAAACCAGTTCCTCAGGAAACCCCTACCGAGCTTAGAATTAGAAGGACCGCCAGCCATGAGTATTGAGTGTTGGAAAAGTGTGGATGATGCTGGCCTCTCGCACGGGGGTTCCGAATGCAGCCGCTCGGCTGTTTCCAGGGGCTTTCCCACGCTTAGTGGTTCTATCGCCCCGCCTGGGAGCAGGTCACAACGAAGACTCGCGGGTGGCGCACGAAGCTGTGTTGCGCTCAGTATGGCAAGCATTCAAGAACCATTCGTGCATAGCAGGGAACAAGCACTACAGAAGTAGTTTACATCTCGCAGAGGCTACTGCAGACAGCCGCCCGGCCTCGCATGTAGAACCGCGGAAAACATCAGACCGCTGGCCTGCTCTCGGCAGCGAGCTTGTCGACATGCTTCATTCGGGTCGATATGACAGTACGCAGCTGCTTGCGCAGGTCCTGGACACGAACTGACAGGGCGTCCTGCGACTCGGCGGCGAGAAGCACCTGGTCGATGAGGGCGTATGGCAACCACGTTGAAGCAGCAGAACGTGGTTGTCCGCGCGCCAGTCGCGAGTCATCCTAATTAAGAACGGCTGCATCAGGAACACCCCGCGCACCAACAACACATGGTGTGAGTTACCTTTTGTATCATTGCGATAGTATACGACAACGCTGCATCCATGATCTCATACCGGAGGCACGTACGGATAAGGAACTCCGGATGGTTCTCCTAAAGGCTAGATCGGATTATGAATAGCACTGGAGTTAGATGAAGACCCACCTGCAGTATGCGAACGAGCCATGGTGGTGGTGACGAGGTCCGGTCGAGACCCCATACTGTTTCCAGCGTAATTTTACTGTAAATGTACCCTGTTTGCGGACTATCGTGGCGTTCCAGAGCTTGGCGAAGATAACGCCAGCCTCGATCCGCGGATGTCCCAGACCACGACGAAACCTTGTCCGTGAGTAACCAATCTGAGGGATCATCGCCTCTGGAAAGTTTCGCTAAGGATCATGCTCCACAATTTAGTCCGGACGAGCCACTCACAAAATAGACTCCGGGCGCCGAGTCAATCGCATGCACTGCATTGTCAGGTGCGTGAAGACATCGGTCATGTCGACACCAAGACTTTTTGCCACCGCAATAGCACGATCAAACTGGTTAGTTTGTGCTAACTTCAGCACAACATTCGCGGGTGAAAGCAGCAGTTCTGTCCAGAGAATTAAATTTAAGAACAAGTGAATCAGGGAACAAGCAAACCTAGAGAGCCAAGAAGCGCTGGGTTTTTACGGAGGAGCTGAGCCTGGGCATCGAGCAAAGCAAATTCGTACTGAACGTCGGCAAGTTCAACGACCTCCACGTCGCGCCTGGCGATCGAGTACTTGTCCTGTGGAATGTGTTTTGCAAGTTTGCGTCTCTTCCTTGGCTGTCAATACCAGGATATCTCAGTTTATGTATACGCGGCACTGACGCATACTCACTTCGCTACTGTTCTCAGCTGAAATGGGAAGAATAAACCAAGCGCCCTTAGGGTCGATTAGAGACAAAGCATTAATGCAGACAAGGTATGCCTCGAGCTGCAGCTCGGCAAGACTTAGGAATTGATCTGGATTGCCGCTGATCACATTCCCAAGCTTCCTAGCGCGTTGGTACATGGTTAACGCGGCTGCGAGTCGGAGGCTTTGTTAGCATGCTTGGCAGCTAGCTTGGAGAGACGAAAGCGCACCATTTCTGTAGTCTCCGCGGTCAATGTACCATGTGTAGAGAATTCTTGAATAGAAGGGTCGAATACGAGGGTCCGCGTTACGCGCCTTGAACGAAAGCGCATCTTCGACTTCGTCGGTAACTCCGGCAAAGCTGTATGTCATAAGGCGGTCCACCGCATGTTCTTCGCACATCCTGTAGACCAGCTGGCTTGCGCTGTCTCGTTTGCTGGGCACGGTGTCAGCAACTTGGTCCTGAAATCAACATGCGGCATCTCTTACAGCTTCTCATATGGGCATGAGGTTAGGGCCGTGTATGCGTCGTCGTACAAGCCGAGATCCGTGAGGCCTTTGATGGCAGTCTGCCATAGCGCAACTGTGTCTACTCCAAGCGGCGCGACAGACAGGGCAAGCTGCGTGAAAGAGACCTCGTATGTCACCACACTCTCCACTTTAAAGAGGGAGGCAGCATGCAAGTAGAATGTGAACGGCGAGTTGAACAACTCGGCGCCGGGCAGGACAGCCGCAAGTGCTTCCCGATCCTCCATAGATAGACCGCTCTCCGGACCTAAAAGGGGCCGCTGATGAGCTCATGCTTCCAAGGTGAAGTAGCCGCATGAACCTTACCAAAGGCACCGGCCAAACTCTCAAGCGTAGCAGCCGCGTCTTCATACCGACCTTCATCCAGCCAAACCCTAAGCAGCACATAGCTCATCGCAGGTGTGCGAGGTAGCCAGGTCAACACCTCCCTGGCGGCTTCGCGATAGCCAAGTAGGCGAAGCCGCTCGCAGAACAGAACCTCGTACTTCGTAGCGTGTGCTGGTGACAGAGACTGCAGCATACCAGTGGCATCGAGGAAGTGATGAGCCGCGCATGGCAATCCGGTCGACGTGCCGAGCTGGATGAGAAGCGGATGTAGCAGAGAGTGAGTCGGCTCGAGCGTGGCCCTGGTGGTTGATACGTTCATGTTGCGCAACTTCGCAATTACGTCCTCGTCGGTGCTTGTTTCGCGGGGTGAAGGAGCTGCAGAGCCTGCCGGCTGGCGCGAAGTGTAGCGCAACAGTGCGACTCCCCGAAACACAACGAAGATTTCCGCCAATAACGAAGGTTCCCATTGGTGCACGGCATCCGCGTGGTAGAATAGGAGCATAATCAAGGCGAGGGCAAGATCATAACGAGCGTTGATCGAACTTGTAGCATACGCCGCAGTGAGAGCTCTGCTCCATTCCAGGTTAGTGGGTGGTAAGAGGAGCTCAACTTCGTCCTCCTCCCTCTTGACGTCCCTATCAAACCCACCGACAATGTCCAGGATAAATCTTGAAGCGTCCTCGAGGTTTCCCACGCTCTGGAGGCGTCCAGAAATCCAGATGTTAACACCATCGTCGATTTCGCTCCTTAAGTCCAACCGCTGGGCGGTGTCTTGTATGATATCAGCGTATGGGAAAGCGATCTCCTGCCGTAGAATGTCTACGACACGTATCTCCGATGACATAATCGCACGAGGTCCCAGCTTCGATCGTAACATCCACAAGGCGTCCAAAACCGAGAATTGGGGTTCCAAGGTCGCATGTCGTGGTTGCGATAACATTCGATGTAGCCGCAGCGGGAGATCCTCGGTCACGACAGAACCGATCCGTTCACGTTCGACAACGAGGACGTCACCCTTCGGATCTCCTGCGCCAATCGCAAGGGGCCACCGCGCTCGTCGCTCAATCTCGCGGCAGCGAGCGACAAACCCCTCCCAGTCGCGCTTCAAGGCATTCCAGTAGTTATCGTATTGCGGGGCTCCAGTTTGTGGGTCCCTGAGAAGCTTAACCGTACATCCGACTACTGCGGCGATATTCTCGGCGGTGGTTGCGTAGGAGACGAGCAGAGGGGCGGCGGGAGCTCCAGGTATGCTTAAACACGCGTCAGTGTACTGTGAGATGGCCATATGTAGCGTCCAAGCAGAAAAGACCCCGGGTCGCATTACGGCTTCGAAGAATTTGTCCGTCATTGCACCCGGAGAAAGCAGCAACTCGTCTAGATATGCCGGTGTGAGTTCAGGTTCTGGAGGATAAGTTATGCACGTCCACGGCCTTGCCACGCCATCGGCGGACAGCTCGATTTTCTCCACCATGGATTGGCCCTGCCGGTCCCACAACGCATACAGCGTGGTTCTGACAATGACGAAATCCTGGAGGTGGCAGTGCACGCTCATTTCAGAGCACTGGATGTCTTGTGCATCATGAATGTGCTCATTGATGACGTCGAAGAGCAGGAAGAACCCTCCAGACACCGGAGAGGCGTCCGTGGGAACGAAGGCCAGAACACAGGGTACTTCCGACCATGGCGATGTAAAGACGCGTAGCAGCCTCTGCGGGCTTGCATGCAAAAGGACAGCGGCTCGTACGCCATTCGCCGACGAGCTTGGAGCACCTGCGGGATGTCTCCCGGATGACGCGGAAGGCAGGACCCGTTCAGAGACGCAGCCTGTGGCGGTCGTCCACAAGCGAAGTGTGCGATCCCGGGAAAGCGTCCAGACATGGCCTGTATCTGTGAGCTGCGGGTGGGAGGCGATCGAGATCACCTGGGATCCGCCAGGGAGGGCGGGGTGTAGGAAGGAGGTAAGGGAGTTCAGGAAGGAGCTGTGATGGTGGAGCGTTTCTTCCCATTGCCCTACGGAGATGTTAACGGCACTGAATAACATACAAGCAAACGGATGTACTTGCCATTCTGCCAGTCTTCGCTCGCAATATCATCTGTCTCCAAACGCAGCACACACCCGTCTTGAAGACCAAGCACCACGCAGCGCAGGTCCTGTGCATGAGCCACCGCAGAGCTGAAGTCCCCTTTTAGCTTGGCAATGCTATACTCGCTGGTTCGTATCGCGCTATGAGGAGTAGTTTGCCATAGTGGCCCGCCTTCGGAAAACGGTATGACCAGTCGAAATAGCGATCCGAAGGTAGTGACCGCGAGTACGTGAAGACTTTGTGGACTAAACATCAACGACGGGCTGGGCAAGACAGCTGAGGGAAAGACGAGACGTAGAGGCGGCGCGTCGGTCGAGAGAGAAGTAAGCTCCAGGACTTGTGCATCGTGAATAGCGCGAAAGAGTATTGACCCGGTGACTTCGTGGTAGAATATCTCAGCAAACGTAGCATGCTCCGAGTCCGAAGGAGGTGTAAGAGGCACGTCGGGACGTTTAGTGTTCACCGCAAAATTAGTGCAGGACGTGGGGGGAAAGAGTGATGATACTTGAGCGGCGACAAGGAGCTGAGAGTCCATTCTAAAAACCGAATTTAGTCTCAAGCCGTGGTCTAGAAGTCGTTGCGGTCAATGAGGGCAGCGTCGTCGCACGTAGTGGCTAGAAACTCGGAGGTCGAACGCGAACCAAACGGACGTCGGAGACGCGACAATCCTGTCACGTGTGACGCACGGCGGTTTGGTCACAGCAGTCCGCGGATGGTTTTTCTTTACAGTATTCACAACACTTTCAAGCACCAAGGCTTATTTTTTCTTGCTCTAGAAGTGCTAGTGACTCCTATGTGCGCACCGTTGTTCGTCTTTTGCAAGCCTTACTCCTGCCTACCCGTCTAGTAGCCGCCTAGTTGAAATACCGAGCCAAGTCAGATCAGCACAGACTGCATCTGAGTGTCCAATCACGGGTATCGGCCACTTTTCGTTCCACCATGGTAGCTAGTCTGAGAACTGTCCCCCGCGAGCAAGGCCAGTCTGTCTCCGCAGGTATCCACGCTTTGTTTGCGTCGACATGCAGGTGTCGGCCACCGCATCCCATGCCCACTGTCGCCACACCCATTAATGCGCCCCCGTCCTGCCACGAACGCCCGCCACCACCTCCGTCACCCTTAGTAGTAGCATGACACAAAGCCCATTCCCTCCTAGTCGGTGCCACGCCTGGTTCCGGGCACCGTTCTCAAGGCGTCAGCGTCGCGTATGGAGCATTCACCATCCAAAGGTGTGCTAGTCTATACTGGGGTAATGGCTACTTCGCGCGTGCAGGGGACAGCAACAGACCACCATGCATCGTAGTCACTAGTGAGACCGAGCGGAATAAGCCACCGGGAGATATGACATTAGCCAACTGCCCAGCTTTCCGATTCTAGTCATGGCCCTATGCCCGAGGGGACACGCATGCTCACCTTAGCTTTAGAGTGCATGCCTAGAACACGGTACACGAGCCCACATATCCCCACACACCACTCAGACCCGGTGACAGTCTGTCCCGTAATGTAGCTATCCGCATTCGTGATCGTCTCGCTCACCCACCGGAAAACTGTATGTAGTCGATTGCTGCTTCTGAACCGAGGGTCTCGAACCGATAGGCACCCGTTGGAAACGGACCTCCGATGAATGAGGGTGCGTCATCCCCGCACATCGTTCTGAATATGATGCTCTAGCCCTCGAAGAACCCATCTCCCATCGTCGCAACTACTTCCTTACAGACTGTCTCCGGAAGGCTGTAGGTTTCCCACACTCCCCAACTCGATGCTACCAACGCGCTGCAGCCTTCAGCTCGGCGAGTCCAGCCCAGTACTTACGAAGCACGTGTCCTTAGCCCGTCCTGTGGCATATTCCTTTCTTTTTCCGCCTTAGTTTTCAGGTGCGTGGAGCCTGTTTGAGAAGTAGCCCATCAACCAAGCGAACGCTTGCTTCGTGCGCGTCCAGACCGGCACACAGATACGGGAACGCCAGTATACGGCTCTCGCCGCGAAACCGCAGATCTCTCTCGGCCCAGGGTTGGCAGGCTGATCCAGGGCCAGATAAATTCTCGGTAGCTAAGTACGTCGTCGAAGGCCCTGCAGAATGGGCAAGGTGCTAACTGCTCATGTGCGAGACGATCCCCGTCTACGCTGAGATTGCAATTAGTCTTCTAAACGCCACGTTATGTAAAATAGCACGTTGAAAACTGAAGCCGGGCTTGCATACGCATTGCTTGATTCGGTCCCATGCGAGTTGGTGCAGATGCACAGCATACGCAGCGGTATTTTGTAATGGCAAAATTGCCCAGAGGGTCTGGCTCTTCATTGTGCCTTCGCTTCTGGGCGATCGCAAGGGGTTACCAAGGTGTGCACCCTTTCTAAGTATCTAAGCATGACATACCTCGTCTGTGGGCTACATTTGCTACAGGGGACTATGATGATCAGAATGTTGAAGGGTCGCTACGTGCAGTGAGCAACGGCTACGAGTGTGCGAAGCACTGGGGCACAGCACCTCTCTGCGTCCTCGTTGCTGGCCGGGATAAAAACAATGGTACTAGAGTCCCAAGCTGTCCACAACCTGCAAGCCTCCTTCTCCCACTCACACCGCTTCTTGCAGAATTCGCGTTCCTGGCCTCTGCAGTGAGTTAGTGGGCCCCGCCCCGTCCTCGGCTTGCGGCTGACTTTTTTCTATGAAACAGGAAATGGCAAACCTCGTTTCGTACCAGGCCATTCTTTTCCCCTCCGACGACCGTACACCACACCTCGTGTCACTGTCCACGAGTTCGATTAACATTGATCGTGCGCCTGTCGTGGCCGAGCCGTTCCGTTGCGGAAGGATGCCTCATCCGGAGGTCTTCATGGATTATATCGCCGAGGGGTTAGGTCCGCAGTCGTGGGCTTATGGAGTACGTCTATAATCTGAAATGCCGGTATCCTTGTCACTTATCTGAATTTGACAGGTCGTCGACATCCTTGACGGCATGACGAAAAATTTCACGTCACCGTACATAATTTTTTACCCTACCGTGTCTCGTGACGGCATGCCCTTCCCGGTCAACAAGTATATTCGCGAAGTGCAGGGCCGCGATTACTTCCAGGAAGCCAAGGCGTGGAGGGGGAACATCGTGTTCGCAAAATATCGCGACCAGGACTACTCTGACATGATCAACGCTTCCATGGCTGACTTTCCCATAGTGAAGAACTGGCTGCAAACACACAGGGTGGGCTAGGGGTGCTTATGATCGAGATGATCCTCCCCTCCCTCTCCGGTGCCGTTCATGCAGAGTCCCGGCAGGTTCTGGGCATCGATCAGAAATCACACAAACTATCACACTATGCATTCCACGAGACAAGAACTATCGTAGTATACCACATATTTATACCGAGATTCCGCCAATGGAACGACATTTCTGCGACCCTATAACTCGTCCCGATGTCCGGCTTGTTTAGTTGCTTCCTCAGGTGCCTTCTTCGCCTTCTTAGGGTCGCAATGCTCGGGTATTGGACTCATGGGATCAATGGGCTCATGCAGTACGCGCCCGACCTTCCGGTACTTTGTAGAGTCTGCGAAGAATTTCTTCCAGTGGTCCAAGCTCTACGGAAAGGGCACCTGTGAGCAAATGAATCACAAGTCGAGTACGAGTGTTATTCTTACCGCCATCTCTTTGTCAGAGAGACCTCTGATGTCATAAGTCTGGTGAGTAGCAAAACAGCCTGTGGCGAACGCCCTCGCAGCATCCCTCCCTGCCCTGCAACCGACAGATCGGATGAGCACTTTTTCTACGCTAGATTCCGGAGTGTCCTACATGAAGTGATAAGAGCCGCCTGGCCCATACGTTGCTCGATTGCTTGACACGTCGTATACGTCCCCATCAATCTGTGGCGGCGGAGCTGTGAATATGGAGCTGCGAATCGGAGCGAGGAGTATGCTGCTCACCGCGAGGTAGACAGGCTTGCCCTCACTCTCGCCGGAGAACGTCGTCAACATTCGCTCCGAGAACAGCCTCTGATTCCCCTCCTACGCAAACACGACGTAAATGCCGCGTACAACTCGTCCGGACTCCCCTTTATCTTACCGGAATCAGAGCGCGAATCTTGCCCGCGACGTCCTGCTCCCAGAGGTAGCTTCCCGTGAAAAATTTGCTCGCAAGCACTACGACCGCAAATGTAATGAAGAGGAACTTCAGCAGGCCGAGGCACCCGACCTCGGGCTCCTCCGTGGGGTCAGGCTCTTCGGGCCCAACGGGCTCGCCGCGACGCATCTTCTCCTCGCGCTCGTGCTTGCGCTTGAGCCACGCCTCGTGTTCCGCCCGTCTCCGCTCCTTGTACTGAGTGTAGCTTTTAAACGAACATGAAACGCAGTTAATATCGGCCTCAGGAAATAGTAAGCGGAATGAAGACGTACGCCAGGAACGGACGATTGGCCGCCTTCGTGGAAACCTCCCGCTCTTCGATAACGGGGTCCGGGACACGAGGGTAGTTATCCTTCAGGGGGAACTCTGCCCAGGGGGAGCTAGGTATCGAGCTTGCTGACCCTGGCGTGCGCGCGTCCTTGGTAGGCGTGCCAGGCGCAGGGCCTGCGGCACCCTCCCGGGGAAGGCTGCTCAGCTTTGGAGGGCGCTGACGGACCGTGCGTCCTTTGCCGTCGCCGTCTGGGTTGAGAATCCACGACATGGCTGTATCAGCTCAGGGGTGGTGAGGGTACAGCAGACGAGCTTGGTTATCGAGGTGGTGGTATCGCTCCAAGCCTTGAGATATGTCGTCTCGAGAATTCCCACCCGAATGTGCAATCCAAGGCACGAATGATGCCGATAGATACCTCCACGTGAAACTTTCTCCGCAGATACCTCCGCCACGTCAGAGAGCCATACGGTGCAGGGAGGCGGCTGTGTTTTTCGCGGATAGGGAGCACACGAGTGATAGCTCGTTTCGGGAGCTCACTGAAAGTTCACTCACATTGCTCAGAGTACGGAGCCAAGCTTGTTAGCAAAACTACAAGTGGCATTACGGGTACTATCCCTAGGGACATGTAGGGTATTAGTTCTTAGATGGTACATAATGCAGAGAATAGGATGAAAAAAGGACCAATGATGCGATGAAACCAAAGGAAGTAAAAAAATATGAATGCACTTGCACTACTAGAAGAAGAAGAAAATGCCAGAGTCTGATTAGTACGAACACAAGACCCCCGGGGTGTCAAGTGTGGAAAGAAAATATAAAAAAAAGTTGCAGGTTGTGAGGCGACCAAGACTGGAGCTGATTCGGACCGGCGACGGGAGATGTACAGGTGCGTTGTGACAGGCATAATGGTGACATGGTGGTGTGACATACAGGCATAACCGGGGGATCGAGGCGGCATAGACATGGGCGCATAAATGAGCTGTACGGTAGATGGCGTTTGGGCAGAGATCGAGGAACGACATGGCGTGCTCGATGGGAGTTCATGAATGTGGTTGGCCCGCTCGATCCATCGCAGCCGCTCTCTGCGACACAGTCACGTATGCGCCGCCAACCTCTTCTTCGTTTAGGCCTGGTGGCACGGATGGAGTCGACGAGTTGGCCGTCATCACCGGGAATTCGTCCAAGCTGTCGTCATCATCGTTTAACCTAATCTTGAGGGCAAGGAACTTCGGCGTCTTGATGAACTAGAGTAACGAAACGTTCAGCGAGAGAAGAGAACTCGTAAGAAGAAGACGGACTTTAGGCACCGAATCTGTCGCCATTAACCTGAAGACGTGCGTCTGAATACGCTCGTATAAGCGAATCATGGTCTGGAGCTGCGTCGCGTTGAAGGCGTTCGCCTGATCCATCTCGACCCGGCCCTGGAAGGCCTTCCCGGTCAGATTCTGAATCACGTCGCTGAGGTAACCCGACAGCTCGTTGCGAAGACCGTGGTCGATGTTGAGTTCGCACTGACTTGATGGCGCGAGGTAGGTGTTGTAAATAACGAACGCTGTCTGGATGAGGGACTCATGATGACGTTCCATCGCGGCTTGGCCGGGTGTTCCCTTAACGGGACGAGGGTTCGAAGTCGCGGCGACAGCGGACGACGTGATCTGGAACTTGCGCTTGAAATCCAGAACATCAAGGTAGAACGATAAGTTTTCCTCGCAGAAGTTCGACCGCAAGAATTCACGGAAGAGGTTCCGCAACTGGGGCTCCTCGATGATGTACTTGAGTCGCTCCGAATTATTCTCCTTCTTGTTCGACTTCTTGCCATCGCCTTCGTGACTGCCGTTCAAACGCTCTGTCATAGACATACGGCGATGAAGCCTCTGGGCTGCGGCATCACCGTTTTTCGAGTCGTTGTCGGCGTCTTCTGACGATCGCGCATTGCCCGACAGCGCCGCCGATGAGCTGTTCGGTGAGCTGGACACACCCTCGGACTGATCCCAGCGCGCGAGTCGACGACCCTCATCGGTGATTTTGTAGATAGCTTTCGCCGTACAGCGGAACTCGCCATGTTGCTGTGGGAATGAACGCTATCAGCTAGCCGAAAATGGTAAGGATTCAACCATAAACGCACCTGGATGGGCGAGTTAGGACCGCCTGCTGCGCCCCGCACCGTGAAGATGATCGCAGAGTCGTTGTTCCTGCGCTTGTCGCTGACCAGAGTAATCAGGCCGTAGCGAACGAACTGTGCTGCCATCTCCGCTGCCTCCTCCCTACCGATGACCGAGGTAAAGTCGCACAACCACTCAAGCGCGGCAACGGCGGGGAAGCATGCCCTCTGCGTGACGGTCTTGCCTCCAACAGCAGCTGCCCGCTCCGTAACATCCATGAGTGCCACTCCCTTCGACCGTTCGTGGTACTTTTGGAACGTGTCCATCGAATCGATGTTATCTGGTAGGTAGTTGGCTTGCCTGCCGACGAACCGACGGAAGAGGGCAGTGATGACGCCGTGAGAAACAATAATCTCGTCGTCGACCGAACGTCGCTCAAGATGGAGGAGCTTCATGCAGATTGGCTGAGTGGTGAAGACATGCGCCAGATGGTCGCCGTTTATGCCGTTCTTGCTCATGAAACGTTCCAACACGTGGAGCCCCTTCGGCGTGAGGACGTAGACACCCCGATCCTTGAAGAGGTTTGAGCCTGGGTCGGCGGCGTTCTCGATAAGTCGCGCATCCATAAAGTGCTGGCACATCGCCTTGGCCATGTCACGGGTCATGGAGAATGTCGTCGTAGTCGTGGTCGTTACTATCCGGGATGGGTCTCGGGGATCCGGCCCACGGTTGGATTGCGAGAATTTGAGAGAGGCGAGGTTTCGTGCCGCATCGTCACTGGAAGGAACATCTTTACAAACAAGTTGGTGGTCCAAGTTGAACATGGACTCACGTCAAGAAGGAATTAGGAAAGTTGCGGAAGAACTGCCTGTTTGTCCGCAGCTCGAGCGATACGATAAGTGTTGCGAAGAGGTCAAGAGTGTCCTAGGGGAAAAGGATGGACCAGTCTGTGAGATGGTTCAAGCTGGAGACTAGTCGGGGGACGTACCTTGAGGAAGGGTCTGCCTCTCTTCGTGGTCTTCATCATGTGCGACGACGACGACGGCGCCGCCGTCTCTTGTGTGGCCGCCATGGGAAAGGGCGGGAGTAAGGGAGGGAGAGAAAGTGCGGACTGGTGGTGGACGGGGAGATTAAGAAAAAATACGGAGGGCAAGGAGAAGAAGAACAGGCACGGCTTGAAGTAAAAGGAAGAAAGCCTGGCGGGATCGACGAGCGGGCGAAAGCCTGGGAAAAACATGTCCCTATCAAGCTAAGCGCGGGATCTTAGTTGATCTGGGTCCTCCACGTTACATCTTTTTCAGGAAACTCGGGCAGGGCCTCCTTTCCCCGTTCATCGAGAAATGGTTGCCATCGATTTGATGGACCCAAAATTACGTAATATTGGCCGCATAGCAACCCGCACCTGCCCTCCGATACGTCCGCCGCTGCCCCCGTCCAAAAGGCTCGTTGCCAGCAGCGACGACAACGACGACGACGACGGTCTCTTGCGTTGGCAGTACGCGAAGACGAGCGCCGAGGGCGGTGTGTGCTGGCCGCACGAGCCGGATAAACGCACATCAAGTGTGGCAAAGCGACGCCAAGCGTTTCATGCCGACGTTTCTACCGGCAGGCGCCCACTTTCTGTCCGCGGCGCAGTAGTGCGCACTGCATTCAGCCTAGGCGGAAGCGTTGCTAGTGCGCCGCGGAGGGCGGACACTCACGGTTTTTCAGGTATTTGCGGTGTCCCTTCCTACACGAACAGCGAGCATGTCTAGACGGCCTCCGGGGCCTTACGTGAGAATGTCAAAGTTCGGTCCCGACGTGCGCCGCACACGCAGGTCCTGGATGGCGTCTTGCTGGCAGGCCGCATCACATTTTATGTGTGCTGTACGGCAGCCGAGACGCAGCATCAGCAACCGGCCCAGAGCAACTCCTAGTTGTTCATACAGGCTACCTCATGGTGTGCGCGCACACGTCGCACATGTCTCGACGTCAAGGAGTGTTCTGCGTCGCGGCTGAGAGCAGCTGACCTGCCGACGCGGTTCCTGGATGTGCTGCCGGCCTTGGGGTGCATTTATCCTCATTTATCGCTGTGGCGACTACGTCCGAGGCATCGCAGTGCCTTGACCCGGCCAGCGGGGCGCTTGAAGCTCGCGGCCGGCGCTACGGGACGCCACAAAGCCTTCGGCTTGGCCGGCATCGAGAGCGGCATGGGAGCCTCCTCCCGCAAACGGCCTTATTGTTCTCCTACATCTGAACCATCAGCTTCATGACGGACAGCAATGTGAGCAGAGCGGGGCATCACTTCTCTTACGCTCTTTCTGATGTGCTCTGCAGGACATTCAAGCTTCCGCCGTGCAGGCCCTTCTGTTGCGCCTTCGGGCATCACAGGCGTGGCACGAAACAATCGGCACTAGCACCCCGGCCGCGGCAAACCCATCCCGCGACTCGGGTGCCTCGGAGGTTCCGGAGAGCGCGCTCCCCCTCGAGGTCACCACTCCTGATTCAGTCAATGAACAGGACTACGCGGATCCGGCTACGTCAGCGCGACCGTCTGTTGCTTCGCTACTCTCTCAATTGCAAAGTTCTTCCGCCATTCAAGCGTTGGTCGCCGAGTCTACGACGACAGAAGACCCCCCAGCGGGTTACGACATTGCACATGCTCTGCAGCCCTCGGCGCAGCCGACCGACCCTAGACCACGCAGACGAACCGACTCGGACTCGGCGGCGTGTAAACAGGATCTCCGCAATGCTAGCTTCCAGCAAGCATTACCGATTATCGCACAGTTGTCCGGAGATCGGGCCTTTGTGGATGCCATAAGGACGGTGGGCTCGGTCCCAGTCTGCTTACAAGCCAAATCATCTGCTTACCAGCTTGGTCTTAGCTCAAGAACGACCAAGTTCTGCTCGAGAAGCGTCTATGGGACGAACGGCAGTCGATCCAGAAGAGGCACGAAGAAAAGGTGAAAATTGCCAAGACCAAGTATGTCCCCATTGTCCTCTCCCCGACAAACGTGCCCGATATGCTCACCTGGTGGCGCGCAGAGCGAGCATGATTGGCGTGTCACTGGCAAAGTTTGAAGCCGACGTGAGTGAATCGGACGTGATCTGCCCGGGGATATCACACGCATCTCTTACTGATGCATGCACGTTTTTACTCGTCTCAGAGTATGACGGACGCTTTCCGCAGGGAGTTACAGCAGTTCGATAGAGAACGAGTGCTGCCAGCATGGGATGGGCTCATCACAAAGCAGCAGCAGACCCTTGAATCACTAGGGGTCCCCAGCATGTTCCCGACCGAGGACTCGACCGAGAGACAGGTGCGCAGGTGGGAATGATATGCGTGTTGCTGTGCTTGCTGACACGCATGATGCAGAAGCAGCAGAGGGTCATCCAGGTCGTGAGTGAGGTGGCCGAATGAATGACCCTGCACAGGGTATACGCAACCCCGATCGACGTCACCAACAAGAGTATATCGGAAGAGACGTTTGCTATCGTTCGAAGTCAACATCGTAACCTACACGCCAATAACCTATACCCTGCCGGGCGCGTTCCGATATCCGCCTAGCGGGCATGCATCAGCATCAGGGTCGGCTGTAAGAACTTCTGATCTGTTTAGACAGAGGCGCTCGAGCAGCAGGAACCCGTATGCGTATGGACGTCCCACTAAGCTCGAGTTGTACTTGTGGGTCCAGCAGCGGCGCGGCTGCACGAGTGATGAGCGCGACATTTAGTTCTTAGAGTCTGTTTCTCCTGAGATGGCTCGTGGCCCGTAGGAGTCGAGAGCGGTGTGGTGCGGGGCGGGCGTGTGGCGGGCCATGCTAGCCGTTTGCAGCGTGCTGCGTCTTCTGCACGCGTAGAGGACTCTGGGACCATCAGCTGCTGGGAAGTGAATAGAAGTACTGAGACATCAATCAACTTTCCTATTGAGACTGGGGTGTGCCGCGGGTCTGCAGCGATGGAGAGGCGGCCTGAAATGCGTGCCACGGTAACAAGCGAGTACAAAAGCCAGAGGTGACCTCGAGAGCGTCGAGAGCATCGACAAGGGTCGCCGACTCGCGGGAACAAAACGGTCGCGGGTGTGATTTTGATTCAGGGTATGTGGCAAGCGCGCAAGGGTCCGTTAGTTGCGCTGATCGACTGGCCAGAAGGCCTCCTTGAAATGTTCTCCTCCGCCGCGGTCTCACCTTCTTGTGCCCCGTCTCCCATGTCCTCGACGCTGCCTCGTTCTTGTACCTGAACCACCGCCGAGCATGCCTTTCGTTGACATCCGGGCCAAGGACGACTACGCTTCGCTCTGGTACTGGACAAGTACGTACAACAGTAATGTCGGCATTTTCGATCCCAGCCGGCCAACTGTCGTTCTCCTCCACCCAATCGGCCTCGACTCGTCCTGGATGCAGCCTCAGGTCGAGGATCCCCGGTTACGCAATCACTACAACATGATCGTGTTCGACACGCGCATAACTGGCAAGTCGCGTTGTCGATACAGTGGCAAGCATGACCTCTGGGTCACTGCTGCTGATCTTGCACACGCATTCTACCACCTTCGTCTGCCACCAGCGCACATCTTCGCGCCTGACCTTTATTCCATGGCAGCCCTTAGATTTGCAGCCTTGTGAGTCTTCTTTCGCGCTTCCCCGCCAAAGGCAATCTCAAACCATAGACAGATTTCCGGAACTTTGCCTTAGCTTGACACTTTGCAACGTGCCTCCTCCAACAGAGTGCGTTTCTATCGCATTCGCACGACTGTTGACAGGACATTGATTCATCTCACGTGCAGAGTCAAAACAGTTTTTGACTCGATGGAGGAGCTTAACCACATGTGGGGCTTTGCAGAGGACCTCGAATCATACGAGTACGCGTGCAAGGAGTTCCTCAATTTTTTCGGAGGCACGGTAAGTAGCCGTACATTCGTTGTTGCTGCGTTTTACTCACACGGGCATCAGCATGCACCCCCAGATCTCCAGGACGAGGTATGCCAATCTCCGACGCCAAATTCCTACAAGGCGACGAACTGAGACAATCCCGGGCAGATTGTCGCCTTCTGGGAATCATATTATCCGCCCTTCCGACGCTCTTACTCGATGGCGGTCATGAACCTGTTTCTTAACGTAAGTTGCTCGCTTATAGGGGGTAACAGTGCTCATCAAAGCCGGGTAATAGAGGACGCCGATGACCGCAAAGGAGCTGGCATCAATAATTTGCCCTGTCGTGATTATACAAGTAAGCATGTGCTCAACGATCACCCTGTTACCATGTCTCACCCGGTTAAAGGCCGAGAAAAGCCTCGCGCATCCGTTTCGTTATGCCGAGCAGCTGCAGCGTGAGCTGACCGGGGTTCTTGACGCTGCAAAGGTCATCAAGTCGCACGGTAGTTCCTTCTTTTCTCCACTTATCTGTTTCATACGCCTTATAGACTCTTGAATTGCAGGAACGAACGCAGGCTACCTCTCCGTGGTCGTCGCAAGCGTCGTGAACAAATCTCTTGCCAACTTTTTGGCAATCCAGCCACGGCCGGATCCCGTGCAAAATGCAGAAACATATAATCGGCCCCTCTGGGAGTTTATGCTGGCGGGGCTGCAAAGGCTCGCTGACATGAAGGGCGACCCCACAATTGCGAACCGGGACCCGCTGTCCCCTCTTTCGTTCTCTTGCGTCTCGCCAGATACGCAAAAGAGCCAGGAAGAGATGGTGGCCAAGTACATCAGCGGTCAGCAGGCGGCGTTCTCCCCGCTTGGCCCAGACGGACGGCCGATGAGAAGGTGAGCCTGTTCCTGCTGAGTCGTGGGATCTGAATGTCGAGTAAGTACTAGGTACTTACGGTACTTGACTGTGACAGATTTTCTGAGCGGCAGAATCACTGGCTTGAGCCGGGCAGAGATGGTTTCTCGAGGTCCGGTGTGTGATGCTTTTTCCTCGCGCTATGGTGGACTTGGCTCACTGTTACGCGGCTTTACTTTAGAACTATCGAAGAGGGTAAACGACGTCGGGATGAAAAGAAGGCTAAAGGTGTTATGGAGCGACTCTGACAGGGACGCCAAGCGGAACCTCACGTCCGACAGCGGCGGGAGTCTGCCGACGTCTATTCCGCTTGGCGAAGAGATCGTCACGCTCGAGGACCAGCAGATCGCGCGTGTGCTGCGGGCGAACGTCATCACGCCGACGGTCGACAAGCAAGTGCTCAAGGGCGCTGCGGCCAAGCTAAGCCAATCGCCCGGCCAGACTTTGCGTTCCTTCATCCGCTCCTGAGATACCCGCATTCTGCGCCACCACCTCGCCTTCGTAGACTCTTACTCTCGATTCTCTCGCAACTCTCATCTCGTCGTCAACTGCTCTTCTCGCACAACTCATTGTCTATGCCTACCACCACCGCCTGACAGTGTCAATGCTCCCCTCAATCTGGTCATAATCTGTAAGATCTGCCTAGTTTTACATCGGTGCTTCGGGGTTCAAGCCAACCGAAACCTCCGTCTATTTTACACGTATCTACACGCGACACCCATACCGTGGACCCGCATTGTAGCTTCTAGCATGCATAGCGTACATCCTCATTTCTGCTGTGGATTGCTGTACATGGTAGCCCCGCTATATCTCTTGCCGCACATCATCTTTACAGGGAAATGTCTTTTGGAGAGTCTCTTCTATATTTCAGCCTATATCAACTGTTTCAATACACAGCGCAACACTAATTTGACCGGGAATAGTAGTATAACAGATGACAAATCCAGAGGACCGTGAGTAGCAAGAAAGTCGGATGGCTGTTCGGCAGTTACCCTCCTCGGCCGTTCTCAGCACAAAGTTCTGCGCATCCTAGATGCTTCCCTCCTCCATCTTCGCCTTGTAGTAACGGACCATCTCCTCGAGACCCATACGCACAGTCCAGCGGGGCTGCCACTCGAGGACCTCCTTCGCGCGCGTGGTGTCGGGCCTGCGCTTCTGGGGGTCGTCGGTAGGCATCGGCTTATAGACAATGTTGACGCGCTTTGGCTCGACACCGTCCTCCCTCTGGACCTTCTCGACGATCTCGCGGACGAGCTCCGCGAACTCACCGATGGTGAACTCGTCGCCATTGCCGATGTTGACCGGGCGCGTCTCGCCAGAGTTCATCAGGGCAATGAGACCGTCGATGAGGTCGTGAATGTACTGGAAGGAGCGCGTCTGCTTGCCGTCGCCGTAGACGGTCATGTCCTCGCCGCGAAGCGCCTGGACGATGAAGTTCGAAACGACGCGGCCATCGAATGGGTTCACTAAGAAGGTGATAAAGTTCCGTTAGGCTCTCTCGGGAGCAATAGCGTGCTTTTTACTGATACGCACTGCGAGGACCTGGGAATGTGATCCGGTCAGAACCATCGATAGAGAAACAGAAGCTATGCCACGTACCATATGTATTGAAGATACGAGCGACGCGCACGTCGACACCATCCTGACGATGGAAACCGTAAGTCAACGTCTCGGCGACTCGCTTGCCTTCATCGTAGCAAGCACGAGGGCCAATGGGGTTGACATGGCCCCAGCTGTAACGCACGTGAGCAAACATCTCAGATAGAGACGATGACAGACTCACTAGTCTTCTGGCTGAGGGTGGACCTCAGGGTCGCCATAGACCTCTGGCAGTAAGATATGAGGCTCGGTTGAAACATGCGTCTACATTACATACCAGATGTACTGGAAATAAGGAAGCGAGCTTTAGTGCGCTTTGCGAGACCAAGCATGTTCAATGTGCCCATGAAAGATGTCTTGATGGTTTTAACAGCATTGTACTGGTAGTGTGGTGGCGACGCCGGACACGCAAGATGATAAATCTCTGGTGAAAGGCTAGTTTAGTATCATGACAACATATATCAATCATACAGTACTTACGGTCGCACTCAATCATGAAGGGCTCTACGACATCATGACGGACCATCTCGAAGTTCGGGTGGCCGACCCAGTGACTGACCGTTGTCTTAGAGCCAGTAAAGAAATTATCGAGGACAGTGACCTCATGGCCGAGGACCATGAGACGGTCAACAAGATGAGATCCAACGAAGCCAGCACCGCCAGTAACGAGGATGCGCTTGCGCTTGGAAGGAGGAAGGAGCTTTACTGGAGGAAAACGAGAGAGTGTGGTATAAGAGATCGACTGAGTGTCGGCGTGGTAGATGGACTTGGAGAAGTAAGCAGTTGCGCTGCTTTCATCCTGTTCGTCATCTTTCACAGACTCGCTGGAGGACGTGACAGTCTTGACATAGTGTTTCCTCAAGTAGAGTAAACGGAGAACGTCGAGCGACACCTCGCAGTCGAAGCCGAACCGCTGAAATCCGACAATATTGATATCTTTCCCGTTCTTGTCGAGAGTGCGGACCTACGGGAGAATGTTAATACCATACATACGCGATCGTGCTGGAGCTGCTCGGACAAAGAAACCCGTAGAGGGTTGTCCGAGCAGCTGGAGCGAGAAAAATAACGCGCACGGCGAGGAGCAACTTACGGTCGAGGACATGCTGGAAGTACTATATAGACAAGAAGATGGGGGAACGAGTGGAAGGGTTATCGTACGTTGGAAGGAAGGGGGGTACTTAAGCCAAAGCTACATGACACCGGGGCGTCTAACATATACAGGTACGATGGGGGACGGCTGATGCCGAGCCAATTACAGTGCAGAGTCTGGAAAATGACGGTGCAGCGTCCGGCTGTCCTTCACACACCGGCCTCCTCATCCCTCGCTGCCCAACATGCCTCGCGCAGCAAAGCCCTCAGGCAAATCGCGGCACGATCCCCTATACGTACAGCTTGGAGAGGACGAGCACGTTGCAAAGTATGGCAAGGTAGCCCGCCCAGGAAAGCGGAGAAAATCCCATGCCGGACAGGATGATGATGGAGAGGCAGGAGAGGTATGGCGACACCCGGTCAACGGCTTTATATAAGATAGTGATTTATTACGTCCCTTCCGTGTCACAGGTCATACTCGATCCGAAGACGTCGCGGAAGATCTTTGAGCTAGCCCGAGACCAGCAGGAAGAATTAGAAGAGGATGAGGAAGACGAGGAGCTGGAGGAGCAGAACAAGCCCAGCTTCACTCTCGCTCGTACGCAGCGAAATGAAGAGGATGAAGAGGATGACCTAGTGGAAGAAGAAGAGTACGAGGAAGAAGAAGTAGAGGAAATCGTGTGTGTGCATGCCCGTCCTATTGCTCTATCCTAACGGCGTGCAGGAAGTGGACGAGGGGGATCTGCGTACCCTAGATGCTCTATTGCCCGCTAATGCTGGCGAACGAAGGACGTTAGCAGATATTATCTTCTCGAAACTCGAGGATGGGGACCAAGAGAAGACGACTTCTATCCAGAAAACTCACAGAGGTGAGTGCAGGAGTATCTCTTGGTGACAGATGGTGATATTCATCCTCCATCCAGACCCTGGCCAACCTCCAGATCCTGCGGCAGGCCTGAACCCCAAAGTCGTTGAACTTTACACGAAGTATGCGCTGAAAGGCTAGATCTATTTACCCTTGCTCATGGGCTGTTACTAGAGTTGGTCTTGTTCTTTCAAGATACAAGTCTGGGCCCCTTCCGAAACCCTTCAAAATCGTCCCCTCACTTCCCGCATGGGCCCGCATGCTTGCACTTACGCATCCCGAGAACTGGTCGCCTCAAGCATGCCACGCCGCAACACGGATATTTGTCTCGCAAATGAAGCCAAATCAGGCTCGTGTTTTTCTTGAGGGTGTCCTGCTCGACGCGATCAGGGAAGACATCCGCCTGACCAAGGAAGGCCAGCGGAAGCACAAGAACAGCCGCAAGCTGAATGTGCACTACTATGAGTCTCTCAAGCGTGCGCTATACAAGCCTGCAGCGTTCTTCAAAGGAATCGTTTTCCCTCTCTTGCAGAACGGCTGTACACTGCAGGAGGCGGCGATTATCGCGTCTGTCCTAGCAAAAGTTAAGGTCCCGCTCCTTCATTCTTCGGCTGCCCTCATCCGCCTTGCCAATATGGAGTATTCTGGGCCCAACTCCCTCTTCATCCGTATCCTCCTCGACAAAAAGCACGCCCTGCCGTACAAGGTCGTCGACGCTCTTGTATTCCACTTCATCCGCCTCTCGAATACCTACAAAGCGAAGCTTGGCGACTCAGAGAAACTCCCTGTGCTCTGGCACCAGAGTTTACTCGTCTTTTGTCAGAGGTATGTCACAGCTGTTCTCTTGAATATCCAAGTTTTCTGATCACTGCTCAGATACGCCTCTGATCTCACCCCGGATCAAAAGGACGCACTACTCGATGTCGTACGGGCAAACCCCCATCCTCAGATCAGTCCCGAGGTCCGTCGGGAGCTGATTAGTTCTGTCGTCCGTGGTGCGCCACGACCAGATGTAGACAACGACGTCGATATGGGTTGAGCTTCTCGGGGTTCGCTGTATTTTTATCACGCGCGTAGTTCATCTGGGATAGATGGTGTATGGGACATACAATACTCTTAGGTCTCTGCATTTCTCTCATTGGATTCGCTCGCTATAGAGTATGTAACCTCGGGAGAATGTATAAGAATCCAGAGTACTTTTGGATGTAGCCGTCTACGCTGCTTTTTTCTTCTTATGCCTGTGACCTTTGTCGTCGCCTGTCGTCGCCTGTCGGCGCAGCCTTGATTGCCCCGAGAATATCTTTCAGATCCTTGTCCATCATATTATCGTCGCTTTTCTTGCGCTTCTTGTCCCTACTCTCCTTCCCATCCTTTGCCTTGTCCTCTCTGTCTGCAGCCGGCGCCTCAGGCCCAAGGCCCGCCTTCTTGACCTTCTTGCCGAGCTTCTCCTGGAAGAGCTGGTCGATCTCGTTCTCGACACGGCTCTTGCGTTTCTTCGACAGCTTCCCGGCCTCTAGTGGCTTGCCAGGTTCCGGCATCGCCCTGGCCGAGTGCACGGCAGGCTTGCTCGGAGGCATGGGCGACGCAACACGTGCGGGTGTCATCGATGGTGTCATAACGGGCGTCGGCGCATTGGATGTCGAGCGATTATTCACCTGCAGGTTCTTCCATTGCTCTGGATCGCGCTGGAGGAGGTAGATGTTCAATCGCCGTGCGAAGAATTTGCCGTAGAAGGACGCCGCGAGTTCGCGTTCGTAGCGGGCCAGCGAGCGGGCAATCTTTTCCTGCGAAGTCCAGATGTAAACAATCGTGGGGACATGCATGAGATGATACAGCGTGAAAACAAACTTTGAGATAGGTGTCTGCAAAGGCCCAGCAATTGTCACCGACACGACTGCCTATCCGGTCGTCGACAAGCGCCTCGTAGTGACCAATAAAATTCATTATGAACCTCCGCTTGTCCTTGAACGGCACTGTAGGAGATGAAAGGACCACGTCGAGGACACGCGAAGCGGTAACATCGTGTGCCATGGCAATTACGTCTTCTATTGATTGAGCAAATAGACTGAATAAACAGATTAGACAGACTCAAAACAGCATGTCAAGAGGATTCACACCTGTCGAGAACCACTTGATTGTGTGGGGGATCAAGCTGAAGCACTGACTGTAACAACAGGGCTCCCTGTGTCTTCGGGGCCATGGGTTCCTCCGCACTCTCTTTTCGCTGATGGCTCTTGCCCTTGCCGCCATGATGCTGTGGGTTCTGCTGCTGGGCATCAGCATCAGCCTCCTTCGCCTTTAAGGCTCGATCGTAATCGAGCAAAGTCAACAGCCGTAAGACACAAGGTAGAAACGCTTTGCGTCCCCCCAGCGTGTCAAGGTCAACGCCAATGGCAGCGGTGATGACTGCGATGACTTTAGACTCGTGTGCTTTCAATGTCGCCGCTCCGTCGACCGTCGCCCGAAGCACACCGGTACGAGCAGACTCTAGTGGTCTAGGTCAGATAGAAAGTGAGACCCCAAGGTATAAAATGAAACGCACTGTAGACCCTCTCTGCCACCGGCTGGAGCTCTTCGCAGGCCTCAGCTAATTGCCCCTCAGACGCGTGTTCTAGAGCCCGTGCCACCACAAAGTTCGCGACAGGATGTGCAGCAAGGCGAGCGAGCTTGCCCTCCAGGTAGGTAGACCACACAGCGTCAAATGCTTCCTTTGGTAAGCGGCGTACGAGTGTCTCAAGGAGGTGGGAAGATGTTGGGTCCCGGAGTAACGTGCCGACGTAGTCTGAGGGCTCGTAAGGAGCAGACTCAGTCTGGACTTGAAGTACATTTATCAGATGCGCTCCGTTAGAGCCGTGCATTTGCTCACGCTGTCTCGAAATCAATCCGTCAAGGATGTGATCTGAAAGCGACTCAGGCTCATATGACATGCTTTGTTCGGCCTCAATTTCCAATAGCATCTGCTATAGCTCTGAGCGAAATCAAAACGAACCTAAGAATATAAGCCGGCGTACCTGAAGCACCGGGCTCGCCACTTGGCTGGCAGCCAAAGCACGGATTTCATTGCCGCTGAGCTGTTCCCTGATAATTCGAACGAACTTTATGGCGGTCTCTTTAAACTCGTCCGGAATATCCGAGATCAGTTCTGCAGCTCTCTCTTGTACTTCGGTAAAGACCGATTTCATAGATCCTTGTCGCGCTTTATAGGCAGCGCTCTTCTTGGAGCGAAGAGTCGAGGCACGCTGATCAGCAGGGAATAACTGAGGTCTCATGAGCGCAAGGAGGGCGCGAAGAGGGTGGGAAGCAAAGGAGTCCATGATTAATGATGGAAATTTTGGAAGCAATTCCTACGGAAGAGTTCAGTAAGCAGGCTCGATGCAGCCCGCGAGTTTCTCGCACCTCGCAGAGCTCAAGTACCATGCCTTTCATGAGAGGCAGCTCGCCTTCGGCCTCTTCAGGAGGGGGTGGTGTTATTCCACGGCACTTCTCAAGACTCAGCGTTTCCCTTGTTACCAAAAACGAAAGTCATACCTCTCTGCCAATTGTGTCTACAGCGACCTCAAGGAAAGTCTGACAGACATGAGACGCGAACCGATGCTTTAGAAGCTTCTCATACCTGTGTGTGTCAATGACTACACCTAAAACGTAGATTGTGGAATGTGTACTTACGAACCCGTCAGCCTATCCATGAACACCCGTCTAGCAAAGTCATCCATAGAGTAAGCCATTCGTTCCAGGATTGTGGAACAGTCCGGATCAGTGGCGAGTTCCTTCTCCTTGCCGGACATTTCGGTAAGTGCAGCAACAAAGAAAAGTCGGCGGTCTGTGTGTATGATGAATAGTGCTTCACGCGTCGCAGCCGTAGCTCACTTCACCTTCGTTCGGGTCGGTGTCGCCGTCCGCCGCCACGGCAGCATAGCCTTCTCCCTGCCATTCACGCAGTTGCACGTCTACAGTTCGAAAATATGCCTTGACCTCCGAATCCACGTATCCAAAGGGTGCCTCGTCGTTGTACTGGTCCGACCTAGGACCAGAGACTATCCAGGAAGGACCCGCTTCCGGCTCTGGCTGATACTCTAGCTGCGGAGGAGGTACGGAGGCATCCTCCTTGGTCTTGTTATGCTTCTTTCCTCGTTTCCTGTTCTCTCTAGGCATAGCTGAAGCGTGAAGAGGCCTATAACTGCCGAGAGGAAATAGATCGACGGGCAAGCGGAGGAAAATCACAGCTGCTGGCTAGACGCCGAATATTGTCCTGCCCTTTGTGGCGTCGCCGAGGGTGGAAAATTACCGACCTTGACTCGTACAATCATGCCGCCCAGGAATTGCGCGTTATGCGACCAGGCGAGAGCTATCCTCAAGCGACCAAAGACAGGCCAGCAGATATGCAAGGATTGCTTCTTCTACGTCTTTGAGACAGAAGTCCACAACACTATCACCGAGGCCAAGCTTTTCAAGCTGGGAGATCGGGTAGCAATTGGCGCATCTGGTGGTAAAGGTGTGTATTCCAGGCCTTTGCGTAGAGGGTACATTTAACCCGCCCCATATAGATTCCACCGTTCTGGCCTATGTAATGAAGACGCTAAATGACCGCTATCAGTATGGCCTCGAACTCTTCCTGCTCTCGATCGACGAAGGGATTACCGGATACAGGGATGATTCCCTCGAGGTACACAGAATATTAACGTAAAGGCCGGCATGATTCTAAGCTGCTTTCTTAAGACTGTAAAGCGGAATCAGCAGCAGTACGACATCCCCTTAAAGATCTTGTCCTACGACGAGCTTTATGGCTGGACTATGGATGCTATCGTTTCCCAAGTTGGCAAGAAGAACAACTGTACATTCTGTGGCGTCTTCCGACGGCAGGCATTAGACAGAGGTGCAGCTATGCTGAATGTTGACCACATTGTGACCGGCCACAACGCCGATGACATTGCGGAGACGGTCCTCATGAACAGTATGAACAGCCCTTCTACTCACGCTTCAACCTAGTACTCATTGCTGCAACAGTCATGCGCGGAGACATCGCACGCTTAGGCCGATGTACATCAATATGTACTCAAGGCGATGATACTATCAAGCGCTCCAAGCCCTTCAAGTACGCTTACGAGAAGGAGATCGTCATGTACGCGTACTTTAAAAAGCTCGACTACTTTTCAACAGAGTGCATCTATTCGCCGGACGCTTATCGAGGACATGCTCGCGCGTTCCTCAAGGATCTCGAAGCTGCCCGACCAAGCGCTATCATTGATATTATTCATTCGGGTGAGGCATTTGAGGTGAAGGAGGAGGTAAAGGCGACCCAGAAACTTCAGCGTACGTCCCGTGTTCAAATACAGACTTGGTTTCGTGTCTCACATCTCTTGCCGCAGAAATTTGCAAGCGATGCGGCTATATGTCCAGCAATGATTTATGCAAGGCGTGCAGTTTACTGGAAGGCCTTGAGCGTGGTATGCCCCGAGCTGCGGTGGTCGGTCTTTCGCTTCGACTTTGTTTCGTATCCAGACTCATTTGTGCCGTGTTGTAGACGGATCGTGCGTTTCGAAAGAAAATGCTGGAGGAGGACCAACCGCCAGAGGGTCTTCGGACTATACCATACTTCCAGAGGCCTAGTGGGGAGACACGCGTAGGAACTATTTCATAACGAACTCTGGTTTGAGAATGCACGCTTCGTGACATTGCTATTTTAATGTTCTTGCTTCCCCCCCGGTACGCTATGGTGGTGTAGAGGGCGTATGTACGTGAATGGTATACTTGAATTAGAGGAGGATATGCTAAATTTGCGTCTAGGATCGTGAAAAAGTCTATCTGAAGCGAAGATAATATTATCCGTCTAGTTAACGTGACCGTTTGCGTAGCCATTGGTATGACCATTCGCCTTGCCGTTTGCACGTCCGTTCGCGTGCCCGTTTGCCTTCGTCTTCTCGCCTGTTGCATGAAGTTTGTGAAATGCGTCATAGATACCCTCGCACTTCTCAATAATATATTCGCTTTCCTTCTCGTTCTTCTTCCACTCGAGCACGGGCATCACGCCGACGTAACCGCGGCCCCACCGATCGCATTCAGCGCCGAACTTGAGTGGGACGAATTCGCCACGCTGCTCGGCCTCGCGCGCCTCATTCGCTGATTGCAAGCCATTTTCGTACAATTTACACGTCGCAAGGCTGTCGTCCCAGCACGACGATGGTGTGTCACCCTTCGAGCGTCGATGTGCGAATGCAAGGAGACTGGTTGGGATAGCCAGTATCGAGACGAGTGCCAAGTGAGTTGCAGAGACGGCAGAGGTGTAGGGAACAACCGGATGGTTTGGTGAGCCCATCAGTCGAGCCTGGGAAAAGGATCAGAGTCTGCCAGGTCAAGACAGAGATATCAGGACTCACGACGTAGAAAAGGACGACTTTGATAGTGTCAAAGAAGATGTCGACCATGCCGTTGGTCATATTGCTATGAACAATGCCGGGATGCACCAGGAAATGCCGGACGACGTTGCTCTCGCCACCAGGCTCAAAGCTCCGTTGATTCAGCTTGCTGGCGATTATATCTATCTGGTATTTCGTGCCTTCGTACGACCGGTTGGTCTTCACGAGCTGCCAGTCGCTATGGTCGTACCAACGGGGCTGACCTTCCAATGAGCTCATCCAAAGTAGACGGGCAGGCTGCGAAAACCTCGCTGCATACGCTTCGAAGAGAGGTCTGAATTGGCGGTACTGCATGAACGGGTGTTAGAAGTGTTCGCGGGGCTCTTCTTAGCCACAAGGGACGAGGACGTACCATAACGTAGTGGCCAAAGACGTTGCCCTGCCATGTGGCGCCAAGCCCATCTCCGCTTATTTTCCCGCTGTGTTGTAACTTAAAAGCAGGAATCGTAATTGACAGGCACAGTCCAACGGCCAGGATCTGTCGGCAAGCAAGTAACTTGTCTACCCCTGACCAAAATCCACCGCCGGCATTACAGATGAGGTGTGAGATGTACGGGTACCTGCGCAAGCGAAGACACGTCGTCAATAATACAGCAAGTGCAGCGTGCCCAGGACGTACGTATTCCTGATCTCTTCGCAAAATTTGAACGTCGAGCTGGCAACAGACATGTCTACACAGTGGAAGTTGATCTCTAGGTTCGCTCGGAAGCGTTCTGCGTGTCCGTCATAGCCAGGCTTCCTCTTCTCCACGACGATGTAGCGGTCGAGCCTCCGTAGCAGCGTCCGCTTCGCGGCGAGAGCCTTCTTTTCATTGCGGCATGCCAGGATGAGAGTCAACTCATCGTAGGACTCTGTCGGTGCGGTGTCTTGTGGTGCTTTGCCGGGGAAGAGAGACTTGAACTGGGGCTCAGCATCTGGTGGCAACTTCTGTGAGAGGTGGTTGAGCAGTCGCTGGCAGACTCCAAAGCCAACTCCACTGAAGCCCAGGTCGTTGGTGAGTAAACTGCCTCGTGCAGCACGCATTGTACGTACCTGTTCGCTCCGGTGACGATGATGATGGGCCGAGGGGCAGACATGGTTGTTCACGTTCAAAGAGAGGGGGGAGCAGGGTGAGGGGAGGTGTCGTCGTCGGACGTGGGTGAGTGGACACGCGCGTGAGAGAGGTTCTGACTTCGCCAACGGGAGGTGAGCAACCAGAACGAGAAATTCCCATCCGAGAAGGCCTAGGAATAAAACATCGTAAGATGTTCTTCGGCGCTTGATTATATCCGCCAGGCTGTGGCGGTAACGCGCAACGTTAACGTCTGCCACCGGTGTCGTTTCATGTGTGCGCGTAAAGACGAGAACATGAGGAATATGCGACAGAATGTACATGCAGCAAGAGAGTACGATAGATAGATAGACACCTAAGAGCACCGTGCTACGCCTCGGACTTTCGACGCTTCTTCTTTGATGGTTCCCCTGATGTGTCGCCGTTGGCCTGCGCAGCCGCCTTGGCCTCCTTTTTGGCCTTTTTTCTCGCCTTGCGCTCCTCTTCGGTCTCGCCCTCATGCTACAAATAATGAGTGAGCACACACAGTGGCCCAAGGAAGAGGGGGATGCATAAACATACCTTGTCTTTCCGCTTCTTCGGACTCACCTCACTATCCACATCCATCTTATTCTCGTCCTCGTCCTCATCCGCCTCTGCCTCTACGTTCGCCTTCTCCGCCTTCTTCTTTTTCTTCTCTTCCTTCTTCTTCTTCTTCTTCTCCGCCTTCACGTCTAATGCTGCTTGAAGAGCCGTCTCCATGGGTTCACGCTGTGTTGGCATGAGGTCGACAGCATCCGCAGCGGTGTTATATGTCGATGTCTCGCCCCGCATCTGGAACTTCGACTGCTTTGGACCTGTGCGCGCTGCACGAACACCAGCAGCGTCGCTGCCCTGCTCAAGTGCACGGAGACGCGCCTCAAGCTTGGCGCGGTTTTCAATACCGATTGAAGGGGCTGTTGGCTCGGACTTGCCGTCCGTATCTGTGAGAGCATCCACACGTATTGAAAGCGCGGCTTTTGTAGCGACCATACGAGCCATCTGTTACGTGTTAATATGTCAATACAGTGTTCCCGCGCACTGTAAGACAAGCACCAACCTTCCCCTTCAGCTTTGGTGGTGCCTGACCAATGAGAGAAGCGTGGTAGATGAGACCATACTTGGGTGTGTCGTGTTTGGTCTTTAACGCACGGAAGAGTGCCTTCTCGGCACCAAGAATTTGGACAGTGGACGCTGGATGCTTTGCTAAGCTCAGTAAGCTACCGGCGTGGCTAATGAGGCGCGCGCCGACGAGCTCGCCAACAAGTGCTGTCAGGTTAGGCGCAATCGCGTTCATACGGTTGCGGAGGTACTCTGCGAGCTGCTGGCGGTAGGCAGTGATAGCAATGACTTGGTCGCAGAGGGTGTGTATGTGCGCGATATCTGATTCTGAAATCTCAGTACCCATAGATATTTCCGCAGCGGCTTTCACCGTCGCCTCGAGATCCTCAGGAAGAATGGCAGAGAAGTCGGTAATAGCAGCGTTTGTACGGAAGCCCATTGCCTTGATGACTTTCGCGTACGCCAGGTTGTCGACAATAATCTTGGCAAGTTCTGGAAAGTGCCATCCGTACCATTCCTATTCAATGTGAGTTAAGACATTCAAGTCGAGGGAACCAAATTAGCAGAGACAAACCTTGACACGCATGGCGTAAATGTTTATTTCCTTGTCAAGGTCATCCAAAAGCGCGACAGCTTGGACAACCATAGTGTCAACTTTGTCAGGGGAAAACTTGAGCTTGAACCTGACAAGCTGAAGAGTTAGGCTATCACATAGTCAGCCCAGCGCCTCCAAACGTACCGTGATAGTGAGTGACTAAGACCCAAGCTCATGGTCGCGAGATCCTTCGGGTCAAGGCCATCGAGGAGAGTAGCAAGTTGCGCACGAATTCCACGGAACATCTCCGTGTATGCTTCCTCGATGCTGCCCGACATCACCTTGATTCCAAGCTTCTTAGTGATCGAGTAACCTAGAGTACTATGTTAGAAAGGTCGCGGAGCCTCGAGTAAGAGGCATGCGCACCGAGCTTGGGGTCGGCGACCAGCAGCTGCTCCTTGCCCTTGCCCTTGCCCTTGTTTACGATCTCATCCGAAAGGAACTGCTTCAGGCCCTTTCCGAGCTTGCCTTCCTGGATGGCAGTAATTTCCTCCACAGCGGTAGCAGTAGAGGTGAAGCGATGGAGGGACTTGAGCTTCAGGCTACACGATGCGGCAGACGTTGAGAATCATTTCCACCCGCGTGCAAGGGCACCTCGAATGCTCACAATTTGTTCGCCTGCTCAGGCGTCTCAAACTCCTCCCATACATTCTCGCTCGAGGCTTTTTGAGAGTCGGTGACCTTGAAGAGACAGTACCCTAGCGAGGTTTCGTAGAGGACCAGCATTTTTTTTCGCCACGAAATTAAGATAGAGAAAGTCAAGAAAAGAAAAGAAAGCCAACTGCCGGCGCTGGTCCCGATGTTCAAGCAGCAGTGAGTAGCAACTGCTTGCGCTCAACGGAAATTTTGGGTTCTTGCGAGAGCGTGAAACTTTCGTTCAAAACGGGAAATATCCCGAACTTGCCGAAAGCGCCTGCGCGCCGTCTGGCGCCTAAACCCAGACTTGCACATGGCTCTCAGGCTGGGAATTCGGTATAAGAGTCAACGATAGCGAGTGCCGTCCGCTGCCTTCCTGACCGCCATGTTCAGGTTGTTCAGTGTCTCCCTTGTTGCGCTGGCTGCTGTTAGTGCAGTTCAACGCGTGTGCGGCCAAGGCTCGGGCACGAACGCGTCGACCTTGTCCGCGGTCGTGACCGCACAAGACGAATATACGACTCTCACACACCCCAGTTTCCGTCGTCATCAGGTACGCGTGAAGAAGACAGATTTCTGCGACCCTACTGTGAAGTGAGCCTCTACAATCTTTACATCAGCGTGACCTTATGGGTACCATAGCGTATACACCGGCTACCTTGACGTAGACGATGGCGCCAAGCATATGTTCTTCTACTTCTTCGAGAGTCGCAGAGACCCTGATAAAGGTATGGAGCCGGTGCGCCTTGTTGACTCAGTGCTGATGTGTCGGAAAAGACGACGTTATGATGTGGATTAACGGAGGTATGTTTGATGACCCCTCGAAGTAGTATTCGCGTTCATGTTGAAGATAGGTCCTGGATGTTCCTCTGCTACGGGCCTACTCATGGAGCTGGGTACATCAGTTCTTGTTACGGGAGGCCATCAATAACAGAGTGTGACAGGTCCTTGCAATATCGACATGAAGAATGTGTCGGCGAATGGCACCGTTTGGAATCCATATTCCTGGAACAACGAGGCAAACATTTTCTTTCTGGATCAGCCGTGAGATCATCATCTGTCGAGGCTCTTCGGGGTTTTCTCAATCCATGCCAGAGTTGGCGTTGGCTACTCCTATGCTGATTACGGCGAAAGCGTCGAGACAACCGAAGACGCTGCAAAGAACGTCCATGCCTTCATCAGCATATTCTTTGAAACCTTCAAAGAATTTGCAGGGCGACCGCTCCATTTGTCTGGAGAGTCTTATGGTGTAAGATAAGAAGAATACATGCACGAGCCAATGACAGCTGACATCTCCTCTTAGGGACGATACCTTCCTGCCTTTGCTAGTTATATCTATGACCAGAACCAACTTGCGAAAGCCAAGGGCCTTTCGACAATCAATATGAAGAGTGTCCTCATTGGAAACGGAATTACAGACGTGTCTACGTTCGTGCATTTCCTCAGTGTCGCTTTTCAGTGCGTTCCTGATAGATTTTCAGTATATATGATGGCCGTTACGAAATCGAATGCGGTACGGCTGCTCTCGAAGTCCCTTTCCAGAAGATCAGCACCTGTGTTCAAATGAAAATTGCCGTGTGTATTTCTCTTCCATCCTCGGTGTTGACATATCGTTGACTGTACATCACAGCTTCGTCGTTGCAATGCCGCCATGTATAACGGCTGCATTGACCAGCTGGACGAGATCAATTGTCGCGCAGCTGTGAACTTCTGCGACTCATTCCTCAGTACTGGCTATTGGGAAAGCGGTAAGCGGGTCGCAACTGCTCGCGTCTTGGTTCTCATAGTGGCATACAGGAAGAAACGTGTACGACGTCTCCAAGGTTCGGTTGTCAAGCACTGGCCTCTCATTGTATCGAACTGACCTTCACAGATGTGCCTTGGAAACTCGCTGTGCTATCTGGAGAACTCGGCCATTGCCTCCTTCCTGGATCGCCACGATGTCCGAAAACTTTTGGGTGCTGAGTCGCCAGGCAACTTCACATCATGCAGCCCCGAAGTTGGCATGCGCTTCCTCGCACGCTTGGACAAATGGGCGGTTCCTTCTCAACATTACGTCGCAGGCCTCCTGGAACGCAGTATCCGCATGCTGATTTATGCGGGCACGTATGATTGGCAATGCAACTGGGTCGCCAACAAGCTCTGGGTAGATAAGCTAGAGTGGACGGGCAAGGATGCCTACGACATAGCGGGATGGCGTGATTGGCTCGTCGATGGACATAAGGCGGGCGAGACGAAGGCTGCTGGGCCATTAACGTTCGCAACCGTGAGGGAAGCAGGACATATGGGTAAGTCCAACCAATGTCTGATAAATCACTGGTTGTTGTGCTGACCATGCCGACCCATCAGTTCCTCACGATAAGCCAGCAGAGTCTTTTGCAATGGTCTCTAGATGGCTGGCAGGTGAGGATTTTTGAGACGCATAACGAGAGTGGCTGTTCTATCAGTCCCTCGAAGATTTGTGTAATTATTCGATGTGATGTGATGTGGCGGAGTTGTCGAAGATGTGTACTCGTGGCAAAAGATAATGCGGTTTCATAGGATACCGGAACCTTGGGCCACCACCTAGGTGACGATCAGCTGTGGCTTTCCACGGTTTCCATCAGTCCAAGGACACTGCGTTCAGCTTGGGTTGGGCTGGTTCGAAGGGCTTGGACGTGAGCGTCAAGCGCCCGCTCGGGCTTTGTGGCAGAGGCTTTCTGCATTGACTGTGCAGTGGATATCAGGTCGGGTGCGGTGACAATTCAGGGTAAGCACACACTCGAGGCATGAGTTTAACCCAAACACCTCGGAGTGTTCCTCGTTGCCATGACAACGCCAATCCGCCTGGGGATACAAATGGTCGATACCGGTCTCCCCGGTCGAAGAAAGTGATCGATCCAATCTGCAAGAGTATAAGACGTAGCCAAGGGCGGTAAGTTCAGCAACCCATCTTCCTTCTCGCCTTTGCCTGCGGTACGTCTTGCGGTGCTCTTCGCTGACTCTCGTCGTGACCTTTTTACAGATTTTTCTCTTGGGCTGCCCGGTAGCGCCCCTGGTCAACCCTTTTCGTTTACTTTTCATTTTCGCTCTCAGGCAGGCCCTTCTCGCTTTGACAGCTCGAGTTCAAGGTTAGTCATGCGCTTCTCGGCCAATTTCGTTGCTCTTGCGGCACCCCTCCTTGTTTCGGCCCTTCCCTTCAAGAGGACGGCTTCCGCGAACGATCTTTTGGTTCTGAGTGAGTCTTGCTCACTTTTTGTCAGACACAAAATATGAACTTAATTGTTTCGGGCTCTAGAATTTGCTCAAGTGCTTGAGCAGCTCGAGACGCAATTCTATACGGAGGCACTACAGACGTTTCAAGAGATCGATTTCATCACAGCAGGATTTGCCACAGCCGAGATTGCCATACAACAATTCACAGCTATTCAGAGCGATGAAAGTACACACACCACGGTGCTCACGGTACGTAAATCCCTACCAAGTCTGCACGTCCTGGTCTAAACGCCTTGTGCAGTCTACCATCCAGTCTTTGGGAGACCAACCGATTAGTGGATGTTTATTCGACTTCAGCTCGGTCCTCACCGACGTGACGACCATGGCGGCCACCGCCCGCGTTGTAGAGAATCTGGGTGTTGCTGCCTATCTCGGCGCCGCGAATCTCCTTGATGATCCTGTGTTGCTTACCGACGCAGCAACCATCTTGACAGTGGAGGCCCGCCACCAGACCGTATTGAACATCTTCAATGGCGGTAGCGCGATACCACAGGCATTTGATATTGCATTTACGCCGTCGCAAGTTCTTGCCGTCGCTGGCCAGTTCATCTCTGGTTGCGATCTCGGTGTTCCCGGTACGCATTGACACCTGACGCAGGGAAATACCGACTGAGACCTGTTTAGCCAACCCTACGCTTACCGTGACGAACACGGGCACCGTTGCCCCGGGCACCTCCCTGACCTTCTCTTCTACCGCCATCAACGGTAGCACCGATGTAAGCCGCCGCCGCTCTCTCCTCAGCCAGAAGCTGACTTTCCCCCAGGGTCTCTTCTGCCAGATGATAGTGGGTGGTGCCCCTATCGCCCTCACCTTCCCGTACGATCAGTGTATCGTCCCTCAAGGCATCGACGGCCCCGTCGCGCTGTATATCACTTCGGACGACCAGCCGCTTGCAAACGACATCATCGAACAAGCGACGATTGACCTTATCGCAGGTCCCACCATGGCCTTCATCGACACCGTCCCCGATGACCTGAGCGGCCTCGTGCTCCCCGGCTCGTCGAGTTCTGGCTCCGGCTCCTCTGGTTCGGGCTCGTCGACCGTGTCTGCCACCGTCAGCTCGAGCACGTCCGTCACGACCATCACGCCGGACCAGGAGAGCTCGATCCTCGCGAGCCTCTCCGCCAGCCCGACGACGTTAACCGTCCCGCCGTCTGGCGCAGCTGCCGCCTCCGCCGCTGGTGCGGCCCCTACCGCGACTGCTGGTGCGTCTTCCGGAAACGACAATGCCGCGACTGGGTCTACGTCCGTCGTGACCGCGCTCGGCGGACCCAACATGTTCACCGGCCCAGTCAACAATGGCACCGTAATTGTCCTCGGTTGGACGACCGTCCCAGCGTCATCCGTCCCAGCGCCGTCCGTCGGGCAGTGATCATCCTTCCGAGTAGCTTTGGGTTGTGTTACGGACACCGCGGTCTTGAAGGCCTCCTTTGACGAGATTTCGGACTCTTTTTCTTCGTTTGGTGACACTGACGGTGCGCGTCAGTTGTAGTCCTCGTGGATATACCTCACTGGTCCTTCCTCCCTGTCCTTGCTCTAAGAGTTTGTTTCCCATCTACTGTGTAGCGACCAATACATCTGGAGAGCGAAACAGAAGCACGCCGTCAATGCGGTCGATGGCGCGTTTGCTTGGGCCACATAACATGCAACTTCCTACTCAAGCCCCCTATCCTGCAAGCACTGTGGAGCTTCATTCACAAATGTAGTGAAATATGTTTACGTGAACGAGATATATTACTACGACAGGAAATGACAGGAGAAGTCAAGATAGAAAGAGGGAGAGAAATCCGGAGTAAAAACTACTATAAGGTACAGAAACGGAATTCCAGAACACAACATGGGACAACAAACGGATAGCACGACTGAGAGGTAGTAAGAGGGACAGGGACAAAGGGGCATCGAGTATCGGAGAGAGAATAAGTAATGTCGTAAGAGAAAATGCCGTATCGGGTCATGAGAAGAACGTAAACATCTATAGGTCCTCCGCAGATGACCTTGGCATATTAGTCGTGGCAAATTTACATCCACCGTCCCGCAGGTTTATCAGGGCCTACTCACGCGACTTCTTGGGCGAGTCCGAGAATATGTCGCGGATCTTGCCAAAAATGCTGGTCCGCTTTTTGCGGCGCGTGCCCGCGGGGCTGCCGCCGGCACCATTCGTCGCGCCGTGCTCGTCCGTGCCATGTGTGCTGACGGACGCAATCGAGGACGTCCTCCGGTGCTTGCCAAACGTCGGGAAGGCGCGCTTGTGCTCCTTATGCGGCGACGCCTGCGGGGTTGTCGCGGTGGAGGATGGCTGCGGTGGGGTGGTCTTCCCATTGCCGTTCGAGCTCGGTGTCGTTGGCAGCGGGATCTCTGCGGGAGTAGGAGGTGGTAATGAAATAGTCTCTGGTTTGGCTCCCGTACCGTTCACGGCGGCAGGCTTCTCCGTCTGGTCGGTGGGCGCAGCGGGGGTATGGGTCGAAGGCTCGACCAGAGTGCCATTCGAGGTAGCAGTCTCTGGCGTTTGAGGAGCGGGGGTATGTGTCGACGGCTCAACAGCGGATTCCGGCCCGCTGATGGCAGAGCCCTCGATAATGATAGTTTCCAAAATCTTCCCAGCATGCCCATTTGTAGCGGGTACGTCTACGGGGGTGTGGGTAGATGGTTCCACAGCGGCCTCGGGCTGGCTGGTGGCCGTGCCCTCGATGACAGTCGTCTCGAGCTGCTTATCCTTGTCTTCCACGGCCAATGGCAGGATTGGGACTGGGACGTTAGGCGCCGCTTCAGTCTGCTCGGCGGGCTGGGGTAGGACAGCTTCGGCGGTGAGCTCCTCATGCGGTGTTGGCCCCTCCGGAGCGGGAGCAGGGGTCTCCGTCTGCGCTTCGGGCTCGGGTGCGGCCTCTGAGGGCGCAGACTCCGCCACCTCCGCGGCTGGCTCCTCGTGAGCAGCTCGAGCAGTCTCAAGGGCAACCCCCTCTGACTCGTCGGCCGCGATCGCATGCGTCGGCTGCGTTGTTTCGGTTGTGCCAGGAGCGATTGCTTCTACCATGGCCGCAGCAGCGTCCTTGACAGTAGAGATCGCCCCGCTAACGTAGCCTGCAGGCTGCGGCCCAGCGATAGGTTCGGGTTCAGGGGCTGGTGGCTGAGGAGTAGCAGGGCGAGCAGGGGCACTGTAGACGTTGTTTACAAAGCCCTGTGGGTCCCACTCGGTGGGCTGATCGTCGGTGGTCGTCCATCGCCCGTCGACAACGTACTTGTAAGCGACCTTGCGACCCCAGGGGACCGGTACCGCACCCTCGAACCTGCCAGAGTCGGTGCGCGACAGATGTCGGGAACAAGACCACTACAGGTCTCAAGCTCAGCGCCTCGGATGCTGTTCGGATGAATGTAGAACTCACGGCATCGAATTCACCAGTGACGACGACATCGTTGGCTCCGGGATGTGGCCTACTTCGGGTTCAGAGCGGACCCCGGAGGTACGAGACGACGGACTCACCATCTGAAGACGGCTTCGTGATACTCTGGGACGGACATAGCGAACGTGAAGGTCGTATTTACAGACTAAGGTTTCCGTCGAGTAATTAACAAACCCAGGCGGCTCGACTCTATATAGCAGCGAGCGTTGGTAAGTGATGAGACATGTATGGACGGGCGGTCATGAGCACGCTATGGGGCTGACAGGGGGTCACTGTACTCACCGTCGAGGGGGTCGGGGGCGGTATAGGATAGAGGTGAGGGTGGGAGGGGAAGAGGGAGATTAGGATGAGATTAGTTAATAAATAGGGCAGGTTCGAATTGAGCTCGGCAGGGTCGTGAGAGATTCGCAAAGCGCAGGACGCCGAGTGTGCAGGCATGAGGCCAATGACGCTTGCACTGACCTCGCTTTCCTTTCTGATACACGCCTCTCAACCAGTTCGTACTCCGCGAACATGCACTCTGCTCGCCTACGGCCTCTTTCTCTTCCCCCACGTTGCACTATCAAGCCAACATGGCCAGCGAACTCGAACTCGAAGAACAATTCGATACCCTAGACCCTCTCCGGCATCTCAGAAACGGCGGCGAGCTCGGCCTCGTGCCCGCCCAGCCACCCTCGATACACAACGAGGATCTCCAGCTTGCCTTCCCCTCTGCAGGCGGCCGTGTCCCCAACCCTGTTTCAATCCGCCTCCTCACCGACGCCTCGCCAGGCTGTGGCGGCATAACATGGCTCGCAGGAGAGGTCCGTAATCGACGCCTCGCCTCGCCATAATTACCCTCGCTGTACGGCACGCTTTGGCTTGTGCACAGATTCTCTCCGCGTACGTGTGCAGGCGAGGTTCCTTGAAAGGCAAGAACGTGCTAGAGCTCGGAAGCGGGACAGGGCTGGTCGGGTTGGTTACAGGAGTACTTGGTGCCCAGGTCTGGATAACGGACCAAGCGTACGTCCGGTTCCCGGCAGATGCATGCCTGATTGACATTATGACAGACCCTTGCTCGGAATCATGGCGCACAATGTCGAGATAAACAACCTCTCACATCGCGTGTCCGTCATGGAGCTTAACTGGTACGTTTCGTTTCATATTCAAGCACGATGCGCTGCTCACCTTGCTTTGGTAGGGGAGAATCACTTCCATCGGATCTGCCTCGCTTCGACATCATACTAGCTGCTGACTGCGTCTACTTTGAGCCGGCCTTTCCGTTACTTGTGCAAACTTTGGACAAGCTTGCCGCGCGCGGTGATCCCGAAATCCTCTTTTGCTACAAGAAGCGAAGAAAGGCGGACAAGAGATTCTTCACCATGCTCAAGAAGAAGTTTAACTGGACAGAGGTGAGTGCCACGGCCCCTATTGTGATCATGCACTCAGTGCCGTGTCAGGTGGACGATGATCCTAACAAGGAGCAATACAATCGGGATGCGGTGTCTCTGTTCCGGCCTGCAATTGAGATCTCGATTGCTTCTTGTCATAAATGAAGCGCACTGCAGAGTCTAGTTTCTCGAGAGTGAACATCTGCAGAACAAATCTGTTCGAAATCACCATCAGGACAGAAGTTACGACTTGCTTACTTTCGAGTCTTCATCATAGATCAGTATACAGTCCCACTCTTTGGAGGCAGTCTCGACGCCATGGAATTGATGTATTTCATCGTCGCTCTGAGAACGACGTAACATGTCAGCAAGTCACTAAACAAGTAAGAGAGGGCCACATACGTTGACGGAGCCGCGTTGTAGGTTCACATTCTTGTGCTCCTCACCTTTGCGTACCTGTGCAGTACCGGGCTTAGCCAGGTCCACCGACTCTGGCATGAACTGGTCTATATATGCGCGTCATGAGCAAGTTGATACGCCACGAACATCAACAAGAATAATGCAATACGGACAGCGGAAGGCGTAATAGTGACGTTCGTGTTTGGCATTGGGGGGCGGTTCGTTCTTCCGGGCCTTGAGAGTACGTTGAAGCGAAGGGCCGACGGTCACTGAATGCCTGCCTTGCCTTGGCATCCAGGAGCTCGCGGTGCGCTCCGCCATCGCTGCGGAGGGATGGCTCGGAAAGATGGGTGGTGGTGGGAGGTAAGGCAGAGGACAAGACGGAAGGGCTGAGATGCAGAAGCCTTGATGTCGCGAGCGCGGGCCAAGCGCCCAAGCGCCCAAGGCCTCCGGTCTGCCGTCGCACGGGTAGCTCTTTTATCCTTATGGGCGCTTGTTGCCGGATGCGCCACGAAGGCGACCGCAGTTCTCGACCGTCAGCCTGAAGCGCAAAGACCACCAGTGTTTATTGTGCAAGCGGGCAGAGAACATGACTACTGTTGCTGGGCCACAGGCAGGTACCGCTTATGACAGACCAGCGTGACATCGGCAATAGGCAAGGGAACTTCCAGACGAAAAACAGCTGACGACACCCCAAAATATAATCCAGGCCTATCGACATCGCCGAGGTGCAGCGAAGGGCCTGTATCACCGCCAATCCTACTTGAATTGGTGGATTGAGTACCAAGATGGTCTCGAAGGTATATCAACACGTGTGTACCAGAGCTCTATCAAGATGATCTCCTCCTCAAGTGCGTCGCGTGCGTACCAAGTCACCCACCTTTCCCGTTGATCCTAGTTAACTGTTGCCACTGCAGCCCTTCCTTCATCTATAGCATCCACGTCAGCGTCCTCGCCTGACAGCACACCACTAGCACAATCCACACAGATCATGCAGAAGAGAATAAAGCCTAGGACAGCGGCAGAACAACTCGAGGCCGAATTGGAAGGCGAGCTCATGCAAGATTTTCCCCGCACTTTGCCACCCAAGGCTGCAGCCCCGGAGCCCGCGAGGAAGCCGCCACAGAAGAAGGACCCTAAGGTGCTCATGTTCCGGAAGAAGGTGCCGCCGCCTAAAGCACCAGCTCCGCCACCTCGTAAGGAAGAAGAAGAGGAAAGCGAGGGGGAGATCGTTGAGCGTCCACGGGGCATTGCCTCGTCCCGGCCTTCCACTGTACCGGTACCTCCTGCAGCTTCTACCCCGCCTCAAGCTGCCCAAACTAAGAAAATGACCCTTGCTGAAGTCGTAGCAGCCCGTCGAGCCAAGCCCACTGCTCCAGCTCCAACCTCAAAACCTCCAACTCCAAAATCTTCAGCTTCAAAACCTCCAACCCCAAAACCGCCAACACCGCCGACACATCCGCTCCCACCTAAACCCACTGTAGCACTCTCTCCGAAACCCTCACTGACTCCACCGACAGCGACCCAGAAGGTAGCTAAATCCGCTCCTGCGAAAAAGCGCGATCGGCCAGAGGAACCGGCAGTGCAACCGTCTCCACCCAAACGCTCGAGGCCATCGCCTCCGCTAGCACGACCACCGGTGCTGCAGCCTCCGCCAAAGAAGAAAGAAGTGGAACTTGCCTTTCCCGGCGGCTCAGATTTCGCATTGCCATCGTCGTCTTCCACCTTACCTAGCAAGCCCCCAAGCAGTAAGCCGTCGTCGTTGGCTTTTCCCGGCCCTTCGAACGTTACCCCGTCGTTGCCGCCTGCTCTATCTGCGCCTGCGCCCGCGGCGGATGATTCTGAGGAGGAGGATTGGGATGACGTCCTTCCGACTGCCCAGACCGGCGCAACAGCACCCGCAGCAGCTCCGCCTCCTGCACCGACACCGACACCTGTATCTGCTCCTCCGTCGATCGCGCCACGCTCCATCACAATGGAAGAGATAGTCCCTGAGCCGACCGTCCGACATGAAGAGATCGAAGAGGTCGAAGAGGAAATCGACGAGGACATGTTCGCAGAAGAGCTGAACCAGCACCTAGGGGGAGACGAGGATGAAGACTTCCTTGCCGCCGAGATCTCGCCCGTCGTCGAGAACCAACCCATGCCATCTGAGGGGCGGCACCCCGTGAGCATGAACCGGTTCGCCAGTGACCTCGATGAAGAGGGTGACAACGACAATATGTGGGGAGATGATGACGACACCTCTAGCAGCGATGACAGTGACGATGACTAGATGGAACTTGGGACTTTCTATTTGGGTAACAACGGGATTCTAGGACTCTTTAGTGTAGATACCACCATAATGCTTACCCGTGTAAGACACCATGTAGGCGGCCTGTGAATGTGTCTCTCAAATACTTTATCGCACACACGAGCGGGCTCGGAAGGGAGAGCGCAAGAGGGGTTGATTCGACATCGCGTCGCAAGCAAACAACAAGAGATCACAAATGACTGTCGACTGCTTCACCGCCCGCCCTTCTTCTCGACGCGCCACTCTTTGAAGATGCCGTCAAGGCTCTTATAAATGAGATGCGACGGCAGGCAACGAATGATCTCGCCAACGCGCTCCTCGACCTCGGTCTTGCCCTCGTCCCCGACCGCCTTCTTCGCAAATTCGACGGCAAGACGGAAGATCGCCAGGACGGCGAGGGAAACATGCGTCTGCTGGGCGGCATGCGCCGATCCCTGCGAGAGCGCGCTCAGCAGCGGGCCCGACACGCTCGGTGCAGAGATGACCGGCGCCGACTGCGAGTACGACGCGCGCTCGCCCCGCACGAGGCGGAGCAGAACCTCGAGAATGTTGTCTGTCTCTGTCATGTGGGTGCGCAAGAAGCGCTGCCGCTCGTTCTGCACGCCGACGTTGGAGTTGACGGCCCAAGCCTCGAGGACAGTCCAGATAGTCGGTGGCTGGTGCGCAGCGAGGTCAAAAATCCACACTTGTGAACATAACCAGAGACGACTTACGGGATCGGGGTCCACAACCTCGATTTTCTTCTCCCAGCCATCGGCGGCCTCGCCAGCTACCCAGAACATACGCCCAAACATACTCTTCAGCCAGTCATGGACGTCACCAGTCTTTACCCAACGGGGCTCCGAAAGCGGTCGTTCCTTATCAAGATACGCGACAAGAACAGTTTGAAGAGGGAGAGTCGCCTTCCTGAATGACGGAACAGTCTGATCGTCCTCTGAATTCTGGGGAATTGCAAGTGCTGTGTACGAGGTTGAGCCTTCCGTTGTGCCTTCGATCTGAGGAAAGCTTAGCGTTGATAGAACATGAGACATGATGAACTGCATACCAGGATGCCCTTAAGGTGCCCCTTGTCCTCGCTGATCGTCATGTATACTTCGATACGGGCTTCGGATCGGAAAACCTTCAGTTTCTCGACAACAGTAGCGTCGATAACCATTCGTCTCGTGCCTGCGGCATACGAGATGGACAGCCGATTGGCGGAAGGTACATGGACACCATTGGCCTCTGGTTTCACAATTTGCACAGGCTCTTCGCTTGGCGGCGCTGTGGTAATTGTAGGGGACGCATTCATCGTTACTGAGGAAGTCTCGGATGACGGTGGATGTTCCGGATCGTAAGGGTCGGATGGAGGCTCCAGCAACTGGGTCGCCTCCACAGAGATACCGTGCGACGCGGGCGTTTGTTGAGAGTCAAGATGTTGAGCCGCAGGGAAGTCTTGAGGGTCGACCGGTTGTGCTTCGGTATCGGGAATCGTGGCGATCGACGAGACCGCTTGAAGAGGGTGCGGGGTACCCGTGGTGCCGTTCGCCTGCTGCTCAGTCTGTACACTAGAACTTCCGTCAGTATCACCAGCGGACTGGGTGACTGGCTCAGCAGCGGGAGCAGGCTCGGTGGCAGGAGAAACGACAGCAGGAGAGGAATTTTCGCCTTCGGGAGGCGGAGGAGCTGCAGACGCATTTTGCTCTGGGGGAGCGGACGGTGCATTCGCATCTGCATTGCCAACTTGGTCACCATGAGGTGAGCCACTCTCTCCATGAGACGGTTCAAGATGGCTGCTCAGGCCTGGCGGGACGCTGCCGCTGTCACGAGCAGATGCATCTTCACTGTGAAGGCCGTCCCCTTCAAAGTGGGACTGGTCCGACTCAGCCACGTGCATCTGTGTGTCCATTTCATCATAGTCATTGCCTTCGAGAAAACGAGCATTAGCGATGAGGACGAGGTCATAGGAATAGACCATCTCGTCCACATGTTGTACAGTCTCTCCCATGCAAAACGATGCTTACCATCATAATCGTCCGGCTCCCCTTCAGCGTCCACATCCTCAGTTTCGGGATGTGCTTGCTCTCCATCTGCACCTTCATCTTCACCAATAGCGGCCATGAGCCAATCACCCTCACTAGTAGTCTCCGCAACACTAGGGGCCGCACTGTCTCTCCCCACAGTAGAGTCTAGAGCCTCAAAGTCGGGCCCAGCGCCAACGCTCGAATCCTCATGATCAAACCCAGAGTGCTGAGGGGGCGGGGGCGGAGGACCGCGACCATCTTCAATGTCTCCATCGTCATCCTCGAGTTTCTTTCGCTTGCCCTTCCTAACGCTTGATTCGGATGCCGACCCATGAGAGAAAGAAGGCTGAGTGGAAACGGCATGCGCATCATCGGCAGTAACGGGGGTATGGAAGTAGATGCGGATACGTGACGGTGGAGGAGGCAGAGCAGAGCTACCCTCAGTTTTCACTGGAGTGGCGTCGGGAACAGCAGACTGCGACGGCTCTGGCAGAGCGATAGTCACGTCAGCCGATTCTGCTGGACCTTCGGTACCAGCATTGGAATCGACAACGGGCTTCTGCTCGATAGATTCGCTCTCTGCCACCTCAGAAGCGAGAGGAGGACGAGAATCATCAAGCTCTTCCTTGACGTCCGCTACGGCAGACGGTCTGAGCACAGTCCCCCAGCTCCAATCCAGGTCCTGTATCTCGAGCCCAACGATCTTGAAATCTGTGAGAGTCCGCCGATTCTCGTCCTTCTTACCAGATGAAACGGTAGAAGATATCGAGGAATCTTTATGCAACGCCGCGGAGTCGTGCCGTCCGGCACGAGAGTGACCGCCTGCATAGCCTTGGTTTCGGCCGCGGAATGAGCCAGAGAAGTTCTGCTGAGGACCATGCGGTGGCTGCTGTTGCGCCGGCTGTGTTGGAGGGTTTCCGTGGGGGAAGTTTTGCCCCGCGCCAGCATTGAACGACCCACCTCTCCTGTTGTCCCTGTTGCCGAACCCCCGGTTTCCATGTCCTCTGAAGCTGCTACCTTGCCCAGGACCGCCACCTCTGCCACCCATGTTGTTGTACATGCCGCCACCCCTCCCACCGCGGTTGCCCCCTCTATTCATACCCATTCCTCCACCTCGACCTCGACCGCCACCCATGTTGCCGCCGCGGCCACCGCCAAAACCGCCACGATGGCCACCGAGCGGAACTTGATTTGCACCGGGGCCTCCTCCCCTTCCGTGTCCGACATTCGGGCCTTGATGGCCATTCATGCCACCGCCAGCCGGACCAGCCATGGGGCCAGTGGGTGGCTGCTGCATGGGCGGCGGGGGCGGAACTTGGAACTGAGGAGGCGGAGGTAGAGGACCCCGCTGCTGGTTAGGACCATCGAAGCGTTGTCGCTTCGCAGGAGGTAGATGTCCCGACGGGGACTGATGCAAGTTATTACGGTTGTTGTTCCTGTTCTGTTGATGCGGGAAGAACTGCTGTTGCTGCTGTTGGAACGGTTGAACCGAAGGAGCCTGGGGCGTGTAGGGAACTTGAGGAATGACATGAGGTGCCGCCTGGGGCACATAGGGCTGCTGATACGTGCCAGCCTGAGGTTGATACGGATTATACCCTGGCTGTGGAGGAGGCGGAGGCGGCTGGACTACAGGCGGCGGAGGCTGAAAGTGCTGCTGAGGAGGCCGTTGTTGCTGCTGTTGCTGCTGCTGCTGCCAGTGCTGATTTCCATAGCCATAATTCGCATAAAGCGCAGACTGCTCTGGCGGTGGCCTAGGCACGGGCTGTTGTGCTGGCTGAGGAACAGACCACTGAGGGTTGTAGCCCGGCGTCGCTGCCTGAGGATTCTGCGCTGCAGACGCCGCCGCTGCTGCCGCCCAATACGCGGAATAGTCCGGCTGTGTCGGCTGAGGCGGAGGTGGACCAGGAGGGAGAGGAGGTTGCTGAGGAGTGTATGCTGCCTGAGGAACAGCGAAAGGATTTTTGTTCATGTTGGTCGTTGCAGTCTAGTCTAGCTTCAAAACATAAGGTAAGTGTCCGTTGAAGATTTTAGGGCACGAGCCCACGACTAAGCCGCAACGAGCTGGTAGAGTAAAAGCAGAACACAACGCGCTTCGGCGTCCCGCCCGCCAGTAAGTCTCATTCCGGATCCGGCAGTTCTCCGGAAACCGGTGTCTAACGACATAGCCACTGAAGAGCACGAAAAAAACAGAGATATACAATAAAGTGCTACGGCTCCTCATCAGTACGACGCTTCTTCTTCTTACGCTTAGACTTGTCGTCTTCAGCCTCGCCCTCATCGTCGCGCACTTTCTCACGCTTTCTCCTTCGCTTCTCCTCGATAGTCGGTGCGGCAACTTCTGCAGGCGCAACGAATGCTTCTGCACGTTTTGCCTGTTTTTCTGCGGTAACCTCCTCTTGCTGAAGATATCCCACATCAATATTTCATTGAGGTGTTCAATCATAAGGGAACGTACTTTTTCTTTCCTGCGCCGGGCTTCGCGAGCCTCCTTCTCTTTCGACTTGAGGAAGTACTCTCCGGACTCCAGCTGCACATCCACTTTGCGAGGCTGCTGTGGCGGCGGGAATGGTGTGTAGACCTTCTTCCTTTTCTCCTCCTTCGTCAACTTGATTGGTGGAAGACCGGCCGTCTCTCTCGCCGTGTTTTTCTCTGCCAACTTCTCATTTTTCTTTGCCGTCTTTTCTGAGGTCTTGAGATGTTTCTTGCGAAACTGCGGTAGGAAGCGATCCCATGATTCTGTCGCTAACGCAGGATCCTTCGCCAGTTCGCGCTTAATCATGAGTTCCTAAGGATATTCAGTGAACGTAGGCGAGAAAGGGCGCATATACGCTAGTCGCAGTGCATACCTTGATGCGGTAGATCGGATGGATGTTTTTCATGCAATCAAGCACAATTCTCCGGACTTCCTTCAAGCCCTTATATGGGCCCATTACGCTGACAGTGCTTCCTTGCACCAAGACGTAGCATTGGGTCAAGAGCTCGATAGCCTGGCGTACATGAACATGAGGACCTGCACCACGGCTACTGACTCAAGTGAACGTACCTTCAGCGTGCTGCCGTCCGGACCAATTATCCTCTGCCGCCGTTTCACAAATCGTTCCTTATTCCGAACAATGTTCCCGATCTTGATAATGTCGCAGGCAATAGCGTCATCAAGTATCTTCACGGCCTGACCGATGTTGACGCCACGAGCAAGTAACTTGATCATATCTCTAGCTTTGAGAATAATGTAGGGGTCATATGTCCTACGAGTCGTCCGTACAGACATGGAGCCGTGGATCAAGTCCAATGTGCAAGCGATACCCTGCGAAATAGCCATATGAGAAGAGGCGAATGCGCGAAAGCGTCTCGAACACGCTTACATGTGTTTCGAGTGCCTTTGTAACGGCACTCCACACCTCCCGCAAATACCTTTCGCGATATTTGGGGAAGAGTGTAGCAAATGAAGACTCTTCAGTGAACGTGCCACCTTTGTTATCCTCGGGCTTGAATGGGTCGAGTTGCCACTGCACCGGAGGTCAGTCGACATCTGGAAGCTTGACAGCAGACCAGAGGCTTACGCTGTGAGACAGGTTATTTATAATAAGCCAGAACAGAAGTAAAGTCAACACTTACTGGTCGATGTCGTCAGTATCCCATGCTGGTCAAGAGCAGATATTAGCCTAATGCAACTAATAACGAACTTCTACAGCAATTTACGCTTATCCTTCCTATGCCGTTTGTTTTTGTTTACCACAAGGGCCTCTTCTGCTTCGGCCATTGCAGTATTCTGCTGTGAAAAAGACCGGCGGTGTCGGGTGGTCTGGAGATATGACAGAGACAGGAAGCAAAGGACGCGAAGTTGGCGCCGAGAGGAAGCTGGCGCTTTCCCACGTGGCCACCACGAGGTTTGGCGCGTACTTCGAGACGCTGCAAGATCTCATTTCATTCTGGTCTCTGACAGCCTCAACAAGTCTCGCGACGTACCGTCACACCTCATCGTCATGGATATCCTCGAAGAAGACACACACACCAGCGCTCCTGTTGATCCTGGTCTTTCCTACGACGATTCGGTTCCGTACGAGAACCTGCCGCCCCCGCCAACCACCGAACCGGTGGACGCCGACGCGGAGCAGCCGTCGCTTGCGGGACGCATAGGACAAACCAAGGTGTATCTCATTTCTGATGCGCTTGCAAAGACGGGCAAGGTGCGCGAGCAGAATTTGCTAGCGCGATGCTTTGTTTAATGGTGAAGCGACTTCCTTCGATCTGGCTACACTTTCAACAAACGCGTACATGGTTGCGCGTAACGTGGCTAATAGCGGAAATATGAGGAGGAAGATGTACCTGATGACATGGAAGAAGGTATATTTTTCTCTCGTGTAGTGCATTCTGCTATTACTGACTGGATTGTACATTGTTGTAGACGTCTCCGACCCATCCTTAAGAGACAACGCAATCCTCCTGCAAGGAACGCCGATATCTCAGCTTCCTACCGATAACCTCTTTGCATATGCCACGCACTTTGATGCGCACCCCATCGGCCTCGAGTGGATAGACGATACAACGTGCATATTCGTCTTCCCTAGCAAGTCAGCGGCACGCGCCGGTTTCCGCCTTCTCACAAAGTCATATACCGAAGAGCCCTCTGACGAAGGGTTCGTTACTTCGAAGCCAATACCGGTGCACGTGTGGCCAGCAAAAGAACGCTTAACCAAAACTTTGGGAATGGGGGATGGGTTGAAAGGCACAGTCAGTATGCGGTGGGCTTTGACTAGCGACGTGAAAAAGCGAGGAGCGAACAAGGAGAGTCAATTTTACAAGAAGTACGGGAGAAGCGCGGGAAAGAATGAGGAAGATCTCTGGTCTAACAAGAGACAGAGGGTGGACTTGGGCGAGGTCGGAGTCGCGAAAGAGAAGGCGCGTTTGGACGATGAACTGGACGCGTTCCTGGCGGAAGGCGAGGATGACCCTGCAGCGCCACCTTCCCCGCCGTCCAAGATGCACGCAGACTATGTCGATACAAGCCGAAAGCGATCACTCCTCGAACGAACAACGACATCGCTCGAGTCACGATTAACAAACCCGCTACCCAGGCGGGCTCGCCAAGGGGATCGTTTTGACGCTGCAGACGACTCGTCGAGCGATGTTCCCGTACGGGCACGTGGGAGGCACGGAGAGGGCCGGGGTGGGCAAAGACATGAACGGCCGAAGGTTACACAGGAAGACCTGGACGCTGAGTTGGATGCCTTCATCAACTCGAACGCTTAGTTTATCGTGCACTCTCCTCGAAGGATTACGATTCTATGTATATTTATCACCTGTAGCATACGTACATGGCCCGCAATCGACGGCACACCGATGGGGACCAATAATACGTCTTTTCGGGCTGGCAAACACGGAGATGCGCGTATGGGAACGATGTCTAGAGTGAAAGCAAGCTGTTACGACGATTCCGACACGGAGGTCCTCAGCTGGGAAGCGTAAATGCTGTTAATAGGAGGAAAGCAGCGAAAAACGCCGAATGCGCACCTGCAAGCCGTGAATGCCTTCTATCTCTTCCCTCAAGACCCCATTGACTAAGCGATGCTGTTTAATGGTGGGCAGTCCTCGGAAAGCTTCGCTCGTGATAGAGATGGCATAGAACGTGCCGCAGCCGCCTACAGAGAATTTCTAGCTTGAGATGAACCGCGGTGGCCACGATGATAGCTACTCACCGGATACATCCTGTACCGCGAGCTCGGTCGGGTCGAACCTGTCGTTCAGCTTGTTATGAATGTTGAGCTCTCCCTCGTCCTTGCCGGACGGCGGTTGCACCACGTAGCCTCTGAGCTGCAGCGGCCTACTTCGCAAACATGTCTGGAGCAGCCTTCTTCGAGAGAGCGTCGAGGCGAGCATGATGGTCGAGGGTAGCTGGTGCCCAGCGGCCGAGACGCGCCGCGGCACGGTCGCGGTGCCGGCGGCTCTTGCGCGTACAATATCCAGGCTCGTTCCGGACGTTCACACTCTCCCACCTTCCGCGCACCCCCAACGTCGTTTGGAGACCAAGGAACACCAGTGCAGCGTCGCGAATCTCGAAGATGCTGCCCACGGGCTGGTCTAGGATGGCACAGAGCCTGCACAGTCCTGCACTGTTCTCCTTCCGAGGACTGCACCCAGCCAGTGCAAAGCCTGTCATTACCACCAATATCCGGCAGCAGCTCCATGCTACCTTACAGGCCAGGTTTTCTGCTGCAAGATTTCCCGGCATTTCCGGGCTACGCGGCGGGATATGGTCGCAGAGACGACCTCTCTCTAGCCTCACAGGCCGGAGACAGCTCTTCGATCCCCGTTTCTTCTCGTCCAACGCGTCCCAAACGACTGCAGTCCCCGCGGAGCTTCCCGTCCTTTCGCCGCCCACCGTGGGCATCTGGCTCCTTGCGTCCTCTGCATTGGTCTTCGCGGTAATCGTCGTCGGTGGCGTCACCCGTCTAACGGAGTCCGGCTTGAGTATCACGGAATGGAAGCCCGTAACTGGAGTGTTACCTCCTCTGTCCCAGGCGCAGTGGGAGGAGGAATTTAGCAAGTATAAACAGACCCCTGAATTCAAGCTGTACGTGTGACGGTATGTCTACTCTGCTCATACCTGACCTAAGCCCAGTATGAACCATTCTATGAACCTCGAAGAGTTCAAGCAAATCTTCTACATGGAATGGGGTCACCGTGTCCTCGGTCGTATCATCGGTTTGGTTTTCGTTCTCCCACTGGGTTACTTCGCTCTCCGGAAGCGTCTCACCGCTACCATGCCGAAAAACCTGTTTGGCATGGCGCTGCTCCTCGGGGCGCAAGGTGCTCTAGGATGGTACATGGTTAAATCCGGTCTGGAAGACTCACTCATGGAGACCCCAGGAGCTGTTCCCCGCGTTTCGCAGTACAGGCTTGCGGCCCACTTGGGCGCAGCGTTCGTGTTGTATGCGGGCATGTTCTACACTGGCATTGCGACTCTCATGGACTGGAGGTACGCCAAGACTGGGGCGTGGGCTGGTCTCAAAGGCAGCGACATGCAGTGGAAGGCCATCCTGGAGACTCCGCTCGTCAGACGGTTTGCCAGGTACTCGAAGGCTTTGACTGCCCTGGTATTTCTTACGGCTCTCTCAGGTCAGCACGCCGGGCTGCGTAGTGCACGGAGTACTGATTGTTGTTATTTTCGCTTCACAGGTGCATTCGTCGCTGGCTTGGATGCCGGCTTGCTTTACAACGAGTTCCCGCTCATGGGCGGTCGCCTCGCTCCGCCAGCTGACGAACTATTCGCACCGGAGTACGCCAAAGCCACGGACAAGTCTGATATCTGGTGGCGCAACATCTTCGAGAATCCGACTACTGTGCAATTCGACCACCGTTGCCTGGTAAATATTATCAAAGCTATCCATCACCCTACTAACGGATCTGTAGGCTATCACCACATACGCATGCACAACTTTAATGTTCCTTGCGACGCGCCGTCCCGCGTTTAGAGCGACTTTGCCGCCTTTGACCCGCAAGATGGCTACCTCCGCATTTGCCATGGCCAATCTCCAGGTCTTGCTGGGTATATCAACCCTACTCTACCTTGTCCCGGTCCCACTCGCGGCCCTGCATCAAGCGGGCAGCGTCGCCCTGCTTACCACGCTCGTCCACCTGGTCGTCTCGCTCCGGAGACCCGGAGCAGCTGCTAGAGTGTGGCGTCAAGCCATGAGAACGAGGCAAGCGACCCCGGCATCCAAAGCATAATCTGGTGGATCAGCCGCCATACAGAACATCACCTCTCAGCCTTCTCATCCACTATTTATCGGATAGAGACCGTGCCTCTGGTCGCATCAAAAGGGCAGACTAATACAAATATCATGGATTCCCGCAAACAGTACAGTACAAGAGGTAGCGGTTTTAGTCTTCGGTCATCTGCACGTCGACGTCGCCGCCAGTCGCGGGCGCAGGGCCTTCTTGTTCCGCCGGTGCCGCAGCCGCCGTAGCGGGGGTTTCACCGCTGTCCTTGGGGACCATTGTCTTCAGGTACACATCGATTTGTTCGCCCTCTAGGATCCGGAAGGGTCCCTCTGGGGGTACATTCTTCTCGTGCGCGCCCGCAGGCCCGATGATGCCTATCGAGGTGTTATTAATTGTCAGCTCCTTATCCTGCTGGAGCGTCTCCCGAAGGGCGTGCAGGCCGTGGCGGATGAGCTCTTCGAGATCGCCTGTATCATATAGTCCGTAGATGCAGAACACGTTAAACGAGCCCGGTTAGCGGGGAACACTGCGATCTGAACAAAGACCTACAGTCCATGAATTTCTCGTAGTGCTTCTCCAGGTAGGTCTTCGCACTCTGGCTTCGTGCACCGATGGACATGGCATAGTATTCGTAAGAGTTTCCTGAAGGCGAAAATTCGTAGAGGTGAGGTCCTGTCTTGTCACCGCCGATGACCAGGAAGCCGACTCCGTACGGGCGTCGGCCATACTCTTGTGTATTGGCTTGTGCCTCTGCAGTGAATGCGGTAGATAAGTATTGAAATGTTTGTGTTATTTTTAAGACTGACTGTCTGCAATGGAAGACACCAATCGGTTGACGGGAATTGGGCGATTGAAGACCATGCGCGAGGACATCGCTTGTTGACGCATGAAGTTACTAGCATACGAATCCTCAGCACTACATGATGGAGGTAGTATAAACCTTACAAACCTCAACACACGAGCATCCGAAGTCAGGCCGGCAATAGCAACACCGACATGGTCATCTATCCGGTACATCTTCTGCTGGTACGAAGCAAGCTCGCCTGTCGACCTCTACGCAGAGTCAGCCACCTCTTGCTATATCTGAGCAGCATTCATATGCACCTTCAAAGCAAGCAGAATGGCGTGCGTCTTTGACCTCAAGCCCACGGCTGCCGAGCCCTGCTTGACGGCCTCGAGAGCATACTCGACCTGGTGAAGGCGGCCTTGTGGGGAGAAGACGGTGTTATCCGAGTCGTATGTGTTACGGAACTAGAGGCAAAGACTGTCAAAACATGCTGTATAGACGATGCAACAGATGTAAGTACCATAATGAAGAATGGGAATGAGCAGAGGAGGCAAGCGGCGCAGGAAAGTGACGCGTTCACGACGCGTAAGTAGTGCGTGTCCGCTTTAGGAAGGCGTCCGAGGGCCTGCTTCACACGGCGACGCACTTCTCTGAGGCCCGCCTCTGCGCTATCTTGTTTGTGTGAACTCGCGCAAACTGAATTGAGAGTACATGCGACATGCTTCTCTGTGACGAATTGGAAACTGGTGCTTTCAGGAGGGAGAGCATCTGCAGTCTTTCTGGCTATCGGCGCTTATCCAAACGGCCCTGAGACTTGCCCTGGGACAAGAGCAACCGGGATGAGCGAGCTCTGCTAGCCAATGGCTAGCTTCGCTGCATATACCAGTTGCGAAGTAATTGCCACGGTGCTATCTTGTCCCACTGTGCGCCACACCATGCAACAACCGCTGGGCTCCTCAGCCCGAAACATTGCGATATACAAAGGTCACCTTATTTGAATCCACAGGAAGATTTATCTGGGCCCTTCTGAGAAAGCTCTGTCCTGAGTCAACGTTGATCGCAACTGGAGCGAATGGCCCGATGAAAAATAGCATAAGTCTTGCGTGGTAGTGCGTACCCTCAGCCGTGCTACTAACCTGAACCTCCTGATCCATGGACCTCTGTACGCAGGTCTGCGGAGCCGAGCCGATGTTTTCTCGCTACGCATATTATTGGCCAATTGCCCTCTATATGCAGACTCATTTGAGCCGCGTCAAGCATACGTGAGAGCCAAAGTCCGGAGCCTTGCGATTTGAATCTCCCCAGGCGTTTGAGTATACCCGTATCACAGGTAAATGTTGCGGCCGCACCCGTTTGCTTCTCTAATTGCTCCAACGCCACATTCTAGTGTGAGAGAGTCCCTCTTGAATCTCCAACGCCAGTATTGTCGATCGCACGAGAGGCAACGCCGCCTACATACGTTTCCGTGCTTCTTTTAAGGAGGCACACCCGAGCCTCGTCGAACACAGCGAGCGTCCCGTCGAAGCTGGTATCTACAACAAGAAGCCCTCACCGTGTACTTCCCTAGGAAAGAGAGAGGATGCTTTTCTGCCAGAACATATTGCAAAATAACAGTGCCCCTTGAACAATATCAAGTGCGCCTGGCACTAGAACATGCCAAAGAAAATATAACGGCTGACTAGAATTTGCGCGTAGTACCTCTCGGCCTACCTTCGCAGCAATCTCGTCCTCGGTGGCAGGCATTTTGGTTGATAGGTATTAACTATGCGGATCATTTGCGCTGGATTTTATGAGTTTTCTCTGGCGCGAGAAGAAGAGGCTTTCGGTAGAGCACTTTTGAAAGTACAGATTACTGTGATACCTTTTTGTTGTTAAGCACACAAGTGATGCATATTAGCAAAAATCTTCCGAGTCCTAAGAGCGTGGGCCGACCGGAGTGTCGGACGCCACTATCCTCTTACGGCAACCGGCTTTGTGGCGCTGTTTGTCGTCAAATATCGGCAGTCGGCCGTGTGCACCCACAACAACCTTTACTATCTCCTCAACGTCGACGTTCTGTCGGGACGGCCGGACGGCCGGCCGGAGCAGAGGCACTGCCGATCCATCGGGTACGTTCTTGATCCTTCCTTTTGGTCCTTTAGTGCGGATTTCCGCTGGCATAGAAAGCAGGGCCGCATCAGGCAAAAATGCAATTACCGGGCTGTGTCGTCTGAACTCTCTCCTCCCCTGCACCAGCTGGACCATCGTGCGTGATGCGTGACGTCATCCAGTCATGACGTCCAGGCGTGTATTAAATACGCTGCCTTTGGTCCTCAACGATTTGCACCCCTCTGTCCAGGGCGACGCTATTTGCCGCGCGATCCAGGGCAAAATTTCTGAGTAAAGGTATCTGCCGTCCGCTGCGGTGGTGGATGTTTACTGACAGCTATCGTCGTGTATTGGCACGGTCCTGAGTATGCGGTCGGCGTGCTCGCGTCCCGACAGCCCTGAATCCACGCTTCAATCGGCATGTACTTCTGGGCAGGCCTACCCCCTCTCCTACATGCCTCGACCCACCCCGCTGTGATCTCCTACGGAGGCGCAGGGGCTCTGATCAGCAAGCAAGTCTCCCGAACGAACGATGGAAGGATTCACAGTGCCAGCGCATGGGCAGAGTTTAGTAAGACGATATCTTTACTATGATACATGTCAGTCGTACCTTCTAGACAAGGCCCTTTCTCACAGGTTATCAATTACCTCGCTCATTCGGTCTCCCCGAGGGATGGCAGCATGCCTACCGGCGTCGCATTCATTCATGGCGCAGGTCAACAGACCAGCGTTCTTGAAGGCGCTTTACTTATTAGAGTGGAGCAAACACCCGAAACTACTCCACTCGTCGATCGACGCCGCTTGCAGTCGCGTCGCGCTATGCTTCGGATACCGGCCTAGGCGTGCAGCAGATCTGCGCAGTTCGTCGTCCTGGGCGAGCACTGTGGCGATGGCACACGCAACCTTCTCGTCACCTCCAGCAACTGCTTCTCCATGGCGAACGTGTCCTACCGTCAAATTCGCGTCGCGAGAATGCAAATATACAACAGGGACTCTCACGCCCGCAGTGTATCGCGTGCGGCTAGCTCAGGCGATCTGGAGGGGTCTGCGTGATTCGCGCCGCAACCTGACACGCCCGACTTCGCATCGCGTCTCTCAGGCATACCGGTTCTCGCCCCGAGTGCTGCTGTATGCCTCTATCCCCGGGCCTTTCTGGGACCAAATTGTGCGATACGGTTGGTTGGGGTGGGGGGCCATCGACCCATTGGTCACCCGCGGTCGCTGTCGCGCTTTAGCCCTGCAGGGCTCGGGCTTCTCAGCAATGCACGTTCGCAAGAAACACTCACGTACTGCTGGCCCTGGCCTCTCTGGAAACAAAGCGAGTAATCGATAAGCCTGACGGGCACGTATGTGCATCGGTAACGTATCGGATATGAATTACTTGGCCGCAGAGCACCGCGCTGTGGGTAAGGTATGTCTACAGTCCAAGGATTGTTTCGCCTACATTATAGGTGTCTATAGCAAGCAGGGATGAAGGCAGGAACAAATACACGGAAGGGGATGTACAGATACCACTGAGCGTGTCAGAGGAGCTTGGACGAAGCAGCCTGGCGAGGAAAAGAGGAGGGGGAGAAGGGGAGAAGAGGAATGAGAAGCAAAGTACCGTACTGTATATGCGAGGTGTGCGTAAAGATTTTGTGGGTATTTTGAGTATGCAAGCGACCGGGGTAACGAGATGAACAAAAGGTGTGAGGCAGCCGATGCGAACCGACGATGTGCGGGGAAATACGTATGAGACAGTAGCATGGAATATATGAAGGTGAAATCATGCAGGGGGTGTGCGGGTTGAATGGGACGAGTAAAAGAAGCTGGACAGGGATGCTAAAATACAGATGCATGCATAATTGGTCCGTGAGATGCAAAGCGAAGTGTTTGCGAGATTTTGAGGGGCAGCGTATAATCGTGCGGATGGCGGATCCGGAGATACAGTTCGTGTAGTTGCCGAGACGGACCAGCGACGGAGAACGGCACGTAAATAAACATAGCTCGATGCACATCCGAAGGCCAGCTTGAAGAAGAAACTATAGCAGCAGTATGAGCCGAAGCCCGGAACGCGTGAACCATGGCAGTATGTCCAGATTTTCGCGAAGCGGATCTTGCGGTCGTACCATAATCCGATAGACAGAAGGATATCAAGCTTCAACCGAGTCCACGAGCTGTTCAGCAAGACTCAACACTTCGTCTTGAACCATGGTCTCTCCGCTCATGACGGAGGCGGCACTCGTCGAGCATACGCTCGCTCCGCGCCCACGGGCGCCTCCTCGATCGCCGCGTCCGATACCACGTCCACGGCCACGATCGTACGTCGATGTATATGCGTTGGCCGGGGCTGCCGCTACGCGCATCTGGTGCAGAAAAGGCAATGAGTATCAGCATGACAGGTGAAAGAAATGATACGCAAATACACGGGTTAAAGCGAGGATGAGAGATACGGCGCTGTACGAGGCCCAAATACAGTTGCAAAATGCCATGCCAACCTGTGCGCACTGCAGCAGCGAGTCCAGAATGCCAAGCAGTGAGTGAGAAGAGGACTCACTCTGCGCGAAGCCGGCTTTTGTTTCTCGCCATGGTGGCGCGCCTCCTCGCGATCACGCTCTCGATGAGCCAGCACGGCGTCCTTAGCAAACTCGGCCTCTTCGCGCTCGCGCTCGCGCTGGAGTAGAAGATCCGGACTTCCCAACGTATGTGGCCCTCCACGTATAACCCGACTGTCGCGGGGTGGAAAGATGAAGGACGTAAAGGGAGCAGGTCCAAGGGCTTTTTCTTTGATCGCATGGGAGCGGTCTTGACCATGTGCACGCGTTCGTTCTTTAGCCTTGCCTTTTCGGCCAGGAGAGGGCGTCGTCGAGGTCGGTGAGGTGTGCTGAGAGGACGTCGGAGAAGACGACTGCCTCTTCGACTTCTTGGATTTCTCCTTGTGCCTGAGTCGGCGTTCTCGCTCTTTCTCCCTGTCAGTCTCTCGGTCCTTCTCGCGCCCACGATGCTTCTCTTTCTTCTCCCTTCGAATGCCATCCTCTTTGTCATCCTCGGCCGTAGACCTAGCTGTCCATCTCTTCGGCGTCGTGGCGTGCACCTGACTCTCTTGGACTGCCATCAACTTGTCCCGCGCCGCCCTGGCTGTCCCCACACTGCCTGGGCTATCCAAGAGCCGCGACGTAGCTTCCTTTGCCCCTTCGTCCTGTGTCTCGGCCTTCGGCCTGCCGGTCTTCCGGCCCGATGCCGTCTTGTTCCCACTGCCACTCACCTCCCCTCTAGCAGCTGATATGGGAGTTGAGGGTGGTAAGATCAAATTATTAGCGAGCCACGCACGAGGACGTCCCTGGCAGAGCTCTGTAAGGCTGAGACTTGTCAAACTCGTCGCTCTTGAGCTCCATTCCGGAGGCCGAGTATTGAATCGAATAGATGCTGGCGACTGCGATCCACTGCCCGACGATGAGGTCGCTGATCCGGACGCTGATCCCGGATTAGACTTGGGAAGCTTTGGTGCCAACGGCATAGGTGAAGATGCTAGAGGTGTGACTGATCCAGAAACCGTGCTGCTGGACATAGACGGCGAGGCAGCGAGAGGTAAATCTCCTTTCTGCGTACTCCGAGACATGTAATTCTCGGGCGAGTGCGAGCGACCTTGCGGGGGTGTCGTAGGGAAGGGGTATCCCTCCACAGGGACTTCGTGCGCAGAGATACGCTGACTCAAAGATTTACCAGGGTCAGGGCTCCGGAGGTTAGATGAGGAGATGGAAGTCATACTAGACCTCGACGAAGGCGTGTTGGAGAACAAACTTGAGGAAGACGACATGCCAGGCTCGAGCGTGCCAGTGGACGCGGATGTGGGGCCAGCGTTCTGCAAGGGGTGTATACCTGGCCTTCCTGAAGGCTGCCTTGCTTCTCTGGAAACACTGGCTGCGGCGGGTGAACTGCTTGAAGGAAACCCGTATTGCAAGTTGCGCTGATAGTCCCACAAGGACGTGGTGGTCACGTTGGAGGGGTTGACGAAGACGATCGGAGGGAAGTACGGTGGATCAGCAGGGGTTGGGACGGGCGAGTGCATGGGTGTCGACGGTCCAGACATGCCAGAGGGCCGATGTGCCGGGGAACGAGGCAGGGGGACAAAGCCGGCGGCCCGCATGCTGAGCGAGACGATGCAGCGGGCGTCGACCGCGCCCACGGAGTGGCTGGCGAGCTGCGCGGCCGACAGCGCGGGTCGCTTGGGGGTGCCCGGGTGTTGTTGACCAGGCGATGCAGGGACATGGGACGAGACTTGACTTGAGGCAGAAGGTTGACGTCCTTGGGCGTCGTCCGTGGTTTGAGAGTAATTATGGAGGTTACGGAGAGTTCGTGAGGACGTGAAGACAAAAGCGGTACTAGGGTTGGCGGCGGCATTGTTGGATGTGTTGGTGGAGGTGGAGGAGAAGATGGGCTTGCAGTCGTCGAGGTTGAGCTTTGGGAGTGGAGGGGACTTTCTGCTCTCTCTAGGGGGACTACTTGGGACGTGGGTGGCGGAGCTCTCTACTGGTGACGATGTGGCCAGAGAGCTCGGGGACGTGTCGGGACTGAAGAACATTACAAAACACGACGAGCGGGGGTCATGGTCAGAGACAACAGCGGACTCGGATTCGAAAAGAGAAACGAGCAGGAGTCTTGCGGCGCGTCGATTGAAGAAGGGGCAAGATCGCGCAGAGAGTCCTGGCCAAATCCAGAAGGGGAGTTTAGGACGAAAGCCCGGGGCTGCCGGCGCTCAGCGCTCAGCGCCGGAAGCGCGCAGGAGTTATCTTATCTGTCGATAGTGTAATTAGCAGCCTAATTGTTGCATGCTCCGTCGTCGTCTATCTCCCTCCCACCGACAAGAGCATGAGGCTGCCATATATTCCCAGCCAGCCTCCCAGGCCCTCCCCTCGTCTCTCTACGTCTCCTCAACACCAGCCTGACCCTCGGTCTACCCTCGCTCACCATGGCCACAGTCGTAACCATCACGGTGCCAAAGACGGGCAGGCAGATCAAACTTCCCACCGGCTTGTTTATCAACAATCAGTTCGTGGCCTCTGTTGACTCGAAGGAAACTATAGAGTACGTACACTTCTCGTAAGACCACAAGGCCCGCTCAGCCATGATGCATGACTGCACAGGTGTATCAATCCCGCGACGGAGAAGCCCATCTGCTCTGTTGTCGCAGGTACGGTCCGTTTCCCCTCCATCCAGACATCGCCGGCCCTGTCGCGCTCGAGATTTCATCTGTACATTCTTATCCGGCGTCATCTTCTATTTTCTATGCAGATGAGAGGCATTCCTAACGGCAGTACTTTCTTGACAGGCTCCGCAAAGGACATCGATGTCGCGGTCGCGGCAGCACGCGAAGCCTTCAACACGACATGGGGCAAGAACGTGACGGGTTTCGAGCGTTCTCGTCTCCTGAACAAGCTGGCAGATCTGATGGAGAGGGATGCGCAGGAATTAGCGGAGCTCGAGGCGTTGAACAACGGCAAGCCTGTCCGAGTCGCAAGGTGTGCAGTATATTTCTGCCGTGCCGATGGGGCCGTGACGACAGTTGACCAACCGCGTTTACAGAGACTTTGATGTCGGAGACAGTGTCGGCTGTCTCCGCTACTACGCGGGTTGGGCGGACAAGATCGTTGGGCAGGTGAGCCGTGACGTGTCCTGCTCCCGCTTCCTTTGTGGCGCTGCTGCTGCTCCGTAGTTGCGGCCACCCTATCTACAACTTTGTTCTGGCAGCGGCTCTGACAAAATACATGATTAGACGATTGAGATTGACAACAAGACCAAATTTGCATATACGAAGCACGAGCCCATCGGAGTGTGCGGCCAAATGTGCGTCTCTTCTGCTCATTTATCTATGTATAGTCTCCTCCGTGGGTCTCGGTCTCGCAGTGTCCCTCGCACGGTGTCCGTGCACAGGGCCGATGGCGTAGCAGCAGCGCTCATGGATTGAGACCATGGCTGATATTTCGCCAAACCTCAGCCGCAATGGAATCATGAGGGTTCGGGCTCGGATGCTTTGCTCATCGCCGCCCACCGAGCCAGAACAACGTCTCATCCTCCGCCCGTGCTGCGCCAATCGCTGACTCATGTTTGCTCATTACCAACTATCTGCATACTGACTTCTGCGGTCCGTCCACAGCATCCCATGGAATTACCCTATCATGATGTGGTACGTAACGCGACGCGCTCCGCTCCGCTGCCCGCCTTACGCTTTCCTAGGGCCTGGAAGGTTGCGCCCGCACTGGCGTGCGGCTGTACTATCGTCATGAAGCCTAGCGAATATACACCCCTAACAGTTCTCGTAAGTCTTTTCTCCGACTCGGCTATTGCGCTCGTCTATTCGAGCGGATCGGGTACGATGCCGCGCTCGTTACAGTTAATTATGTCACTGGGACTCCGGCGCGTCGAGCGCTGAACGGCGGTGTATCTACGTCTTGCGACCTGTCTCAGGTTGGAGTAGACAGCCGAAGGGCCCGCCGGAAAGCGTCACACTGTGAAGTCCACCCGTTACCAGCCGCGAGGGCTCATTGGTGTTTGTTGGCCTAAGACACTGGAGCAGACGTCCGGGCTCGGGCGGGCTAATCATCGCATCCGCGCTGATGCGCGCGTCGGTCTCGAATCAATTAACACGTACTGACCGCGGTGTCATAGAAATTGTCCGAACTCATTGTCGAGGCCGGGTGAGTACGCCGTCCGCCCTGCCAGTCATCGGTGCTGACCAAAGGCGCAGCTTCCCTCCGGGCGTCATCAACACTATCCCCTCGCTGGGCTCCGTCGGTGGTGCCGCACTTACAGCGCACAAGGGTGTCGACAAGATCGCGTTCACCGGCAGCACCATCACCGGCCGCAAGATCATGGCTGCCGCGGCAGAGAGCAACCTCAAAAAGGTGTCCCTGGAGCTCGGCGGGAAGTCCCCCCAGTTGATCTTCGAGAGTGCCAACCTGGACCAGGGTGGGTTCCGTCTCAGAACTTCGTCGTCCTTGAGGACGCGATGAGCTGACCTGCTCCTCCTCGGACGTCCGTCAGCGGCGAACTGGGCTGCGCTTGGCATCCTGTACAACACCGGCCAAGACTGCACCGCGGGCTCGCGTGTGTACGTCCAAGACACGGTCTACGACAAGTTCATCCAGATCCTCGTGATTAAGGCCAAGCAGCTTGTCATCGGCGATGGGTTTGACGAAGCGACCGGTGGGGGCCCCGTAGTGAGTTTACGCTTTTCTTGACGTTGCGCGGCGTCGCTCCGTCCTCAGCGGACGTCTGGCGATCAAGGGTAGGGCAAGCCTGCAGCACAGGCTCCATCCGAGAGGGGATAGCAAACCTCCGCAGCGGAGGGCCGCTGCGGCCGACTACCTAATCTGTCAGTCGTGAGTCGACGTGTGTAAGTCGGCTGCGCGCATGAGCAAGATGGGAGACCGCAGGTGCTTCAGGGCACCGAGCTGCGCCATGCTGAGCGCTTCTCGATCCCCTCTCTAGTTCCGGCCAACGCTAGTTCGCGCGCTCCCTGTCACAGGGAATAATTAGGATTAAAGATGGAATCAACCGTTGCGAGAATGGCGTCCTTAGCGGCCCCGACGATCACCCCGACAGGGCTGGAAGGGCGGTGATTCCCCTTTGCCCCAGGGCGTGCAAAAGTGCCTCGCATTTGCATTCACCGGACGCACTAAACCATGACATTCACTACGCTCAGGCACCACGAATCTAACTCTATCCCCGCGCGCCTTTTAATTTGTAGGTCTCGAAGGTCCAATACGACAAGATCTGGTCGTATATCGAGGCAGGAAAGCAACAGGGTGCCCAATGTATACTAGGCGGCGAGAAGCGGTCAGGGAAAGGCTACTATGTTGATCCGACTAGTGCGTTGAACCTTCGTCCTGTTCAATCATCAGCGCCTAGCTGACGCCTATGCGAAGTCTTTACGAACATCACTCCGGACATGAAAATCGTAAGCTCTCGTTGGTGACAGGCTTGAAGGGTTACAGCTGTACAGGACTGACAGTCATGATCGTATCCACATAGGTTCAGGAAGAAATCTTCGGGCCTGTGCTGTCGGTTGGCAGGTTCAGCACCGAAGATGAAGGCATCAAGCTCGCGAACAGCACCACTTACGGCTTGGGTGCGGGCCTGCACTCCAGTGCGTTATTTCCGTTCAATCTTCGCACCTCGTGGCACGCCACGCCGCCTCACATATGATCGTGGCGCGAGGCGTACACACCCATCAGGATCAGAGTTGGCTCACCTTAGCCGTAGATGATGCCAATCAATGCATGCGAGTTTCTAATGCCCTCGAAGCAGGCACGGTACGTTCCCCTTCATCGCTTCCAGCGTCTGCGCCCGCCAGACCGACGATTGCGTCGGAGCGCACTTGGCGGCTGTCCGCTCCGCAGCGATGGTGGCCCACATGCGGACCCACGTAACACGTCGCTCGTCGATCTCCGCTTGCTTCTCTGCACAAGGTTCAAAACCCGGATCGCTGACGCCTTCGTTGCCCTCTTCGCGGGTTGCCAGGTCTGGGTGAACCAGTACAACCTCCTCTACAACAATGTGCCCTTCGGCGGGAAGAAGCAGAGCGGCATCGGTAAGTCCCTTGATTGCCGGGCGCGAGGCCCTGCCCTTGGCTCGATCGCCCCGCCGGCTCGCGAGAGCGTGCTGCGAGCGGCGCGGTGATGCGAACCAGGGAACGCAGTGTTAGGCGCACGCTAATGCCCGATGCATCGCGCAGGCCGCGAATTGGGGAGCAACGCCCTGGAAGAATACACATCAGTCAAGGCTGTCCAGTGGAACTACGGAGAGAAGCTCGACTGGCCGTTGTAATTCCTGATTTCCGCCGCCAGGTCCTCGTCCGGGCACGCCGAAGCATCAGGTCAGAGCGTAAACGAAGCATGTCGACATCCAAGTGTAACAGTAGCACGAATACCGCCGTCCGAATGCCAATATGTGTAGTTGTACCGCCGTGTATCACTGCCGTCGTCTGCTCATCTGAGTTGAAGTAAGGTTACGTCCGCGACCACGTTCCACGTACAGAACTGCGGTGAGGCTGGAGTCTTAGCCTAATGCTGTGGCAGCGCGCTAGTGAGTGCTGGCGTGTCGACTGAGGCTTGTCGTTGATCGTGGCCTATACTAGAGTGGGTGTTAGTACGGTGGCCAATCTATACCCATAAGGGAAGATGCGGCGGACGTCCGATGAGTGCGGCTGCGCATGAAGCGTAATACGAACGCGCGGATGCCTGTAGCGGCAGATCGTCAGCTGCAGAGGCGAGGCACGGAGGCGAGGGTTTCCGCCGCCAATGGCTAGCGCGGCCCAGCAGTCGCCGCGCCGCGCCGCGTTACTTTGCATGGGTTGCTCGGTGACGGAGCGTTTGTTAGATGGTTTCGGTGATCGACAGGCGTCATTCGAACCCTCAGAAGCACTGGGCGAGCGCATGGGTTGGATCGTCCGTGGGAAAGCCAGGCGCGCTGCAAAGTAAAACCTCTAAGCGTCGGAGCAACAAAAACATGGACGGCCGACGCCTGGCGCGCCATCCGAGTCGCCGTGGACAATCCTCACTAAGTATAGCTGTCCGCAGCTCCTGTCCTCGCGTGAAACGATTTTTTTCTCGCCAAGACGGCAACGACGAACGAGCGTCGTCCTCCAAGTGGGACTTGTCTCTGCGGGGGATCACCGCGTTGTCACACCGCTGCGCTTCAAACGTCAGAGAGATGTGGAGCACGCTCTGTGCGACAATGAGGCGCGACCGTACCTCGTCCAGGCCTTGAGACTCATCTGTGTCGAGCCGGTGGCTCAGGAGCATGCATGGTGTGACAACTTCGAGCGCGGCGACACGCTTAGATTTTTGCTTGCCGAGGACGAGGACACAAGCTTGCGGTGATCATCACTCGCCACAGGCATGCTGAATGATGCAAGACGCGACCCGCTGACACGACGAGAAGGCGTCCGGCGAGTGCGGGATACCATTGAGTGGCTCGGAATCGTCGGCCGCGGCCGCATTGTTGTGCGTTTGGGGTGGCGATGGCGACGGCCCTGGGTGGGTATCAGACCGCAAGCGATTTGTGTCGTCGGCTGGTAACAGCAAATCAATGTCTCGGTGGAGGTCCTCGGACTTTGCTTTGCGACGCTCGCACCTGGCCAGGGAGAACCTTGACCATGAGGGACCTGCTACAGATTGTGGAGGGGCGCATGCAGGCAACGCGGCGACAAGCTCATACACATGTATCTGAGCATGTCTGGGACCTGACAGGAAGTCAAACACGTACGTAAAGGGTCCGCATCATGAGTCTTCGGATTTGTCTATAGAAGGCCAGAGCCCCAAGACTCGAGGGCGGCGCGAGTAGCCATTGCCAGTCGAGACCACGCTTCAGCCTCGGGGGGTGGACACTGCGAGGGCCTCTATACGTGCCGCGGACGTTGTCCGAGGAGATGAATGCTGGGGCCAACGCCGGTCTTCCTGTGCCGTCCAGAAGATTCGGAAAATTCAATTCGAGAGCCCATGCGGAGGACCTGAGAGCTGTGAACGAACGAGACGGCCCAGAGGAATATACGGTGCTCGGGCGTGCGAACGGGGATTTCGCAGGCCCCAGGGATTCCCACCGGGCTCCTACAGGCTTATTGGTGAGCGCGCGGCGAGATTGAGGGGCAAGATTGTGACCTACAATTTATCGGTATTTTCTTATTGTCCTTCTGATGCAGCCTTCGACCGACGAGACATGCGGCTGCCAACTTGAAAGGCGCAGAGTCTAACAAGGCTTCGAGAACTCCGATAATTCACCGCCACACCCCCGTCCCGAATAGGCAACCACTGTTGGCACTCACGCTCCAACAGGGTCCGAGGGCAGGACGTCGAGGACGGCGGAAGCCTCAACCGTCGTGAATCCGCTCGAAGGGGATGCCTGTACCGCTCAAACGATCCCAGTGGCGCCGTCGCCTTGGCGCGGAACCAGTACTCGACAGCCAGGCATACCACGAGTCCTCGCTTCTCGCCAGGCAGGGCGTGTCGCAGGGAAAGAACATCCGGATGTGAACATGTCAGCCACTGCGCTTGGGCACCACAGAGCAGCTGCGACGAGCAAGGCATCGCGCCGCTCTAATGTACAGCAGCCGATCTCTTCACATGTCATGGGTCACGGTCGAGAGCTGGCCTTCCTTGGGGCAGGCTAACGGCGAGACCGGGTGAGGCTCCTGCACGGACCGCTTCAGACTAGGTTCGACCTCCAGTGCAAGAAGCTCATCCAACCTGTGCCTTTTACCGTGAGAGAAGAAGTGTAATGCAGTAATTATTTGTGCAACGTACGATGTGGAGAACGACATATATAACCAGCAGTATACAATACAGTAGGGGGGAGTAAAGCGTGCAATCCAGATCTAGAACCAGTGGAGAGAGCGGCGAGCCACGGAGGGGAGAGGCGCAGACATAAATATCTATGATACACGCGTTGAGAATGGTCATGACGAGCATAAAACACGAAAGGAAATTGTCCTAGGAGTACGGAGCGCCATGCATGAATGTAGCGTCCTGTAAGGCGTCAGTGCGGTCCACAATGAGTCGAAAGTGGAACTTACAGACGTCCATGCCTGATTAGTAAAGTCCGAAGCAGAGGGTCCCCCGGAAGTGGGATAGCCTCGGTTCCCACCATGGTGATACTGCCCAGAGTATGTTCTGCGCCGAGGGAACATAAGCAATCACCCTCCACAGCCGAGAGGCGTGTACTCACGCTCTCTGGGAAGGCAAATGCGCCTGAAAGGCTGCTCGCCCATGGCCGCCATAGCCGTATGATAGCGAAGGGTCAGCTGGCCCCGTGTGCGCATCCGGCGCACCATAGCCATTGGGAACTGAGCCGACCGAGTACCCTGGGTGCGAAGGGATCGTCGGCTGCACCGAAGTACCCTGGCCATATGTCTGGTAGCTGTAGGTCGGCTGATTGAAGTCTTCCCCACTGTACGCCGGTCGTGCGGCTCTCGAATGGGCCGGAGCTCCGCCGTAAAACTGCTGCTGTGGAACCTGCGTGTTCGATGGGGATAGGTTCGGGTAGGCTTGGTTCTGCCAATGGTGGTCGCCCTGCTGGTACGCAGCCGGTGTATCCGGAAAGTACTCTTGGTAAGCACCGTTGGCGTGCTGCCAGGACGTCGAGGACCCCGGCGACGACTGGGCGGAAAAGTACGGAGACACTGGCTGGGGCATGAAATGTGCCTCGGGGGCGCTGGGAGTGGAGGGGTTGCTGGACGAAGACGCCTTTTGCTGGCTGCATGGGATATATTCGCACTTGTGCCCCCGCTTCTCGCAACGTTCGCAGCGCGGCGAGTCTCCTGAGCACTGCGGTCGTGGACGCGAGTGATGAGTAAGCGTGCTGCCGGTTCCACGTCTCAGAAGACGGTGTGTGGAAACCAGTGCCTCACCTTGACTTGTCGTCTCCGACATTCGGTGCACGCAATGGGAGTCCTTTTGCTCCGCACCACGGGAGCAAGCAGATTTTGGCCGTCGACGGGAGAGGGTTTGGGTGCTAGAGAAGTCCCAGTCAGTGGACGCTAAGGGTCCACATACAGGCACTTACAGGCGCTTGAGGCTGCGCTAGCGGAGCCCGACCCTGGCGGGCTGGGCGTGGCGCGCACGGGGTCGCTGCGGCGCGAAGGACTCATCGGAAAGGCGGGGGCGAGGGCAGAGGTAAATGATGAGGAAAATGAGGGAGCAGGAGGGCCGTCGGAGCGGGGGGCATTTATAGTCCTAGGAAACCTACTTTGAACACCGATTGCAGGGCGTCTAACTCAGGCAGGGAGTCCTAGGAAGGGAGCGCGTGCGAATCTCTCAAGTAGTCCCGCGTAACTGGAATGCATTCTTGGGGCTAGGTGAAAATCAAAACCAGTTGTTTTGATGACGCCTGAGTAGACGACCCATCGGGGGCGATGCGGTGACTCGGGACAAAGCGCCTGGGACAGCCTGGGACGGACTTGCCTGGGCCAAGATTGGGACGTGTACCTGGGGAAATCTGTTCAGTGTGTCGCTAAGCAAAGAATAAGGTGAGGGAAGTCAGACGGTACGCTCGAAAACTCTAGATACGTTTGATGGCAGACAATGAAACACTCTTTCCTGATGATCAATGTGGGAGGGCATTGCTCCTTGGCCCTCAGATCGTCATCCGCGACGGATCCTCCGCAGGGCCCAGTCCGTGGACGTTTCCAACGTCCGCTCGCACATTGCCTGCCCCCGGAGGGCTGGATCGGCGCGCGCGCTGCTGTGTCGAGCGGACACACAGGTCCATCGCCAGGGGACGGTGGGACCCATGCATGCGATCACCTCATGCACTAGCTACTGTCTGGATGATCGAGGTTATAGCACGGCCACTGCCGTGGCCGTGGCCGCGGCAGGCATACCTCGCAGATGCGACCTGGATTTGGCAGTGCCCGACGCCGTGCTGCTGCCTGATCTACCACCGCAGCCCACAGGTAGGGCGTCCTCCGCGGACAAGACAGCCAGCAGACGAGCGGAGCCTGAAGCTGGACCGACAAAGCATCGCAAATCTTTCCACGACCGCGCCTCCCCTCGTATCTCCCGCCCATCGACCTCTGATGTGTGCCGGCACTGCAGCAGACGATGGGAACGCCAGAATCACCAAACGCGCACGCCAACTAAATGGCAAAAGCGCAGCGCGTCTCAAGATTGGCATGGTCGCCATGCCAAAGCATCAGCTGGCGCCGCTCAACTCGCACACGCCAGCATCCTTGAAACAAGCACTGATAATTTGCCGTGGGGTGCTCGCCGCGGCACCGGGTGCTGAACACTGACGAGATGTTTCCCCACACGGTGTCCACTCGCTGTCGTAACCTTCGGACTGGTTTCGAAAGTGAGACGCTACCGCGGCCATAAGGTACACATGAATCCTTTAGACGTACAACACCGCTATGATCGAGGCAAAAGTCCATGTCTACAGAGCCAGATAGTCTCGAATCTCCTCCTCAGTTAGCTTCCGGAACGTCGGCTTGAAGCGACCTGTGCCTTCGATCTTGCCTGCTTCGAGCTCTTCTTGGGTGGGGACTGTGATGACACCGATCTCTATCGTCTTCTCCGTCATCTGGCCTTCAAAGCCTTCCTTGAGCGTCAGCAGCGCCGTGTGAATGGCATCTTCCAGACTTATATCGTCGTTGTATCTGCAGCGACAGATTCGAACAGAAGAACGAGTGCGTGCGTCACAAGTTGCGTAAGAGGAAGGCGATTGTCAGCGACGGTCGGACCATGCCACGTAAAAGGTGAATCGTACCGCTTCTCCAGGAACGTCTTTGCATTGACCATGTTCTTGCCAATCGCACTCGCTTTCCACGCCCAGAAGGATCCCGATGGGTCAACCTGATACAACGTGGGTCCTCGGTTGAAGTCCCAGCCTGCCACGAGCAGTGAGACGCCATATGGCCTCACACCTCTAAATAGCTTGAGTTCAGCTGAGTCACGACAATCACACAGCGTACCCTGAGTGTGTCGCCTGTTGCATGATGTTCGCAATCTCCTGTGTGAGAATCTTGGTTGGCGGGTAGTCGCCGTGGATCTTCCAGTAAGCTTGCGCACTCTTCCGCGCCCGCGTGACGAGTACTCGGAAGTCGGGACCCATACCAGAGTAGACAATGCCGATGTTGGGACAGATGACAGCGACCTTCTCGACCACTGAGTCGTCAATGAGGATTGAAGAGGACTTGCGCTCTGTGGCGATAACGATCCCGTTTGAAGCTGTGATGGACGGCGTGGGTAACGGAAGATAGGGCAGCACACTTGATACGCACCTTTGATACCAAGACTCGTCGTTCCTGACGATACAGCAGCCAGGGCATGCTCAATCTGCACAAGCTTTCCGCTCGGTGAGAAGACCGTAAGCGAGTAACTGTACCAAGTTCAGCGACACTTGCACAGGATCTTGACTACAAGCTGACCTGTATGCTCCACCGCCGCCAATGCTTGCCATGGTGATTATGTAGTGGGGTATGCGACAATGGAATAACTGGGACGGAGGGAGTGACGCGTTCACTGCAAGCTTGCCCCTTGCGAAACGCGCGTCGCTCTCTTTGGCGCTTAATTGGGGGCACGTGAAAATCACGTGCTCCCAATTTTACACATATCCTTCTAGAAGCTCAAAGCGCGTTCAACGGCCAAGGCACGGTTCAATTTACAAGCAGACAATATACATCCGAAGCGTTATTTACTTTCAAGTCGACCCCTTGTATTACATACTTTCAAGTTCAGTTGCAGCCACATCTCAATCAACCTTGAGCGGGGTGGTCCTGAGGTAAGGCTGCAAAGAGTGTTGGATGTCAGTACCCGACCGTACGCAAGGCCGACAGCGAACACATGCCTTGTGAACGGTGTGCTCGGGGAACAGAGTCTTCGCCTCCTCGGTGCTAACAGACGGATGGACGATAACGTCGTCGCCCTTCTTCCAGTTGGCGGGCGTTGTAACACGGTGCTTGTCGCCAATCTGGAGAGCTGCAGCGATTGTTAGTACGTGTGAAATTCTGGTAGGGCTGCCTTGCAATGTACGCACAGTCAGTAACACGAATGATCTCGTCGAAGTTGCGTCCAGTCGATGCAGGGTAGGCAAGCATCAGACGGATGGTCTTCTTGGGGTCGATGATGAAGACAGTGCGGATCTGATGGGATCGTTATTGTCTATAGTCAGACCTGGACACCATGCGAAGTAAACATACGGTGAAGGGAAGCCCCTTTGCATCAACATTGGTCGGATCCTGCTCGTCAAGCATGTCGTAAAGCGTGGCAATCTTGCGATCCGCATCCGCAATCTGGCCGGCTCTTCAGCACACAATTAGTTGATAGCCCTGAGTATGGACGTACGATAGGGAAATCAACAGTCGTTGGCCCAAATTGCGCACCCCACTCTTCAATGTCCTTCGCCCACTTGTAGTGGTCCTCGAGTCCGTTAGCGGAGATCCCGATCAGCTTCACACCTCGCTTCTCAAAGTCAGGTTTGCTACATCATTCATTAACATCTCGAGCTGCAAGCATGTCTAACGTGAACATACAGGCGCGCCACCTCGGCAAGCTCAGTCGTGCAGACAGGCGTGAAGTCGCCGGGATGGGAGAACAGGATGGCCTGCGAATACCCCGCGTTCAACGATAACACGCGAAAATGCACGGCACACTGCGTACCCAATGGTTGCCGATCCAGTTATGGAACTTGATGGGTCCCTGGGTCGTCTCGGCTTCAAAGTCGGGGGCTGTGTTTCCAAGACGGAGAGAAGGCATTGTTACGAGGTGGGTTCGTTGAGACTGGCGAAGTGGTGTGCAAGAGGAATCTTCGGCCCCGCTTTATAGGGAGAAGCTCGGACGTCTCCAGACAAGCCTGCGAGCCATGTCTGTTTCGATCGTGATCATCGCGTCTTCATTTCCCACGAATATTCAAACCTCTGACAGATGTCTTATATACTCTATAAGCTTGCACGTGCAGCGCAGGCTGGGTCTCTCTTTTGAGCGAAAGCTTACTGGAGAGGCGTCGCTACTGGGCATAGTATCCGCGTATCACTGACCCGGAAGTGGTGCAAGATGTACTCCAGAATCTCAAGGAAGCACGCAATTCGTAAAAACCTGCTAAGAAGGCCCATCAAATCAGACAACTATGATACATACTGTGGGTGTGAGGTACAGTAGAGGCCTTATCAATCAATAGTATGCGACGGCATGTAACAGACTGTGAGGGTGTTTCTCTTGGTGAGCCTGTAGTATCGCATCGATCTCCTCGTCGATATCGTTGGCCGCCTCAATCTAGGACAAAAGGGGACTGTATCAATATCTGCCACTCAAAGTTTTATCGAAGTCTCTCACCGCCGCAGCAAGGTCAACTATTGCCTTCCCAGCAAAATGCGCCTCTTCGTGGTTGTCCTTGATCTCAATGTTGACGATATGCACAGGTTTGTTGAAGTCTCCGCCGCGCGCCAGTAAATCTGTAACGCCATGGCTATCAGTGAGTGACATGTCAGCCCAGAAGCAAGACATACCGTCGCAAACAGCGTCGAAGCAACGCTCCTCACAGGTAATGACAATATCCGCCACGGCCTTGCTTTCCTGCCACCGTTCGGGCGCGAGTTTGAGACGCCGATTTCGGTCGAGCATCTGTAACAATCCGTTCGCGGTGTACCTGACGCAGATTTGTCGGTTCCCAGGCACAGTTAAGAGGTAGTTGTGAAAACGCACAAACGAGGGTCTTGTTCCTGGAGTTCTTCATAAATTTGATTGTATGGCGTTCCGAAGGGATAAATATTGGGCTTGTCTATTGCTGGCCCCGGCAGCCGGACAGCAGAGCCCGTGCCATAAGAAATGACGCGATGGCCAGCTTTGCTGCAGTCGACGTTTCAGATGGGATGAAGGAAGATGAACGCCTTACGCACGACAGCACGTAGTGTCCCTCCATAGATCGGTTCTATCAAAAGTCGCCGTCAAGCTAGACACGAGCTAGATGAGTGTGCTGGCACAAACCTGATTACTGGCACATACTACACAGAACAACGGCTTAGGTTTGTATATTTGTTTTCCCATTGAATCGGATGGTGACTGCAACGGTGCTTGGGTGCTGGGGATGGAGGGCTGTATCGAACCCGCGTCCTCCGCTTCCTGCTGAAGTTGCACATTTGAGATGGAACTGGAGGAATACTGGTGCGGGATCTGGGATGCCTGTGGCATCGATGGCGGCTGGACGTAGGAGGGACCACCATCAGCGAGTGGATAGCCCTGCTGCTGAGGTGGCGGCGTATGGTAGGCGGGACTTGGACTTGGCTGCGCTTGAGTTCGCTGCAGACGTGGGTCTGACCTGGCAAAGCGAGGGTCGCGGGCTCTTCTCGGGTCCATGACACAGTCCCGATGTCCTACGACGTTATGACAATAAGCACAACGTTCACGCACAACTCGCCGAATGGAATCAGCAGTATCCAGAACATTAGTCCCCACATCGACCCAACACGGTAGACTGCCCCGGAGGTCGCATAAGTTTCCACTCTGAATCATCATAACAAGATAGACACGTAGACAAAGTATGTACTCACTGGAATGCAAAGTGGTGGAGGTCAGGTCTGAGCGTCGGTGTATCGGGACTCGTGTTGAGATCAACTGATCCGAGATTCCATATCTGGAAGATACGACTAAATAGCCGCAAACAGCCGCCCCCAAGCTTGCGAACACGCCTTTCTTCAAAGCGCGCATATATACCCTTTCCCCAATCAGAGACAGGTAAGCGAGCCTGTTAAAGCCAAACGGTTTTATCTACCTACTCACTCACCTATCGATTGTATTTTAGGATGTCTACAGGCCAGTCGACTGTGTACCGACGCGACCCCTCAGCGGACGAGGTGGAAGCTGCGAACGCGGAGATCGCACGGCAAGAGCAGGCTGTGGCTGCCATAGAGCTTCAGATACAGAAGCTCATCTCTGAAATAGCGAAGCTCAGAACGCAGCAACGTACGCACAAGGACGCCATTCACCGCTGCAAGGGCGTTATCACCCTAGCGCGACGCATTCCCGAGGAACTTCTCGTGAAAATATTCGAGCTTTGCGTCGCAGATGGATGGACTCGTGCTCCCATTGTGGTCTCACACGTTTGCTCTGCTTGGCGTAGGGCGGCCACGGCTCTTCGCGTGTGGTCACACATCTATCTGGACGCTGACAGTGTTGATGCCTTGGGACGCACACGCTTCTGGTTGCAGCGGGCTGGCAACATGCCCTTGCACATCACTATTCTTGCCTCCTGGCATACCCCGCACACACAATTGGTTGATGCCGTCAGCATTCTCAGCCGTCACGCATCGCAATGGGTGTCGCTCAAGCTCTCCATCGACAGCCTAGCTATCACCCTTTTCGCTCTTTCGAACTTCACACAACCGATGCCCAACTTACGCGAGGTTGACATCCAGGTGCAATTACACGAAGGCGGTGATATTGACGACCAATTCACCCTTGCCGATGCCTTCAATATGGAAGTTGCTCCGGCACTGTCGGAGGTTCGCTTCAACTGCAACATCCTACCCGCTCGCCTGAAGATACCAGCACAGGTCAGCTCTCTCACTATCGACATAACTGATAGCCCTGTGTCACACCCACTCTCTAATTTGGCACTGGTCGACCTACTCGAAGGGCTTCCACAACTCGGACGCCTTACAGTTCAGTTACCGCTCGTATACGAGGCTCAAATGCTCGACGAAGACCCAGAGCGTATCGTGGATCTCATGCGGCTTTCCTCACTTACACTCTACGGTCCGACAGATCTAAACGGTCTGCTCGCTCACCTGCTAGCCCCGAGCTTAAAGGGGCTCTACCTCCGGTCGCTGGAGGATAAAGGGTACCGCCAGGAATCGATTGGACCGACGCTGCTACAGTTCCTCCATAGAAGTCAACCACCATTAGAGCTGCTCGAGCTGCACGACATCGATTTGTCCCCGGATACGTTCCAGGCTTGTTTCTGGGCCTCGCCAGATCTGCGTGTGCTGCGTCTGCACGAGAGTTCCATCTCTGAAAACACCATCAGACTGCTCTCTGGTCGTAATGCGATGTGCCCCAAGCTCACCCACCTGGATCTCCGCTGGTGCAGCCATCTTGCGGGGAATGCGCTCGTCGATTTGGTACGGGGACGGCGACCTTCTTCCCTTGAAGACGACGGTGACTCTGGAATGGACGGCTATTCGGCGATCGGAGTAGAGCCCATAGCAGAAATAGGGATACTGAACTGCTGCTTCGTCTTGGAGCGAGACGTACTCCAGCTTGCGCGGATGACTACAGTTCGTCTGTCTATGCGCGAAGACGATTATTGCCGTAAGCAGTCAGTTTTGTACTGAGCTGTCCTCCAAGCGTTAACTTCCTGAATGTTCTGCCAGGTGTGCGCCAATGCTGCACAAACACTCGTTATAGACAGCGCCTGCGGCTCCGTCACCTCGCCACTCTTTCGGTTGAGGAACGTAAACAATACCGTCTTATCGTATGATCCTAGTGGGATAGAGGGTTTCGTTAATTCAAGCGCAACAGTTCACTTGTTCTATAGATATGGTCTACCGCACTGTAGCTATGTTTTTCTTAGAGACCGGAGCTTCCCATCAGGGAGTACTCGGTTAGCGCCCACTGCGCCACAATGGACATACAACGTCATTCGTCGCGTTGGTGCACCATCACGGCGATTGGATAGTATATAACCTCGGTACCGTCATGGTCGTTTCCCCCCAAACTCTAGCCCACGCAACCACGCCACCTTGGCAACACCCGCTCACGTAGAGACCGAAAACACAATGTCCGCCCTCAGCAACGTTCTTCCCGACACTGTCAAGCCCGCGACGCTCTTGAGCGGCCGCTTCCGGTTCGACCAAATCCCTGACCTCACCGGACGCGTAGCTATCGTGACCGGTGGTTCCGCCGGCATTGGGTACTACACGGCTCTCCCTCTGGCGCGTGCGGGGGCTACCGTCGTGATTCTTTCAGCGAACGAAGAGAAGGGGCATCAGACGGAAGCGGAGATTAACCAGGAACTGAAAGGGCTCAGTTCATATGGATCGGTGACATGGCGCGGCGTCAACCTCGACAACCTGAAAGAAGTCGATGCCTTGGCAAAGCAGTTGGCTGGAGAGCTCGAGCGCCTTGATATCTTCATCGCGAACGCCGGGATTGGTCAGGCTCCATATGGCTTGACTGCCGATGGTCTGGAGCGGCACCTCGAGGTACGCTCTCAAGTGCTATGGACAGATCTATTTTGGCGTTGACCTGCATAACAGGTCAACAACCTGAGTCACTTTGTTCTTATCCTCCGTTTGCTGCCTATCATGAAGAAGACGGCGCAGATCGCCCCGCCCACTACTGTGCGTATCGTCATGCAGTCCTCCGAGATGCACCGTGTCGCCCCTGGTGGCACAAAGTTCGAATCTAAAGATGAAATTAACAAGGAGGGCGATGGCTCGCAACTGTGCGTATTGTAAACTCTCTGTCCCCGGGGATGCAAACTCAAAGCGTTTGGTAGGTATGGACGCACCAAGCTTGGCAACATTCTCTTCGCGCGTGAGATCGCCAAGCGCCATCTTATAGACACCGAGCGGCCGATTCTGGCTATGTCTGTCCATCCTGGTACTGTAGACACAGAGGCGCAGAGGGCCTGGGTAGAGAGCTACGGCACTATCTTCGGAAAGATTTTAGAGAAAGGCAGCCAGCTCGTTGGAAAGACTGCGCCAGAGGGTGCCGAGGCGGGCCTGTGGGCTGCAACCAGCACGGACATCTACGAAGGCAACTGGAAAGACTATCAGGTGAGTGGGCCATAGGTAGACCCTGTCCTCTTGCTCACGTCCTGCACTAGGGAAATTACTACTCCGAGCCGTATGGTAAACCGCATACTGAGACAGATCAGGCGAAGAGTTTCGAGCTTGGCAATAATTTCTGGAACCTTTGCTCGCAACTTGCACAAGATATCATTGGGGAGAAATTGGCGTGAATGTAGCATAACGAGACCGATGATATGTCATACTCGATCACAAGGGCTCGTTTGGACCATTGATATAATATCGCCCCACGCTGTCAAGTAGCAGCTTATGTCTCTGTACTTGTAGATCGCGTATTACAATAGCACTTGCCGTTCTAGACTCCAGCCATACGTTCCTCTTACAAGAAAACGTCAGATACTGACGCGTGATGCTTGGCTGCCTCTGCTCAAGTGTCTCCCGGCAACCGCTTGTGACGTTCCTTACTCCTGAAGTTGTGAATAGTCAGTTGTGCATCCCGAGACTATATATGAAGCAGGCCTACTTAGATGACTCGGCGGTACGCCGTAAGCGATGTGGCACAGACGCTCTCGGGGAGTTCCGAAGAAGTGACTGTGTAGTTTCTCAGCCACCAATCGCTCACTAAGCGCCGATGCGCGGTAGAGCCGTCACGGTACAGCTCGGCAAGTAGCGAGCCCACGCCCTCAAGACCCCCCTCGACGTCGCCATGGCCAAGTCCAAGAAGTGCGTGACCATGCCCGAATGCTGGCTGAAGGATAAAATGCTGAAAGTTTGACCTTTTCCTGCGTTCGCATCCGGCAGCCACACCAACCACAACCAAAACAAGAAGGCTCACCGCAATGGTATCAAGACGCCAAAGAGCCACAGGACCTTGTCTCTGAAGGGTGTACGTTTAATCTACTGAAATATACTGTTCATAGTGTCGTGAATACTGAAAATGCGATCCGTGTAGGTTGATCCCAAGGTACGCTAGCTTAGTTATCAGAAGGAAGTAAGAACGGAGGACTTAACTACTGGGACAGTTCCGTCGCAACCAGCGGTACGCTCTTGCTGGTTCGGTGCGTCGCAGTGGCCTTTTCAGGAATACCTCGAAACTTATAAATGATGCGTATCACAGCGCAAGGCTCGCCTGGAGCAGAAGGAATAATTTCCCTCGCCCATCCAATCACCCGCCTTTCCTCCCTGCTCCGAGCAGTGTATGGGACGCGTAGTCGAGAGGGAGCTAGCGATCGTACGAAAAGATAGCTCGCCGCGACGCGATACATACTCGCGCTATATATGTATCACTATGCGCTCCATCTGACGCCTACGATCAATGCGTATAAAATGCCAAAAATACGTGCAAAATACTCTATATTGCGGATAGTACAATGGGCAGTGCTACGGACGTGTGCTACGACCCTGCGGAGCCACCCTTTGCATGCTCTTTCGCCCGCGCTCGCAATCTTCTCGCCTAGACAATGCAATATGTGAATGCCATTGTTTCGAAAGAGCTGCGCGCCACTCACCATCTCGTCCTCCGGCCTCTGTGCACCCTTCGCCATGTTGTGCTTTGTAGGTCTCGACCCGTAGAACGGCTTGTGCTCCGGTGCGGCCAGTTGCCTCTCGCATTCTTCACGAGTAGGTACGTACCCCATCTGCAGCGAATTCCATTTGTACCTCAGGACAGTCTTAATCTTTTCGAATGCCTGCGTTGAGAACCAACCAGTGCGCTCCTGTGAAGCCGAAGCCATGGTTATACCGCTGACATTTGAATTATATTGGTCCTGACTTACGTCGCAGATCTCCCGCAGGTCGCCCTCGTTCTCGACCATCTCCTTCAGGAGTTCGTCTTGCAGATCACATAGCTGAAACGCCGCCGTCTCACCATGTGAGGTCTTGCCGTCGAAAATGTGGGACCTGCACTCCGCGTCAGGCGTACAGTGGTGATGTTCAGACAAGACTAGCGTACCTCTTATTGTCGTCACCCTCACGGGTACGTATTCCGTCACCTCGTCCTTCCTGTCGACGAGCGGTGACAGAAGGACGTTGCATCTGGTGGCTCGTGTTCCGGAAATATACCCTTTGGTAGCTAATTGATCGGCAGGCTATTAGTTACAGGACGAGATGTCTGACAGCTTGGACTTACAAGCGGGCTTCTGGGTCTGTTCGGGGGTCGTACTTGAGTCGAATTTGTGTATCGCGCCAGGGACCGTCGTTGAACACGTAGCTGACCAAGGGAAGGAGGAACTTCGAACTAGGATAGATCAATAATGCATAAAGGGACGGCAAGTAAGTCTTACTTGATGATCTCACGGACTTCGTGTGGTTCTAGTTGATTGAACAGAGCAGCACGCGACCAAATGGGGCGCTCCTTGAAGAACTGAAGAACGGTGCACCTTTGTCAATACGGTTGCGCAAGGGCCTGGAAGTGCGGGTGACCTTCTCAAGACGTTCGAGTAGCTTAAGGTCAGCTTGCGAACGGTGCTGCTCGACAACATCAGACGCTCTCTCTGGAACCTGCGGTAGCATGTCAGCGTTGCGCCATGCCTGGAGAGGGATGTCCTACATTCTTATCCGAAAAGTCGATGGCGGTTGACCCTATGCCCTTCCAACGCATACGGTTGAGAAGCCTCTGCTTCACTTCTCCCGTCGCTTCGTCAACCACACTGACCTCGATTGAGGCTGGGTTTGCCTTGTAGCTATTATGACCATTAGCAGATGAAAGTGGCGCATACATGCCATAATGACTCAACTTGTAGAGGTGTGGGACTGCCTGCCTGCTGAAGAGCGGTGGAGGCGGCAGTCTCAGGTTACTCTTCACTCCTGAACCTGTCGCCTTCGGTGAAGAGCCGACAAGCTGGGGATCTATGTGTGGATCCATATCCGCTTCCATAGGCGTCGTCTCTTCAACCATAGTGTAGTCCTCTTTCTCCTCCGGTATACGGTATGCAAGGATACTATCAACTAAAGAACTTCAACGGCACAGAACATGAGATATAGTGCCATCATACATACCGTCCATGCGACCCATTGCATCGCGTAGCTGCGTCACGGGCTCATTCGTATCAGGTTGGTACTGGTAATCTGCCATACCTACAAAGGCATGACGGGTCAGAGGGGCAGCATTTCATATGAACATACTCACTTCGGAACCGCGCTGTCTTCGGGATGACACCCGCAGCTTGTACAGTGTAGTCTCCAGTAACATCTCCTACGGCAGCGTTCTTCTGTTTCCGTCTCCGCTTGACAACCTTTAGGAGGATGTTATTGGTCGGAACGACATCCCCAGGAATAGGATGCGCAAAGTGATTGCCAGGGCGCAAGTTCAGCTCCAGGATAGACCCACTTTTATTTCCTGTACGCTTGAACGCAGCCTCCAGGTTTGCTTGCCCCCCAAGGCGTTCCACTGCCAAAGGGACCGAGGTCGGCTTCACATATCCCGGGTACTCGACGGAGTAAAAGAGCGTGTTGAGTAGGGGACGAAGAGATGCTGCATCTGCATCTATATCCGCGTCTGCCTCAGAGTCATCAGATCCTGGCCGTAGGACGGGGTCGATGGCTGTGGAAGGTCCTGCTTCAGCGTTCTGCATGACCTGGTGGGAGTGGTTCGCGAGAGGACGCGTCGGAGAAAGAGGCGCGCTGAAGTAAACACGCCCTCTAAACGGCAGGTCTTCGAAATAGCATACTCGACCATATATACAAGCCGAGACGGTATGAGAGGGGAAAGGGACTATCTAAGCGCAGTCTTATCTCTTGTTCTCTTCCTCTTTGAGGGCGTTTTGAGCAATCTCGGCGAGCTCCTGCAGGGCGGTGACATCTAGCTGCGTGCGTGTGTAGTACGCGAAGGCTCTCACACACCTTCATGCTTTCCGCGTCGAGCCCCGCTGCTTGGAGTGCCTGTGCTATCTTCTTTATTTGCTCCCTGACCCTCGAGTTTGTTAGCAGCATGAACGGGGAAGGCTTCGCGCCCATGCCTAAAAAGTTCACTGAGTCGGAGGCACATTGCAAACACGCAGGTCATCCGCACCTTCTTCTATCATGACCTGCACAGTTTCTGCGTACATTTGTTGGATCTTCTGATTGTCCGAGACCTTGCTCCACGCTTTCGAGCCTTGCAAGGCCTTCATTATCGTGTCAACCTGGGACTTGTTCGGGATTTCCGTCGTGCGGACAGGCGAGATAGAAAATTGCCTAATGTACATGTGCAGTCTTGACGGCAGTGTTATATGGCGGTTGGCCAACAAGGGGCGGGCAGTGAACAGTCGTCCTATTGAGACTACGCGGAGGGAGGACATCGTCATGGACAGAGAGGAGCGTGTGAAAGCTAGCGCGGAGGCCATGGTAGCTTAAAGTCATGAACGAACACCGGTTGGCGGAACACGGCGTCCGTACCATAGATGACCTAGATAGACATCATAACACGTAGATAACACGCGGAATTCAACAAGTTCGCGTGAAATTGAGCCTGAAGCCTGAGCTGTAGGATGAATTCGCATACACCGCACGCAGATATTTCAAACGAGTGGGCTCTCTCAGCAAGACCGATGATACTTCTCTTCTTAACTCAAGGTAGAGATTTGGAGTATTATGTACGAGCTGTCGCTAGTTTAGGAGGTACCTCTGCTAAGGACGTCGTAGACCGGACCAAGGGCCGTGGGAAGCGCGGGGCTCTCGCGTCGCGTGCAGGACACGACTTAACCAGTGACTTCGCACCTGACCCAGCATGGACGACGATTACTACTCCATAGACTCCATCCTCGCAGAAAACCAGAAGATACAATGCACATTCAAGGTTGACATCCCAGACATGGGTCATCTGGACGGAGGCACCGAACGCGACATCAAGGCTCTCAGCAAGATTCAGATACCTATGTGGATGGCCTACATCCTCATATATTCGTGCGTTTCAGACGTCTGCGCTCGTCTGTGGCTACCGACTTTGTTTCGTAGCGATTACGCAGACTTCAATATACCGCCACCCTTCCAAGCACGAGTGCGGAACGCACTGAACGCGGAGGCACGAAGTGTGAAATTGTCCAATCTGGTGGGCCAAGGGGGCCTGTGGTATGGCTTCGGCCGCATGATCATGAAACTGTGCGTACTACCCCTAGATAACTTCTCATCTGTCTCCATTCATGCAACAGGCTTGATGATGTCCCCGCCAACGAAATCTCGAACATCCTCGTCAAGGTCCGCCTTCCTCTCCATTGTGTGATATCCCCTCCTGACTCCATGTCTCTCCTCATCCCAGACATTTCGTGCCCGGCTCCCAGAAGTCATTGATCAAGCCCAACACTTCGCTTCGATAAATGTGTCGGGGGGTGGTGCGGGTGCCAGCGACGGCACTCTGGCGTTTCGCGAAGGACTGGATGGCACGGAACGCGAGCGTACGTGTTTGTCTTTACCTTTTGGACGTGATTGTGCTTACTTGAGAGCAGTGTTCGCGTCGGCACAAGACAGTGCGCGGAAAACGAAGAGGTGGTACGAAATGACTGAACGCGGGCGGCGATGAATATCATGTGGGCCAAAGGGGTATGCTGTATTGTAGATTATGTCGTATGGCGTTTGTATTGTAATACGGGTTCATTCATTCATTCTTCTCCTTCCGTTCCGTCTTCTGCTCTGCAGCGGGAGGAACAGCCTTCTGGAGCTCGGTGACGAACCTTGACACACTCAGTATCAGAGCACCGTCGCCGTGACAGACTGCGCACCATTTTATGCTTGCCCATAGACACCCTTGGATTCCGATTAGCACTAAGATGTGGATGCTGCCCCCGGTCAAGAATAGCAGTGCGAGGAAGACGCAGAGCAGCACGGCGAAGGCGCCGTCGAGTACGAGCAGGAAAGTAGGATGTAGCGAGGACCCCGGGGTAAGGATCTGTGAGACGAAGCTCGAACTTGTATCCGCTGTCTCTTGTGGTGGGGATTGGACATCTGAAGGCATGACGAGGGTGTCCTGGCCTGACCGCTTCGCAGAGCCGAACTTCAGGCTACCGGCGCTTCTTTGCCGCGTGTGCGGAGCGTCCTTCGTGGCGCCGCGTACTCTGTTTGTGTCAGCTTGGTGGCCAACTGGCAACTTGCTGCAGAAACAGTCCTACGAGACAGCACAGCCCATCGTGTGTTTATCAAGGTCCGAATGTATAAAGAGGCAGGAGTGAGACGAAAATACAAATACAGACACTGGCGAGTAACCACGAGACATAATATGACAAGGAGCGATAGAGAACCTGAGACGTGTAGTAAAGCGGCAGGAGTACAAGTAACCAGGCGCAAGCGCGTGCGTGCAGTCCATGTCGCGAAGCAAACAAAAAAATCAGTCAATCCTCATCGGGCTCCCGGGATTATCTGGCAGTTGCTGTCCATACCCGCCTTGAGCCAACGGACTGCTACCACTGCTCATCGCAGACGCGCCCTCACCACCTCGCTTGTGTCGCCGGCCAAGCAGCGTCGCGCCCTGCAGATCGAGCTCGAACGACACTGCCCCCGCCCCCGTCTTCCTGCCCCTGTCTCTCTGACCCGCACGACCGTCGTAAATAGGCGAGTTAGCCTTGACGTGCGCCGTTCCACCTTGTAGTGCCCGCTTCGCGGCGACCTTCGCACCTGCACCTTGCGGCGGCTGCTGCGGTGCGACCACTTGCGCTCGACGATCGTCGGTTTCCTCGCCATGCCGTTGTCGCGCCTCAGCCACAATATGTTCGTCCTCCTCCATGGAAGCATCTTCGTCCTCCTCGTTGAGTCCGCCAAGGAAACCGCGATTCGCGCCCCCCTTGGCAGCGCGTTTCCGAGCACCCTCTTCTCCCATACGGTGCACTGCGTAAGTGATATCGAACGCCTCTTTGAGCGTTGCGATACCTGGTGATCGCGCCTCTCGCCCTCCACCGCGGACTGCTGCGAGAAGTGGTGAATCAAGGGGCATGTTCTGGAGGTCTGGCCCAGGCGTAGGCGGCGGCGGCGGCCCAGGCGCAGCTTTACACCATGGGTGGTTGAGAAACTCGTCGATGGTATATCGCTGAGCAGGATCAACGCAGAGCAGGTGGGTAATCAGGTCCTTCACTGTGATTTCGAAATTAGTGCTATCTGCCTTGACTACTAGTCGTAGGACTCACCTGTTGCGCTTATCGGATCCCACCAAGGGCTCAGGAAAGTGTAGTGGCCTCTCGCAACCTTCTCTGTCAGGACGTTGATGCTTTCGTCGTAGAATGGTGGGAATCCACAGAGCAAGGTATAGAGGACGCAGCCGAGGGCCCACATATCAACGCTCTTGCTGTATCGTTCGTCCTTGACGATCTCGGGTGCTGTATAACCGACAGTTCCGCATGGCGTCATCGTTTGTTCATCCCAGACGACCTTACTGAGGCCGAAGTCGGCGATCTTCACTTTACCAATGCCACCACCACCAATGCCGACAATGAATTCGCCTTCGTCCTCCTTATCCTCATCGAATTGCTTCTGTAGCGGGTTCTTAGAGGGTACGATGGGTACCGGTTCAAAAAGAAGGTTCTCGGGCTTGATGTCACGGTGTACGACACCACGTTCCTCATGCAGGTATCGGATTCCCTGCGCAACCTGGAGGATGACGTGCCGTGCCAAATTCTCGCTGAAATAGGTAAGCTTGACGATCTGGTGGAAGAGCTCGCCTCCCTCCATCACTGGTGGAGCGAGTGAGTCAGCATGGAGCTGATATGGGTGTGGGGCTAGCGCCTACGTTCTAGAACCAAAAAGTAGTGCTCTGCGGACTCGAAGAACGACGAGAGTTTGACTATCGACGGGTGGTTGATGCCACGCATAATTTGCACCTCTATATCGCAGCAAATGAGTAATTACTTTAGAGTCCGATGAGCTATCGTACGCACCCTTGAGAATGTTCGAGCGCTACACAACATGCAGTATACTATATCAGCTACACAATTGATGGATGGACGAGCAAATGGCACCTCTGTCACGCGCGGCTTCTTTTTGAACTCTTTATTCAAATGCTTTTCCCCCTCCTGCCGCGCGTGAAGACGAAGAGAAAATGAATACGAAGGAAGAAGAGTAAGCTGCTGAATACTGACTTGTGACGCGCTAAGTTCGTATTTGCGGACAACCTTGACTGTTAAGGCAGGTAAGTAACGTCTTCGTCGGAATGAGCAGTCAATTCGCGCACCTGCAACTCTCTGACCCGTACGAAGGTCGATTGCCTTGTACACGTTCGAAAAAGCGCCGCTAGGAACGATGCAGATTGTTAGCGCCATTGACTTCCGAGTGCGCGATTAAGCATTGGCAACGCACTCTCCCATCTTGTCCAAGAGCTTGTAGTTCTCCAGCCCCTTATAAATTGGCATCTTGGACTTGGCCTCCCGTTCCTCTTGGACGAGCTTCTCAAGTTCCTCCTTGTACCTGGGCGAGGCAGCCTTCTGTGTTTGCTGTTGTTGCTGTCCTTCGCGTGGCTGTTCCCGCGCCTGTCGTTGAGGTTGTTGGTGGTGTTGAGGGGCTTGGTACTGTTGCTGCTGCTGTGGCATAGCATACTCGGACTGGCCGGCGTCATTGTGCTGCCTGGCAGTGTGGTTCTTGCCATGGCGGATGAGATCTGAAAAGGAGGGCATGAGAGAGAGTTATCGGCGTGTTGTGCACGCCGCGCTCACTCTTGAAGGCGTCGACGACGCCGCCTGTGGTGGGCATGATGTTGGGGATGAGGATAGGTGGTTATCTCGGCGGAAGAGGCGAGGTAAGCCAGATTTTTATTTACCTTGTCAGGTCCACTGCTCCTCCTCACGTCATCACCTGCTCGACGTCATCCTCCCCTTGCATAATTCTATCATTCTATGTTCCAAACATGGACTTATCTCTCCCGCACAAATTTATTGTCTCAGAAATTGCCGGTAAGCTAATGTCTCTCGCCTCCATCGTGTTTCCTCCTAATCGAATGCCCAGAGATCTGTCAACGACTGTTACAGTGCTGTCTGCTCAGTGATCAGAGATCCAAGTGGTTCCTGGTACGCCTTCCTATCTAGACGGCATGCGAAGATGTCCTGGCACATCGCACGAATGAGTAGATGTCGTCAAGCCTATATTTTGTTTATTTAGGTGCTCTCTGTTGGATGTTCAAAGTCGCGGAGCCGTCGCGGCGCGATCGGTTTGCTGCTCGTAGCAGCATCAAGATTTGTTCTATGAAGCTCAGGTGCAAGATGTGCTCATATCGCCAAAGCACCCCGCGGTTATTTTGTCTGAGCACATTAAGACTATGCAACCGCAGGCTCCCCAACAACCACCCCGTCATGTCAATGTCACCGGAGAACCCGGAGAGTTGTCGTCATAGTTCTCGCCGAGCCCGTGTTATTGCTGTCAAGCAGAGTTGTCTGAACAGTGCTGCAGTCATCAACGAGCAACTACGACCGACATATCCGAGTCGCCGTCACCTTGTGACTGGCAACAGACCGGCGACCGATCCCGTTCGCAGCCATGGGATCTGGTGCACTGCCTGGTGCATCAAAGCGCATGGCGGCACGGGCAAGTATGCACGGGATGCTGCTATCTGGGGAGCCATCGGCCAACTGTCATGATGGGCGCAAGGCGACTCCGGATGTCAAGGCCAATACATGGCATAGGATGCGCAGTCATGAACGAACGGCAGGGACGGTGATATGCTGGATTGTCATTGCCCGCGAAGACGCGCTCAGATGGTAAGCATACGCGCTCGATCACGGTAATTGACCCTTCCCACTGGTCTCATCCCTAAATTCTCAACTACTCATCCCGTCATGAATCATGGCAACAAATCAGGAACGGAGTACATTCAGCTGCGTCCTCACGACTGCAGCACATTCTAATACGATGTTCACTATTGTGTTACTGGTAAGTCGTCTGTTAACTGAGTGTAACTTTACGTTCTGTCCGCTGAAGACCTGCTTTCCGGAGCAGATGCGACATCAAGATGCATCCCCGCGCAACAGCTATATGGGCCCTGCTCCTCATTGATCATTGTCTACTTGCCGTTGTTGACCAATGTTGCGAGGGCCACTTGCATCAGCTCTCTATGTTCCAGCTACAGCATCGCCATCAACGGCGTCATCGATGCCGAAGCGGTTTCTCTCCGCATACAGACAATAGTCAAGAAGGCTGAACAGGCAGAGCTCTCGAATTAAGAGCTCAGTTGTGAGTGCGTAGCACAGAATAATATGCCGCTGAGCTCATCGATTCTGGCGGCTACTGGGCGTACCGGCGCAAGTCTCCAGCACGGCGAAATCAAATATGCAACAGCATTGTGCGTGCCCCGCACACAGGTCTCAGTCCTGATTAAGATTAGCCAAGGCTATGAGTTAGATACAGCTGACCATCCTTCTCCATCACTTCCGCCGTGTCATGGGCATGCGCCGGCTCGTCATACCTGCGAAGTTCGTCGATAACCATGACCGCCGTTACAAGCTAGCATGTGGTGTTCGACGTTTCTGTCTGCATCCCGCTTCCTCTCATTAGCATTCCTTGGGCGAGTTTCGCTGAGTTACAGATAAACGGGCGTCTGGTCTTGAAGTTTGAAATCTAAAGCGTGAACACGTACATGCCACACTAGGCGGCAGTTTGCACGCGTTTCCGCTGATATCGCCTTTCCCCAGGGCCACAAACTCTACGAGCGATGCGCTCAAGATACCAACAGTGCGCTCAGTTCGCCCAAGGCCTATGGCGGGGCGCTCGTACGTCAAGTAAATTGCTGTAGCTGATGGGTGTTATTGATGACCTTGTTAATGTAGGCTAAAGGAAAGCGCAACAGGAGACAAAGCTTCGATATACGTGCGTTAGGCCCCTACTTCGTGAGCACGTTGCAGCGACGAACACAGCGATTGGCAACTCGCACCAATATTCTCACCAATGCTGTCGACGCCAAATTCCGATCTGCGGGAATCGCGGCCTGACGTATCTCTGACCGCAGGCCGCGCACCATTGGCAGTTCTCACTGCACTCTAGTTTAGACACCACGGTGTGGTCCCCCGCATGTGAGAGCATCAGTAGATGTATGCCCGTTGCCATCTAGAGACTCACCTACAGATTGGCCTGTAGGCCAGGCATTGGCATGCTCTGTCGGCGACTACAAGGACGCCCCCAGGCCCTCCTCAAAATACTTGATCGTACCTGATGGGAATTCTGAACAGCCCACCTACTTCCGACCAGTTTCCTTGACGCATCGACTGTTCCTCGGAGGCGTTGCAATCGCAACGAGGATTGTTCGGTGCAGCATATTTGCGATAAGGAACGGTTCAGCTGAGCCCTGCCCTTGGGCAGATCCAGATCTTGTGATAGGCTCTGTATTTGGCCACGTTCTCTGGTGGACCACGACCACGAGCGTTGTGTAAGAATCAAGATGCGTACTGCATGGCAGGCTGTGTGTGCGTGGCTTCTTCTGTTGCCGTCATGATCAAGACATTTTTCTGACGACGATGATTACGTCCTATTAGGAGCTATCAGTGGACTTGCCTGACGGACATATGCCTGTCGGAACGAACGAATCCCCATTCCGTAACCCCCTGCGCACCCATACACACCAACAGCCTGATTGGCCGCGTTTATTCGATCTTCGGAGAACGCACGCGTCCGGCCAGATTGCATCTATCAGCTGCTGACAATTGTGATGATACTGCAGTGAATTGCGGTACCTGAAGAGCAGCAATGCAGAGGCAGGGCCAGCCAACTAATCCGCATATTCTCGCTCTACTTTTCTAACCGAGCTGCGGCAGGTCCCAGAATGAATCAAGAACAGTGCCGACCATTGCAACGTGCCAGTTCGCGGATCTGAACATAATAGCCACAGTTGCATCGTCTCAACGCTGTCCGTTCACATCAGGACATCACCATAGGCACCCCAGGGTATAAATTCAAGACTCGTGGCCTGCATCGCTATCGTCAACCTCGTGGCTTTCTACCGTTCCACCCCTCACCGATCTACACCAGCCATGTCCGACTCCGGCAAACACCCTCGGCTTCCTGGTCCTCGCAAACTATTTCCAGGTGTGTATCCCCGTGCTACAGGCGCGGGCTAATGCTAATGGCATACCAGATCTCTTCAGGGACGATAGATATGCACATGGCCCAGGACAAATGGCCTCCGCTAGCGTGACGCCGCTACACTCGCAGACGATGGCATCGGCGCCCTCCACTCACGCGCCCGGTCTTTCTCAGGCCCCAAAGCACAGCTCATCTCACACGAGCCAGTGTGGGCGGACCCGAGGCGGCGGACCGTCCCCATCACGAGCTTTGCTTCCAGTGGGGCCCAGGGCCCCAGGCTTTGCTCAATCTCCACTGGCGCGGGGCACAGCCGCGACCGCCCAACAGCAGACGACATTGCGCCCCGCCGACTGGAACGACCAGACCCCAGGTTCTTCGTCCTCGACGGACAAGAAGCGCTACGGTTGCGAGCTCTGCGAGAGGCGCTTTGAGAGGTATACGTACTTGTTGTGCTATAACCGGCTGGTATACTGAATGAACGGTAGGCCCAGCTCTCTTGAGACTCATATGAATTCGCATACGGGCGAGCGACGTGGGTGTACTTTAACATTCCTTCTGGTGCGATAGTTGTCGCTAATTGCCAAATTTATAGCGTTCAAATGCACCACTGGAGACTGCCAGAAGGCGTTCACCACGAAATCCAACATGCAACGCCACCAGCGCACCCATGATCCCAAGAGCTTGGCCTAATCTAGGCTGCGGCCTTTCGTGCTAGAGGACCAGCTACCGCCTCTAGGCCTCAAGAACGTGCTGGTATACCACACGTGTCTTGCAAGTATGTATTAGTTTTCGCCATAGACTTCGATTATTATGGAACAGCAGCCTCTAGACCTGTATTTCTATCTGTAGACGCATCCCAGAGTCAGTTGTATCGTTAGTATTATTTTAACCAGCCAGCCAGAGCTGCCGCCCTCCACTGTCCTCGCCGCCGTTGTATCTATACCCCTGTGTTATCTATAGACGAATTATTATATTTTTCTACTGTCGCGCGCTGTCAGAAAGCCTTCACTAGAGCCGGAAATTTTCAGAAAAGGAGAACGCCAGCAAGCTGACCGTGGGTATTGCGATATCTCAGCACCAAGCCCTGCGAAAGAGGTCTCGAATCAAGTCCGAAGTCGAAGAACCTGCGAGGACGGCGTGCTTGGCCTTCCTGATGCGGCGAAGGTGCGGTATCTGATCTGTACTATCTCATCGGGAGACTCGGCCGATTGAGTCAGAATGCGGGGTATTTAGCTTGGACGAATCAAAGCGTCCCGTTTACGGCGTGCACAATCCTACCTTCAGCTCATCGCCTTCAACGATGCCTGCACCAGTCCCCCAGCCGCGCACTCTTTACGACAAAATCTGGGATGACCATGTCATGTTCGCCATTGCACAGCTATCGCGGTGTTTGCCGTAGCTAATCGTCTCAATAGAGATACACAAGAGGATGGACCGAGCTTGATCTACATTGACCGGTGCGTAGGTGCCATGTTGCAGAGATGTGGCGACGTTGACCAACATTGTTTGCACCCTAGTCATCTCACGCACGAGGTTACAAGTCCGCAAGCGTTCGAGGGCCTGTACGTGGCAATTCCGATTGTAATGCAGTGAGCACAGCTGATCATCGCTGCGTCAGGCGCACCGCAGGCCGAGCTGTACGGAGGCCAGACTGTACCCTCGCGACAGTCGACCACAACGTGCCGTACGTATCCATCCCTCCACCATCAAGTACAAACTAACCTTGTTCCACACGCCGCCCGTAGCACTGTTTCACGGAAGAATTTCACGAATGTGCAGTCCTTCATTGCGGAGCCTGAATCACGGGCCCAGTGCCAGGCCCTGGAAGAGAATGTGAAGGAATTTGGCCTCACTTACTTTGGCATGACAGACAGGCGTCAAGGTGAGACGTTCCTTGATCCCTTCGCAGTCCACACGCTCACATAGGTGTACACAGGCATCGTCCACATCATTGGACCTGAGCAAGGGTTCACTGTACGTTTCACGCGGAAATGCCCGCTTTTGAGTTATTGATCTTGTTCTAGCTCCCCGGTATCACATGTGTTTGCGGAGACTCTCATACCTCAAGTGAGCCGTTGCTGCGCTTCCCCTTATGCGTCAAGATCTAATGCTATATCAGCGCACGGTGCCTTCGGCTCTCTCGCATTCGGTATCGGTGCTTCCGAAGTTGAGCACGTCCTCGCCACCCAAACCCTGTTGCAGCGCAAAGCAAAGAACATGCGTATCACGGTTGACGGTGTCCTGAACGAAGGTGTCACCTCGAAGGACGTCATCCTCCATATTATCGGTGTCATCGGAACTGCCGGCGGTACTGGTTCGGTCATCGAATATGCGGGCTCTATTCTCCGTGGTTTCAGCATGGAAGCGCGGATGAGCATCTGCAACATGAGTATCGAGGCTGGCGCGCGCGCCGGTATGATCGCTGCGGATGAAATCACTTTCGAATACCTGCGCAACCGTCCCCTGGCTCCGAAGGGCGAGGAGTGGGACCGCGCTGAAGCGTACTGGCGCACTCTTAAAACAGATGACGGTGCCAAATTCGACAAAGAAGTTTACATCCGAGGAGAAGACATCATCCCCACCCTCACTTGGGGGACTTCGCCTCAGGATGTCGTTCCTATCACTGGATCCGTCCCCGATCCCGCGAGTATCACGGACCCAGCGAAGCGGGCCTCAGCTGAGCGGGCTCTCAAGTACATGGGTCTCGCCCCCAACACACCCATGCAAGACGTGAAGGTTGATAAAGTCTTCATCGGCTCTTGCACCAACTCCCGCATTGAGGACCTGCGCTCCGCCGCCAAGATTGTCCTTGCTGCCGGCCCCGACGCCAAGGTTGCCGATGGCGTATACGCGATGGTCGTCCCCGGTTCCGGCCTTATCAAGCAGCAGGCTGAGGCCGAAGGGCTCGACGCCATATTCAGGCGCGCGGGTTTCGACTGGCGTGAGGCAGGTTGTTCGATGTGCTTGGGCATGAACCCTGACCAGCTCGCGCCGGGCGAGCGATGTGCTTCGACGTCCAATCGCAACTTCGAGGGCCGCCAGGGTGCGGGTGGCCGTACGCACTTGGTCAGCCCAGCCATGGCGACTGCTGCCGCCATAACTGGCAAGCTCACGGATGTCAGGAAATTCTTGGGCCCGGACGCGCAGGAGAAGATCGCTGCTGGCCCCAAGCTTAAGCTCACGAGTCCCTTCGAGTTCCTCAACGACCCTGTCCTTCCCCCTCCCGCCCCGGAGAAGCCGACTCAGAGCGTCTCTTCGTCCGGTCCTCTCCCTCCTTCCGAGTCCCCTTCGAGCGTCCAGAAATTTACTGTTTTGAAGGGTATCGCAGCACCTTTGCACATGGAGAATGTCGACACCGACATGATCATTCCCAAGCAATTCCTAAAAACACTCAAACGCACGGGTCTTGCGAACGCACTGTTCTACGCGCTCCGCAAGGATCCACGGACCGGCGAGGATACCGACTTCATCCTCAACCGGGAGCCCTATAACCGGGCGAAGATTCTGGTCTGCGACGGTGAGAACTTTGGATGTGGCAGTTCTCGGGAGCACGCGCCCTGGAGCTTGTAAGTGTTCGTTACTGTTGTGGACAGCAACCGTTGCTGATAGCGTTCACCAAGGAACGACTTCGGCATCCGGTGCATCATCGCACCGAGCTTCGCCGACATCTTCCGCAATAACACGATGCAGAACGGGATGTTGCCCGTCGCTCTGCCGAAGGAGGTCTGCAAGGAGCTGACCGAGGATGCCGAGGCCGGCCTGGAGCTCGAGGTTGACCTCGAGAAGCAGGAAGTTCGCCGCGCCAACGGCAGGCCGCCGGTTCCGTTCACTGTCGATCCCTTCCGTCGTCATTGTTTGATCAACGGTTTGGACGACATCGCCCTGACGTTGCAGAGGGCGTCGAAAATCGAGGAGTTTGAGGCCCGTCGCAGCCAGGTCTGGCCATGGCTGGACGGCTTTGGCTACAGGGGCAAGATTCCTCTGAACCCAACGAGGCAGGCGGCGAAGATGGAATGGTGAGCACTGTCAGCTCGGAATAGGCGCCGTTGTGCGACAAAAATGCCTGGTTGGCTCTCGGGGAGGCTTTGCGTGTATCGAATATGAGCTGTGTATCGTATGCTAGTCCTGTCTTTGCTCTTGTCTAGGAAGGTTGTGTTGTCGAACCGCCAGTGCCTGCCGCGAAACGTCGCTACGGACAGTGAGAGCACGTGGAGTGACCGGTTCCGGATCGCAGAGTGCTAAGGCCCGTTCCTTAAGCCACTACGCTTATGTTGCACCCCCGCCTCTGGCTCTATTTCTCCTCACCTCGGTCGCTGGCCTCGCAACCAGAGTCGTCTGCCGTCAGCTTTGGTTGCCACCATGGCCAGCGTCGATGACCCCATTCCGCCGACAGGCGGCTATCCCGTTCAATCTTCGGCTGAAGATGCCCACGACGCCGGTGCGACTCGCCTTCCAGATCTCGATTTTGCTCCATGTCTGACCACCTAGCACGCACAAAAAGACAATTCACTCAGTCCTCATCTTCGTCCGAACCTCGTCCGTCACGAGACAGATCAGATTCTCTCCTACTATCAGTCCGAGCACGCTGGACGACCTTATGCCGGTTACGAACTGGAGCAACCGCAGTTGAAGCGACGGGCGTCGCAAAGCTCTTGTTCTGGCTCAGAGTACTCTGCAGAGTCCTTCAAAGATACGATTGACGATACACTCACCCAGCCGGAGGAACCTGCACCGGTGTTGCACGTTTCGGTACATAGTCGTAACCACCATCGACGACCGAGCGTGCCTTCACCGCACAGCGCAGACAGACGCCGTTTAGCCATTGTTGAGTTGGGCTCTTCTTTACCACCATCTGTCTCTCGCAAAGGAGGCAGACAGGCCCAGGTAATCGGTGTGTCCCCATCTTCTCTCCTATCACGACGCGGATTACACGTAAACGGCCTCGCCCTCGTCGCGCCTCCAGACGCGTCGCCTGCCACGTACACGAACCTCACGCCTCCACCTACTGCTCCCATTATACCCACAGCCATCGATCAGGCATCAATCGCGTACGCACACGCACGTTCCGCGTCCGAAACGGTGGGAATTAGCAGAGCCCGTTTACGCCATCAATCGTCGCGCGACATTGGTATCGTAGGAACAGGCGTCATTCCTCTAGTTGCTGAAATGTCGACGCCTTCTAATGAGGGCTGTTATTATACGGAGGCGCCAATCTTTCAGACTCCAAGCAAGCTACGATCGTCTTCGCCGGCAGTCTTCACACCGGATCTCTCGCACTCGGCCACAGCCACCTGCGCTGACTCTTTCTTTGCTACTCCATCAAGCAACACATCAGACGCCAACCTGACTCCGGCTATTGGCGAGGGCAAGGACGTTGGGCAACCTGTGGTCGGGCCTGTGGTTGTGAACCTAGATTCCGACAATGTCATGAAACACCCTGTGCCCGCAGCCAATGGCAGTACCACCCAGCCTCAGTCTGCGGAAAGCTCTACGCCGCCTTTTTCATATTTAAGCTACCAACCTGGCATACACTCGACTGCTGGGCCGTTGCCACCACCACCTATGTCAGTGCTTGATCCTGTGCCGTCTGCGACACCACCACCTCCAAGGCCGCCGCGGTTGCGGACGCCAATGCCTGCTCCAGCGTCAACGCCACCAGGCGCGACAAGGCCTGATTTGGAAGCGCTTAAGGAGTCCCTGCAGCTACCCCCGTCTGTGTCGGCGAAGCTGGTGTCAAAGTCACTGCCTAGACCGGAGATGAGTAGGCGGGATACGGATACGTCTGTGTATTCAGCGCGTAGTCATGACTCTGGTGGTAGCGGGGCGTCAAAGTGAGCACATTTCTCCCCTATTGTCAGCCATGTACCTAACATCCCTTCTAGGTCATCGGAGCCTGTCGCAGAGACCAAACGTACGCATTCTGAACACCGGAGAGAAGGAGCTTTCGCGCCCTCTACACCTTCCGCCGGTTCAACCCCCAACCATTCCCCTGCCGTAGATAAACTCGAGACTCTGCCTGGCCTGAGCCGCCATGCATTTAGTTCGCCGCTCGCAAGCAATCTGCCGATAGTCGAGCCTGAATCGGATGTAGATCGTGAACCTATTCGTCGAGCTGCAATGGATTTACGACGCGAGAACAGCTGGGTGAGCCTTCGCGAGATAAACGTTGCATCCTCGCCGAACGGAGAAGCGCAGTGCCTGCCTGAGAAAAACCATAGCCCACCTCACTCCCCAGAGATTCACTTATCACCACTTCCACCCTTGCCGCCACCGAAGACAAGCAAGAGCTTGGGTGTCGAGGATGTGCGAACACTGTCAAGCGGGAGTAGCAGCGGCAATCCGTTTAAGACCACTTTCAACAACCTCAGGCGATTTTCCGCCCTTCCAAGAACACCGTCGTCGCTTTCGATCAAGTCACTGTCCAAGACGAGTTCATCGACCCCGAAGACGTCTCGCGAGCCGTCTCCCGTACCTGCCCTGACCCCCAAAATCTCCCCGCGCCCAAAGATCATCAATCCCAATCCACCCGCTCTGATCGGCCGCGACATTCTCGTCATGAAGTTCACGCACGAGCGCGCGCAAGCGTATGCACAGAAGATCCGGGAGCTCTCCATGTGTGATCCCGGTCTGCGCGAGTGGATCACTGTGACAATGACGAGAGGTACGGTTCGTGCACTGTTCATTTGCGAGATGCTGACAATTCACGCAGGGAGTGCACGAGACAGAGTAATACGGAAGCAGGCTGAACCAGATATTTCACCAGAGTTCGGCGCACGGACCCAGCCATGGCATGTAGCTTCTGGTTCGGTCGACTCAGAGGTAACGTTCCCGAGGCGTGCGGACGCGTACCACGCGACGGACCTCACCATGCGTGCGGATGAGGAGATACTACCCATATCTCCGCCGTCCTCACTCCCTTACCCGTCCTTAGTGACGAGTCCTCCCTCTCGCTTCACTCCACCTCTCTCCCCAATCTCTCCATCCACACGGACATACCAGATACCACTGTCTAGCGGCACAAGTGCGCCACATCGCGCTGGATTCTTCGCTTCGATCAGCCGGCGAGCCAGTCTCAGGAAGGGCCCACCATCGCCGCCGCGGGTACCCAAGAAGCTAATTCAGACAAGCCCACCCCCGCCGCCTGCACGCCCTGTACAGGTGAACAGCGCACCGAGCGTACGCGGAGGACCGCGCGCGCTGCCGAATCGCCTTGGGAGATCTAAGACAGTCTCTACTTCACCTCCGGAAGTCCATCTAAAGCATCAGCCACATCAAGCGCCTCCTGTCACTCTCACGAGGAGCGAAACAACAAGCACACACCGCCAGAGCGAAAGCGCCGTTCATCGGCCGTCGCTGCTCCGTCGCTCCGTCGCTCCTCCTCCTCCCACGTTATCTGGACCCGAATTCGAGAGGCAGCTGGAGGAACTGTCCGCCCTTCTGCCTCATGCGGATAAAGATGTGCTGGCTGGATACCTCCGGCGAGCTGGTGAGAATATCCTCGCGATTGGTCAGTACCTTGAGGACGACAAGAATGGCTCGTTGAGGCACGACTAGCCCTCATTCGTTCCTGGTATGCGAGCTGCACTTTCCCTGACATCTCACGCGTCCTTCTCTCGCTGATTGCACTGTTATCGACTTTTTTGAGTACATTCCCGCACATATGTTTTATTACAGCACATCTCCTCATGGACCCCTCTCAAACATGCTCTCTACAGTTCGTACCTTCCCTAGCTTATCGCTCTAACGTTATTTCTTCGCACTACACGCTTTGATATCTGTACATGCTCTCATGCTACTCGTGTTGTCAGTCGATCTTGAGGTTAAATTGTCCGTATAGAGTCACCTGCAGGCCTGAAGCCTCCGGAGGGGCGAGTTACACTTGGTTGCGCGAAAGCTAGCATGGTACGGTCAGCCATCACCTCTTCCTAGGTTAAGAACCGATAGGTGACCTCTCTGGCTGCCGCGTGGCCTCTGATATCGAGGCACATTCCACTGCGTCGCTCCGCCGGGAGCGGTAGCGTTGGTTGCAGGCCGCCTAATGCTGTTTAACAGACCCTCCACCTCGTTCGCGCTATCTGACTGGTCGGACAACGTCGTATTGGAGCGGGACCTGAAAGAGAGATCCCCAGGTGCAGGAGCGTTGAATGGCTGCCGCTGGAATGTATGACGAGAGGAGCTTTGAACGTTCGCAGCGCTGGAGTTGCTTGCTCCGCCTCGCCACGCGGCTCCACTGCGTCCTTGCTGCATCGTACGGTTGACGATAGGCGTTCGCTGGATCTAAAAGATGCGTTGACTACACTACTATGTCTATATTCTGTGTAATCACGTATGCTCACCCCATTCGCTTCCATTCCGCCAACAACGGCACCGACGTCCGCCATCTGTGGGTTGTCTGCTGCTACAATTCCCGCACCATGGAAAACATTTGCTTCTGCTGCTACAGACGCACCACGGCTGCCAGCGCTGTCGCCAGCGCCTTGAACAAGGCTTCCGGGCTGGAGTAAAGCCTTGCGCTTGATTTTATCGTGCTGGGTCTGAAAGAGGTATATGATACGGTGCTAACTAGTACTGAAATGCGTGTGTACTGACCTTCAACTTCTGATATCCCTTTTCACGTTCCTTAAGAGAGTCCTGCAATGCCACCGCCTTTCGACGTTCCAATTCGAGGTCTCGCTGGAGCTCTGGGAGACCATTCTTAACGCTCCCATGGCATGCCGAACGAATATTTTGCATACCTGCGACCTTGTTATTCAATAGAGTGATTTCGCCGTTCGCTACAATGAGAAACGAAATCAACGATTGTGCCGAGGAATAGACGACATTATGAGCCTTCTCGGACGACATTATTTAGGTCCTTCTGGATCTGCGCATTCTTCTCGTTGAGATTGCGAACTACGGCTTGTTGAAAGGAACTGATATTTTCGGGAGTAAGTATTGAGGCTGTATGGATAGCGAGTAAACCTACTGTTCTTGGTGAACTTGATATTGCCAGAAAGATAGCGCTCTAGTGTGCACGATGGGACAAACGCATCCATGTCATATATCGCTAGTAGATTTACCTCCCACAAATTTCTACGATGATCGCTGGGTTCAATCCGGATAGGACGGACTGCTTTCGGTAAGCTTATGTGGCGCAATACGGACGCATATACTCACTGTTTTATAGTCGTTTGATGGATGCAGAGAGCAGACCTTCGCGAACGCATTTCATGGGCTGTGCTAGGACGTCATGAATGTACAATGGCGTACCACCACGTCATCTCTGCGGCATTCCTGATAATGAGTAGTCGCTCGAGATGTGGAGGGAAAATACCCCACGGTTCGGTCAGCGAGGTGTCGCAAGCTGAATAGGTCATCATCAGAAGTGTCTGTGAGGCTGCGGCCCCATGAACGAATACCTGGACAAAGTCTCGACGCGTTGAACAATTCGTTGGCACAGTCAACTAGATCCTGTTGCGGCTTGGTGCACAGACACGTGTATTTATCAGCGCGCACCACAAAAAATATGCGAGCCTGTGCAAGGCGATAACAAAATATTAGGAATGCAGATAACTTGTTCGGAAAGCCAATACAGGGCCATACATGTCGTCTGCGATGACACATTGGTCAGTGCCTGTTGGAAAAGCCGGTAGTGGTACTCACTACAACCGCTTTCTCTGTGAGTACTCGTCGACAAGTCAGCCTGTTGCATCTGAGATTATCCATGAAGAGAGAGGGAAAGAGGGTATGCGTGAACCGCAGAGCAAGGGATATTGTTTACAGCGAGAGGATGAACGCAAGAAGAAAGAGTGAAGCAGAAGTGTCACGCCTGTCAACGCGTAACAGACGAACAGGAAGTCACGTTCTTTGGGCGGAAGCCCGAGAGGGTTCAGCGAGAGATAATCTAGAAGTGATATGCGACAGTGAAAGGCTACATTTGACTATATTAGAAGGGAGCAATCACAGCGAAGAGTTGTCCCGGGCCTAGGGTCCACAAACAGATACGCTCTAATGGATAACGGATGCACTAGCGGCGAAGGGTAATCAGCAAAGCATATCAAAGCGACGAAACACACAAGGTATAACAAGGTGAGAGATTAGGGTCTCCATGCGGGTGGCCTGGAAGTGTGTGATATGCTCCTCGGCCGTAGCAGCTTTGTGGGGGTATCGGCTCGTAGGAGTGGTGAATCGCGATCGGCCCGCCTGATGAACTCTATTGGTTGCAGCGGCGACCCCGGAGAGGAGCTCTTCAGGGATTTTGGGCTTGCTCTGGGAGGAGTAGATAGTGCAAACGAGGGTATGGGGTTTTTCGGCTCTGGCGTCTGAGGGTGCGACGGTGGTGTGCTGAGTACTTCTTGAATCGACTGCTGCTGCAGGATGGTGGAGCTAATCCACTTCTCCTCAGTAGAACCTCGTCGGGGAGAATCAGGTACAAGTCGGAATGCATCAGCGAAGTGTTCTCTGATAAATCTAGACCGGGCATTAGAATCCGTCTGGATATATTCTCTGATAAAAGCGCGTACTTGGAAAGTTCGGCCCACCCACCACCAACGCGAACCATGACGGTCTGGGACCGTAGAATCCTGCAAAAACATAGCTTAGGGTCCTCATCTCCGATCCAGTATTTTCCACTTTGGTCTTTCCAGGTGTCAGCCACAACCTCCACGTTGATACTGACCGGCAAATTGTTGACCACATCCCCTAACGCGACGTCGAGCTTGTTCTTCGGGTTTGCTACATAGGGCTTCTTTTCTTTGACAGGGGGCGTCGGGCCAGACGGAGAATTCGGTACATGAGGGAAGGAATGTCGCGGGGCGCGAGACCACGAGGACTTCGTGGTAGATCCTACGGATGAGCGAGACATGCTGAGGCTAGATCGTGAACGGGACATTTCCGAGAGCGCAGGTGAGGCAGTTCTCCTCGGCATACTCTGATTCGTCCCTGATCGTGGACGTGGCATGATGGATGGTGGATTCGATGGGAGCGTGAAGGTGCTGCGTTGTTTCTCAGCGGTAGTCGGGTCATCCGACGCGATACTAGAGGACCGTTGGCGTGAGGCAAAAGTGGAAGTATACAGTCTTGACGTCGGATTGATAATGGTTATTGGTATAGGTCCGGAGACAGACCGGGAAGTGGACGTTCCAGAGGCCCTGCTGGACGACCTGCTATGGGTGCTACCAGTGGAAGTACCAGATATGGATCGTCCAGCCTTCGGAAGTGGTGGCGCGAGGAACTTCGGAGTAGAAGTAGACATAGAGTGCCGTCCGGCGGAAGGGCGCTTAGGGGGCCCTGGCACGGGATTGGGAGTTGCCGCGTTCCTACTGGTACGACCGTTGCCAACTGCACTGGGGGGCCGGGACTTTGGCTCTGCCAGACGATCCATTGCCATAGCACGAAGCTCGTCCCAGGTCTGAGATATCCGTTCCCTCTCAGTTATAGCTCGAGCGTCTCCAGAAAGCTCGGATCCCCGAGAGATCGCGTCGTCAACCAGTGTCTGGGTGAACGAGAGGCGTGCCAACATTTGATCCTCCGGAGCCAGATTTGTGTCTGAGTTATGAGATGATGACAATGGCCCTGTCGGCGGAGCGGGGAAGCTATCGACATGCTCCAGGAGATCGCTTAGGGCGTCGTCGCACCGTCGAACAGAGGCTGCAAGGCCCGCTAACTGATGGATTCTGCGGAGGAGGTCGGAGGCCACCAGGATTTCAGATCGCAAGGACTGCAGATTTGCTTCGACCGCAGCTGATCCAGGCACAGACTCCGGCAGAGTGTTGGCGTCGTCGAGCAAAGCCGTGACACTTCTTTCCAGCTTACTAGCTTCTTCCTCGGTAGGGAGCGAGATTGCTCCTCGGCCGTCAGGCTGACCGACCTCGCTGATATTGATCGCACGCAGCTGTTGCCTCAGACTCGTGACGAGGCTACGCAAATCGGAAAACTCCGTCGCCAACGTCGATCCCGCATTCGGCAAACCGTCCATTCCAAACACATCTGAAGAACGTGCATATAAGCGAGGGCTGGCTAAGGAGTCGTGTACAAGCGCACCTTCATCGAGCGATGGCACCCGTGGTTCCGCGATTCGACGACGCTCTGCCTCTGCAGCTTCCACTGCCAGCCGCTCGTGTTCTCGCGCCGCGTCCTCCAGGCGTAATCGCTTTTCCTCTGCCGCTTGCGTTCGAGCCTGCTCTTCGGCAATTCGTCTCTCAGCTTCCAAGCGTTCCTGCTCGGCTCTCGCTTTTGCTTCAAGTCTCAAACTCTCGGCTTCCTCTCTCGCCCGTTCCTCAGCAAGACGTACTTGTTCCCGACGTCTCAGGTCGGTGATGCGCTCTGAAAGAATTTCCACGCTCTCCTTCCAAGACCCTGCTCGCTGCTGTGCTTCCTCGCCTGCTCTCTTCCGCGATAATACCAACGCGTTTCCAGAAGCATGGTCAAGGCCGGTCAAACCAGCGTCCAGCTGGGAAACAAGGTCGCGCAAAGAGATGGAGATCGAAGTGATGTCTGGCCTGTGTGTCTCAGAGATTTTGTCGAGCTGTTCTGATAAAGCTGCGAGCTTGTCGTATGATAAGCCCATCTCTGGTGCCTCATTAACGGACTGCTGCAGAGTCTTAGTGTTGTCGGAAGCGTGGCGCAGGCTCGTGGATAAAGACGACACCTGAAGGTCGATTCTTCGCGCAACCTCGCAGACCTTAAAGTGATTGATCGCTTGCGATAGACCCTCGACACCGCCCGCAAGCAGAATGCTGTACCGGTTGCAGTCGGCGCGAACAGTTCGGTCCAGCGCCAGGAGATCAATAGGCAGGCCTGCGAACGCTGCTTGGCGGACAAGGTCAAGACTCAACCCAGAGGACACAGAGAAGTGCTTCTGGTGGGGTGGAATAGACTGAACTGCAATTGCCTTGTCGGAAGTTGAGACGAAAGGTATGCGGTGTGGTAGTGAATCCTGAACGGATTGTGCATCTGATCGAAGTTGAGAGGCGTCTGGGTAAAGAGCGGTCAAGACGGCCTTGCCCCCATCTCCGTCGAGAGCCCCGGTGAGCAGTCTTTCGGCTTCACTTTCGCAGCGTGCTTTGAACTCTTCCATGCGAACTTGTAGGATGTTGGTCTCGTCGCGAACTGCCATCATCTCTGAGGACTGTTTCTGTATGGCGGTCGAGGCGACAGCCATGCGTCGCGCGTCTTCGAGGGCTGTCCCTAGCCCCGAAGCGCAGTTATACAGATATTCTCGCAGAGGAGGTCCTAGAGACGACCCGACGACGCCCAAAGGTGACATGACGTCGTCGCCCAGCATGGACGCTAGCTGATCAAGACTCTCAGATACCTCTGGGGGTGTAGGATCGGCGCTGGGCAATACCGAGGCCGGACTCTCAGGTGTGAGAAGCGCAGCATCGTCCTCGGTGTCCGACTCCCAGGCATGTCGCTTGATTGACTCTGCGATGTCCTCTCGAAGGTTGTTGAGTCGATCGAAGATAGTTGCCATCGTTGTCCATACCCGCTGTACACGGCCCAGGGCGTCCACTTGAGCGAGAGTCGCATCGCGAGCAGCAACTGCGGAGTTGCGCGCAGCCACAAGCTCATCAACTGTATCAGTCGATTCCTCCCTGAAATCCTCGTTGATGTTGGGGAAGCGCAGAGCCGACAACGCCCTCTCGGCTTCTAGCAGAAGATCGCCAGACTCCGCCTCGAGCTCGTTGACACGTTCGACAACGTCAGGTAGACGAGCCAGGAAACCAGCGTGGCTAGGCTTCTGCAGGCAAGTCTCATTATCTAGACTGGGCGGTAGGCCGTCTTGCTCTCTAGAATCTACTCCCTTCGTTAGGCGAGCGATCAACGACTGGAACTCGGATGTACGGGTGGACGCAGATCTGCACAGCGAATTGACTTTCTTGACGGCTTCGGACATGACATGGTAATCTTTTGCCACCGTGTCAGCTTCCTTGACATGATACTGGGCGGTCTCTATCTCTTCTCCAAGCACCCTGGCTATCTCGAAGTTAGCGGCTTCCTGGTCCAGGAATAGTGGGTGCTTTGGTCGAGGGAAAGGACTACTGAGATTAGCCGGATTGCCTCGCATCTCAAGGCGCTTTACGAGAGCGGCCAAGCGACCAGCAAAGAGAACATCCTGACGACCGACAGGATGTCGGAGCTTCGCCATCTCTATCTCTTCCAGCAGGGTCTGTGCGGCGTTCTTGTCCTTAAGCGTCTCGACGTAGATATCGTCCGCCCTGCAAACACATAAGTTACACGTTTCACGCCATGTTGAACACGGAACGCACTTCTTCCACTGTGATACTACATGCATTACGAACTTGCCAACGCCCTCCATCTCGTTGATGCCCTTGTTCTCCAGTCTGTCCTGTTCGTCCAAGAGCTCGTCCGGTACGGGCCTTCGACTCTCGCCTATGAGCTTGTCCAGCGCTTTACCAGCGGCAGCAATTTTGGAATGACGTAGAGACGAGACGCGGCTAGCAAACAAGGCCGCGTCTCGAGATAGTATCTCGGCGATTCTGAAGCGTTCGTGACGAGAGAGGCCAAGGGTGGGGGCAATAGTGTCTGAGGTTGCCGAGGCCAGAGATACCACAGAGCCGCGCCGACGTACTGCCGGCTGGGGAAGCGGAAGCATGAGTCTTTCATTCGCCGGAGCAACGGGGGATTCCAGTTCATCTTGCTCGTCGCGCTCGTAGACACATGGGGTCCACCTTGCGCGCGTTTCCAGGAACTGCTGCAGCTCAGCAGTGAGACTCTGAACTTCCGTCCACGCAGCCCTCCGCTTCTCTTCCCACGTTAGCCTGACACCAAGTAGCTCTAGATTGTCTGAGCGGTCTCGGAGTAGATGTATCAGTTTATCGAGAGCATAGATCGTTGTTAGCGTAAGTTCTATCAGGTCTGTGTCCACTGGCGAGAGGTTTCTGGAGGCGGCCGCTTTGAGGTCGGACGCGCTTTGAGCGTATACAACAAAGTGAGCTCGAAGCACACCCACCTTTAGTAAATTTCTTCAGCTTCTGTAGCTCTCCGCGATCAAATATCTCTGTCTCCTTCTCAATTCGGTCATGTTCTTCGAGCCAATCTTGTAGTTGCTCCCGGGTAGGTAGGCCGGGCACCTCCAGGGCAGACTCACGGATGGCATCGAGCCCAACGAAGACCTGTATCGGAGGCAATTGCTCCAAGAACTGACTGCGTCATGGTAGGAAATGTCTGACAGTGCAATGCCTATACTGCACCTGGGTCTTCTCTTCAATCCACGCCTTCCGCTCGCTGAAAGCCTGCAGCTCTATGACCTCGTACCATTCCAAAGTTTCCTCCTGTCCGGGAGTCCGAGGGCTCTTGGGGACAGTATCTGAGGACACATTTGCTCCATTCTGCATGTCCGCGCCAGGCGGTACGCGCAGCAGGTCCGGTAAAGTAGCGTCGGAGGTGCGAATCTCGAGTAGCAAGTTGCCAAGCGACGATGTGTGTTCTGTCGACATCTAGAGAGATATGCCAGTAGCTTAAGAAAACCAAAATACGATCAGAATAATAGATAAGTCTTTGTGCATGGCGGGGGTGTGGGTGACTAGGGCTGTCGTTGTCCGTAAACACAACGAGGTCGAAACGCGGTGTCTGGCGGCAACTGCCTCCTGGCCACGCTACTTGCCGGGATTAATTTAACAAGCGCCATGGTGACTCGTGAGGCGCTTGATTGGTTGACCGGCGACCTAACGTGTACACACAACATACTCCGATTCGACGGTATCTAAAGTTATACAGGATGCAAGAGACAGGTGTACAGAACTCCAGATACGGAGAACAGGGTTACATAACGACTGATTACATCTGAAGAACGAAGTGCAGCATGATGATAAAATATCTTGTCCGTGACTTACTACAGTTCGAGCCAAGCTGGATGCAATCGGGAACTAAACGGGTATCACTCTGCCCAGAGGACGTGCCGTTCTGAGCTGTCCATCCACAGCCGCAAATCCTCGTCAGTCTCGATGTAGAAGTCGTTGTTCATGTCGTCTCGGTACCGCAGGCTCGGTGATCGTCCCAAGCGCGCCTGCACCTTGTCCGACAATTGTGCATACGTGACTCGAGGATGGACGCGGATGGCAACCGTCTCATCCTTGTCATAGATCTTAATTTTGACGAACGCGGCCTGCGGCACTGACGCTGATATCGAAGGAGTGTTCGCCCGCGAACGACTCGACGCGGATGCGGCGATTGATGGCGTGTGAGAGGAACGGACAGGAGATGGGTTCTGAGAGGAAGCCAGCGAGGTGCGCGAGTGACTATTTGCACGGTATGGATCAATCTCCAGAGAGGAGTGGCTTCGTCTGGTGTCGGGCAAGTCAATTCGCGAGCTGGACCGTGAGTGTATCATCGAGGTGCTGTTCAATGGATGCTTGTTTGAGATCGACGCGTTTGAGCCAGCTCTGTCGCGCGTGGCCGGGTACTTCTTCGAGATATACTCGAGGTTGCCACCATCGTAACTCCTCCCGAGCGTGTCGTTCTCTTCGTACCCAGAGTCCGGGCCGTTGGACATGCGCATACGGGAAAACCGTTCTTCGACACCGTAGTGGGAGTGATGCGCGTCGAGGCGCTCGCTGGGAGGAGGTAATGCCTCGATCTCGTCGTATTGCGGTACGGAGTCTTGACTAGCGTCTCCGGGCTTCAACGCAAGGAATTCCCGGATCAGCCGATGCTCCAGAATATGTCTCGCGGAGAAACGTAGTGTAGCCAGGAGACGTAGGTACTCGTCAAGCTCCTGCAGGCGAGTCGCGGTTATCTCGGCATCGACATGAGGAACAGGACCGGGCATGTAAGGCAATATGCGATCTGACCCATCACGCCCCGCCTCTGGGGGGAAGGCGTCCAGTAGTTGTACCTGGAAGTCGTAAAAGTCATTGTACGACCTGAAGAGAACGAGCTGCTTGGCGGGCGGCAAGGTGTCTTGTCCATACGGTTGGTACAGGGCATGTACGCGGAACCAATATTCATCGGTCTCGTAATGGAAAGACTTAACCTCAGCTGAGATGAGGACGCCCTCAGGAAGCAGTTCTTGATGGGAGGAATGCGCAAGGATGGGAGAATGTTGGTGGTATGAATGATGCTGTACGGGCGTTGGCCCCTGCACATCGAACGATGGCTCCTTTCCCGACGCGAGCCTCTTGCCCGCTGAAGCAAAGGAACTTGTTAGCGGGGCGGCATCGTCCAGGACGCCGAGGGATATGCTGTTCGCCTTATAAGCCATAATCTGGCGTTTCCACTCCTCCACGGGAGGCAAAGCCCCTCCATCGATAAGTGAATTAATGTCCTGCACTGCCTGTCTTGTCGTTGGATCACGAATCTCAACGAAAGACACGGGGATGAGACCGGGACGGCCGAGTTTCCCTATCGGTTTTGCAACGAACCACTCGCGATTTGACTGTGCTACCACGGTGATCGCGTCCCCTGCTTTGGCTTCTAGTTCATCTGCACGTTCCGCAGCGAAATCGTGGAGGACGACGGCGTAAAAGGTTTGGCTCTTGGATGATGTAGGGCTGTTTGGGCGATTGGCGGAAGATATCGCGGGTGTCTTCGGTCTGTTCTATATGGTCAAACGGTCTGGTCGTGAGAGAGACAGGTAGACACAATCACGTACGTGGGTGCGCCCTTCTGAAATTCTTCGAACATCGCAACCGGGACAAGGCCCCTAGCTCCGGTCGCCGGGTTGTGGGCTTCGTACCACTCGCCGCCGCTGACCTCGTTGGCGACGTGAAAGAAGTCTCCCTTCTCAAAAGAGAGCTCCTGTGGTGCAGATGCTTTGTGCGTCTGGAGTGCTCGTATGACCTTCTTCGGTGGCTGAATCGCAGTGAGCGGTTTCGAGAGAGACGAGGGCAGGGGGCTAGATATGTGCTGCTCTTTGTGGCCGTTACTAGAAAGTGACTTGCGGAGGCTCTTCATGGTGGTGGTATGCAACTAGACAGAATATACAAGTAGATTGTCGTAAGAAGGCGTGAGGGGGCGTCGCAGGCCAGGAGTGAGGGTGAATGTATGCCTCAACCTGGGTCGAATGTCCGCCTAGATAAAGCGCTTATTGATATTCCCACGGACCAAAACAATACGAGAGTGAACAGCTGCTCTCGAGACGATCAAATTGAAAAGCACCCAGAAACCGGTGGGTCTTCTTCCCCATGACGGTTTCACATCCGTGTATCGCATTCTATACATCGGCTCACCCTCGGATCGCTTGGACGGCGGCGCTGTGATCCCACCACGCCTTCCACAGACGCCCGGCTTTAGCTCTATGGGCGCTTGGTCAAATGTGATGAACGGCAAATAGCAGCAAACAGTCCTGCCACAGTACGTTACTACGCGTCTAATGGCATCTCTCCTGTGTGAATAGCACTTCTCCTTACCCGGCGTCCAGCATGGCGGCCAGAAAGCTACAGAGTGCGCCCTATCTGTCATCAGTTCCCCTAAGTGCTGAGGTATATGTTCGACCGTAGCGGAGATCGACCGGACACTCAAGAAGGTCTCGGAGGGCGTCGAGCTCTTCGAGAGCATATATGACAAGATGCAAGCGTCCACTAACCAGACGCAGAAGGAGAAGCTCGAGACAGACCTCAAAACGCAAATTAAGAAGCTGCAGAGGTTGCGGGACCAGATCAAGACCTGGGTTGCGAGTAATGACATCAAAGACAAGACCGTCCTGCTCGAGAACCGCAGGCTAATCGAGACGGTACGTCGCCCTACTTTCCGCGGAAAGCACGACCGTTCTTCGCAAGTGATTTCCCCCACGCATCAGGACACGGACGTAGAAGTCGTGCTTTCTTGGACGTGCTTGTGCAGGGCTAATGTCTACCTCGTTCACCTTTCACAATGTTACAGCAAATGGAGAAGTTCAAGGCCTGCGAGAAGGAGATGAAGACCAAGGCGTTCTCTAAAGAGGGCCTCATCCAATCTGCCAAACTGGATCCGAGACAGCAGGAGAAGATGGAGACAACGCACTGGCTTCAGCAACAAGTTGAAGAGCTTCTGCTGCAGGTGGAAACAGCGGAAGCGGAGATTGAGACTCTCCAGGGCGGTGCGAAAAAGAAGAACCGTGGTGGGGCTACTGCAGAACGGCTTGAGCAGCTGGAGAGACTCAACGAGCGAAGAAAATGGCATATCAGCCGTCTCGAGCTTATTCTCCGGTTACTCGACAATGGAACTATGCCGACGGACAAGGTCAACGCACTGAAAGAGGACGTGTCATATTTCGTCGAGAGCAATACCGTTCGTCTCTATCTAAATTTATCTACCAGGATTTGCTGGACCGCTGAGTGACCCTGGTGCAGGAAGAAGACTTCGACGAGGATGAGGGCATATACGATGAGCTCAACCTTGACGAAGAGGAGGAGAAGTTTGGGCTTGTCAATGATGACCACAATAACGACAGTGACGAGTCGGAAGATGCCAGCGAAGGTGAGAGGCTGTTCTTATGGCATGAGCCTTTGTCTAATACTCGTAACATAGACTTACCTCCGCGAACACCGTCGAAGAAGCAGCAACATGATGAGGAGAGTGTCACAAGTAGTAAACGAGACGGCAGCCCAGTCCTCAAGAAAGCGACAACAACACTGCAAATGAGGAGTATGCCTTACGTCCCCGAGTTTCTTTTCGTACAGCTGACATTCTCTCTATAGAGCCCTCAATAGCATCAGAAAGTAGGTTTCGCAAGACATCATGGAGAAATATCTCACTCGATTCATTCGCTAGCAGCGAAACCTCCACCGCCACCAAATTTCGAGCAGAAACCGATGGCGAGCATATTGAAGGCGGGCCTGAACGAGAGCAAGGCACAAACACGGCCACTTCCAGTGAAATACTCCGCGGCAGCCGCAGCGGGTGTCGGCTCGTCAGCCTCAACGCAACAATCACATCCTCCACCACAGACACCGGTAGCTAGCTCAACGGCATCAACGACACAGCCGGCTACGCCCACGGCATTGTCAATATCTACCGCCATATCGACGACAACGGATGTAACGGCAACGACAGCTTCGCCAAGCTTAACACATCCATCGTTAACGAGCCCGGTCATATCTTCGGCAGCCTCAATATCTGCGATTCCTGTAGATGATTCGCCGTATGACTCACCTGCGCTTTCGGAGGCGGTCCCAGTGACAACATCATCGCCACAGCATACGCGACCGGGCACGTTCATAGAGCACACTATTTTTGGGGGGAGAATACTGATCCATCTATCTACGAACAGATGATTCTTTGCCAATAGCAGATCTTTCGCCAAACACGATGGTAAGCAATGAAATGAACTCGATTCGGTTGATCGATAATGAAAACCTATATCTCCCGCAGCAACCTGCAGACTTGCAGCAGTCATCAACAAATGGCACGAGCCAACAAGCAGCAGTGTCCCAAACACCCGGTCCGTCACCCCTACCGACACAACCGCCACAGTACCCTCCTTCTCAGCCATCAGGTGGCATACCCAACGGCTCGTCACCAACAGCAGCGGGCCCGACGCAGACGCAACAAGCTATGCCTCAGTATCCGCCTGGCGTGGACCAGCCCCCACCGGGCATGATTGGCGCCCCTCAGCAGCAAGGCACGCGGCCGTCGAGTGCTGCAGCACAGCAGATACTCCCTCAACAACAGATGCGGTCGAACGCATTCCCTGGCTCTTTATCCGACCTAGTTACATCATTCGAGAACGTCAAGCAGAAGGGTGAGTGATACTTCGTGGCGTACAATCTCGCTATTGACAAATGTCTCGTACAGCGCCGCACCGGATGTCTGACCTCAACCATGTGCACAAACTGTTGGAGGGTAGTTACTCAAGTATGCCACAGCCGCAAGATACCGAGAAGTATGACATCGTTGTTCAAAGCTGTTCGACGGATTCTAACTGATTTTTACCGTTTTAGGCCCAAGTACTACGTGCCTCGGAACCCATTCCAGACGCCGTCGTACTACCCTCAGCAGCCAAACCCCATCCTTAGCACGCCCGGTATCTTCTCTCAGCTCGACGTTGAGACGCTATTCTACGTATTTTACTTCCATCCGGGCACGTACCCACAGTGAGGCATTTCGCATCTTCATTCTGGAAGCGAATATTGACAGGTACCCCTCAGGTATCTTGCGGCTAAGGAGCTGAAGAGGCAATCATGGCGCTTCCACGTCAAGTATCTGACATGGTTCCAGCGTCACTCCGAACCTCAGGCGATCACAGAAGAGTACGAGCAAGGAGTGTACGTCTACTTCGACTGGGAAGGTTCGTGGTGCCAGAGGAAGAAGAGCGACTTCCGTTTCGAGTACCGATATCTTTCTGAGGACTAAGCAGTCCGACCACTCATTTCTCTTCTTGACAATTATTCCTCGAACTTTCTTTTTCTTATTGTAAGCTAACACGTATCAATCGTTCATCGTCCTTTTTCTTTATCCTGTCTGCTGCGCAGTAGTTGAGTACCTCAATGAAACTTATTACCTGCACCAACGCTGAGTCATGAGAAAGCAAAAGCAGCCGATAGCAGAATTTTTAAGTTCAAGGAAACCCGAGTATATTAGCAGGTCAGTAGGATGTATAGAAACTCTAGGCTTCTAGAGTCTATTCAAGGGTGACAACAGCACCGAGGTCAACGAAGGTCTTTTTCATCTTCTCAGCGTCTTCCTTGTTGAGGCCCTCCTTCAAGACTTTTGGTAGCGACTCAACGAACTTCTTGGCCTGCAGAAGAAGTGCTTAGTTCAACGTACAAAGTCATGGTGGAATAGCCTCGTACGTCAATGAGGGTAAGGTTGGGGATCATGGCTTTGACCTCCCGAATGATCTTAGGCTTCGCAGAAGCGTCAAAGGACTCTAGCTTGACGTCGAACATCGTCTTTTCCTTGGGTTTCTCCTCGACGGGGGCCTCCTCAGCGGCAGCGGCAGCCGATGCAGCCGCTGCTGGTGCGGCCGCGGGCATGGCAATCTCCTGAATGTTGAGTCGTGACTGTTAAGATACACAGTCAGCACGACAATTGCCACAGCGGCTGACAACCTTCGACCGACCTTAAGCAGCGTCACGAGGTCGGCAGCCTGGAGGAGAGTGAGGCCGGAAATGTCGTCGACGATCTTCGTAATTTTGGGGTCAGACGACGTTGTGGGTGGTAATGTTGTCGAGGTGGATGCCTCTGCGGTAGCAGTGGCGAGCCACCTTCTTGACGAGCCAGCGAGAGGCCTGGAGTGAACCCATGAGTTCAACGCGTCCACGAGAAGATGAAATATCACGTACCGGCTCACCCGGCAAGCCCGAGACGCCGCGCGCAAAGGAAATGAACACCGGCTCTGCGAGCGAAGGAAGTATTGAGCGAAATGACAAGAGGCTGGAGGACACAGGACTGACCGCCATAGTTGACCGTAATATGAACGGTCGCGGCAGTTGGCGGAGGAGGGTCTCAAAATGTGGTCTTGTTTGGTTCCATGGCCGAATCCGGAATGGAAGCGCCTCGGACCAACGAGTGTCCAGTCGCGCAACCGTAAGTGTGGTCAATCGCGCTGCACGCGCACGACAGCGCGGTCCGGCAACGCGCAGAGTCTACTAATCTACACGTGAGAGAGCTTACATGCTTCCGTAGAGCCTGTTTTCCGCGAGCGAAACGAGTAAGGGGCTCCAGAGGGACTCCTTCACTCTCCTTACCTTTTCTTCCTTCTCTCGCCCTGGCTGACCGTACTTCGCCGCGGCAGAGGCTGAAGCCTATATTTGTCGTCCTTGTCGTCTTGAAGATGTTCTTGCTGCAAAAGATCTCAGACATGCAGTTTCTGGTTTCTAACAGATGCAAAATAGCAGCGAATAATCTAGAGGGGCGAGCGAGCCAATTAGGGGAGCTCTAGTATGGCCGCCACCTAACAGATTGGAAGGGGGAGTTGCATCCAGGTGAGCACTAAGTTCGCTGCCGAAGGAAATTAGCCAAGACAGCAGAACAGAGTGTCCGAGCTCTGAACTCAAGTCTCTCATCATTTCACAGATTCTTAACAGTATCATCTGTTCGAAACACACAACCTCAGAGGGTAGCGGGACTGGCCGCACCCTGTGATCAGAGGTATCCGAGAACAGAGAGCCCTGCGTGGTGGTGCAAGAAAACTTTCGTGATGGAACGACCGGGCAGGTAGCTCGGTCTACGCTGAACCTTCCGATGTCTTACGACGGAGCTCCAGGGAACTCCATGTAGTCGGTGATACTGCAAATCAAAGGGTCTCGACCGCCGATTATGTTTTGATTATGTGCCGAGGTGCCTGTCACTCTATTCCTTTCCGAGGAGGCAAGCTGAGCATAAAAAGAGGCCCATCGCCAGTGTGTGTGTATCCTGCCGGCTAACTTCTTATCCCGTCTCGTCTTCCCCTTCTTCGTCACTCCCGTCTGCGCCATCTCAGATATCCTACGCTATGATTATCCCCGCTGAACAGTTGAGCAACCAGTCCTTCGACTACATCATCGTTGGCAAGTGTGTCGCCTGCGTCCGTCGACATAATGTTGAGATGTCTCTGCACAGGCGGCGGAGTACGTCATCCCATGTTGTGTACGCACTCTAGGTGCTTACACTCCCGCGTCGGCGACAGACCGCTGGTCTTACGCTTGCCGCCCGCCTAGCCGAAGAGCCTAATGTGAAGGTCCTCGTCTTGGAAGCCGGTCAGGCAAACATCGACGATCCCCAGCTGCGTATGTCCCAGTGCTCGCCTCGGTGACTGTGTGTCTTACGAGGTGCATACATCCAGTGCGCCCGGCTATCTACGGTGTCCATCTCGGAAATGACTCCTACTCTTGGGACCACAAGACGGTATGTCATTTTCCTTCTCATCAAATCGTCAACTAAGTCTCTGCTCGTTAGATCAAGCAAAAGCACGTCGATGGCAGGGAATCTAGCTGGCATCGGTATGTTCTTTCCAGCTACGAATAGCTATATGGCGTTTAATGCCAGCGCAGCGGCAAGGGTCTTGGTGGGTCTTCCAGCATCAATTTCCTGTGCTACACCAAGCCCCGGCTCGCGACATCGATGGTATGTGGCACATCATGACCGCATTACGCAGATCACAATACAGGGATTTACAGACTTTGAGCGCCTTGGGAACCTTGGTTGGAACTGGAAGAATCTCGAGCAGTACTTCCAGCGCTTCGAAGGGTATGTCTGCGCAGTTCCTCTTGAAATGGCTAGATCTCACATCGCCCGAGTTAAAGATTCTCCGAGCCGACAGAAGAATACAAGAAGCGAACTGGCGTTAAGACAGAGACTTGGAACGTTGGTCGACAAGGTACGAATGCTCGTTCGTGATCTGATTTATCCCCTCACCTCAATCGCCATGCATGCATGCGTTAGGTCCGCTCAAGATTTCCTTCCCCGCGTCCATCTCCGAAGCCGAAGTCAGGATACAACAGGTGCGGGTCATCGTCTCTCTTTTTCTCTTCTCCTTTTCTTGCTTACAGAGTTGCATCTCTTAGGCCTTCCTGAACAATAATCTGCCGCGTTCCACACAGCCGGCAAGCTTATCTGTGTCTCGCATATCTTGCTGATTGCTCACTCGGCATTCTATCTAGCTCGGTGGAGACGTAAGTCGTTACGAAATTTATCGGAGCACATATATTGACCTCCCGGCCAGCCCAAGGGTGTCACTTCCTTCCGAACAACTATGATCCCCAGAACCACAAGCGGACTTACGCTACGAACGTGAGTAGCTATTTCCTATGAGTCAAACGACTTGTCCAAACGACTAAACGACTTCCAGGCTTTCTACCTTCCGTACAAGGATCGCCCGAACTACAAAGTTGCAGTCGGGGCCCATGTCAACCGTGTACTGACGGAAAACACTCGCAATAGCTCGTGGTCTGCTACCGGCGTTGAGTTCTTCGACGAAGCAAGTGGCAAGGTCCGGACTGTGAACGCGACGAAGGAGGTGATCCTCAGCGCGGGGTATGTGCTTTTCGCAACCTACTCGGAAATTTACGAACGCTCCTTTTCAGTACTCTAAAGACGCCGCAGCTGCTGGAGCTTTCAGGTTTCGGCAGGAAGGATGTGCTTGAGAAGATTGACGTCCCATTGAAGGTTGAGCTCCCTGGTGTCGGAGAGAACGTCCAGGATCACATTTTCCTCGGTATAAGCTGGGGTATGTCTCTTTTAGCACATGAACGAAGTCACCTCTCGCTGATAGTCTCATGTAGAACTCAAAGACGACGTTCCATTCGACACACTCGATCTTCTCCGCGATCCTGCCGTTGCCGCTAAGCATCTCGAGCTCCAGTAAGCTTTTATCCAATTGCATGCACGGATTTGCTGAAGTCGGTTCTTTCTGTGCAGTGAATCTGGATCGGGCTTGCATACGATTGGCGTCATCGGCTTCGCATGGAACAGCTTCGATATGTTCGCACCGCAGGACAAGCAGGCCGATATATACGACAAGATGAAGGACGCTGTCGCAAAGATCGACGACAAGGCACATCCTGGATTGCGGGAGCAGTTCGAGGTTGCGATGGAGCGGTTCGAGCCCGGCAAGGCTGGCAGCCCCGGATGCGAATTCATCAGCTTCCCCGGCTTCATGAGTGGGCCCAGTAAGTTGTCCCAAAATTAGCCCGAACGATACTGAAAGCGTTATGAAGATACGCCTGAGCCCGGCAAGCGATATGCCAGCATTCTCGTCGCTATGAATCACGGCTTCTCGCGTGGGACTATCGTGAGTGCAAGACCCTCATGAAGCGAGGCGTCGTATGCTGATCGTGCGCTCCCAGCACTCGACGTCTTCTGACCCGCGCAAGGATCCGGAGATAGACGCACACTACTTCGAGCAAAGCTTCGGCGTGTAGTATTTCCCTAGGTTTTATTGACGATTTTTGAAATGGCTGTGTCAAAGATCTCAACATCCACATTGAGATGCTGAGGTTTGCGCGCAAGGTGGCGAACACATCGCCAATGAAGGAGATGGTCGTCAAGGAGGTCAATCCTGGCCTCGAGATCCAGACTGACGAGCAATGGGGAGGTATGGCCATCTGTTTCCGCGCGAAAGACGAAGGCAGTGCTGACGAGATGGCTGTAGATTGGCTGAAAAAGACGTTCAGCACTACTTGGCGTGCGTACTATAGGCCTATACATGGATCGACGAGGGGCTAACTTCGGTACTGCAGACACCGCTGGCTCATGTTCGATGATGCCGAGAGAGAAGAACGGCGTCGTTGATACCAACCTCAAGGTCTACGGCACGAGCAACCTCCGTGTCGTCGACCTGTCTATCATCCCGCTGCACTTTGCCTCGCATTCGCAATCGACCGTATACGCCATTGCAGAGAAGGGTGCGCGCCACATGCGTCACAGTCATCGTGCGGATACTGACGAGCCGCCACCTAGCTGCTGATATCATCAAGGCTGCAGCCTAGACTGTCGTAGTTCTGCAAGAGTTCTCAGTCGTGCTATGTAAGGCGTGGGGTGGAATGTATGTATAATTCGGGTCAAGTATGTACCGTGGATCCCGACGAGCATCTTGCCGCGGCGCAGCGTTGTAAGATGCCTCGACCATCTACTAGCTCCTCGGATCGTCCTTTAACAGCCTCTCGTTGGATTCTGTTAATGCGCTCTCAAAAAATGCCACAACGATATGACCAAAAGCTCAGGCCACGGTCACAGGGCCTCTGAATAGGTCGAGGTTGAACTGGTGAGTGTATTTAAAGGCGCCCGAGTCGCGTCGGTGCCGCCAGTTCATCGCCTTACCGTGACCGTGACCGGCATTTTCGCTCAATATTTGGTCAATGCACGGGCTCATCCTGTCCTTGGGATGGATGCACAACACTGGAATTGGTCTTTTAACTACTCAATCGGGCTCAATCCCCCAATGCCTTCTTGCATGACTATCTTCTTGCGTGGGTTCGTTCAAATGCTGGCTGTGTGCAGGATCCGATACATCTCTTATATCAAAGTGCATAATAGCTCTGCATTCACCGTTCAACGAAGCTGATGGCGCCTTGGCGGCGTGGTTCATATGCATAGCCACTAAATACACTAAGTCCGACACCTGATACGCCATCAATGCAATCACAACACATGCTCGTTTTCACTACTTGAGAGGACCGATGGCAGCCGGCAGCGGGTCCAAATCATACTTTATCAATGCTCGAAGGTTAACGTTGTGAGTCGACCCATCACTCTTCAATGCGGATACGAATGAGTAACGACCAACGTGACCATCAATATTCCACTCACAATATACTTCAGTGGATACCCTATGTCAAAGGGCACTGCGCTTTCAATCTGCTTGATGTGGTCATCGGTAAGATCCAAATGAAGTGCCTCAATGTTGGATTCAAGCTGCTCAGGCTTGTTCCCACCGACCATAGGGAAGACGTAGGGCTGCTTGCGGAGATGGTACGCAATCGCAACTATCATCGCGATGTTAGTAAGCCCCTCCAAATTACGTTTGTTAGAGAAGCATACCTGTTCGAATGTCTGTGGTGCCCACTTCACTGGCAATACTCTCCAGGACACTAACAACCTTCTTCTCGTCCTCGCTCCTCTTCCACGACGGTGCGAACCCTTGGCGACCTTTGTGGCCACTCCGTTCACGCTCCTCCTCCTCAGCATCCGTCCGCAGACGACCACTACAGAACATGTTCCAGGGGGCGAAAGCCATGCCTGCGAGGCCTATGTCAGCCTTAACCGGTCGGCGATGCACAAGTGTAAATACCATCCATCCTGCAGAGGGGCAGGATATCACGCTCGACATCTCTCATGAGTACATTCCACTCTCCCTGGTAGATGACGAACTCCGGACGGCCATGGTCGCGGGAGTACTGGTTAGCCTTCGCGACTATGATCGCAGGTACGTTACTGGCGCCCTGGCGTCATTTCTTAGCTTTGCAACCCAAACATCGCCGACCACGTTGACCTACCAGATAAATGACCTTGCCCTGAGCGACCAGCGAGTGTAGACCGCCCATCATCTCCTCAACAGACGTAGAGTGGTCCCAGTAGTGGACATACAGGATGTCGATGTAACTGGTCCTTAGCTTCTTGAGACTGGCCTCAATGCTGACCATCATCGACTTGGCGCTATTGCCGACAAATGCAGGATGCTGCTTAATATTCGGATCACCTTGCCTCCATGCACCGCTGTACTGGATGTGGCGTCAGCCCTGCAGGTGGCTGCCTCCCACAGGCCTAGCTACCTTAGTTGCCAGGATTATTTGGTCGCGAATTCCCCTCGACTCCATCCATTCGCCAAGGATTTCTTCTGACTGGCCGCCCTGGCTGTACAGCGTAGGCCATCAGTTTGCGCATCAACGCCACAATGAAAGTACGTACTAGTTGTTGGCGGTGTCGATGAAGTTACCCCCTCCGTTGTAGTATGCATCAAGATATTTGAACGCTGCGTCCTTGTCACAGGAGCCCACAGCAGACCAGTTGGTCCCGAGACTCATAGTACCGAGCGAGATGGGCGAGACATACACACCCGCCTTGGGTGAGAGCCTGCGGTAGCGGCCCAGGAGGGTTGGGGGATCCGGGGCAGGAGCGAAAGACATTTTGTCTGATGGTGAGCTGCTGAAGTGAAGGTCTAATATACGAACTCCTGAGCCCGAGCCGAGCCGAGCCGAGCCGTGAGCTTGAGCCTGCCGTAGGGCAACTACCGTGGCGAACATCCGCCGAAATCCAGTGTCCGGAAGGTCGTCGTACGTCTGTGATTAACCATGGTCCAATCGGCCACGAGTGTTCCCTCCCGAGCAGTTTTGGAGTCACGCGGGTATCGAAGTGTTAACATTTTATCCAAACCTGAGGCCGACTCGGAGGCCTGAGCGCTGAGCCTCCGAGCCGGGCTCGGGCATGGCTTCACCTAACTGAGCTGAGTGTTTCAGGCTTTTTGGAGCTAGGCTTTGCGGGCCCGCGGACGTTGTGTAAGAGGTGCGTATGTATGGTGGATAGATAGCCATGGTTCAATGTCTCGGCACAGGGGACGATCGGCCGAGGTACCGGTGATGGCTGGTCACAGGGAGTGACTCAAACGATGGAGGGACACCGGACACTCGGACGATGAAACACGACACAGCGACATAGGAGAGATATCACGGTTCTTCGTCCGGTCATCAAGACCGCATAAGGCAAGAGAGGCTTCATCTGCGCAGTAGAACATCTCATAATGAATAAAACTAAAAAGTGCTAAGAAATTGCGATATGTAGCACCCCTTCCAAAAAAACTGGCTGTCTTGTACCTACCAAGAACGCACCCCGCGTGGCTCCAGGTGTGCTTGAGCAAAACGTGAGACAGCGGAAATATGCCAGATGCTAAGCGCCCTATGCATTATTCTACCGTAGCATTGCTCACAGCTACAGGAATGCTTTCAAGAGAAGAAACACCGTGACTGGAGAGGTGCTCAAGGACAACTCAGGATGAACTTCAGGGGAAGGCGATGGAGAAGTTAGTGGAGGGTCCGGGAGGACGACTCTGAGGCCGGCCGTATCACCTGGCCCAGTGACTCTACGTGAGTTCCCCATTTCGCTTCGCGCAAGGTGCCGTCTAATCGGTACCGCTCCGTCACGATATTATTATTATTATTAGCGAACAGCCCCA